AACGTTGTCTACTCGCATGTCCTCAATCCTATGATTGTCACGAGATCATACATGTGTATTGAACCGATTGAGCTTCACCTAGATCTTCGCAGTCTTCGTCGCGGCCTGATTTATCCCGTTGATTCCGATGCGGATCCCACGGCGCTGTTGGTCCAAGATTCTGGAATGGTACCCGTCAACACTCAGATTGCCATTGTCAACCCAGAGACCTGCACGCTAGCTCACGTTGGCGAGTACGGTGAGATTTGGGTTCAATCAGATGCTTGTGCCCAAGGGTTCTACAGGTCTACGCAGGAGTTCGACGCTGAAAGAATGAATGGTCGTGTCGCAGATGGTGACCCCAACGTACCCTACGTCCGTACTGGAGATCTCGGTTTCTTGCACACCGTCACTCGGCCAATCGGTCCTGGCGGACACCCAGTTGAGATGCAGGTTCTTTTCGTTCTTGGAAGTATTGGCGAGACCTTCGAGGTCAATGGTCTGAATCATTTCCCCATGGATATCGAGAGCTCGGTAGAGAAATGCCACCGCAACATCATGAACGGAGGATGGTGAGTTTGCTTTCGTATTTTGCTTTGTGTTCCCTTGCTGACAACTTTTATCCACAGTGCCATCTTCCAAGCAGGCGGTTTGATCGTGGTCGTAGTTGAAGTCACTCGCAAGTCGTTCTTGGCCTCTCTCGTTCCAGTCATTGTCGACACAATCCTGGGCGAACACCAGGTGGTCGCAGATATCGTTGCTTTCGTCTCTCACGGGGACTTCCCTCGCTCGCGACTCGGTGAAAAGCAGCGCGGTAAGGTTCTGGCTTCTTGGGTCACGCGCAAGTTGCGTACGATTGCTCAATTCAGCATCCGCGATTTGGACGAGGATCATCCGTTCAACCTGATGCAGCACCGTGCTAGCCGCAGCTCCAAACCTGGAAGCACCATGGGCCACAGTATCCGCCAGTCTAGTATCATTCCTGATGCCGACATGCCTGCCGTACCTCGGTCTCCAGCCACTGCGGTCCCTGAAGACAGAGCTGTCACCTTGCAGGAATCTTATCGGGACATGCCGCCTGGAACTCTACCAGAGCTTGACACTCACACTGAAAACTTTGTTTCCTCGACGCCAGTTCCCGCACCGACCTCTGCTGTACCTCACATCCAGGAGCCACAGTCCGCAACGATAGTGACCGAGGATGACGACCATTTCGACCATCACTTTGATGATCACAACTTCGACCTGGTGGAACCCGCCCACGAAGCCGGTCCTAGTCCCTCCCGCAATTTCCGCTTCAGCTTCGACATGATCAATAGCCCCGTTGAGCAGCTACCGCACGACCCATTCCCAGCTGGAGGTGACTATCACCCTGCCAGACAGAGCTCGCTCGCCGGTCAACATGCCGGCTATCATGGAGATGTAGGAGTCGCAGGTCCGGGACATCAACAAAGGGCACGCCCTGGAACCGAGGAAAGCGGCATAATCGATGACTGGCCGCAAGAGGCTCTCATGTATCAATCCGCCCTGGATGGTCAGCGAAAGCCCTCCAATGCTGGCAACCGCATTTGAAGTTTTGAGTCATGAGTCATGAGGATCCGAGGTAGCCCTGACTATGTACATGGCATGGCATACTATTTGCGAATATTCCTAGAGTTAAAAAAAAGAAAGCGCATGGCTTTGAGACTTATTAACGAAGCGATTGTTGTTTGGACTGTGTGGAATGATTTCTGTGGGGGGGCTGTTTCCACACCCTTTTCCTTTTGAACTCACTGTTTAGCATTGGTTATCTTGTTTTTGTCACTTAAAGATTTCTTCTCATTTCCCTCATACCTGATTTGCACCATTGCCTACTCTGTTATGTTTTGCATATGCGTTGGCTTCTGTTTTGTACATAGCAATCACATACCCAACCACTTCACATTTACCAAAACCATATTCCAGAAACTTAGTCCCTTTAGATTCTATGTATTCTCGGACATGGTCAGGTCTCCTATGAAGAACCCAAGTATAAACGTACCCCCGGGGCGTTGCTGACGATTGTCATTGAGGTACTGCTTGAGAATCCCAACCTCTACAAGGCACGAAAGTTTAAAACAGCGAGGAAAATCACTATTTATTCAAATTGAACTCATATACTATGCATTATTTGCTACACCAGCTCCACAAAATGACAAGAAGCATCAAACTTTTCAAGCCGCTTACTGCTGCTCAGCTTGCCGGGTCAGACCGTCAATGTTGACCTTGGCAGTGAGGCCGCCATTAGCAGTCGCCGTCTCGGGAGAACCGGTCAGCTGCTCCAGAGCGTGGAGGTCCTCATTCGTAAGGGTGTTAGAGCGGATGGGGCGGAAGGGAGCGGGGGAGCCAGCGCGGGAGGTGAGGAACTAGATTAGATGGAAAGGTTAGTTATTTGAATGGCTTAGGACTGGCTCGGTTAGGTTAAACTTACGGAGCTGGCGGCGCTGAGCAGAGCAATCAGAGAAGCCTGGACCACATCACCGTGGATACCGACACCCCATACTTGTTCCTTGCTACCGGCGGCGGTACATTGGATGTATGTGGCAGCCTTGACTTCACGACCAAGACCACCCTCGTTGCTCTGGCTGATAGAGTGCTCCTTGTAGTCGATAACGTCAAGGTCAATGCTCAGGGTAGACAGAGCAGCGGCAAGGGCGGAAATAGCACCGTTACCCGTGCCGGTGATAGCGTGCTGGACACCGTCGATCTCAACGATACCGGTGAAGCGACGCTTCAGGTTCTTAGTGTTAAGAGCCTTGCCGGGCTCAGGTGGCGCAGGGGACTGGGAACGATCGGTGGTGATGTTGTAGTCGATGAGGTTGAAGCGAGGGTTTGACTTGAGGTGATATGCCTCCTCGAAGAGGGTGACGAGCTCGGATGGGCGCAGCTCCCGGTTGACTCTCTCGGTCTCTTTTTGCACAACCTTGCTGAACTCGACCTGGAGACCGCGGGGGAGATCCAGCTCCAGACTTCGCAGAATGATCCAGGCAGCTCCACCCTTGCCACTCTGGGAGTTGACACGGATGACGGCCTCGTAGTTTCGTCCGATATCCTTGGGGTCGAGGGGAAGGTAAGGCATCCTCCACTCATCGTCATCCGTAGCACCAGCCTTCTCGCGAAGAGCAAAGCCCTTCTTGACAGCGTCTTGGTGGCTTCCACTGAAGGCACTAGAAAGGAAAGGATATCAGTATATATTTAATGCAAAATCCGAGCAAAATAACAAACCTTGTGACCAGAGCACCACCATAGGGCCAGCGCTCGTTGACTGGAATCTTATTGCACTCTTCCACAAGCTTGATAACGGAGGGAATATCGGAAAAGTCCACGTTGGGTGAGACACCTTGCGTGTACAAGTTGAGAGCGAGAGTGACGAGATCGACATTACCCGTGCGCTCACCGTTACCGAACAGAGTACCCTCGACACGCTGGGCACCAGCCATCTGAGCGAGCTCAGCCGCGGCAATAGCACAACCGCGGTCGTTGTGGGGGTGGAGGGAGACAACGAACTTCTCGCGCTCGGTCATAGAGTTGCAGAAGTACTCGATCTGATCAGCGTAGACGTTGGGAGTAGACATCTCGACGGTAGCGGGCAGGTTGAAAATGATAGGGTTCTCAACAGTCGGCTCCCAAGCAGCCTTGACAGCCTCGCAAACCTCCACGGCGAATTCAGGCTCGGTATCCGAGAATGTCTCCGGGGAGAACTCAAACTGCCATTCCGTGCCGGCCATTGAGGGGTCATCCTTGGTGATTGAACGAGCGTACTTAGCGCAGGCAACGGCCTTCTCCAGACTCTGCTTCTTGTCCATGTTGAACACGATCTGGCGGAAGCAGGGGCTAGTGGCGAGGTAGATGTGCAGAATGGCCTTCTTGGCACCCCTTAGGGAGTCGACGGTGCGGCGGATGAGATCCTCACGGCAGGGAGCGAGGACTTGGAGCCAGACATCATCGGGAGTGAGACCGGGCTCTTCGACGAGGCGGCGGGTAAAGTCGAAGTCGATTTGAGAAGCAGAGGGGAAGGAGACTTCGATTTCCTTGTAGCCGAGTTCCACGAGTTTCTTGAAGAAGCGGTACTTTTGCTCGCCGTCCATTGGATCGGGCAGAGACTGGTTTCCATCACGCAGATCCGTTGCAAGCCATCTTGGTGCGGAGGTGATTTGCTTGTCGGGCCAAGTCCTGTTGGGAAGGTTCAGCGGCTTGTATGGCTTATACTTTTTTGAAGGGTCTTTGAGCCTGGAGTAAGGAATTAAGGATTAGCATTGAATTTCTCGGTTAGGCCATTTTCAGGGGATATGCAGCCTGAAAAAGCGGTCGCGAAAAGGACATACATCGGCATGTTGGCGGTTGGCGGTTGGCGGGGTATACAGCGGGGGAGAAAGGTGATAAGAGGCGATAAAAGAGAAGAAGAGGAGAGCGACTAGCAGACAAGGTGCAGTCTGGTCGAACAAAGATGATACAAATGACACACCAGAATTGAGGTATGAAGTCCCTTTTAAAATCAGAGAACAGCGAGGCCAATGAAGAAAAGGGAATTTGTGACTCAATGGAAAAGGGCGCGATCGTCGATGACGCCGAGTTTTTCGGCGCCGACAGCGGAGTCACGTGACATACGCCCTTCGGCGACGCCCTGCGAATTAGTGGCGATCGACAGTTAACTTTGGAATGTGTAGATTGACAAATCAGACTAAATTGGGTCTTTTTTCAAGCTTTTCTACCTTCCCATCTGCGCATTTTTGAGGTACAGGCTGTGGCGAGCATACCTACCATTATATACTGCTCGTCAGCTTAGAAGAACCGTCTCCCCGAACTCGGAGCACTTGTGGCCTGAGGCGAATACCTTTGGCCGAGGCTAACCGCGCAAGATGGGTTTCATAGTGGATTCGATTGCATGGGCTGATTTCGCGTAGAAGAAATGGGGAACACACTGAATTGTTATACATGGTTGGACATTTCGTGAGATATATGGTGGATATGGTACAAAGGGATAGAAGCGCTCAAAAGCAGGATCACAGGAAGTTTCTCTCAAACTGCACCAGCAATGGATGCACTTCATCCAGCTTGAGTTTCACCGCACGGGGGTTCTTCAGCGCCTCCTCTCCCAAGTGAGACTTGATCAATGACTGGAATTGCTGAGCTTCGGGGTCGGTCTTGCTCTGCATCTGCCCAGTGACATCCAGGGTGATGCCGCCTTCAGCAACATCGCGCGAGCCGAGGATAAAGATCATATTGTACTTCATCTGCTTGGCTCGCTGGATCTTCTTGCTGAGAGTCTGTGCGCTGGTGTCGACATCAATCAGGAATGTGGAATCGACCGAGGAAAGAGGGCGAGGTGGTGTAGCAGTTCCCTCGCTTTGGAGAACCTTGAACCCGGAGAACCGAGCCGCAGCGTCCTGTGCCTGACGAACTACGGCGTCATCCTGGTTGACCGTGAGGATGATACCCTGGCGAGGTGACAGCCAGAACGGCCAATGGCCACCGTGATGTTCGATAAGCAGGGCCAGGAATCTTTCGAGGGAGCCAAAGATAGCGCGATGCACGAGAACAGGAGTGGCGAATCCAGGCGTCGCTGGGTTATAATCCTCCTCGCCTTCTGCAACCTGATACTCCAGTCCAAATCGCTGGGGCAGATTCATGTCTAGCTGGATGGTAGACAACTGATGATACTTGCCCGCCTGATCCTGGAGCTGGATATCAATCTTGGGTCCGTAGAATGCACCGTCACCCTCATTCAATGCCCATTCACGCCCAGTGCTATCCAAGGCCTCGCGCAATTGGCTTTCTGCATTCTCCCACATCTCCAGTGTCCCAATATAATCTGTCTCCGGTCGCGTAGACAGCACCAATCGGTACGGCCCAAGTCCGAATGTGGTCATAGCCATATCCACGAATCCCAGCGCGGACGCAATCTCCGACTTGATCTGTGATGGCCGGCAGAAAATGTGGCCATCGTCCTGGTGGAAGCGTCGCACTCGCGTGAGACCCGTCAACGAGCCCGAGATTTCATTCCGATGCAGCGGGCTAAAATCCGCATAGCGGACAGGAAGCTCGCGGTAGGAGTGGTTCTGCGACTTGAACAGTAGGCAATGGCCAGGGCAGTTCATGGGCTTCAAGCCGTACGACTCATCCTCACCGAGTTCACCCTCCGTCTCGCCGGTCGCACCACGACCAGTCACCTCGTACATATCATCCTTGTAGTTCTGCCAGTGGCCGGAGACTTCCCACAGGGAGCGTTTGTAGATTGTCGGAGTCAGGACTTCGCGGAAGCCGTATTGGAGGTACTGCGTGCGGAGGAAGGAGATGAGCTTGTTAATGACGTGGGTGCCATTTGGGAGGAAGAGAGGCGAGCCGGGGCTGTAGTTCGACGAGGTGAAGAGCTCCTGGCTTGTGCCTAGAGCTCGGTGGTCATTCGGTGGAATTGAGGGAGCTTGAGCGTTGGGTCGGCCGTTGGCAGCGTCAGCGCACGAACATTGACGGAATGCGGTGGTGGACAGCCATTGTGATCTTGCAGAGGCCCATCTTGCCGGTTGACTGATTATAGGCCTCGAGATGAGACGTGGCCATAGCCGAGTGACTGCGCGCATGGTTGTGTTGCGGAGGTCAATCTTCTTTTCTCCGCGGTCGATCCGGACTTTCTACGGCTGCAATTAGCGGCCATCGCGCAACTATGGGTCTAGCCCAGAGAACCTACTAATTACAGCCCAGGAAGGTTTCTGTGTTATGTTCAAAGACTACGTAGAAGCCAGGAATATATGATTGACAATTAGTCTATAGTTATTTATGTAGTTGTACATAGTTATTTCCTTAATAGTTATCTAATCTCTCTAATACTATGGCCGGTAACCTTAGAGGGAGCCTTGGGCAGAGATTAATCTATAGAGCCAAATCAGTCGGTAAACGATGACAGTCATATCACAATACAACCTTAAACTACCTTCTTTTCTCAGTCGGGCTCTACTAGAATCCATCGATATGCCTATCTTGCAGTAGTAAGAGTTCTGTTTATCCCTGCAAAAGCGTACCGCTAGACGAATCTCGACTGCCCCACCGCTTTGCGCGTGAAACCGTCGCGCTTCACTCCAACACACTCCCTTGGGCCGGTATATGATCGCAAGCAGTGTCGCATTCGACAAGACAGTGCTATTACTACGAGCTTTACAAAGTGCACTCGTCTCTATTAACTACTGACCCTGTCCGACCTTCTATCCACCCGAAGTGCACCACTGTCCATCGCGACATGTGTTTAGCGCCATGTCAACAGTACCACCACGTACTCCAGACCGCTCGGTGCTAGGGGATTCCTGGATCGTCGCATCGACGGCATCGATCAAGGATCAAAGCTGCAGCTCTACACCCAGCAACGATCCTGGAAGTCCCACGCCAGCGCCCAGGACACAAAAGCAAGTTGATACCGCCAAGCCGGCAAACAAGATCGCGAACCCAAAGCCGAACCCAGACCAAAACCAATACCGGGATCAAACAAAGCTGTCAGATTCGCTGACTTCGTCTACCTCATCATGGAGTATGTCAGGTCCGGAGCTCGTCATGCCATCCATCTACGAGGTACCCATCTCAGAGGCATCATGGGTAGCGCCGCATATGCGATCCGCAGACCCAAGGTCCCCGCATATGAGGAAGCGGCGCAAGATCACACCGAGTGGACAACAGAAACAGCAGTCCAGCTCTGCACCTGAAGCATCCGACGCAGGCTTGTCAGCTCCAGGCCATGCAATCAGGAAACCGAGTGTGATCTCAAAGCTCTCGTCCCTATACCACAAGCAGCGCACGCTACTCCGCACGGCGATCAACACACTCCTCATCGCCCTAATCATGCACCTCCTCATCCTCCCCGAACTCATCTACCAAGCGCAAGACCTCTGCACGCTCCCAACAATCCAATCCACCTACCCAGCCAGCTGCATCCCTCTCCACCCACGAGCCCTCCCCTCCAATCCCTTCCACTCTGCTAGCATCCCCATTTCCCCGGAGGAAACCATCATCGCCGCGCAAACTTCCCTCCAAGATATCTTCACCACCACCCTATCAACCCTCACCCCACTCGCATACACTCTCAAAGATAGCGAATCCACCCTCTCCACCCTCCAAACAAACCTGCAAACAAGTCTACCCGACGCCCGACACGCACTAGCCCTCGAATTCCAAGGCAGCGACGCCGCCCTGCGCGCTGCAGCTTGGGAATTCGACTCGCTGCGCGCAGACCTGCGCTCCGCCGTCGACAGTCTACTCGCATCCCCGCTAGCTTTGGAGTCCGGGGGCGCGGCATCGATCGCACGGGATACCAGACTCGCAGCGCAACTGCGCCGCCGTGCAGAGTATCTCGATCGCTTGCGGGCGCAGTTGCGGAGTAAAGCCGAGTCTCTGGGCGGACGGTTCGCCACGCTAGATGATCATCTCGAAGCTATTGATGGGATTGTATCCCGTGAAGCGCGACGGGCGTCGCTTTTGCACGGTGATGGTGATCATGCAGATACAGCGGGTCAACGCGGTGAGGGTCTGCTGCACTCTTTATCAAGCTATGCCGGATTCAGCGCGCGGCTGTTCGGTGCCGGGTCAAGCTCTAGCTCGAGCTCGGACTCGAATGCGGACTCGCACGATCAATCAACAGGCCCATCACCTGCAGCTTTGTCTAACGCAGATCGGCGGCAGCCCACGAGCACCCTTGCATTACTGCGACTTGCAGCGACACAACATCGTGCCGTCGCAGACGAGGTCGCGCGACTTGCGAAGGCGCTGCGGGATGAACAGCGCGCTCGATTGGGGCCCACTTGGTAAGTGGATAGTTCACTTGGCGAACAGTCAGCCGTGAGTGGGTTCATGTTTTTTTTTCGGCCCACGCGAGAGTTTGGCGGCTGGTCGATAGCATGGTTTAGTGTGTGGATACCTCTAGCGAAACGGGGTCCATTGGGCTTGATACGAGATTTGTTGGTGTCGATGGGATCTCGATTTGAGTTGAGGTGATTTCAGGGGAGAAGGGTTGGATGGAGGGAAGGAAGAGGAATATTTGGGAGGTCTTAAGCGGTTTTTCCTTCGATCTGGGGTGCTTTGTTCCTTCGGGAGGCGTTCGGTAGTGTGGTGTTTTGGGGCTGAATACGAGGGTATGAATTATAACGATAGCCATGAAATTGAATACGATACTTAAGAAGAAATTGGATAGAATTGACTTAAACGTAAATTGACTACTCCATCTTTTCTTTCATACTCATTATCGTCATGTTTCTATGAATAACTCATTCTTGCCTTGACCCTGCTTTCCTCCGACCCAAACTTCGGTCCATCAGCTTATCCACCCAATCACTCCGAACCCTTTCATGTCTATCCATGGTAAACAACCCAAAAGTAACTACCGGGCACACCGATGACAACACAACTCTCCAGTACAAATGGGAGCTAAGAAGCTCGGATGTCACGGGACTAGAAACAAAAAAGGCGCTTCGGCCGAAGGTGCAGGTTTGGGTTAATGGATGACAGTTACTTTCTACTTGGTTTACATACATAGTATTAATTGGTTATTTGCATTGAGATTTAGTCCGGATGGACCCGGCCCGATTTAAATACTAGTACAGTGACTACTAGATTTACTTCCATTCCACGGTCGAACAACCAGGCAACGAAATTCACCACTAACCCGAACTCGATCCAAGTCTAATATCCATTATCCAATATCCACCATGCAGTCATCAACACATAACACAAATATAAGCCCCCCAAAAAAACTAAAAACTGAAAACTAAAAACTCGGTAATTACAGCCGATCGTTACATGGGGCTTTTTTGCTTTTGCCAGCTGCGTCTGACGCGGGTAGTCTAGAGCAGTTCGATTCGTATTATAGGATTGACGGCTGCATGTACATATGTATAAAGTACTCCATACAGGAGATACGATGCAGATGCATGTCGATAGATGTAGTGTATCTGCATGAACACAAAAGAAGCAAATATATGATTGTGGGGATATCCAGCCTTGCGTCGAGCTTCAGGTCTAGAGTTCTAGACAGCGATGCAAGCTTGCTGTTCTCGGAGTTGAATAGATTATAGTAGGAGGGAAACAATATGATCAGTCCCAAAGGGAAACGGATTAATCTAATGGTAATTGTTATGATGATCATGAGATCCATAGATACATGTCAGGGCAGGATGAGGAACAGGGCCAAAAAAGATACATCACGGAAAATGGGGAATAGTAACCAAATGGAAAAAAGTAAAAACAAAAAGCATTCCTCATGTCCAAAAACCCGGTTCCAGCCCAGTATGCTTCATATGTGAGAGGTAAACGTTATTAGGTGGTGTGTGCATAAAGTCGAGTAAGCGTCAAAAGTAGTCAAAGGCGAGCGTAAAGTAGGGGGTTCGTATGGGCTTTTTTACAGCTGGAGGAGAGCAGTGACCAGGCCCAGGAGGGAAACTGGGCCAAGGTAGTTGGCAACCACGTTGGCAGCTGCGTTGAAGGTGGCGCTGGTCTGGGGAGCAGTGCTGGAGGCCGAGCCGGAGCTTGAGCCGGCGCTTGAGCCGGCGCTCGAGCTCGAGCCAGAACCCGAAGTAGTACCAGAGCCAGTGCTGGAGGAACCAGACGAGGTGGACGAGCCAGAGGAGGTAGTGGAAGAGCCAGTGCCGGAGGTAGAGCCGGAGGTGGTGGCATCAGTAGACGAGGCAGTGGTAGATCCAGCAGTGGTCGTCTTGGCGGAGGTGGAGGTCTGAGTGGTGGTAGCCAATGTAGTGTGAGCAGTGGTGGAGCTCTCAGTGGAAGACTGGGAGCTGGTGGTGGAGCTGGTCGAGCTGGAAGAGCTAGAGGTCTGGCTGAGAGAACCGGCACCGCTAAGCTTGATGCTGTCGGAGGAGCCGGAGGTGTCGCTGTAGGTGTACGAGTCGGCCGGGTTGGTGTTGGTGATCTGCACCGACTTGACGTACATGGAGAAGGGAGCCTTGGAGTAGTCGGTCTGACCGCCAGCCCACTCAATAGTGCCCTCGCCGTTGGAGGGGTCACCGCCAGCCCAGATACCGATGCGCACACGCATAGGGGTCTGGGGGTAGCGAGCGCCGCCCTGAGCATCAGCGTAGTTGAGAGTGCGGACGGCAGTACCATCGATGGACCAGACGGTCTTGTCCTTCTGCCAGTTCACCGTGTAGGTGTGGAAAGTAGACTGGGGGTTGGCGACGGCGGGCCAAGTATCACGATCATAGGTGGAGGTATCACCCTTGCCAAAGTAGTTGGTCTCGATCTGGCCGGTGTTTCCACCGAGAGCCTCCTATAAAAGATTGTTAGAATCAGATACAACAATAATAGCAGAAAGTCGATGCTTACCCAGTCAATCTCATCCAGGTCATCCGACTCGAAGACGATGGAGCTAACGATGCCAGTGCCGGGAGCAGCCTGCATGGTGACCGAGATCTCACCGTAGAAGATGTAGAAGTCGGTCTCAATGGTAGGGGCATCACCCTGCTTGTTGATGGTGAAGACGGCGCCGTTGGAGCTGGTGCTGACGGAGCCAGCAGTGGTCGTCCACTTGTCTAAGCCGGAGCTCTGAGTAAAGTCAAAGTTCAGCTGGGACTGGGTGGAACCAGCATCGGCAGGGCAGGTCTTCTCCAGCGGGTTGCAGTCGGTGTATGTCTGAGCCGAGGCAAAGGGAGCAGCTGCAGCCAGAGCCGCAGCGGCGTACTTGAAGATAGACGGCATAATGGAGGGGAGGTGTGTGTGTGTGTGAATATGCGTCAAGAGATGAGGTGAGAGAAGGAAGAGTGGAGGGGGAAGCTGGAAACGAGTGTTGTTGTTGGAGGGGGAAGAGCGAGAGTTATAAATCCACGCAGTCAGGCAGGCAGTAGCGAGTGGAGCTGGAAAGTGGTCCAAGTGGTTCCAAAGTGGTCCCCTCAAAAAGTGGAGTCTTTCAATAAATCAGTGAGATATTGGAGAGAGAGAGCTCCACGGTTAGGCCATGTCTCTTCCTTTTGTACTCGGCGCCGCCACCTTTTTTTTTCCCACTGCCCTATTCTTGGTACTGGAACTAAGGAGTATACGGAAGATACGGAATACACGGTAGCATCCAGCTAGTCTCGAAAATCTCCCCTTGACTCACGCTAGTTGACTGGCCACCAGGCACCAAACCCAAAAAGAAAAATAGAAGAGGCTGACAATGAGGAGCCGTGCGTGACGGTGTATTAGCCCCTCATCCCCTAGTCCAGGACAAGCAGCGCGACAATGCTGATTGGATGATTTCTGGCAAGGGCACTCCACCAGGGATCGTGGTGGAGCCTCCGCATGAGCTGCTGGGGAAACCCTCACTGGCGGAGTCATAGACAGGCTGAGACACCCTTCTATCAGGACAGAATTAGCAGACAGGATGCGACTGGTCTTTGAATAGTTTCATATCCTCAACTCCTTGGTAGTATGGTCGTATTCCTACTGTGTACTCATTCTCCTCGCACCCGATCGGCCGATCATCCGGGACGATCATGTTACAGTATCAAAGTCAAAGTACCGTAATCATATGAAAGAGCACTACTACTCAAAGTGGCCCCAGTCCCAGCCCCAGCTTTTTTCCATGCGCCTGCCGCCCCTTCAAGGTTAGGCCGATGCATGATAGTAATATGTAGTAATATGTGGCAGTAATAATATACAGATCATACTAATCCTACTACATACTTAGTTCAGTCTACACGCGGGACCACGGCAGTAACCAGGCCACCCACTTTTTCTCCCGTAGCAGGCCTAAAAATCAACCCAAAGAAGATACTAAAGATACTAAAAGAGGACTAAAGGAAAACTAGCCATCGTGACTCGGGACGGCCGAAGCGAGCCCAATACGAAGGGAATACCCAATGTGAGACATATTGATAGAAACCCCCGGGATGGAAAACTGGGGCAATCCAAAATTACAATACATAATACACATCTGTCACTTGGATACACCACTGTAGGGTATTAGATTATGCTCTCTACACACACTCCTCGTAGCCTCCAGTACGGACAACTGATCTTCATCTTCTGCTCATCGTTGCCTGAAATATTATCTTCTGATACAATCATGACATCTTCAGGGTCCATACTATCCATCCCAATCCAGGGGATTCTCTCTCGTTCTCGCTTCTACTTGCCGCCCCATTCATCGTCAGACGGTGAACGAGCGGCCCGTGCCCCCAATTGCACGATTGAGTACGTACTCTTCATCTGCATTGAAGATACTCAATATACGGAGTACTTTAAACATTACTATCAGGAATAATAATATATATACTCCATAGTTAATTATACTATAGCTCCTACTTTACAGTATAGTAATATTCATCTAATTACTTCTAGTTTCTCTACTGTACCCTTGACCCTCCCCAAAGTCCAAGCTTGACACTTCACTAGCGCGTCAAAATGCGACCGTACCCTCGGACTGCCCTGCGCCCCCCTTACTGAGCCACGGGATCCGGGGATGGTGAAAGGAAGATTCTGAATCACCTGCACTGTAAAAAGACTAAAACAGATCATTCAACATTATTACCTATACGGACTCTCCGTATATCCCGATATTAATAGAAACCCTATTTTTTGCCTTTTTGCCCCCCCCTCGCTTCCGGGGGAAATCAAACGGTCCAATCACACCTTTCTACAGAACAAAAACCAGGGCTCATGGGATAGTTCCTTTTGGGTTGGCTCCAACGCAGGAACAAACGCTTGGCTCTCGGTTCCTCGGCATACGACTGGATCTTAGGATGGCGGACGTTGGCGCTGCGGTGGTTCCCCCTAAAACATTTCTTTTTTCTGTACATACGTCTAGTAGTCCATGGAGTGACAGCCATGTGCGTGTCAGGTGGATATGTGGGTATTTGGTACATATACCCTTTTCCACCCCATGATTTTATTCGTTGACGAGTCGCCTGCCAAAATCTACAGAGGGGAGTATCGGACATATACTACCTCTTGGCGGTTTAGGATTGATGCTTTCTCCCCTGTTATCTTATTTGAACCGTTCAGGGCCGTTCGTCAGAGACGCCTGGCGCTAACTTTATCCATACAGTGTGCCTTTTTTTCCCCTTTGTGGGCAGGTCAGTCAGGGTCTGAGACTCTAGGGGATGTTGTTTCATACAGGTCCGACAGGGCTGCTTCCCAGGAAGCAATTATTGGTTACGGTATCAAGGCACCGAGTCCGAAGGGAATAAAGACCCTGCCACAAAATCTAAGGGGGAAATTTTAAAAATCAATTCCCCCCAGGATGGAAAACTGAAGCAGTTTAAAATTACAATACACAGTACAATACACTTTATACACCAAGCGTGGTAGTACTTCCTCACTGTAGGGTATTAGATTATGCTCTCTACACAGACCTCTCGTAGCCTCCAGTACGGAGGAGCACTGATCTTCACTGTCTGCTCATCGTTTCCTAAATTTCTACCATATAGAGGTTTGTGTAATCGATCTAATAGACCACGAGGTGGAAGGATATTCCAAGTAGGTATGAAGACACCGCCAAGCGTGGGTCGTGCTGATACATAACTGGAGCTTCGGCATTTTCACAGTTGAATGGGGATGATTACAGTTTGTTGACAACTATCGAACGGACAATATACAACCAGGTACCACCATGACCCCGTCGGAATGAGTTAGCTGTACATCGATCACAGAACTCCCGGGTAACCAGACTCGGAAGCAAAACCCTCTCGAGGGTATTCTCCACTATCATCATGATCAACCGATTCGATCGGACATCGCTGTCACCGGATAGTACGTCCGGGGGACGACTGATACCAGGCATCCATTCTGCAATCTTTGGAAGATGCATATAATACCGACTTCTCAGCTCCAGACCGTCATCTGTTCGACGCCATAAATAGATCATAGTGCAGAGCTTTCTGAATTTAGAGTGTCAAGATTGGGGAATTGGCCTTGCATTATGGAGCTTGCGTTCCATGCATTCAAGGTGCCTTAGCCAGCATAAGAAAAGAGTAAAATATCTAGCCACAGAAGAAAAAAAAATACCCCCTCATTGCGAATCCGAGCATTCCAGTTTCTAACTGCGCCGCCAAGGTTTATCCGCCCAAGTATTCAAAGTAGACAGCTCATACGACGAGTCGTTCTCCTTGAATCCGGAAATCGGCCCTGGCGAACTGGGGAAGCGGGAGTTACCCGGATTACCACCCTGCCGCTCGTCGAAATCAACGTCCCAATCTTCGCGTTTGTTCCACTGCGCGTCCTCTAGATTTTCTTGCTGATCCTTTTTATAGCGTCGGTAATATATAACTCCAAGGGTTGTAGCGGCGCAGAGGAAAAGCCTGGAAATATCAGCATGGATGTGGTGTTGGTTTGGCATCACTTACACGCCTACGATCACGGCGGGTATACCAATGGTGACGGCATCGCTGGTGGGCTTTTCGTCGCCACGTTTTGAATACATCGCCTTGGCCCCGATAGGGCTTTTTCTTTGGGGTGGTGGAGCCGGTTGAATCGTCAATTGTCCTGCAAGTCGCAGGTTTCGTAGCTCATTCGAGATGCTATCTATCAGATTCAGGGGGGCGGCTTTAAGTGGGACCGTACAGAGCCAGAACGGACTGCTGGCTTGGTCGAGAGAGAAAGAGGGGTGGCGATGTCTGTCTCTTTTTGATACTTGTTTCTGGCCAAGGCAATTTCCAAGGATTAGAGGTTGAAAGAAGATTTATGTGGGGGTGGAGGATGAATTCATAACATTGCAATCGTTATCCCCTTGGTGTTGAACCTCCGACGTGGGCTGAAACGTTTGATGAGTCAGCGGGACCTTGTCCGGCAACCGGTAGGTTCCGTAGTCCGTTGCCTCCCCTTCATCTCTAAATTTATCACAAAGCTATCACCATACTAAATACGACAAAATATACCTTCTTATATCAAGTCCCCGGGTCCGAAGGAAATAAAGGTCCTAATTTCCAAGCTAAGGAGAGAAATTCAAAAATCAATTATTGATCATGATTCATTTTGATCCATTCTTTGCTCTGTCTTCTTCAGTTCCCATTTTTAGACGTGCCAGAGACATGTGGCGGGTCAGCCGCCCTAACGAGATCACCCCGAAGCCCTAAGACAACGTCTTAGCCACGATCCCAGGCGGCAAATTCATCAAGGAAATCAGCCGACCCTTTCTCCCCCCAACACCTTCCTAAAAACGATCCCCGAGAAAAAAGAACAGAAAGAAAAGAACTAGTCACAGCAAAAAGCAAAATTAGGAAACTATCTTCTCCACATGACAGTCAGTTCAGTCCCCTAGATATCAATCTCAACAGGCCCGCTCAAAGCAATATCCACCTGCTTGGTGATACTATGCCGAGCCGCATTGAATTCAACCCCACGCTTCTGCTTCCACGGCCGACTCTGTCCCAGCACGGTCACAGACTCAATCACCACATTGGCCTGGTACCCGAACTGGCCCCGGATAGTGAGATGGCCACGGTTGTACTCGAACTCGATCTCGCTGCTAACCGTGTTCACTGACTCGCCATCATCCAGGTACAACGAGCCCGAGGCGTAACCGCTCACGTTGGGCGCAACCAGGATCTCGAAGCCGCGACGACGCAGCTCGGTCGTGGTCATGGCGCTCTTTGCGCGGAGCGGGATCACGCTCCCGCCGCGGATGTGGATCGGGATTTCGGTGATGTCGATGTTATCCAGGTGCTTGGTTGCGCCTTGGCCGCGGATCACCGCGCCGGTGTGCCAGTCGTAGAAGACGTCGTTGGGGAAGTAGGCATCCACCGAGGTTTGGCCGACGTCTTGGACTGGGGAGATTAGCAGGGAGTCGCCGTAGAAGAATTGGGCTTCGTTGGCGAAGGTGTTGGTGTCCGAGGGGTAGACGTAGAAGAGTGGCTGCAGGAAGGGCTCGCCCGTTTGGGTTTGACGGTGGAAGGCCGTGTAGAGATAATCCAACAGGCGGTAGCGGATGTCGATGGTCTTGCGGGCAGCCTCGGCGACGGTGGGCCAGCGGTAGAATTCCTGGGAGATCGCGCCGAGTTCGTTGTGGTTGCGGTAGAAGGGGTTGAAGGCACCCAGGGTGGCCCAGCGAGCGCACAGCTCTTCGGTTGTGTTGCCGCCGAATCCGCAAACGTCTGATCCAACCATGGGGATCTGGAAGATGGAGGCAAAGGCCAGCATCTGCGAGATGGAGACGCGGTACTTGTCCCATTGGCTAAGGTTGTCGCCGAGCCTATGATGATAGTGTGAGCTTGTGTGTAGTCGATAATATAATCGATGAATGGACTTACCAGTGACCGACGTGAGCACCTGCACCAGCGAAAGTGCTGCGAGTAATCACCAGAGGGCGGACTCTAGGACGACGCAGCATCATAGCCCAGCGAGAGGCGGAGCTCATCACTGAGATCAGAGTCAGCATGCGTATCTAAAAAATGAACCTAGAGAGATGCATATCTCCACGCCTGCAACACACTTACTGGTACCGTAAAGATTGTGAGTATCATACTCCACGAACGAGTCACCCCCATTGTGCACAAGATCAGTATCAATGGTCTTGTTGCTGATTGAACCCGCGGCATTGGCAATCTGATAGGGCGGCGAAATCAGGTTCCGATCAGGCAAGCCAGCCTTGGTACCCTTTCCGCGACGAGTCTTTCCAGAGGCAGACCGCTTGACAGTTGGAGACTTCTTGGGCTGGAAGTCGGACGGGAAACCGGGAATTGGACGAGGCGATGACTCGCGGACAGCGGGAGCAGCTGGGGGCAGGTCGTTGTCCTTTGCATAACCAGTGGGGTCCTTGCAAGGCCAGGGGCAGAAGTTGGAGGCCTCATTCATGTCGATCCATAGACCGTCAATATCGACGCCCTTTTCAGCGTCGAAGAACCGGGCAAACTCACCATCCCACCATTCCTGTGTGCCGGGGTTGAACCAGTCAGGGTAGATGGTGACACCAGGCCAGACGGCGCCTAGATGAATGGTCAGATGAAGTCCTCGCGATTGTCTGGATGTCTATATTTACCTTGGTAGAGTTCCTCGCCGCGAGTAAGGAAGATTCCCTGGTCCTTACCGCGTTCGGCAGCACCGTTGTCTATGCACGAGTCAGCGTCATCAAGAATTCTCAGATATGATGAGTCAACTGGTACTTACCGCTGTCGCTCACCGCAGGATCCACCATAACAATGTAATGCTGATTGTGCTTATGCAGGTGATCCACTAGCTCGCGCATCTTCTCAAGGGGGAAGCGATCCGGGTCCAGAGTGAACACCCGACGACGATCCATGTAATCAATGTCAGTCCACATAGTCTCCAGCGGAATATGAGCATGGCTGTAATTGTAGACGACCTCAGCAACGTCATAGACATCCTGATATCCGTAGCGGCAGTTGTGGAACTAGAGAGAAATGTTAGACATGTCACAAGAACCACAGAATTTCAAATAAACATACACCGAAAGTCCAGTAGGCCTGCATGGCGGGCAGGCCCACAACTTCCGAGTACTGCTTGGCCACATCCTTGGGCGTCGGACCAGCGAGGAAGTAGAAATCCAGCACACCACCGATGGTGTTGTACTCCAGATACTGGCGTCCATCGTCGGTCTGGTCGATCTTGATGTCCATGCCATTGGAGTTCAAGAAGAACACGCCGTGCGTGCCATCATCACCGCGGTGATCCACGTAGATGGGGTGGTTGCCATACAAGTTCGTATTCTCTGGAATCCCGTAGGCATCACGGCTCCACAGGGTACGTGTGTAGTTCTTGATCGGCAGACGCAGAGAATCACTGTGTTCACCCAGACCGTACAGGTAGGGATCAGCTGGCAGCCAAGTCCGCAGTCGAAGGTACTGGTTCTCGAAGATCAAGTTGGTGTCTGTGGTATCAAAGAGCACCTGGTCACCACGCAGAACACGGAAGGAGAAGGGCTCAGCCTGGTAGTCAAAGCGAATGGTGGGCTGGTTGTTGTGGTGGTCACCATTAACATCAGGGCGAGGCAAGACAGAAGTGGGAACCTGATAGACATCCTCCTCGAGATCCGAGATGAGAACGTGAAGACGGTCGTCTACGTGGTGTCAGTATAAGCATATGAGCTTGTTTATATCTGGTCTGGAACATGGTGATACGAACCAGTCTGGTACTCGACGTACAACTTCAGGTTCTCCAAGTCAGTACCGTAGCAGTCACAGTGGTCACCAGCGAGAGTCAGGACAGCCTCAAAAGAATGACCCTGCTCCCAAACGTTCACAACCTTGTAGCCAGGACAATCGTCAGGGGTTCCAGATCGAGCCTCCAACATCGCGGCACCCACGAGGGGCGCCAAAAGGAGCAGAAGTGATCCCCGCATGTTGAGAAATCACCCGGGAAGACGGTTGATGCACAACAAAAGGGGAGGACGAAGGGGGTTTTAAAGTCGACCAGTGGTGCCTCCAAGGTCAAGGCGGGTTGCCTGAGAAAGGGAGAAGGAAGACGGTGAGGGGGAGAAAAAGAAAAGGTGGAGAGGGAGGAAGAAGGGGTGGAGAGGATAATGTCCGATGAATGCGCGAGCGATAAAGTGAGGAGAGAGGGAAAGATACCAAAATGTTGTCATACCAAGACTTGCCAAGTGAGGCCAGTAGCTAAAGCAGGCCCACGTTTGTGTAGCTATTGCCATGTTTTGACGCGATCTGAGCTTTTTTTTTTGTTTGTGCTACCTGCATCTATAGACCGTCCCGAGGTGCGGGCAATTATCGGAGATCGTGGCTTGGCCGGATCTGCAGGGTCCGTTTAGGTTGCATTTTTTGTGCACTTTTATGCCATGGGGTGGCTTCTGGGCTTGCTAAGAGCCGAATTGAGGCGTAAATTCAAAGCCGGGGTCGTTAGTTATCCCCCGCTTGTCGGGAGTTGCCGAGAGGGAGGAGAGGAGGAGAATACAGGGTTCAAAAGGGAGCTAAGTCATGGAACGAGGCTGGCGCTTGAGAATTTTCAAACTATGTCTCTGATGAGTACGTTACCAATATACCTTCTTCGACATAGTTCCTATACCTCGAAATGACCTAGTTAGTCGTATCTTATATGGTTTAGAGTTATCTGCATAAAACATAACTTTCAGGGGCTCGCTCAGCTTTGACTTACTGAAATCCCTGCGAAATTTGGATTCATTACTGACAATGTGAGTTGAGTAGGTAATTTTTGAGTGTAGGACTTTATGCAATGGCATTGAAGCACAGAACAGTTGAAGTTTTGCTAAGATCTATCCTTTTACTAAGCTACCATACATACTTCGAAGTATACTTCGGGTGGCGGGTTTTCTTCGGGCGTTGATACGCCGGTCCCCAATTTCTCTCCCGCTTTGCGCTCCCAAGGTTCCTCCTTCAAACTACTAGAAACTGGACTTTGACTTGATCAACTAATCAAGTATCGAAATGCACAAAAAAAGGAAATTCATTTCAGGGTCTCTCTATAGTACCCGATGGGCATCTCTAGACATCATTCGTGTCGTGATTAAGAAGAAAAATCATCATCTGGAACCCCCGCTCTGACCAGGATACCAAAGGTCAAGAAAACGGCAATCATACTCCCTCACACCATGGACCTACCCAGTCCATCCTCCATCAATCCTTCCAACCTCTTATTCAAATCTTCTCACCAGCCGAGGCCGCCTTAACATCCTCCTCCGAGCTCATAATCTGCACCTTGATAGCACCAGTCTTGGGGTTGGCCGCAGTCTCAAAGGCCTTTAGGGCATCCTCCAACGTGAAGCGGTGGGTCACCAACTTGCGCAGGTCGATCACACCATTCTGCACCAGGCGGATGGCGCGGGGCCAGGTGTTGCAGTAGCGGTACTGGTACTGCAAGTCGATCTCCTGAGTACTCAGACGCATAAAGGGGATAGTCATCTCGTTCTTGCCAACACCAATGACAAACACCTTGCCGCCGAACTTCATACTCCAAATCGCAGAGTTGACACTGCTCTCGACACCGGTGCACTCCAAGCACAGCTTGGGTCGCAGGGCATCCGGACCAGAGCCCTTGCCGTCGTTCAGGGCATTGATGATACCCTCTGCGGACTCCTCGGCCGACTTGCCAATCTCCACCTTGTAAGTGCGCACCTCGGGGGCCAGCGACTTGGCAAATGCCAGACGGCCCTCGTCAATATCGGTGATAACAATAGGGCAAGCACCAGCGGCGCGGGCGCTCAGCAAAGAAATCAGACCGATGGGACCAGCACCGGTGATGAGCGTGGGGTCGCCCAGGCGCAGCCCGCTGCGCTCGACGGCCGCCAGAGTCACGCTCAGTGGCTCCAGGAGGGCACCGTCCTCATAGCTCATGTCGCCGATCTTGTGGCACCAGACGGCGGGGTGGTTGACATAGCGGCGCAACAGGCCGTCCACGGGTGGGGTGGAGAGGAAAGCGACCTTCTCGCAGCCGTTGTACCGGCCGGTCAAGCAGGGCTCGCAGGCGTTGCAGATGACGTTGGGTTCAATTGCGACACGGTCGCCAGGCTTGAGAGAGGTGACATCGGAGGCGACCGCAATGACCTGACCGGCAGATTCGTGACCGAGGATGTGGTCGTCGGTGACGATCATGGGGCCGATGCAGCCCGCATGCCAGAAGTGCACGTCGGATCTATGAGAGAGCGCGGAGGTTTATAATCAGCCTATTTGGTTATGCAATGTATGGAATGACTGCAGAATGCATTCATTGTCTTTCCCCGAGGCTGCGCTAACCGTGGGGGTCATTAGAAAGAAGGGGGGAGTCTCTTACCCGCAAATTCCAGTACTGCGCACCTCGATGGTCACCTCACCGGGCTTGAGGGTCTTGCCACTCTCGACATCCTCGACTTTGGGCTCGGCCTCGGCAATCCACAGGTCATGCTTAGGGTTGGTGTAGACACCAATGTTGGTCTTGGAAACGGTTGTAGCGGTCGACATGGTGAGGATGTCAACTGTGAACTGTGGAAGGTAGGGGGGAAGAGAGTGAGAGGAAGAGCAGAGAGGATCAACAGGCTTCTCTTCCTTTACGAGGCGCGAGCGCAGGTATTTAAAAGATTCGGGCAGCCAGGCAGGTGATCAGAAAGGAACCCGCATTTCTTTCTTTTTTTTTTCTGCTGTTACCCCATCGCGGTCCATTATCCAGACAAGACGTGGAGAAGGACGCGGAGTTACTCCTAGAGTACGGAGAACCTCCTTGTAACCAACAAGCAGCCAAAAAGCTCCGTCTTGGTTAGTTCTCACTGGAGAGAAAAGTGGAGTGGAGGGGCAAGTGATTTAACCGCGCGGGGTTAACCTGCCTGGCGGGCTACCAACGGGGCAATCTGGACCCGCCCAGAGTCCAGAGAAATGACCCAAACTATGTACAACTACAGTACACAGTTTCGTTGGTCCACCGAGTCCTACCCGGGCCGAGTCCGACAGTCGGCTATCGGGTAAATTCAATTTGGAGGTCAAGTGACATTTTATCAGTAGTTATCTTGTATCCGTATTTTCTTCAGTGCCTACGGGGTATGCCATATTCTGTAGAAACACATTTGCTTTCCCGGATGAATTGGCGTTGGTCATTCGGACATGTAGTGTCAGTGCAACGTAGCGTCCCTGAGGCACAGCTTAGCCTTCCAGAAGCCTTCCACGACCGAAGTGGCAATTCTCCGGTGGAAACTCATTCTGGTTGATGGAGTTTTTGGACGGGTTCGGGCTCGCTGGCCCGTTTTCCCGCTAATCTTGACAAACAAGACAAACATGCCCTGGAAGTATGTATCAAGACACTTAGTAGTACTGAAGAATGGCTTTCTATAGAATGCTATTCAAAGTAGATCCCTCCATACATCCTTGATCCTGACTTTGTGTTCCATCCACCACATGCAACTGCAGATTACAATCCACGAAACACATTCTCTCCGAGCCGTGCCTTGGTGAAACCCCCACCTGTCGGCATCATTTGTAATGTGGCCAGTGTCGGACTAACGAGACTAGATGTTGGTCAGTAGAATAGAGAATAGAAATTTGTTACATTGTTTGGAATTTGGACTTTGCTTTCGAGTATACCTCATAACTTGACCAGTTTGTCAAAATAATCTCTCATAGCTATGCTCCCAACTAGAGATGTATCCGAATAGCATATCTATACCAAGAGCGCCTCACTATGAGGATTACCTATAGGAAGCCACTTTAGGTACTATCATGTCTAGTTTACTCAGGTAATGCATGTTATTCAGTCGTTTCACTAGTGCATCAAGAATTCCTACTTAGTTTCTAGACTGGAGCCGGCTGTAATGTGGCCATCGGGAATTTACCCGAACCAACCGCTATTGTCGCCGAGATGGAGTCCTGTCGAGATGGTAGAACTGACTCGAACGTCAGGATCAATTGTGAATAGAGTTTATGATATCTGACTCTAGCATTTTTTGCTACTAGATAACATGGGTCCACGAGAGGCTAAATCATTGGGCATACTGTATTTATGTCCACGCACAGGAGGCGTACGCCCCGGAACATATATCCATAATGGAGGTAAGTTGCTTATGACAAACACATCAGCGTGTTAAACCTACAACAGAATACTACAGATTAAAATCAAATATATGCCAATCAATTTTATCTGATTGAGTTTGATTATCGACCCAGCTAGCTCAATACTCGACAAAAGGTCTAGGCATGTGTGGTCCCGGCTAGTCCGTTACAGGGCCAAATGCAGGAACACACTGTTCGGGGACAACTGAATACTTGCACATCGACTATCTCCTGCTCTCCTCTCCCTGATGGAATCTCCTAATAAATTCATACTTCCACCAAATATCACTAAATAATTTCAAACCCCACCCTTCTCTACTTGCAATGGCAATTGTTTACCCCCAATTCAGGCACGCCGGAATACCCCCTCACGTGACCTCCATTCCCTGAACTTCCCGAGCCTCCAAATCCGCAGATTCTGGTCCTGTCGTTGCGCAAGACGAAATCCGCCATTGGACTTATACCCCCCCGTCCCTTCCCACCAGCGATCGTTCCGGGTCATCTGTGCTTGGTCTCTCTTCATATCCACTCTTTCCTCTTCCTTCCTCGCACTCCTCCCAAGATGCCCGCTGCCACCCGTGCCGTCCTGCGGCAATCGCAGTTCCTGGCCCGTCGCACCGTTGTCCGACACGCCTCTTCCACCTCCGAGGCTGCCTCCAAGGCTGGTCAGACTGCCTCTAACGCTGCCTCCAAGGCTCAGGAGGGTCTGTCCAAGGCCACTGCTGCCGCTGGCCCGGCTCTCTCTAACGCCGCCTCGGCCCTGCGGAAGGTCGGCGGTCCCGTCGGCAAGGTCGTTTCGTTCGTCGACTGTAAGAGACCAATCCCGACCGTTTAGGAGCAAAAATCGCTCTGAAATTGGATGAAGAGGTTGTGGATGGTCAAGATAGGAGGAAATGGACCTTCAATTGTTCTGATTGGAGTTGTGCCGGGCATTCTCCGGAACCTCCTTGTTGACAAATCCACAACCTTCGTATCCATTTCGATAACCCGTTCATGACTGACTTTGATATCCGCGATAGCCATGATCCCACCGACCCTCTACTACTCCCGTGTCGGTCTCGAGCTCGGCAAGCTGGTGTTCCGTGGCCAGAACATGACTCCTCCGTAAGTCACACATACCTCTCTTCAATGGTATACCGGATCTAACATCCTACCTTCCTCCTTCAGCACCCTGGCCACCTTCCAATCCTACTTCCAGCCCCTGATCAACGTCGTTCGCAACCCTGCCGCTATCAAGAACCTTAGCATGCCCTCTCCCCAGGGCTTCCTGGCCCGCGTTCGCAACGCCAACGCCAAGGAGATTGCTCTCGTCGGTGTCACCGCCGCCGAGGTCATTGGCTTCTTCACCGTCGGTGAGATGATTGGCCGCATGAACATTGTCGGATACCGGGGCGAGGCTGCTCACCACTAAACTTGGAAAATGCTCGTCCTTTCTTTTTTTTTAAACACCACCCCCCGTTTTTCCTATGTGCCCTACCATTATTTCCGCCCCGTGTTGTGCTCTGTATGATAGACGATGGAATATAAACTGTTGTCTGAGATAGAATCATTTTTTCTTTGCAATTCATTTGAGCCTGGTCTTCTGGGTATTGTGACAAGAATTTATCGATGTGGTAGTAGGCATGTAGATAAATGAGTCGTGTGACAGCATATAGCCTGATGCCCACCGTTATCGTAAAAGTAGGCGTTGCGAAATCTTTTTTAATTTACACTACAGAGTCCTCATTATCGAGCCTAGACTATATAAGACTTTCGTTAACATCTTTCGAATATCTCTGGCCTGGGTCCATCTGGTGATCTGATGAAGCCACCAAACAACGTTGATTGGTCCGGGCGGGGAGTGCGGGTCACTTTTTTTTCTGCCAAAATATCAAAGTCTCCAAGCTCAAAAGTTCAAAAAGTCCAAGTTCGGCCTGCTTTGCCAGAAAATTTACCCATCCAACATGGATGCTTTCAGATTGTTGACTCGGTCAACAAAATTCAGCAAGTCGGCTGCTGCGCCGGCTGCAGAGTCGACTGCTCGTCTGCCATCGACGGGCAAGGCGGCGAATCCGCAGCTCTTCCGAACCGCTGCGGGCGAGAAGCTCGAGTCGGAGAAGAACAAGAAGAAGAGGAAGAGAGCTGCCGCCGCCGATGATGAAGATGGCGAGAATGATGCAGCAGAGCTGGACTTTTTCCAGTCCTCCAAGCGCTCTTCCACAGTCAAGGCGGAATCTTCTGCGACCACCAAGGGCGACCAGGACCAGACGTCTGAGCAAGATGATGGATCCGATGAAGAGGATGAAATGGATGAAGTTGAGCGTCGCACGATCTTGAACTCGCATAAGATCAAGGTGACCGATCTCCGGGACTTGGACGAGATCCAGCCCCAGCCTACACCTGCCACGGATTCCAAGAAGAAAAAGAAGAAGCAAAAGAAAGACGAGACACCCGTTCTCAGCAAGAAGGAGCAGAAGCGCGCTCGACGCGTGTATCCACAGCCTCTGACTTCGTTCAAGGAGTTGCGCTCGAGATACAAGATCTCGAGCCGGTTGGCAGAGAATGTCGCGGAACAGGGCTTTACGGTGCCTACGGAAGTGCAATTGGGGACGTTGCCTCTTCTTCTGGGGGATTCGTCCGTTTCATCAGAGTCTAATGAGGAGCCTGATTTGCTGGTCGTGGCCCCGACTGGTAGTGGAAAGACGCTTTCCTTCTTGATTCCCGTGATCAACAAGATCGTTCGACACCATCACTCTTCGCAGTCTGACGAGCATGGCATTTTGTCAATTATTGTGGCTCCGACTAAGGAGCTCGCAAGTCAGATTGTTAATGAGGGCCGGAAATTGGTGGCTGGTACCGGTGTTAAGATTACCCTGATGAAGAAGGGTATGCGTGTGGTGGAGCGTGATGACGAGAGTGAAGCAAATGTTCTTGATGAGGACAGTGAGGCATCTGAGTCCGACGAAGAGGAAGATGACGACAAGTCGAAGAAGACTTATAGCAATGTTCCGATCACCAAGAGCGATATCCTGGTTACTACGCCACTTCAGCTTGTGAATGCCCTTTCAGAGCATCAGAACAAGCCCATGGCTAAATTGCCCCTTGTGCGCAGCTTGGTCCTCGATGAAGCAGATGTGCTACTGGACCCGCTCTTCCGTGAGCAGACCCTGGACATCTGGCGCTCCTGCGTCCACCCCGACCTGCGCGTGAGCCTCTGGTCTGCCACTATGGGCTCTAACATTGACGATCTTACCCGGTCAACGATCAAAGAGAGACAAGCCGATATTGGACAGACGAGCACCACACAGCACCCGCTAGTTCGTCTCGTCGTCGGCCTCAAGGACTCTGCCATCCCCAATATCGATCACAAACTCGTCTACGCCGCTACCGAGCAAGGCAAGCTCCTCGGCCTGCGTCAACTTCTCCGTCCTGCGGCTGCCACAGCTTCAGACGTCCGTCTGCGCCCACCATTCCTCATCTTCACGCAAACCATCCCCCGTGCCATCGCCCTGCACTCTGAGCTTAAATACGACATCCCCGCCGAAGCAGGCGGTTCCTCTCGTATCGCCGTACTCCACTCTGATCTATCAGACACCCAGCGCTCCGAAATCATGCGAGACTTCCGCAAGGGCGAGATCTGGATCCTCGTGACAACCGACCTCCTCGCCCGTGGCGTGGACTTCCGCGGTATCAACGGCGTCGTAAACTACGACATCCCCAACTCGGCCGCCGTCTACGTGCACCGCGTTGGCCGAACCGGCCGTGCCGGTCGCGAGGGCGGTATCGCCGTGACATATTACACCAAGGAGGATATCCCCTACGTCAAGAGCATTGCCAACATTATCGACGTCAGCGAGAAGCTCCGGGGTACCGAGGGCGAGAAATCCATTCAAAAGTGGCTGCTGGATTCACTCCCCGATTTGAGCAAGCAGGATAAGAAGGAGCTCAAGAAACATGGTGTCAAGGCACGACAGGTTTCGAAGCAGGTTGGTAAGGGTAAAGAAGGTGATGGGAAGGGATTGCGGGGGATGAGGATTAGTACGAAGAGTGGGTTTGAGAGGAGGATGGAGAATAAGAGGAAGGGGGCTATTGAGGCTAGTCGGAGTCGGAAGGCGAATGAGTCTGGAAAAGCTGGGGAGGAGAGTGATAATGGAAGTTGGAATGGGTTGGAGGATTAGATGATGTTTTATGCGTTTTTGTACAGGACTATGGACTATGGGAGAGAATATACCAGGTGTAACTCGTTAACACGTTAACGCATTCAATCATGAAGTCATTTATACAGAGATGTTCACTTTCCCTCTGTCGTTTTTGGTTCTTCATTAGAACTCTGTCCTTGACTGGAACTCTGCCCTTGACTGGAACTCTGCCCTTGACTGGAACTCTGCCCTTGACTGGAACTCTGCCCTTGACTGGAACTCTGTCCTTGATTCTGCTGAGGCCCCGGTGGCTCTTCCTCAGCAGGCCTCCTCACCAACTTGACCGGCACAAACGCCTTATCCAATTTCCCCTGTTCCTCCAAAATAGCTTCACACTCATCCCCATCGCCATCGAAATAAAGCGCCCACTCTCCCTCCTCCTCTTCAACCGCCACAAACCCACTACTCTCCTCAAGGGTAATCACCCTCTCATCCTCCGTCCAATCCCACGGTCCGACAATATGCGCCACGCTCTGCGACCGATTCCCGTATTTCATCTCGTGCGTGTTGACGTCCGCGTAGATCCAGTTTAGTAAAGGTGGGTTCGCGGATACGTAGGTTGGTAGACCGAGGCCGCGGTCCAGGTGTTTGGTTTCTTCGAGTTCGGGGTATTCGATGTAGAATGCGAGGGCTGTGAAGGCTGGGATGGAACGATCTATGGGGTTTGGATGGTCGAGGTAGACCTGTGAGGAAATGGGTGTTAGCATGGCAGGTATTCTCGGGGAGAGGGAGTGTCTGTGGTAATCCGACCTTGTCATTTCGGACTACTAATCTTCGTCCGTTGACGTCGCGATCGTCGTCCGTGTCTCCGTCGCATTCCACGTCGATGTTGAATTTGGCCATGCGCCGCGCATCTTCCCTGCGCTGGTTTGCTTTGCGCTGTTCGCTGACTCCGAATGCCACGCCCGTCGTGGTCGGGATGGCTGTGAGGACTAAGAGACCGATGACCATGATGTGCAGCTCTGCAGATCAAGCTCGATGCAATTAACTGTGTCGAGTGACTGAGTAGCGCAAGATTGGAAATTTGTGTAGACTCGAGGGGTATAGATCGCAGTATTGTCTTCACTCATGTGGCGAAGTCAGGTTCCCCAGTGCCGGTGGTCTATGCATTTCAGCCTGGCGGTATAGTATATTTTCGCAGACTCTTAGGAGGTCCCATGAGTATTTCGAAGGAAGTATGAATTGTAGTGGAGAGAGATTGGACCAAATGTTGACTGAACGCCCAAGTTTCTCTTTGGCGCTGAACGCCGATCGACGTCATCGCCCCGCACGTGATATTGGTCGCGTGAACGTTCTTCCTTCGTTGCATCGCATTCTTCAACTCCCATTCCTCTTCTGGGATTGCTTTATGTCCCGGGATCGATCACTTTGAGAGAGAAAATGCTTCTATTGAATCTAACAACGACCTCTGATCTATCTCTAGGGTCATGCTGATCTATCGTGTATCGTCTATTCGTGATCTCATGTTGCAGTGACAGCAGCCGCTGGCCAAATCCAGGGCCACTGTCATACTTGCTCGCTCCATCCCCAGACGGACCACCAGCACTTCACAGCCAGTGCATCGCCATCCGAACTCTCCCAATCATCGTACCCGATCTCCTCGCCCTCTTCAACAACGGCGAGGCCCAGATCAGTCATGCGCTGTCGGAACTCTTGCACCTGAGGGAGATATGCATCGCGCAGCGGCATCTCTGCAACAACACGGGCGTCCAAACCCTTACTCAACCATGGCGCAATCGTGTCCACCAACCATTTGGGGTGGTTGGGTGAGTACAACGGATCGGCGGCGAGGATCACATCAAATCGCTCTTCTGCGGTGGGCAGCGGTGTGGGCATCACGGACCAATCTAGTACGCCGGTGGTCACGTTAGCCTCAGTCTTGTTGAGCAGCTCAGCGTTCAGAGCGGCATTGTGGGCCAAGTTTGGCACGATCTCTGGGAGATCGGTCAAGTGAACCGTGGCTGATTTGCCCTTTAACGCCGCAAAGGACAAGCCAACGAGGCCGGTTCCAGAACCCAGTTCAAGAGCTCGAAGTGGCTTCTTTTCCTGGGATGATGTGGTCGAGGGATCAGTCGAACCAGCGGGGACGAGTTCGGGCGGAGACTCGAGCAGTTTGTGCAGTCGGCGGGATAGGAGGTAGGATGACACCCAAGTTTTCATGCCCAGGTTGTCAGAGGTGAGAGATGGTTCGTGCAAAGTGAGCGTATAGTCGTCACCGGAAGACGTGGGAATGCTGAAGATGCGCGACATGGCCGGCATGGCTAATCGGAAGCAACGGGTGTCAGCATGACTACAATCCTGTAACAGATGGAAGATTCAATTCTTACCAGTACGACCAGACCGTTCACTCAGACGAGCTCCCGCAGCGTCCCACACAGCCTCACGCAATTCATCCGTCTCCAGCCATGACAGCGGGCTGGAGATGATCTGGGTGAGATACCTCGTCACCCCCGCCGGCTGGACCGAGGGGCCCTTGACAGCCTCCGCACTGGTACCGAAAGTGCGCGGCTGCAAAGCCAACAAGGCAAGTGCCTTGAGGAGATCGGTCCCCGAGGGCTTCCGGTAGATCTGGGGCAGATCGAGCACTGTGGCCGTTGCCGGTCTCTTATCAGTTCCACTATCTCGGACCGGGGAAGATAGGTGTAGATCGTAGACATACCGTGAATTGGCTCGTCAGTGGTGGTACCGATCATGGCGGGTGAGATACTGAGCCCGTAGGCTATAGAGACTCTGTTGAACAGGAAGGTCTACCTGACAGACCGAACAATCGGGCGACAGGCGGATTTATCTGCGGAGCCCAGTCCCTGAAGACTACCGCCACGCGGGAAAAAGAAAAATCCCAATCGGGTAAGGCTGGCTCCAGTTCCGCGGATCGTCTGTTGGCTTTGGTGCCTGGTGATTCAGGCCAAAAGAGTAAGAGGTTAGGCTATTGCCAACCACTTAAGACATTATGATTTCACGTATGAGATAGGTCTCATGTTTAGGCCAGTTCGTAGAAATGCACACTTGGCCAGCGAGGATCCCCCTGCTGAAAACAAAGATCCTTCGAAGCGATAAACTAGAGTGGTATCTATCATCAATCACATAATCATAACTCAACTTAACGCCATTCCAATGTATGTAACAGGCTTAGTTCAATGTTGCCTTGAACCCTTGATAAGCCTGCTCAATATCAAATGCAAGTTCCCTCGTCTGGTCCTCACTGAGCTCTTCTGTCGCCCGCATCTGATTCAGCGCTATCAACCATTGAATGATCTTGCCACGGTTCTCAAATTCGCCGTCCGTCACTTTGTTGACAGACTGAATGACTTCCGATAGCAGTGGATGCAACGCATCCTTCGAGACCATATTCAACTTCAATGCGTCGAGGAAGGTGATAAAGTTCTCCGTCGCTGCCAGGATGAGACTGCCCGATGCACCACCCACACCACCTCCGGCTCCCGTGCTAGTTGTTTGCGGCGCACCATGTGAGGCTTGTTCGACGGTCGCTGGAAGACCAATGCGGAGTCGTTCGGTTGCGCGAGGACACTCCAACTGAGCTGGATGTTAGCAACGGGGCGCCAGCAATACCTGGGTAACTGCTATAGACTCACGCCCCAGGTTCTCTTGAATGTTTCCAAATCAACGAATTCTCGCGACACGGATTCGTCGCCTAGACTGGACTTGTATTGCTTCAATAGTCTGGTGCAGGTCTCAGTGTACTCCGCCTCCGTGACCACATCCTTGATGTAGGCCTTTTCGAGTCCATCGAGGGTGATTATGATGCTGTATATTTCGGCAAGTGATTCGTAGAGATCTCGTTCGCCCGAGCTGGACACCAGTTTCACTTCCTAGAGTTGTGTTAGCATTAAACCCCCACGTTTCATGCCACCGAGCATACCTCATCGAGATTAATCGAGGCCGATCGGGCCGGATTTGGTGTGTAGCTGTAGGGAGTTGGAGCATATGATAACGGCCGCTGTGAGTACATCTTGATGCGATGTGCAAAAATGAAACAAAATCAGATTATCCCTCGTCAATCGTCAGAAGTCATCAGTTGTTCCTCCCTCCTGGCCGAGGCGGAGCTTGTCCTTATCGGCAGCTCCCCCCAAGGCGGTCACAAAGGCGGACCCGCCGATAATTCCCCCAGCCAAATTTTTTTTCTTCGTCCGCCAAAGAGCTAAAGAAAGCGGTTCATCTACAGCCAAATCTTTCACAATGGCCGGCGCCAAGAAGTCGACCAAGAAGTTCGAGAAGAAGCATCTCAAAGATACTCTCGAGCGACGCAAGGCTTCGGCCAAGATCAAGCAACGCCACCACCTGAACGACAAACGCAAGGCTCAAAGTGCCAGCCGCCGCGATGCCGAAGATGTCGAGGAGCCTGACACCGAGGAGGTGAAGAAGAAGAATGCCTTTGCAGAGATGAACGTTGATGACTTTTTCTCTGGTGGCTTTGACATTGCCGATGCGACCGACGGCAAGAAGAAGGCTAGCAAGAAGGACGTTACTCCCAAGATCGGAAAGCGCAAGCGCTCCGCCAACCAGGAGCAGGAAGAGGAGGCCAGTGAAGACAGTGCTGCTAGTGATAACGATGACGACAATTCGAGCGATGCCGATGATTTCGATGCGCACAAGGATCAGCTCGAGGCATTGAAAGAAAAGGACCCCGAGTTCTACAAATACCTGAAGGAGAACGATGCAGAGCTACTCGATTTCGGCGCCCAAGGCGATCTTTCAGAGGTGGACGAGTTGAGTGAAGGAGAGGCTTCTGAGGAGGAGGGCCCCGCCAAAAAGAAGAAGAAGAAGGCCAAGAAGGATGAAGATGAAGAAGAGGAGGAAGTCATCGAGAATACTCTGACTATCCCCATGGTCAAGAAGTGGCAGACTTTGATGGAGGAGCAACATTCGATTCGGGCCATGCGCCAGACCGTTCTTGCATTCCGTGCTGCCGCCTCTGTCAACGATGCTGAGGCTCCGGAGCAAAAGTACACCATCTCCGACCCCAATGTCTACCACCAGGTCCTCGTCACGGCACTGAATGTCGTTCCTAAGGTTCTGGGCCACCACCTCCCAGTCAAGGAGACTGCCTCTGGCAAGATCCGGGTTTCTCTCGACTCGAAGAAGTTCAAGACTCTGACCCCTCTTATCAAATCCTACACTTCCTCCGTTCACCAGCTCCTGGTCAACCTGTCCGATGCATCCACTTTGAAGTTGACCCTGTCGGCCATGGAGCCCATGCTCCCCTACCTGCTCCAGTTCCGCAAGGTCCTGAAGACTCTGATCAAGACTGTGGTCGGTATCTGGGCTGACGTCTCTACCGCCGATGCTACTCGTATCACTGCATTCCTCTTACTCCGCCGTCTTATGGTTCTGGGTGACCCCGGTATCAAGGAGACCGTGCTCAAGGCTACTTACGAGGGTGTGGTCAAGGGCAGCCGTAACACCACCGTGCACACCCTGGCTGGTGTGAACTTGATGAAGAACTCTGCTGCTGAGATCTGGGGTATCGACCAGAACGTTGCCTACACGACAGGCTTCAGCTTCATCCGGCAATTGGCCATGCATCTGCGCAGCAGCATCACCAACACCTCGAAGGAGTCATACAAGACCATCTACAACTGGCAATACGTGCACTCTCTTGACTTCTGGTCTCGCGTTCTCTCCCAGCACTGCGACGGCCTTGTTGAGGCTCAAGCTGGCAAGCAGTCTGCCCTGCGCCCGCTCATCTACCCCGTCGTCCAGATCACCCTCGGTGCTATGCGTCTCATCCCCACGGCACAGTACTTCCCTCTCCGCTTCCAGTTGACCCGTGCTCTGCTGCGTGTCTCCCGTGCCACCGGCACCTACATTCCGCTCGCCTCCTCGCTCATCGAGGTTCTTACCTCTGCCGAGATGCGCAAGCCCCCCAAGTCCAGCACCCTCAAGCCCCTCGAGTTCCACACTGCTATCCGCGCCCCCAAATCCTACCTGCGCTCGCGCATCTACCAGGACGGTGTCGGTGAGCAAGTCGCCGAGCTTCTGTCCGAATTCTTCGTCCTGTGGTGCAAGCACATCGCTTTCCCCGAGCTGTCCGTTCCCGTTGTCGTTGCCCTCAAGCGCTGGCTGAAGCAGGTCTCCGCCCGCACCGGCGGCAACAAGAACGCCAAGATCAACCAGATGATCCTGCTCCTTGTGCAAAAGGTCGAGGCGAATGCCCGCTGGATCGAGGAGCGCCGTCTCAACGTGTCTTATACCCCGCGCCAACGGACTGAGGTTGACAACTTCCTCAAGGATGTGGACTGGGAGTCTACGCCGCTGGGTGCTTTCGTCAAGACGCAGCGCAAGTTGCGTGAGGAGCGTGCTGCCATCGTTGAAGAGGGCCGTCGTGAGGAAGAGAAGCGTCGTGCTGAAGATAAGAAGCGTGATGAGGATGAGTTGATGGAGGATTTCGGCAGTGATGATGATAGTGATGAGGGTGAGGATGAGGAGGAGATGGAGAGCGAGGAGGAGATTGAGGAAGAAGAGGAGGATGAGGATGAGGATGAGCTGGAGATGGAAGACGAGTAGAGTCTTCTCTCCCTGCGTCTACTGCTATGTTTTGTATATTTCCATTTATAAAAGAATCTCGGCGTTTATTTGGCTTTCATAATGCATGAATTGAATATCCTTCAACCAAAACGTTTCATATCATAGAGCCATAGCCGTAAAGGTATAACCATGGAGCAACTATCTCAACAACCCTCACATAATAAACAAAAGCATATCCCAATCGAGAACAACAAAGGGTATCTATCACCAGCGAATTCCAATCACACGCTAAGTCATAACCACATAATGATTAAAAGAATCAAACCGAACCAATCGGCACCCGATCCAACCCCCAATTCCTCGTCCTCTCCCTCCTCAACGCAGCATCCTCCTCCTCCGCCCACGCCAAAGACTCACTGGGCAACATAATCGCCTTGTCAATAGCAACAGGCAAACCCCGATGTCTTCCCCTCAACGCCACAGCCGCAAGAATCAATTTACTAATCGTATGCCAAGCGCCACAAAACGAATAATTCTTGCCCGGATACCCCAAACTAACACCCACACAGCCGTACGCAGAGACAACCTCGAAAATAATGTTGAAGGTGCTAAACGCCACGGGTTGGTTGTTGTAGTGGTCTGATTCGGCGATCGCGATGAAGAGGACTGCTAGCGCGATCCACCAGATGTCGTGGCTGAGTTGGGAGCGGACTTGTTGGTGGACGAAGTAGCTGCGTGAGGATTCGGAGAGGTTGGGGCGGCCCATGTGGTGGCGGACTAGGTCCATGAGGACGCTGCTGCGGCTCGTATTGGCGCGGGTTTCGGGGGTTTCGTCGTCGGCGTAGATTCCGAGGGAGCGTTCTTCGTAGACGTTTGTGTTGCTGTGGGTTTGTTAGATTAGTGTTGATGGAGGGATGTGAGATGGACTTACCGGATTGTCACCAACACGGGGAATGCGGAGACGTACTGACTAAATGTTAGTATTGGTTGTATTGGTCTGTCTGGGCTTGAAGCTTACCATCATGAGGACTAGAAAATGTTTTGTTAGTACATTCTGTATTGAGATGGTAAAGTAGTGATAGATAAGACTTACCATAAAGGACAAGTAGTCCTTGTCTCAAATCAGCAATGGTCACCACATAGAACCCACCAGCGCGAACGGCTATATACAGAGTCAGCCAGGCTCAATCCCATGTCTCATCAATGATACTCACCCAACGCCTGGAACAATCCATCCAGAACTCGATACTCGGTAGGCAATGCCTCGATCTCCTTGTTTCCAATAGACAAGAGCTCAAACGCCGCCCAATCAATACCATTGAGAATAATAATGGTAGCAAGAAGATACCACGTGTGACGAGCAGGGAAAAGATTGGTATAGACCCTCCTTGGATGATCCAATATAAAATCAAGAGTCACCCTCCACGACTTCCAAGATGGCGTGTTGGGCAACATCATGCGCATCGTCCAAACGATGAAGCGTAGGAAGCATGGATAAAGAGTATTACCAGCGAGAATGAGCATGCCCAGGGTGAGAAGGGGATACGCACTAGTGATCTAGTCAGCATAAGATATAGTGAAACAGAATCCGAGAATCATACTTTAATTGCAAAGCAGTCATGTTCGCATCCAAAAGCGACATGCCACTGTTGACAAATGCAGAGACTGCAAAGAACGCGCCGGTCCAAAACGGCGACAGTCCATTGACTTCGGATACTTCGGGGTGATTCGCTGCAAGCCAGGAACCCATACCGACAATACCGAGAACCAAAAACATCAAAAAGTAGAGCGAGACAATAATCCACAAAAACGAGACTGCCTTGTATTCGACACCACCGAGTTTCTCGCGCTCGGCAGATGTCAAACCGTAGAATTGCGAGTTGCGCGAGATAGTGCCCTTGGAGGAGAAGTATTTCTGCGTGCCGCGGATTATTCCCTTGAACCCAGACACCGAGGTGTCGTCAGTGTACAAGGGCAGGGGGGCAGCAACGTCGCGGGGGTGATTGTTCAGATCAGGTCGGGCGCCCACTCCGGCCATAGGAAAGACTCGACGGTGGTGATGGTGATGCCGGGCTTGGACATCGCCAACGGTGATTTGATCATCGTCCACCCATTGGATTTGATCGTCACGGAATGTGGATGATTCGTCTTGCACCTCTAGATTGCCCTTTGACTGAACTTGGCTATCCCCTTCGCTGAGAGGAGCATCCGGTTCCACTGTCGAGTTTTGCAATTCCAGAGCTGACGCACGGCGAGATGCCTCACGCTCTTCCGAGACGTGTTTCAGCTTTTCCTCAAAGGCCTGCTTCCGGACCATGAGGACGGTGCTCGAGATGAGAATAGCCGATCCAAGGATCAGGAGAATAAACAGGATAGCCTGTTGGAAGGTGTTCAGGGTTGACAAGTCCACCTGCAGTAGGAGATTAGTTTCTTAATCGGAAAAACCAGTAGAGTAAAATCATACCGTGTTCAAACCCGCTCCAGTCATCGCACTAACACATAAGAAGATGGCATCCACATAAGCCACACTCTTCCACGGGGTAGAGGTCAGATAGAAAATGATACTGGCCACCATACACGTCGCGATGAAATAGAGATAGTGCAGCGTAAGGAAATTACACGGCGGGAGCACTGCCATGATGGCTCGGCCCATAGATGTTCGCCATTTGCGAGCTGCACACGACCGTTAATATCATCGTAAGCAAGCGAAAAGGATAATCGACGGAGAAATAGGTGAATCAGGGGAAGAGAAGATGATTGGATGTAAGAGACCCGATGAATCGGGAAGAAAAGGGAGACATACGCATCAGTATCGCGTGGAGTTTCATGTTGACCGAATGGTATGCAAATGGCAGTACCAAAAGGAGATCCAATAATACGAGTACCCAGCGATGCGTGCCCTCGTGGGAGTCGGAGTCGGTGTGTAATGCAGGTCTCTGCGTTGCACCGCAGCGGCTATCACTTCAAGTAACAGCCCTGTAGCTTGAAGAAGCTCTAGTACGAAGCTAAGGAAAGCTCCTTCCGCCGGCTAATTGTCGGACCAGAATCCAAGTAAAAGGGGAATAGGCGCCCAACCACTACGGGCCGCGGGTGTGTTGAATCGGGATAGCGAGGCAACGAGGGATCATGGCTTCAAAGTTTGTGTAGGAGAAAGAGAGAGGGGAATTGACAGACCGCAAAATCCCAAGTCTACAAGACGGGAGATGCACGGATCAAGCGCCAGGGCTGTGCGCGTTGTGGGTTTTGGGCTTGGAAGGGTTTTTTTTTTCTGGATCAACGGTGCCCCACTTGGATGATGTGGCGGACAGCGGGCCGAGGGAAGTACTAAAGAGGAGGTTGAAAGTAAAAATTCTCCGTGATAAAGAGAACAGGATATAGAGATTGAACGAGTCTGAAGTAATCGACTGGGAGGGAATATAGAGACAATCGAGAACCCGAGAGAAGTAAAAGACGGTGAGACGGAGAATTTCTGAATCCAAATTGGGTCTCCTGCTTTTCTCGGCATGACCTTGTGGGCCTAACGACGGACCATAAATAAGATTATAAGTCACCCACCAGCCCTATTAATTACTTATGTTCTGGGTGATACTATAGGACTACTGGCTAATGTGATTCTTTTCTCTGTTGCATTCCGCCCATCGAACCCTTAGGAATAATCACTAGGTTACGAATGACTATTCTAAGTCGATGAGCGCCTACTGAGAACGTTAGATGACCAGTTACCTACTAAGCAAGGGGATACGCTAGGGCAGTCTGGTCAGAAGAGACAGGTCGAGGCACAAGATAGATAGGCAAATCGAAGAGGACCAAGTAGAGACACTAAACACCCCGAACAAGGCTGACAGGAAGCTATACAATACCTACTCAAGGGCGAGCGCTGCGAGCCCGGCAGCGAACACTGGGTGGGCCAATCAGATATAGAGATAGTGGCCGTCAAAAGATGTAGTTAACTAATTGAATTGAATGTGAAGAAGCGACTGCTAGAATAAGTATGTAAAGTATATTTAACTCGAACAGAAAAAAAAGAATATATGTCTAATCTTCCATCCCTCTTATCTCTATGAGGCCGTTCACGGTAACTCTCCGAATCAATAAAGTAAACCAGCCAAATAGCGCAAATAGACCAAACAGAAAAGTAATGTAGCAGACCAATCCAAAGAAATAAATAAGACCAAGGCGCCAAGTAAGGATTGGCAAATTGCCCAATCAGGTAACCAAAATCCGTCAGCAGTTCTCCTACTACACTACCCTTTAGACAACTTAAAGGAAACATGCCATATATGCCCCTAAGGCCATAGCTACATCATCGCCTCTATATATGAGTCAATCCCGAGCTACTTAAAATGTAAGAAACTGATAGGGTGAGGCACGAAGAGGAGAGGTAATTAGACAAGAGCTAGGAGTCATATACATGGCGAACAGGAAGATAGCATACAACACCCACTAAAGGCAAGTGTTATGAGCGCGGAGACTAATACTAAGTAGGCTAGTCAGATAAAATAAAAATGACCGGTCAAAGATACAAGAAATAGATTGAATTAATCATAATGAAAGTCTGGCAAAATACGTTAATGAATCGTAGATAAACCGAAAAGAATGTGTGTGTCTGTTCAATCGCCTTCTCCTCGCATAAGGCCTTTCGCCATGGCCGTCTAAACCAACAGATTAATCGGACTAAGCAGCGCAAAAAAGCTAAATAAGAATACGGGAACAGACGCACCTAATGAATTCAACACCCTAGCTAATTACCCAATCCGGTAATCGACTAAAAATCCGTCAGCAGTTTCTCATTACACTGAGTTCGTTTCTCAATAGAAGTAGATTTCCTTAGTTAATTCAGACAGTCAAATACTACTACCTCATATTAAACCTCTAAAGAAGGCCAAAGTCATCTTCCACAAACTAAGAGCCTAACGATCCTTAGATTCCCTCTTGTTGCTACCTACTTCTCTATATCATGGCCTATGACGCTGCCACCATTGACCTCTAACCACACAAGAACGATCGTCGCATCCCCAGCTCTCAAGAGCTAAATGAAAAAATTAGCCACCACGCTACGACTACTACTAGCCCTAGTCAGGTCCGAAACGACCGGTACTGCCCAACGCCTTCACCACTAGCGGCGCCTAGGGACTGACCAGGTTTCTCCCGAATTTGACGAGGATACTAAGTAGGCAGCGCTCAAGTAGGCCATATGCAATATCCTTAGATTAATATTCCTGGGCTTTGCTGGGCTCGCTAGAGACATCCCTTCCACTGCCGAAGAAGAGGTTGGATGACAATAAATCATACTGTCCGGAAAGTTAGAGGTTAAAAATGATCGAGATCAGCATCAAACGCCCGGGTGGTCTAGTGGTATGATTCGCGCTTAGGGTTCACCCAAAGCATTGACTGCGCGAGGTCCCCGGTTCGATCCCGGGCTCGGGCCTGATTCTTTTTTTTTCGTTTTCATTCTAAATTCCTTCCTAACTTAAATATCTTCCAAGTCAAAATCTAATAAGTATCCATTGAAATACTCATGATGTTTGATTAGCCTGAGTCCTCCTCTGATTTCGTCTATATCTTCCTTGACCTCTCTGATTTAGTTAGACTATTACTAACCTATCCCCTCGTTTAACTACTCCCTAAATTTGTTAGTATACCCAGGTTAGTGGGAACCCAAAAAGTTCTGCCAGATTTTGGGTCCCTAAATCATATAATATTCTTTAATAAACTTATTAAGACATAAAATATTTGGGGTCCCGTTGAGCGTTTTTTGGGTCCCGCTGAGCTAGAACCCGAGTATATATATTAAACGCGGGGATAACTATGTAGTGGTGGTTTAGTCAGAATAGATAGGTCGAGGCATAAAAGAGAGAGTCGGCGCGGTATGGGAAAGTATATAAAACACTACCAAGAAGGCCGGTAAGAAGCTATAGAACACTAACCCACGGGTAAGCGCTATGAGCCCCAATGAATACTGAATGGGCTGATTGGATACGAAGAAAGTAACCGGTAAAAGATTTAATAAATAAACTGAATTGATTATGATGAGAGACTGTCAAAGTATATTGTATAGTGGGGCCAACTACTGACGGGTTTTGATGCGTTGCCTGGTTGGCTAAATTGCTGTCTCTTGCTTGGTACTTTGGTCTTGTTGAGTTCTTTGGTTTGGTTTGTTATATTATCATTCTTGTGTACCCCGTTTGTATTATTTGGTTGGTTTGTTTACTTGATTGGTGAGCTACGGCGAAAGACTTTATGAGATAAGAGGAGACACACACTCTCTTTTGACTATTGATTACACACACGTTTTGCATGTTCTTTTATTGGTCGTATTCGTAATATCTGATTAGCCTATTCGGTAGTCATCGCAGGGCTCACCAAACTCGCCCTTCGAAAGGTATCATATAGCTTCCCGATAGTCCCTTCTAGTGGTCCTTGGTGCATTTTTTTTCTCTCCGAGTTGCCCATCCTCTTCGTGCCTCGACCTGTCTGTTTCGACTATACTGCTATAGCGCATTCCCCTATTTAATGTGTAAATCATAAATAAACCCGAAAAGAATATGTTTATGTGTGTATGTGAGATCTCCCTTCTCCTCCTATCCTAACTTGGAGGATTCTCCGCCTTAGTTACCAGCGTAATGGCCTATACTCTAGGGGATTGCTGAGACCCCATTAAATATCCTGCGCTTTCCATCCATTACTAAACATGTCGTATAAGCCCTCTTTGCTCCTTTTCCTGGTTCTCGCCAGGGATGACATTTCTGGAGGGGTTTTGCTTTGCTGGGTAATGTATGTCAAATACGTTATGTAATACAGAAAGCTTAAGGATAAAAGACATATTATGTTGGGGGCTTTGTGATATCCTCGCGAACTAATTAATGTTATCACCATTGTTGATTATTAGAAAAAGAGATTGAAACGTATCCGAAGCGTTCCCTTTAGCAAGTTCCTCTTATAACTATTCCCATTCGTCTATTTAGAATTCTGCCATCTTCCACCTAGCCCTTGGCCCTTTACCATTGAACTACGTACTACCCCTTTGGTTTTAGCTATGCCTCGTCTTTATGTCATCTCTATAGAGCGTTTTACCATGACTCTCTAAATCAATAAATCAATTTAACTAACTATGTGGTTTAGATGGATAAACAGAAAAGCAGTAAAGAAGACTAATCTAAGGAAATTAACAATATTGAAGCAAGGACCAGCGCACCACCTAGTCAGGCAAAGTATCAAACCCCTGTAGTAGTTACCTAACTATATAATGTAACGTAATTCCTAGCCGACCTGCGCAGCCCGGTCTAGCTGCGCACCCTAGAATATGTAGTAAATGCGACAAACCACCAGTTTTTATCTTAATAACTGTTTGTTATTTTTGCTTGAACATGGGAATATGGGCCATTTAGAGCATATGAAATACTATATGTTATCTCAAGGTAATTTAACTAATTATTTCGATATTTTACCACAGTGATATTATAATAATGGACGTAATATATATCACTCTACGACCACTCCAACCAATGTCCCTATACTTCCCTAGAAGGTTAGAAATACAATCTAGATTATGTGTTTTTGATATTTTATCGTAAATATATATGGTTGTTGAGATATGAATTCGTAATTTATCGCATTTACTATGTGTTTTGGGGTACGCAGCTCGACTGGGGACGTAGGTTGGCTAGGAATTACGTTATACGATCGAGATATGTGGTAGGTTTGTGTCCAAACGCTTATATAGGTAAAATCTGTGACCACCTCACATCAAACGCCCGGGTGGTCTAGTGGTATGATTCGCGCTTAGGGTTCACCCAAAGCATTAACTGCGCGAGGTCCCCGGTTCGATCCCGGGCTCGGGCCTATCTTTTTTTCTTATCTTCCTTTTTTTCCCCTTATGCCTTCATTCCTCCTAAATTCCTAACTTAAAATAATTTGAATTAATGTGGGAACTACTCTGTATATAGATCAGAATCATCATAATATTTCCGCCAACTTAGAAACGCTTTTGTCGCATATAATAACTTGGGCATTGTCATTCCGTCTGGTATTAATCTCGGGGTGCTCTTCTTGGCCTGGAGCCTAAGGTTATACCTATTGATCATGGGACTACAGAGAATTTTGAATCGTCTCAAAACCATACATACAAAGCTATTTGCTTAAACTCTGACTCACAGAATATGCCACTGAAAGCAGTCATAAAACAGTCATATAGCACAACATTGCACAATCAAACTTCTACCAGAGGCGGCATCTGCCAAGCGCGGAATGCGACGCGGCGGCCTGAGGCCCAAGACTAAACCCCATTGGGACCCCGACCCCAGGATACTCGACAACTCAACAGTCGCGAGTTTGCATCAAGTGTGAATAATTGTGGACTATCCTCGTTTTCCATCGCTTGGCAATGACTCTTATGAAAGGATCTTCATTCCACTGACCGATCGCTGGTGGCGTGAATTTGGAATGAGGACCGAGGTTATCCGCGCCACGATTTTATATGAATCTGTTTCCGCCACAATCACCACCTGGCAGACAGATCGCCATTAATAGCCGAGTCGGATACAAAGACTGACAATGACCTCGGCTCCAACTATTCTTGCAACGTGCAAGCAGACGCGGTTCCATCTGTTAGATGAGAATCCGTCGACTGAGGTGTGTGAGACGCTTTCACCGAATACCGAGAGTCAACTCTGATACGTGGATATCCCTTTGAAGATTGATGTAGAGGGTCTCAGCATTACAATCACCTCCGCCGGTGCAGATCCTACAGATGAAGCTTCAAAATCAAAAGTCAAAGGGAAATCCAAGGCCAAAGCTTCTGGGAAAGAGCTAATTTCCGACGCCCACCTCCGTCTAAAGGGTGGCGTTCACTATGGCCTACTCGGTCGCAATGGAACGGGAAAGTCCAGTAAGAACCGTCACCCAACTAATATTGATACATGTATTAACTCTCAATGCCAGCACTCCTACGAGCAATGGCCGATAAACTGATTCCTGGAATTCCGCATGTCACCCGGATTGCAATTCTCCAGCAAACCGGCGTGGATGACGAATCTGGTGGATACGGGAGGTTAAGACTAGACAAGACAGTCTTGGATGCAGTTCTCAGCAGTGATGAGACGAGGAACGAAGCTGTGTTTACAGCAGAATGTGGGAATCTGGTTTCCATTGCATTGAAATTCTGGTGGCTAATACGAAGCTAGTCCTGTCTAAAAGTTTTGACAAGGAGGATCCCCTTGAACCAGTCAAGGCGATTCGCAAGATTCAATATCGGCAAGCGGAGAAGAACCTCTTCCTTGCTCATAAGAATGCAAATCTCAAAAGCGGCGCGAGAGGGTTTCAGGCCAGAAAGGATCTTAAGACGGCCGAGGCGAATATGGAGTCCGCGACTGAACGGTAAGGAGTTGTGAAGAATCCATGAGATTCACGTTATGCTAGCAGCAAAGGCTAATGTTTGTACTAGACTCGCCCAAGACCCCGAGTCCATCGATGCAGAGGCCGTTCAAGTGGATACGCAAGCTGCTGTAGAGACACTGCAGACTCTGCAGTCCCAGCTCGAGGATGTAAGTATTTCCTCAATAAATTCAACATCAACTTCCTAATCTTACTCGAAACTAGATGAACCTGGCAGATATGGAGAAAGAAGCTCGTCGCATTCTCCTAGGCCTCGGCTTCAAAGAAGAAAACCTCGAGAAAAAGGGTTCTACCCTATCGGGAGGCTGGCGAATGCGATGTATGCTCGCAAGCGTCCTAGTCCAATCCCCAGACATCATGATCCTCGACGAGCCGACCAATTTCTTGGACCTCCTAGGAGTAGTCTGGCTTGAGAATTATCTCCAGCAATTACGCGAGACGTCCGAAACGACAATCCTTCTAGTCTCGCACGATCGCGATTTCATTAATGCTGTCTGTGAAGAAATTGTGATTCTACGAGATCAGAAGCTCACCTATTTCCGAGGCAACCTCGCCGCCTACGAGCAAGATTTTGAAGAGCAGAAGTTGTACCGAGGACGCATGAAGGAAGCGCAAGAACGACAGATCGCACACATGGAAGCGAGTATCCGGGAGAACTTGAAGATCGGCAAAAAGACCGGCGACGATAATAAGTTGCGGCAGGCTAAATCCCGCCAGAAGAAAGTGGATGACCGGATGGGTCTACAGGTCAATGCTAATGGCAATCGCTTCAAGCTCAACCGTGATCTGGTCGGGTACCATTTGACCAGCCGTGCAGAGATCGAGGTGCCACAGGATGAAAGGGGTGCGTCGATGGCCCTACCAGATGTGACCGAGCTGCGATTCCCCGGGCCATTAGTGTCGCTTGAAGGAATCCATTTTCGATATCAAAAGAATGATCGGGTCATTCTGGATGATGTGAATCTTGTGGTGCATATCGGTGATCGCGTGGGTATCATGGGCCTTAATGGATCTGGCAAGACCACTTTGATCCGCATTCTGAACGGCCAACTCCCACCGTCAAAGGGCAAGGTCTCGACTCATCCACGACTGAAGGTGGGCTACTATGGCCAGCATTCCGTGGAAGAGTTGCAGGAGCGTGGTCGGAGTGAGCCCGATTTGACTGCGCTGGGATTGTTGGCGGCTGAAACCGAAGGCCATCTTAACGAAGGTGCCATTCGTGGTCTGCTCTCGTCCATGGGCTTGGCCGGTCGCATTGCTTCGGATGTACCCGTGGCCAAATTATCTGGTGGACAACTAGTTCGGCTTGCGTTGGCACGAATTGTGTGGGCTTCCCCCCAATTGCTGATTCTGGATGAAATCACGACTCATTTGGATTTCCACACGGTGACTGCACTGGCCACCGCACTTTCCTCATTCAATGGAGCCATCATTCTCGTCTCGCACGACCGTTTCCTCGTTCGATCCGTGATTGAAGGCAAGCGAGATACGGAGCACAAGCTTGATGAAGACTTTGAGGGTGTTGAAGAGGAAGAGTCCACCGAGTCTACTCCACGACGCCGGTCGGTGTATGTGCTCAAGACGGGCAAGTTGAATGAGCAGTCGAGTGGAGTGGAGCAGTTTGAGAAGAGCCTGGTGAAGCGAGTACAGAAGCTACTCAAGTAACGAAAAAGAGTCCATAGTTATAGCATGAAATAATGGTTATGAATCATCACCCGTATAAATAGTTATTAGCACAGCCAATCGTTCTCACCGTGGATGAGTGACCAACCCTCGCTGATTTGGTGCCAAACTCCATCTTGCTAAACGGTTATAAACCGACTAGTTAACAGGTTTAACCTATTAGTAACATGTTAAGTAACATGTTAACACATTAACTGGTTCAAAGAGAACTTCCGCGGAGAGCCCCGACCGGGAGAAGCGATTACTCAAGCGAGTCACCGCCCGAGGAATGTCCAAGCGGGGTTATCTCCGCGATAAGCTCCATGGACCAACTCCTTACAGTAATACTACTCCTTCGAGCCCCTCACTTCCTCGTACTGGAACTTTATATTTAATATTGGCTCCCCCCATGGTCCCCCAAGTTCCTGCAAACTAACACATGGCGGCTATGCTATGCAAACGGGTCCTATCCATCCCCAGGACCGGGATCCCCGCGTCTTGGGTGTCGGTCGCGGTACAGACTCGATTGCAGAGCACGACAGCTTCCTCCTCCTCGACACGAGCAGACCCCGCCCTATCCGAGATTCCTCCGCCTCACCCGCACCATGCTTCCTCCGAGGCCTCCACCAGAGTCACAGCACTCAAGTCTGCAAAACCATTCTCCGAATTCCTAACCGACACCTTCCATCGGCAACATGATTACCTCCGAATTAGCGTCACGGAACGGTGCAACCTGCGGTGTCTATACTGTATGCCAGAAGAAGGGATCGAGCTGTCGCCACCCGCCCGGCTGCTCACTTCCCCGGAGATTGTCTACCTATCATCACTCTTCGTCTCACAAGGTGTGACAAAGATCCGCCTAACGGGCGGAGAGCCCACAGTGCGCAAGGACATCGTGGCCTTGATGCAGGACATCGGCAAGCTACGACGGGATGGCCTGCGCGAGCTATGCCTGACCACGAACGGTATCTCGCTGCACCGCAAGCTCGACCCCATGGTGGAAGCCGGGTTGACCGGCGTCAACCTCAGCCTAGACACCTTGGATCCATTCCAGTTCCAAATTATGACGCGGCGCAAGGGCTTCGATGCAGTGATGAAGAGTATCGACCGGATTCTGGAAATGAACAAGGCCGGCGCAGGCATCAAATTGAAGATCAACTGCGTGGTGATGCGCGGTATGAATGACCGTGAGGTTGTTCCCTTTGTCGAACTGGGCCGCGAGAAACCCATCGAGGTGCGATTTATCGAGTACATGCCATTCGACGGGAACAAGTGGAATAAAGGCAAGATGTTCTCCTACCAGGAGATGCTAGCCGTGATTCGGGAAAAGTATCCCACTTTGGAAAAGGTGCAAGACCACAAGAACGATACCAGCAAAACATATCAAGTGCCTGGATTCGAGGGCCGGGTGGGATTCATCACGAGTATGACACATAATTTCTGCGGTACTTGCAACCGCTTGCGGATTACCAGCGATGGCAACCTTAAAGTCTGTCTGTTTGGAAATGCAGAGGTCTCTCTACGAGATATCATCCGGAAAGAGAATGATGGACAGCCCATTGATGAAGCCGCCGCGAAACAACTCCAGCTTATGGAGACCGTCCAGGCCGCTGCTCTTCTAAGCGATGAGGGCGGCCTGGTCAACGAACGAGAACGCCAGATTCTCGACATCATCGGCATGGCCGTGAAACGCAAGAAGGCCAAGCATGCTGGAATGGGCCAGTTGGAGAATATGAAGAACCGGCCCATGATTCTTATCGGTGGGTAGGCCTGTTCTTTTCTTCTTCTCTTCTTCTTCTCTTCTTCTCTTCTTCTCTTCCTTTCTTATTCATCTTGTCCACACTCATGATTGGAATGATTTCACGACCTTTTGTATATGTCCATGGGAAATTGGGATTGGATACCTTTTGTCGTCACGGATATTGCATTTACCATTCGGGTGCCATGTGCCATGTATTTAACAAATTCATGTTTTGATCTCGGGCTTGCCTTATCTTTTTTAGTTTCTGTGCTGATAGGCGAATAGATAGTAAGCCAGCGCTACCAGGACTAGGATTCTCGAGTAGACCCCGGACAACCTTGTCTTCTCTTCCCTGGTCCAAGATTCCTCCACATATACTTCCTTCGTCGCACGGCTCCTTGCAAGCCCGTCTCTACCACACAAAAGGGTCTACCCTGGATCATCAACCCTCTTCACAACCCACCAAAACAAACAACAACGAGGAATCCTCCAAATCCCACGCTCTCCCAACGGCATCCGACCCGGACCTGCCACACCTCACCCCCTCCCAAACAGTCCACATGACGCAAATCACCTCCAAACCCGAAACCAAACGCATCGCCACGGCGGCCTGCACCGTGCACTTCTCCAACGCCCGCCCCTGGGCCCTCCTCCGTAAAGGCCAAGGCACCCACAAAGGCGACGTGTTCAGCGTAGCCCGCATCGCGGGCATCATGGCTGCCAAGAAGACGCCCGACCTTGTTCCACTTTGTCACCCGGGCATTGGGATTACGGGGGTGGAAGTCAGCGTGGAGCTTGAGGGGCCTGTTGGGGAGAGTGTGGAGGGGGATCATGGATGTATGAAGGTTTTGGCGACGGTTAGTTGTTTTGGGAGGACTGGGGTGGAGATGGAGGCTATGACTGCTGCTATGGGGGCTGGGTTGACGGTGTATGATATGTTGAAGGCTGTAGATAAGGGGATGGTTATTGGGGAGGTGAGGTTGTTGGAGAAGGTTGGGGGGAAGAGTGGGCACTGGAGGAGGGAGGAATAAAGAAAGATGATTCTATACTATTGTATCATTTAAAAAAAGAGCTGTTCTAGTTCCAGTTAGGCGTGACGTTGAGAGTTGCAAGTATAGATCCTACTTCTCTGATGGAAGGATCGAATACTATCTAATATCTTTATGCCTTAATACTTCAGTCCAGCCCTACGCAGCGCCAAGACTTTGGATCACGAGCATTTGAGAATATCCATCAGCCATTTAACTTGTTTAGCTTACTTCCCACGGAACTAACTACCCCCACGATTCGTAAAATATTAACCATGGCAAGAGCTAGTGGGAGTTCTTGCCAACCTTATCATTGATCGATTGCAGTCGGTCATACTCCAGCTGGATACCACGAGGTCCATACTCGAAAGGTAGGTTCCGTTATCTATTATTTCGAGGATTTGATTAAGGGGCTAGTACACGAAATATGAGATTCAATTAATAAGACTTTTAGCTACTAATAAGCTAATAGAAACCCTATTCTTTAAGGTATCCTAGAAAACTCCGGTAGACCTAAGTAACCGGTGAAATACTCTAGCTTATTCCTTTTAAATACTGTGGCGCTTAGTCTTAATATAGTTAAACTAGAATATAATTAGCGTAATCTAGATAGTTCTCTTATTGGCTTAACACACTGCTATTTACTTTTCGCACTTTGCCTCCGTGATCCGCTGACTTGTGAAGTCCTCACTGGGCTTAGCCTCCGCTTCTCCACGCTTTTTATGTTTTAGCTTTTACGCCTCGAGGCTTCGTCCGGTCTAGTTCGTACGTTTACATTCAGTGCTTGTCTCTTTTCTATTATCTAGCTTTTTTTTTAACAAAACCTACTACATATAGCTTATTACTATGCCTTGTAAGCTTCACTCACCTGCGAGAGCACTCTCCGGGCACTCGCGAATATCCGTTATAGTTACGTAGCTTTATAGTTCTAATTCGTTATACACGCTACTACTCTTGAAATGACATTACATCCATGACAGACATATTGACTCATTTAAGGGAAGTACATAACATGTTTTAATTTTACCGAACTCAACAACAACTGACCATGAAGATGTAAGCATTAGGCGACATGCTCTACTTCGATCTTGTTGGGAGACTTGAGCGTGTAGGCATCGTTGGGTCGCGAATTCGCTTGCTCTGTAGGCCCGTCGAATACAACTGCAATTTCCTCCAGAGTACGACCTTTCGTCTCCGGAAACAGAAAGTAAATGATGACAAGGAATGCAGCAAGGCAGACGACATAAACGAAATAAAACCTCCAGGCAAGTGCGTCAAATGCTATCGGGTTCACGTATTGGTTAAAGAACCCAGCGCCAAACACCACTGTCAAGCAAAGCGAAAGTCCTTTAGCACGCAAGTGAAACGGCAAGATTTCCACAGGGTATGCGATTGATAGTGGGGTGTACGCTACAGCGTAGGAGCCGAAGAAAAGAAACAGCATCGCTACAGAGGCGCTACCGGCAGCTCTTATGTGCATCTCGGCGAATACCCCCGATAATGCCGTAACAGCTGCGAAAAAGACCAACATCAAGGCTGTTGATATCATCCACAACGATCGACGACCGTATTTCTCCGTTGCCAAAGCTCCTCCTAGCGCTGCGAGACCATTCCAAGCCTGCAAAGCAAGGTTTATACCTGCTTGTTGGCTTGAACTAGTAACGCCGACTGATTTGAGGATAGGCGCGAGATAATATGAGACGATTCCTATTAGAATGATTCAAAACCAACAGTTTAGTAATGTTCCCAGGATACGGAGTCTCAAATCAACGTACCATTACCGGCCCACTGAATCATGAACCCTACGAGAATACAGATCAACAGCCGATGAACTGCACCGCGGGTGGAGAAAAATGCAGCCCATCCACTGTCCTCAGCTACTGCATTCTCATACTCAATGGCCTCGCAGATTTCACGGTATTCAAATAGAACAAGCTCATCAGTCTGATCACCATTCGCGTGATAACGAGCCAGGATCTCCAACGCCTCTTCCCGCCGGCCCTTTGAGACAAGCCATCGTGGACTCTCTGGAACAACCAGCAACCCGAGCAATTGAAGCGCAGGGAAAAAGGCTTGCATTAGGCATGGAACCCTCCATGACCATGAGCTGGAGAGGTAAAGAGTTGCCAGAGTGATAGCTGCGGAAAGGACTGCACCACAAAACCAAGTGCACTGAAATATAGCCGTGACAGTCCCTCGCTGGCGCGGATGCGCAATCTCTGTAGTCAAGGGAGGAGCTGCGGTCTGTGCAAAACCCAATCCGACTCCCATCATAAGACGAGTGCCAAAAAATGCCCAAGGTCCATGTGTAGCAGCTTGGATAATGGAGGCGCATACCATGATTGCCGAGCCGAGAGCAACGCACTTCTTTCGTCCGAATGCATCCGCAAAATATGACGCTGGGATAAAACTCGGCATACCACCAAGAGAAACTCCAGCGATGATGAGGCCTTCAACATTTGAGTTGATTTCACCTATATCTTTCAAGACTGTGATGCTGTTAGCGCCGAACGTACGTGAATGATGAAAACATACATAGTGGCAAGGCCAATAAGCCATTCATAAGGCTCCCATCATACCCATTGGCAGCAGCCGATGTAAACATCAGCCCGATACCTAAGTTCAAACGACGAAGACCAGCATCCTTGATCCACTGATCATGGGTGTTGTTGGGAAGTGAAGCGTGTGAATCCTCGCCTGAGGTAGTTACAACAAGATTGGCAACCATGCTGTCGAGGAGAATATAGCAAGTAAAATCAAGAGGACAGGAAGGAGCCGGGTTGCTTATTGGAAGGGAAGTCGACGAGAAGAGGGATTCGTGGAATATGAAAGGCTGTATAGAAGCCAAGGGGCATTTTATATGCTTGGGAATACACGGGAATTTATGGAACGCTGTCGAATCGCCAATGTCTGGGGTAAAAGTTAAACATTAGAGGGTTTGCGAACACAAGCCGAGAAAGTCCAAGGCTACATATTTTTACCAACCTAGCTCTTTCACCTAATTCTTTTTTGACTGCGCTAATATTCTTTGGTTGAACTAGACGTCCACCGTTTAGGCTGGGGGGATTCTCGGGCAGATTTTCGGGAGAGCTCTCGGCGAAATTAGTGTTCACCTCGGGATGCCTTGGTTGGTATCTTGAGAATGTGGGTGGAGTTTCCGATGCGGGGAAAACCGCGTCTCGAGCTAGAAACGCCAGTGTATGTGGATATTCTTCGGGCAAATATTCGGGAAGAATCTCGGTCATTGGGCCCGGGGACATTATCTGCATGTGTAGCATGAATATAAAGCATTGGCCTCCGTCGGCTGTAATGGCTTACCTTTTCTTCACTTCTCAACAACCTTTCTTGCGTGCTCCACGCCTGACATGACTGTTACCGAGACGCAAACCCAATCTCACTCCCAGCTTATGCTGACAGGTGGCAGAGCTTGGTGGAAGGAATCCTCCGTTTATCAAATCTACCCTGCCTCCTTCAAGGACTCAAATGGCGATGGCGTCGGCGATATTCCGGGAATCATCTCAAAGCTTGACTACCTTAAAGCGCTGGGTGTTGATCTCGTCTGGCTTTCCCCTATCCTACAGTCACCACAAGTTGATATGGGATATGATGTCTCTGACTATTATGCAATCCATCCCCCATATGGGACTTTGAAGGACGTGGATAGGCTCATTCAGGAGCTTCACACCCGTGGCATGAAGTATGTCATGGATCTTGTCGTAAATCATACCTCTGATCAAGTATGTGTCGCTCTAATACACCTTATGGCTTCCATTTCTGACAGAAACGGTAGCATGAATGGTTCAAACAGTCGAGGTCTTCGAAAACGAATGAGTTTCGCGACTGGTATATCTGGAAGAAGCCGCGCTACACAGCGGATGGCGTGCGCCAGCCGCCAAACAATTGGGGATCCTACTTTTCAGGTATAGCTCTCTTCTTCCTAATCAAATATTATTATTGCGCTTTGACAAAACTCTGTCTCTGACAATTACTCTGAAGGATCGGCCTGGAAGTACGACGAACAAACGGAAGAGTACTACCTCCACCTCTTCGCTCCCGAGCAACCTGACCTCAACTGGGAGAACCCCAAAGTCCGTGATGCTGTCCACAAAATTATGCGGTACTGGCTCGATAAGGGTGTTAGCGGATTCCGAATGGATGTGATCAACTTCATCAGCAAGGACCAGCGATTTCCAGACGTCCCTGTCGTTGATCCTTCAAAGCTGTATCCAGAGGGTGCGAAATACTACGCTTGCGGGCCAAGACTTCACGAATACCTGCAAGAGTTGGGGAGCATCTTGAAAGAGTATGATGCCTTTTCTGTTGGTGAAATGCCTTCGGTCTACGATCCGACTGAAATACTGAATGCAGTTGGGTTCGAAAGACAAGAGCTCGGCATGGCATTCCAGTTCGAGATCATGGACCTCGATCACGGACCTCAAGGCAAATTCTCCCCAGGCAAGTTCCGCCTGAAGGATTTGAAATCTGTCGTGACGAAGTGGCAGTTATTCATGTACGAGAACAACGGATGGAACGCGTTGTACCTTGAGAATCATGATCAGGGACGCAGTATATCCCGTTTTGCATCCGAGAAAGAGGAATTTCGTGCTCTTTCCGGGAAGATGCTAGCGACCTTCCTAGGGTTACAAAGCGGAACCCCGTTTGTTTACCAGGGCCAAGAGATTGGAATGGTGAACTTACCCGAAAGCTGGAATATTGAGAAATTTAGAGACCTCGAAGCTATTAACTTCTGGAATGAGCTTATTCAAGCATGCCCGGGAGACACTAAACTACACAATCAGACCATGAAAGAGCTTCGACTTAAATCCCGAGACAATGGGCGTCTACCAATGCAGTGGGGATCAGGGAAATTTGCAGGTTTCTCTTCCGGTACTGCAGATCTGTGGATTGATGTCAACGAAGATTATGACAACTGGAACGCCACCTCTCAAATGTCCGACCCGTCCAGTACCTTCAACTACTGGGCAAATATTTTGAAACTGCGCAAGGTTTGGGTCGACGTGTTCGTATACGGGTCGTTCAAACTCATCGCCGAGGACCATGAAGAGTTGTTCGTCTATACTAGAACCTTTGGTGAAACGAAAGCCGTGGTGATCAACAACTTCTCCGAAAAGAGTGTGGAATGGTGCATTCCTGTCGAGATAGCATCGGTTCTCACAGGAGGGAAGTTCCTGACGGGCAATTATGATGAGCGCCGAATCATCGGCTTTGAAGGAAACGTCATCACTGTCAACCCCTTCGAGGCCTTTGTGGTACTCAAGGAAGGGCTCAGCCACACTATCTAAATTAGTTCGTCCTAATAGACGTCGAAGTTCTTGTTATAATACACTTTCCCATTGCTGTCCGTCGTTTCACCTTCATCGTCGGTTAACTCTGGAATTGCACGAAGCTCAGAAACTGGCTCAAGAAGTAAATTCGACTCGACCAATCTCTTACGAACCCAAGCTAAGCCCTCCCGACTCCCATTCAATTTTGCAAGATAGCAGCAAAATTCATGAAGAATCTGTCGAGTTTGAATAAACATTTCTGGGGGCAGAGAATGCACACACGTCATGACATCAAGCAGAGTGCTCGTTATGTCGCATAGTTTGGCTTGCTGAAAATCTTATTAGCTAGGCTTCGGTCTTGACTGGAGGGTTTGCGAAAATATTCCGCTTACCATTCCTGGCCCGTGAGCTACCAGCGCATCAAAAGAAACCGTCGATATAGAGCGAAGCGCATCTCTTGATACATGAGCTGGGTAGGTGAATGACATGCTATCGTCTCCTGGCTCACTCGACAGAGTAACATTACTGAGAGAAAGTTGCCACACCAGCATCCGCAACCACTGCTGCGTAATAGCAAGGTCGCTTCTTTGTACTTCATTCCATTCCATGGGCCATTGATCATATCGACATAGCGCATGTTGTATTTGAACAAGCACTTCCTTGCTATACTGCTGGCCCCGCCCATTATTAGACGCTTCTGAGCCGACCAGTACGCCATCAACCGATGAAAAAAGGTGGGCTAGGCTGTGGAAAGCCTGTAAAACCTCTGGGTTATTCTGGCTGTCGCTTGAAGCAACATCGATAGAGTTCGTGAGGCAGACTGGAGTGCCATGCTGCATTGCGTGGCCTCTTTCAGTCACATATAGAAGCCAGAATGTCCGGCGTCTATAGCTCTCCTCCTCAGAATCCATGTTCTGATATGTCTCCTCCTTGTCTAAGGCGAGCAGCTGACAAAGTGATACTGCTTCCCGTAATAGAAACGAAGCGGTCCGCTTTTTCCCTTTTGCTCCGTAGTAGAAATGAAGGAATAAAGGAACCAGAATAGCTTCTATGGCTGTGCTTTCGCGATAGTCGTATTTCAAACGGTATCGCTCGGCCTCGGCAGCAAACCGATCAGCCAAAGCCGTGGAACCCATATTTTCTGGAAGCCCGAACTCGCTCCATGTTGGCGTGGTCGACTTGAGTTGCAATTGCGCGCCCGTACCGGCACAAACTGCGAAAGTTAACGCACAAGTTTCGTAATCATTTTCGTCGGTTCTAAAGACAGAGCTGAGTCTGGCAACATCGATCACTGGCCATACTGGATACATTCTCTGCCTGTAGGTTTCAAGATACTCGATCACGTCGCTCGGTGTAAAGGCGAATCTCCATGTTGCAGGTGACGAAGAGGATGACGATAGCGGAGAGGTAGCTGAACTTTCGCAATTCTGATCGACAATCTCACCAGACGGGGAAGGTGATACGATAGATGGTTTAGGAGTGCTGCTTTCTTTGATCAGGCTCTGTAATTGCTCGTTTACACGAGCACAAGTCATGCGACGGGGTCCTTTTGGCCCAGACTTTCTTGGTCGTTTTGCAAAGGTACATTTGAACCCGGTTCTCGCACAGTTCGGGCACGGTATTTGGCCAGTGCACCGAACCTTGCGAAGGGAGCATGCATCGCAGGCTCGTGGTCTTGCCATGAGGAGCAGTTGAAAATGTTGATTCAGGTGTGAGAATGAGCACGGTATCCCAGGACAGCTAGTGTAGTATCTGTGAGTCAAAAATGATGACAGCTGCACGGTTGTGTACAATATAGGAAAAGTGTTGTGCTCTGGCAAGTTCTCGGGAGAAACCTCGGCGATTCAAATCGTCCCCGCATCACCTGAGTCCTTCAAGCCTCCTCCGTCAAGCAATGCACCATTCACCATTCCTACTGTGCAGGGCGCTGTGCGTGGGATTTGGCTAGAATTTTTGTTTGTCCATAGTTGGCTTCATGGTTCTTCTGACAAGGATCTGGCTAAGTCCCGGCAAATGGAAATCAAGAGAGATCGGGCAGATTCTCGGGCTAATTTCTCGGGGGTATTCTGGGGAAATTTGTCGGCGATTTTGAAGACTTGATGATGGAACTGATTGTGGGTTATGATGTTGATGGGAATTGAACCCCGTGGGGAAGAAGTTGTGCATACGTTGCGTTTATGTTGCGTATAAAAAGCGAAGGCTGTCACTTTGTTAGGAGAAGAAGCCGGTAAGTTCTGTTTTGACCCTCACCCTTCCCACAGCATCCTTCAATCTGACTTTCTGAAGGTTCACAACAATCACCTGGACCCCATCGAACTCCACAGTCGCCGTCTCCCGCCTTTACTCGTCCGCCGTCGAAGACTTCACCAATACACCAATTTACGGTCGCTTTGAGCCTTACAGACTGGCAAGGTCCAACCAGACTAAAACCATCGAAGCCGACATATTCGTCGACGGTTCGCTCCTAGAGATCTTTATCAACGACCGCTTCGCTCTGACAACCAGGACCTACTCGTCTCGCACCGACGCTCTCGGAATCACTCTCCTCTCCAATGGTGGACGGACTATCTTCGAGAATATTACTGTCTACAATGACATGCTAGATGTGTGGCTGGATCGGCCGATGAACTCGAGCTCACCGCTTCATTATGACAGATACTACGAGACTCACATTACCTTCCCCATACGTGCCTGAAGGCACTGAACTTTATGAAGGGTGGTAACCGGAGTCTGGTTGTTACAGGATAGTATTGGTCATCCACAATGTTAGAATTTATTTCATCGGGATATGCTAAGTGGACACCCTCTTAGTCCGTTGATGACATTTGTCTGCCCAACACAGAACCTAGTCCCCGTCCTTCAATCCATGGAGGCCGCCCATAATCCGAGATAATCCCTTACGTCTTTTTACCAAATGACAAACAAAAGAACTTCCATACTTCGACACCCACAACTTTCTATATGTCCGAAACAGCTTCAAGAAATTATAAAATTCTGAAAAGCTATGGTGGCATATGTCTATTACCTGCTTACCTTACTCACCCCTAGTTACACGACGCTAAAGCAGCACTCTATAGTTTCATTGTCTTTAGGAATGTTCAGAGGATATAGTTTGTTCCAATGCTAATCCTAACACATACGACCATAGGGTGTGGAGAACAGGGCTTCCCGTCCGCTCAGCCGTACTTAAGCCACACGCCGGCCAGTTAGTAGTATGGTGGGTGACCACATGCGAATCCTGGCTGTTGTATGTTTTTGCTGTTGAATTTTATTTAAACTGCTTCACTCTTCAGCCCCTTCAGCCCCTTCAGACTGGTCAACCTGAACGCCCCGAAGCTCCCTGGCCTGTCGGCTAAAATTTCCTTCCAAACCCCCTTCCCAGTCGTGTCGCAGTTATTCCTCTACTTTTTGGGGGGTCTGAACTGATCCTGTTCGGAGCTAACCACAGAAGATAGATTCATCGAAGCTATTATAACCGTCTGGTCTGGTCTTATTTAGCTCTTCTCTATGGACGGAGTGAATATTTGACCAAAGAGGTGGTGCTGTAAAGACCAGCTCGCTCATGAGAGACAGGGTGCACTGACGCTCTCAGCTGAGCTCAGATACAATATTATTGGTTCAGCTTGATCTGGCTGAAACTGTGGAACAAAGAAAGGGCCGAATCAAATATGGAGCCCGATTTACATGTCGCATTGGGCCGAAGTACACTCCACGGGCGTTTGGCGTCGTGGAGGGACGAACAAGACGTGGGCATCGAGATATTATACACATCTCGTTGTTCCAGGAATCCTAGCTTGGGCGCCTATGCACAACTTTGAATAGCCTTAGTGAATAATTTCTGCCTTTATTAAACCCAGCGGGCTAGCATTCGCCGACAAGCTATTTTTCCACACGCAGACTGCGCCCCACTCTCGACAAAGTACTGCTCCCTGCCATACCACAACGGCAACCCAGAGGGTTCAACTGAAGCACCCTAAATTCAGCAAGAAGGACGCGAAGTGGGTGACCGCAGTTGGCCTAAGGACGCACACATTCCCTGAAAAATCGAGTTTCCAATCTCATTGGTCAGCAGCCTTCGAACTTCTTCGCGGCGAAGCGTCATCTGTGTCCGCTGCCACGGCCAGCCGTGAGGGCAACGCTGATTCACCATGACGGATCGCTCAAGATTACGTCTCAGTCGAGGTTGCTATACAGTTGGTTGGATATGCCCGCTGCCAATAGAGATGACAGCCGCAATGTCTATGCTGGATGAGACGCACCTACCGCTACCACAATCACAAGCGGATTCGAATACTTATGTTCTCGGACGAATCCATACTCATGATGTTGTTCTAGCTTGTCTCCCTGAGATGGGTCTAGCACCTGCAGCCACGGTGGCGCGGCAGATGAAACAATCCTTTCCAGACCTACGTTGCGCGTTACTGGTCGGCATTGGAGGAGGTATACCGAGTGAAGGGTACGACATCCGTCTAGGGGACGTGGTAGTTGGCGTGCCGGGATCCAAATACGGATCAGTTGTACAATGGGACTATGGGAAGACCGTCGCCGAAGGAAAATTTGTCCACTATGGCGTTCTGAACGACCCTCCGGCGGTTCTACTGACAGCTGTCAACGCTCTTCGGGCCCGGTATAACATGGGGCAAACAGGTATTGTGGAGAACCTGGAGTTTGGATCGTCGCGTATTCCTTCCGATATGAATGGTCAGTTCTCACGGCCAAGCCAGGACCTTGATGTCCTCTTCAAGGCAGATTACGATTATGAACATTCTGATTTGGGAGACTGCCAGTCCTGCGATAAGAGGAAAGCTGTACTTCGTGGGCCTCGCGAGAAACAGACGATAGTTCATTTTGGCACAATTGCCTCTGGGAACCAGGTTATCAAGCATGGCCGGAAGAGGGACGAGATTGGTGCAACATTTGATGCACTCTGTTTGGAAATGGAAGCTGCTGGAATTGTAAAGGATCTACCCTGCATTGTCATCCGAGGTATATGCGACTATTCGGACTCCCATAAGAATAAGACATGGCAAGGTCACGCAGCCATGGCCGCAGCTGCGTTCGCCAGAGACATTCTCTCGATATTGCCCAGCCACCGGGTGAAGTTACTCGATCCCGGCTATCTTTTTAACCCTTATGACTCTCCCGTTCGAGTCCGTGGGTTGAACTTGCCGCTATTAGCTCGCGAAGAAAACATTTTCTACCAGGATTATTGGCACGAGTCGCGAATTCTAGAACGTGGCAACGATGCTCGGAGCTCACAATTTGCAATTCGGCAAGATGAGCGGCAATTACTAGAGCGGTTGCTGAGCCAGCCCCCGGGACAAGGTCCGAACTTTGAAATGGAGCCAAAACTGGCAGAATTCATGCATGAATACAGATCTGAGCTACTGGAACAGCTTGCTGATTTCCCAAACCCCCAGCAGCAACGCGGCCTCTTCGCCGCAATGCTGCGGATGACAAAAGGATCGCTTGACCATGATTCCGATACATGTCGTACCTTATTGCACTGGCTGGCCATGAACGGCGTATCGGACGTTCTTCCGAAGCTAATTGATATCGGGTTCGATGTGAACCATAAAGATTCAGATTGGCAGACACCTCTTCATCTCGCAGTCATCGAAAATCACTTTCCTACTGTCGCTGTTCTTGTGCAGCAGTGCCATGCTGATGTGCATGCGAAAGATCTAAATGGTCTACTCGCGTGGCATCATGCTCTCCATATCGACTGGGATAACTGCGCCGACAATGACGAGCGTGAAAAATCCCGGATTTCCATCATCAGGCTCCTAGCAGCCTTCACAAACATAGAATCGATCAAAGGCGCAAAGGCTCGGAAGAGTCTATCTCGTCTGAAGACGGACCCGGAGGCAGTCATACTTCTATGAACTTAATATTAAAATCAGACCGAACAATATTTATTTCAATGAACCGCGCTTCTGGCATCCCGCGCAAAAGCTGTCACTTCAACACGGAGAATCCAGATGATTTCAATAACTTATGGTCACGCTGGATATGTAATAGGTCTACCTAGCCAAATACAGAGTTATTGAAGTCGCTGAGGTTTACTATATTATACACACAGGCTATTAGGGGGTCTTTTTCGTTATAATTACCTTTGTTTCACAGTGAGAGAGAAATGGTGGATGGAGAGGAGTGAAGCGGAAAGGAAGTGGAAGAGGGCGAGGGTAACCAGCGGTAACTGCATAGAAGGGAAAGATGTAGTGTCTGCTTCCGTATTGCGGAATCTTTTCCTCGATTAAATCGTACAAAAGCATCTTTTTCAGGTGGGTGAATTTCCGCCTAATCCGCTCAAACCAGCCTGAAGTCTAACTGCGTAAAGCAACAACAACAAGCCACCTAGCACCGAGCGATGGGCGCTAGGTGAGCATGACCATAGGATGGCTGTTGTACGTTTTTCCTTTCCTTTTTGGAAGGCAAAAAATACGATCATTGCTATTTTGAGTGTTGGCCAGGGTGTGGCTTCGGCTTCATGACGGATGCCCATGATCAATACTGCCACGATTTTCAGTCTCTTTTCCCCACCTATTTGCATTACTCGTCCAATCATCACACCCTACCCCGTACTTTGCTTCACCACTCGGTATGAATATAATTAGCTGATCCTATCTCTAGAATATACGTATATACCTTTCCGGTGCCTTATCAAAATTACACGTTCGACTGCTTTGTTATCAACCAATTTACGATTCACTTTTCGTACTTATATCGTTCCAGGGCCACAGCGTACGACAGCGCGCGTCACTGGTGCGAGAGAGCATGATCGATAAATTAGCTAAGTTTGGACTAGGTCGTTTCATTATATCCTTAGCATTAGGGTTCGAGAAAGTTACTCTAGGTAAAACATGGAAGCCAATTTCGACTTTAGCTGTATATCTCCTTGTATGGACAGGGATATATATACCTAGTTGACGTAGGCTGCATGTCGCCGTTGAGGCGAGGGGTCAGGGTAAATGAAATCATCATCATCATCAGCAGCTATATATCTCCAGTTGCGTCGGCGGTTCGACTCATCCCAAGCCAAGAGCCTCAACGGTGTAAACCACACCTAGAAGTCATCAACATGGCTGTTGGTCAAAAGATAAATTGAACAACCTACGTCAGCGGTGGGAGTGTTTCGCGGCGATAATACTTAGCACTATAAGGTTAGCCTTTACCTTTCATGATTATTGTAAGGCCAAGGCAGTTCGTCGTCGTGAGTTCATTGACCATGATCCTTCCTCAAGGTATCCCAGAGCCTGGCTCTTTCTACACCGACGGCCACGCCATCTTGTTTCCTGCCAAGGAGTTCGAATCGCGCAAGAAGCCCAAAATCGATGGATTATGAAAGTTATTCTGGCATCTTGGGAGGACGACGATGGGGATGTGTGCAATGGGAAAAGACCCCCAACTCGGACAGAGCTGCAAGGTTTGGGCCTGTTCGGCGTCAGAGAACGACTTGGAGCAAGATCTTATTAGGCTGAATTCGATCGATGCGATAATAAAAATGCGCCAATTAGAGACCCGTAGCCCTGTTAATGGTCTGTAGAGACTCTGAGAGATTTGTAGCCTTCTAGAGACACAGACCTGGGACGTTATCATAGAGCCGTCCTATACTTGGAGCGCCCATTGCTGCATATGCATACCATGGAGCTAAATACTATACCACTGCAAAGGTACATAGCCAGGCCGTCCCATAGATGAGAAATGAACGGTCGTGGGGGGGGATTATAGTTTGCAGGCTCAAATGGTATATAATAATTTCGTTTCATGCTTAGACTTCGGCATCGGCATGTAAGGCGTAACTATCTCCAACCCGGTATTGTAATATTTCACATGTTTACACATGACTAGGAAGGAAGATCTCTGGCAATTTTACATCAACTGCCCGGGTGGTCTAGTGGTATGATTCGCGCTTAGGGTTCACCCAAAGCATTGACTGCGCGAGGTCCCCGGTTCGATCCCGGGCTCGGGCCAAGTTTCCTTTTTTAGCTGTCAATATTTTTGGGCCTAGTTTCCGTTTTGAACTATTATTTAATCTTCCTTCGCTTTTTTGCCTTAGTAATAAGTTAGTTTATATCTACTTAGTCTCCTAGGTTGAGCTCTCAGACCTTAAAATGACCGAGATTAACATCAAACGCCCGGGTGGTCTAGTGGTATGATTCGCGCTTAGGGTTCACCCAAAGCATTGACTGCGCGAGGTCCCCGGTTCGATCCCGGGCTCGGGCCAAGTTTCCTTTTTGAGCTGTTAATATTTTTAGGCCAAGTTTCCTTTTTGAACTATTAATCTTTCTTCCCTTCTTTTCGCCTTAGTAATAACTTAATTTATAACTATTTACCTAGTCTTGTAGCCTAAGTCCTCTTTTTAATCTATTAATCCTATATATGTTGTTAAAATAAATCATAAAACCCCACAAGCCAGTTAGAGCTTAAAAATAAGCGAGTTCCGCATCAACTGCCCGGGTGGTCTAGTGGTATGATTCGCGCTTAGGGTTCACCCAAAGCATTAACTGCGCGAGGTCCCCGGTTCGATCCCGGGCTCGGGCCAAGTTTCCTTTTTTAACCATCAATCTTGCTTATTCACCAAAAATCCCTAAGTTAACGATCTCTTGGCGAAATCGATTTCTTGCGATATCTCCGGATCCAAAGAGGGCTTATAAAGCCTTACTTATACGTTCAAATTTCAATTGCCCCCCCGCTCTATCGATTGACACCAAATTTGACCCAGTACGACCGTGCTAGCGGTGGCGGTTAACCCAAACGACATTTTGTTGCCCTAACTAAGAGGTTTTCACGGTGCAACTTCTGTGCCAAGACCCCTCGACTCAGGGGAATAGAGATACACGCGCAATAACCAGAACAACAAGAAGAGCGACTAGTTAAATACCATAGATAATATCGCCAAAGCTATCCAGTCCGTCCTCGAACAAACCGAGGCCAACCAACAATCATGAGGTTGATAGTATTGTGAAGGGATTCGTGAGAAACGTTAAGAAATTTGCCCTGAAAGCCTATAGGGGCGACACCGATAGCATGAGCAAAGTGCTCGTGGCACTCGAAACACTTATACAGCGCCTAGACGGTCTCGAAAAGACTGTCTCATCGTCAACAACTACCGCCCCATCCATCGATTCTGCCGCCTTTTAGCGTTGTCTTCGTATAACCGCGTGGCAGAGTGGAATCACCGGTGCACCCGCACCACTAATTGACCGGTCAAAAACTTCCTCGCTAGGGTTTAGCGAGATTAAATTATAAGAAGACCGCTAAATTATCGTCACGATAGCTAACTAGGGGACTCGCGAGCGATACCGCCGCAGGGACATGAGCGAGAAGGACCTCGTTTTAGCAGGTCGACGAGAGGGTAGTGGCTAGTGCCCTTAGGGCCCCTTCGTCGGCGTTGGCTGCTGTGAGCGTGGTGGTAGCTAGAAACTGCCGTCTAGCGATGTGGCCCTGTATGCGAGTACTGCTACGTCAGCCGAAGTACTCAGACAGCATACGGATACCGGTTGGTTAGAGATCTTTAGTCCTGGTGCGACCGTATAGTGTCTCGGCATGGTTCATGCCCAACAACGATACCAAAGGGCGCCGCGAGGCCATCTCTCGACCTTTCGAGAGTGTCCAGCACAAAGCAGCTTGTTTAATTAGTGACGCATTCAAGACCACTGCGGCAGCCGCTCTATGCGTGGGGCTCCATCTTAGGCCCATACAAACTCTTAAAGGAAAGGATGGTCAACGAAGTAGCAATCCGTTTACGAACTATACACCGTTCGCTATCCCACCAACAATCGTCAACAAGCGCACCAGAGCACAGCGTCAACTCAGTGGATTCTCACCGATAGAAGCCATCGCGTGGAGGGTCGGCGGATGCCTCATAGCTGCCCTAGGTCTGCCTGGCCGGGGAGTGCTCGGGGAGAGCCGTATTGCATTCGTGCGCCAAAGGTGGTTATCCACGAGAGGGAATCTGTCACTAAGGAGCACAACCAAATCGTCGCGAAGCCAGAGAGGCGACGCCCCCTGGTTATCTACACCGATGGTAGTGGGTACTAAGGGAACACCGATGTGAGTGCCCTGAGGAGAAGAGGCACCGGCGGTCTGGATCACGCCAGGAATAGTTCTCACAGAGCCGTTAGCGTGGGGAACCGTAGTTTGCGCACTCTCAGGACACACTGTCGTGACATAGGTGATTGTCTCGGTGGTCAAAGTATGTCGTCTGTCGGTGCGCCGGACAGTTGGTGACTACAGCAGCACAAGAAGTGATTGTATGACTCTCGGTTGCCGTGATGGTAGTTATATGTTGAAGCACTTGATGCCGTCTCACCTGATTCATATAAAGACAGAGTCAAAGGAGACCCGAAGCCGCAACCAACTTGCCAAATAGAGATGAGCTCTTTGTCTCGTTGGCGCCTCTCCATTATTTCCCGAGTCATGACCATTTCAATTATTGATGCTGGTCAAAATTGAACTTTATCATGCAAACAACTAAGTTCCTTACTTTGGATCCTGGCAAAGCAGCACGAAAAACTCGCCCTAATCATGTTCCAAAAACATCCAGAAAGACCCTTCAAAAGGATGATTGTAGAAGCATAGCTAACCAGACTTTGTCTCTAATCTCTAGATTCAGGCTTGTTGACAGATAAGGAACCAATCTAATTACTTTTAGATTATAGTATGGCTTGACTTTTTGTCGAATTCTACTTTATTGGTAATAATAAGATAAATTTCATGTGCAAATCGTACTACAAGTATATTGGCAGTATAATTCTTTCGCTGCCTCGAGCCAAAGCTTGTAGAACATCGTCCCAGCATTGACCTAGTCGTTCCCTACCAGACATGAACACCACCCAAAATGCTAAAATTCCACACCCCCAAGAGCCTCAGCGTCACTCTGCCCCCAAGGATATAGCTTCCCTAGGGACTGTATAAGCTCCCGATGCTTCTCACTCCGAGGATGAATCGCTAACTCAAATGGAGCAGGATGGCTGATAACCCCTGGTAAGAATCTGAGAGGAACGTCTTGTACCTTGCCATCGCGTACTGGCTTTTCAATATTGAAGACAGCCAGAGCCTGTACAACGGAAAGGAACACATTTGCATCCGCCAATGTACGGCCGGGACAGGCTCGACGACCAAACCCGAACACGAGCAGATGAGGATCTCGTTCCGGATGCGGATTCTCAGAAGTGACGAGAAAGCGTTCCGGCTTGAAGGCCATGGGATCGCGGTAGACCTTTTCATCGTGTGTAAATGCCCTGAATCAATAATTAGCGATTATCTAGGGGAAATGTGACTCTGAATACACACCATATATTGGCAAGGATAGATGATCCCTTGGGAATCAGGTATCCCTCACAGATATCATCCTGACTTGAGGCGTGTGCAACGTTCATTGGGACAACTGGGTGCCATCGTAGTACCTCTTTTACTAAGGCGTTGATGTAGGGAAGATTTTCACGATCATCGAATCCTGGTAGTTTGGTTTTTCCGACTACCGTGTCTAGTTCCAACTGTGCCTTGAGTTGCACTTCAGGGAATAATGCCATCGCCAGGAAGAAGCTCCCAATGGAGGACACGGTCGATTTATTTTGTTAGCAATCTACTTTGTATAATCCTTATGGACTAGTACTTACTGTATCCGCTCCTCCGGCATATAAAGACCCAGCAGACCATTTGACGATATTTTCATCTTCTGATCCCGGTTCCACGGGATTGCTTGCAAGAAGATTAGACAGGAATGATGGTGTGAAGCATCCTCTTTGCATCTGTTGTCTAACGAATGCAAATGGAACACCACTGAACGCTTTTACCCGTCTGTTGTAAGCCTGTGCTGTCTTGATAAAACCTGTCCCAAGGAACCAAGGCGGCAAGTGCCTCACTAGTGGAACAGTTAGATAAAAATATAGTGCCCTTTTCTGTTTGAGTTACTCACGCATTGGAAAGAAATCCACCGCCCATGTTGCCGGGAGTAGTGCGTATGAAAAGTCCTCCATCGCTTTATCAGCCAGATCCACGAGGGGGTCATTGCCGTGGGGCTCAATAGTGTAGCCGTAGCCAATTTTCAAAATGATTGCGCCAGCCTCTCTATATATCATTAGGATCATGCGACCACGCATTTATACCTGGGATTGTAGGAAGATATTGAATTACTTTCGAATATGCTGTTGAAGCTTTTCTGGAGCGTCTAGAACTCTCAACAAGAAACGAGCGACCTCGACTTGCTGAACTTCATTGAAAGATAGAACAGACTTGTTAGATCCGATTTCTTGGTAGAGATTCTTGCGTGTTTTTCGAACATCCTCTGGATTTCGGAGGGCTCCGAGAACCTCGTTCCAGCCGGACCTGTTGAAGTCACCTTCCCGTCACAGAATCCGAATGTCATCTCATCTTACATGTCCGTAAATGTTTGTTGAGGACGTAGTGAGTGAATGACTGATCGCTTTTCCAAGAGTTGGACAGCCAGTTGAGCATCGTTGAGAATGATAATATTCTTCCCCAGCACAGTGAGGGAGCTAATGGGTCCTGATCGTAGAGTTTCAGTTCCCACGTTCAAGAAGGTTGCGTTGTTCGGTCATCTTCTCACCAAAATATTTCTTATGTTTCAGCCAATGCTGCCAGTCTTGCTCGTCTGGCCTGGGCAGATCCGTCAAATTACCGATGATTGGCTTTCGCCAGGGACCTGGAGGGAGAGGTGGAAGTCGTCTTTTCCGCCCATAAATGACAGAGAAACCATAGCTGCTCAGTACTACCACCAACAAACCAATCCATAAAGTGGGAAACATGACAGGCGGTACTCTTTGAAAAGTATTTTGAAAAGTGTGAAGCCTGCCAAAAGAGGGGAAGGTCTGCTGGGCTGGACTGGGCTGCTCTTAATACTTCTTTGTAGGCGCTGGGAGTGGCGTCAGCTCCTTTTCATAGCGCTTTCAATTGGCCTCATAATACAGCGATGGATGGTAGCACTGCGTTATGCATGCATTATCTCGGGCGGGGAAATCAATTCAATAGGTGGTCTCGCTGCAGTATCGTGGGGCCTCAGCAGGGGTATTATGCTGTCATGCGTCAAGTCACTGGCAGAAGGATCCTGCATTGAGATAGGCTTTACCCCTTATGGTTCAAAAACATGGAGGATTTTCATTCGGCCTGATCATCCATGGTCAAACGATATTAATGGCGCTTGTAGCTCTAGCAGCCCAGCAGACTTGGGGTTATTCTAAAGCGGAAGGCCGATTGCATGGGTCAGATTAATCAAGCCTACTTTAATGCAAGAATCGAGAGAATGAAGCTAAATTTAGGTTCCTGGTTTTTTAATCTTCGTTTCACTAGTATGTCGCAAAGACTAGGCTAGGGGCCATAGAGTCAATTCAAGTTTAGAATTCCATTCGAGCTTTGTGTACAGTCAAGCAAGTTCAAACTGCATAACATATGCTTATAGAAAATAATATGCTGGGCTATATCGGAAAATAAAGCGCTTTGTTTGCTCTTTGTTCATTGATCTCTAAAAATTGTAATCAAGAGCCCATAAATCAAGAGCGTAAACAATGGCCATGCCCGTGGGGCCCACACATCATCAGTACATAAGAAGCGAGTTTCTACCGTTTCCAGAAAGGACACCTTCAAATCATTTGAAAACCAATTTCACTACATTGAAAACCATAGCTACTATTCGCCAACAATGCCCGACCTAAAGTACGGCCATGGTCAGTTCAGGGGTCGAGTACTACAGCAATGGATTGAAGGTGAGAAAGTCGAATCAGAGGTCTGTCCAATTCAGCCATGCAAACTTGTTTTTGCTGATCTTCTTCAATGGAAGCCAATCTTCAACGAAAATGCTGTGCCGCTGCCAGTGAAAGACAAGGCAAGGGAGCTTGGGGTATGGCCAGAAGATCTTAACAATGAAAATAGCTCTTGGCGCAAGTTTCGTATAGCACCCGTCGACCCTATGAAGGTGCTGAACTTCAAGGACAGATGGGGAGGAATGACTGGACCTGGTGTTATATTTACTGACGAAATGTTTAGGAAGGATGGACATCACCCATCCGAGATCATGAAGGCAGTCTATTGGAAGGATTTTGCACAGACCAGTCTCAAGCATGTCTTCGTGCTTGACATCAAAAACCCCAACACCAAATCGATCGTCAGAAAGATCTACAAAGAAGGAAACTCGCTCGGATATCCAGATCCGCGGTTGCAGGGCAGGGTCTGGGAATGGGGCACCCCAGAATACCAGGCCCTTCTCGGAACAGAGATTGGGAAGGTCGTGGCCTATTTTGTGCTCGGGGCTTTCGGAAAAGGTAAGCGTCGCATTGTCCGGGTTGTGTCCTGGGCCTTGCCTGGAAATCCTTCCCTGGAGTTCGACATTGAAAAGATCGATCCTGCAGCCGCTCCTAGTGGGAAATCATCAGCCACTACCAGCTTACAAACAGGGGGGAAAGATAAGCGTCGACTTTCAGATGACGCAAAGGACGAGACAACTCCAGATCTTAGAGCTAAGCGCAGGAAACTAGACTAAGGATTACTTTGATGGTTACGGTATGTAGAATATGGAATCAGAGAATCATCAAGGTACACCTCCCAATCAATAGTCATGTACGAGTAAATTTAAATTTCGCCGAGGAGACCTTTGTTCGTCCTGGTAACAAAAACATGGTCACGTCACAGTACTAATCTTGGTAACTTTAGTGATAGTAGTAATATGGGCGTTATTAAAATAGGGGAAGGAGTTAAGCCTCTGGACAAATTTTCGCCCACTATTGAAAGTGGTATCTATGCCTAAATCATAGGGCTTCGATATCATCACGCAAATTTGATTAGGTGTGAACTAGCCATACGTGTAATTGCAGTCCGAGCAGCAACTTGATTTTACAGTGCTATAATGCGTATCATCTATATGGACAGTGACATAGCATCTCACTCGGAGGTGGCCCCCAGTCCCTCCAGAGGTAATATTCCCGAACTACCAGCATGGAAGTCGCCCCCAATCCATGTAAAATCTCCCCATAAACCGGTACGGGGCGACCAGGAAGACGTGGGAGTTATGCCGTCAGGATAATATTCCAGATGGCCATGATAGGGGTGTTACTGTAGTGGTGATGATGGAGAGGATGCCGGTTAAATCGGCTGGGGAGCTTACGTAGATCTCCCTTCTTCGCCCCTCCTCCTCTTCGTTTTTTGCTCTTTTTCCTTCTAGTCCTTTCCTCTTTCCTCTCATTCTTGCCTCCTTTCTCCCCTTCGCCCACCTTCCGGCCGCGATAGTGGGCCATTCCTGACATTCCTGTAGAGTGTAGATCTAAGTCTCGATACCATCCTCCAAGAGAATACGTGAATGCATCTGCAAAATATTTGACCTCTGTACATAACATAACTTGTTTAATTTCATTTAATTCCATCAAACTCTCATATAATCTCGCATGATCTGGAGCCTACGATTGCCCGCTCTCTAGAATTACAAAAGGTCCTCCTCCCTACTCCCAACTTTCTTTCCTCTTCAACATCCACCCACCCCATCGCGCACAAGATCCAAGCTTCCAGAGCTTTGCGATGTCTGACTCTCATACCACTGTGAGTTCAACAACCTCTCATTCTTCATCAAGACTGTGATTACTAACGTGGGGAAAACCTGTAGATGTTCGACTGCCCGTGCTCTGGTGGCCCGGCCCTTCTCAGGGTCCCTGCTTTGTGTGCAACAAGGTTGAAAAGGGTGAGTCTTGACCCCTATATCCATTAGAACTATACTGACTGTGTGTATATAAGTCGACGATCCTACTTTCTCGGACGATCTTCTGGGCGAGATTGCCAAACTCACCGTACAGAAGTCTGTCCTGCAAATCAAGCTAAACGCTGCCATGGTGGAGTTGCAGTCGTTCAAGGAGAATCCTTTGACGGACAGGGTGGAGGATCTCGAGAAGAAGCTCGCAGATGCCAACGCGAAGAATGCAGTCCTTATAGAGAGATTCCATCAGCCTTTAGTCCATCAAATAATATGCAATAAATTCATTGAGAAGATCAACGAGGTGACGAGTAAACACCTTGGGCTTCCAGCATCCATACGACTTGTTAGCAAGAGTCTGGATGATGCAAGTCCTGTCACAAACGGTGGCCTTGGCGGTTGCACTCCCAGCAGTACCCACTATAGGCACCGGGGCGTTGCCCAGATGGTAACCCGGGCGTAGTACACTCGACGGAGGGAGGGGAAATTTGCAAAGTGCGAAGAATTCGACTTCCGGCATAATGGCATCGTCAGCTTCGCGTTGATCATCAGGCAGAACCCACTCCTCACAAGATGATTCATGAGGGGCGTCCTATTCCCCTCCGGGATCCATAATGAAGGAATTTCAGACAAGGATAGAAATCCCAGACAAAAAGGGCGCAGAGTGTGGATAGGGCAGCTGTTGTCGGTACGGTCACCTATGGTGAACCGCAAAGGAGAAAGGAGAAGAATCCTGGCCAAAAAGCCTGTGTTTTATATTGACTCGCAGACTTGAAGTCATTCCCAGAAAATGCTTCTCCTTCGGGGCCGGTTAGCGGTAGCAGGTATTCATTGCCAGTAGAGAAAGGCCGGTGACAGATAGTAATTCCTCCACATTGGTGCTTCTGTCCGTGGCGAGAGCATGGCTACCATAGCCTCCATGGTCTCTTCGATTCGCTCGCCGTGTCTAGAGGCGTGCAGAATGTTCCCGAGGGCTACGTGCACAGCGAGCAGAGACTTTGGGCATATACGTGGGTATTACCTGAGCTTAGTGTCTGTAGATCTAGATCCAAGTCTCGACGTTATCCTCCACTACTGTCCCTGTTTGCGTACCATAACTTCTGGATTTTATTTGATTCCATCGAACTTCCATATGATCTCGCGTGATCTAGTGCCTACTAATTACCCCCTCCCCAAAATTATAAAAAGTTCCTCCCTGCCCAGTTTCGATTTTTACATTCTTCCTCACCCATATCCACCCAGCCTATCCATCGCACACAACCACCCCCTCCCCCAAATTGAAAGACACACATTCATTAACCTACCATGGTGAGTTTTCAATCACTTCTCACTCTTCCTCAAGAATTCTCTCATTCGCCATCAAAATAACGATCTCTAACGTGGAAATTTGAATCCTAGATGTCTAACTCCACTCGCGGCCTGGTCCGGGTAGCCGAGCGCAAGTCTCAGCTCCTATATCTATTCGACGCATATTGACTCTTTCTATGTAGCAGTCAACGATCCTCGTCGCACTGCCAATCTTGTGAATCATATTGCTAAGCTCACAGAGCAGAAGTCGACTTTGTAAGCTAAACTTGATATCGCCATGTCGGACTTGCAGGAGTTTAAGGAGAAGTTCGACACGGCTAACGCGCAGATTGAGGCTCTTCAACGCGAGAACTTTGTGTTGGAGCGCTATGTCGCTGAAATGGAGGCTCAACTTCATGAGGCCCTAGCCCGTGACAGCCTTGGTGGCTGATTCCCATTTTCGCATGTTCATTCCCTTCTATTCATCATCCAGGTTCTCATCAAATAGATAGAATGAAGCTCTTTCGAAGTCTGCTACACCCATGGAAGCGCTCAGTGGGAGTATATACTCAGGACCACAGGCTTGTATTACTTTCTTGCCTCGTAATAAAACTCGCAGTAGTGGTGTTTCATCGACAGTCTCATCAACTTGAGGGGGATTCTTGTTCAACAATGCCTCTGGCATACCCACCCCATAACGGGCGATAGATGATTATATAGCTGGGCTTAACTTATAGGAAAAGCAAAGCAGTTGGATTGTGCCTGTCTGTCAAGGGAGAATAATAAAACAAGAGGGGAAGGAAAATGGGTAAGGGCTGGTGCTGGAAACCGCCGGCACGCAGGACAATGGGAAGAAAGATCCTATAGGGATATTCCAAGTCACTGCCACTGTAAGAATAAATACCTAGCCGCTATCATGAAATGAAAAGCTTTGCAGAGTCAGCATGGGAGGGATTCGAAATTATGGAAGGGGTCGACGTGACTTATTAACACCACGAGAGGACTCTAGGCGACGAATCTTGTCAGCTCGGCATACTGGGCTTCCAGTATCTATCCAGTTTATTAGTTCTACCCTCCTTGCTCTATGGCTCTATCACTAGTCTCGTAAATCATGCGGCCATGTGTCTATCTAGACATTGACGCCAAGGCAACCTATAAGGTAAAATCTGCGGAACCATGTGATCTCATAGAGACTAAAGGCATACATCTAGCTGCTGGGCACTACCATACGAAACGCTACAGTAAAACTATGCACAATAAACACTTCGTTATTTTTTATGTACCGAAACATCCCACTACGCCACCGCGTCATGATAATTACAAAATCACGTTGATCAGGAAAAGATAAGGCAGAAGACTCGAAGAAGAAAAGAAGAACAGTCACAGGGAAAACTACTTACAACGGTTCAGGACCATTCCCATCTCTCTAGAGATCGTTCATTGGGACCGACGGGCCATGAAATAGGTGAGCAGGTTGAGCGAACCCTCGCCAGCGGGCGGAGTGACCTTCTGAACCCGCTCGAGGCCGAACTTGAGGTTGAGTAGGGTACACAACTCAGTAGCCTGCTTCCGCACGCCGGGGCGGGGATGACCCAGTTGCTGGCTGACCACCGCGCCAACACTGGCCAAGCTATCGTCCGATAGCTCGACGGGCCCTTGAGACAGCGCCTGGTGAACAGTGGCTAGTCCCATGATGATAGACCGGTAGGAATCTTCGCTCTTAGCATCTTTACCCAGATCCATGCCTTGAAGCACACCCTCGATGACCGTCTGCGGTGCAATCAACGAAGCCAACTGCTCTGCAACCTCTTCCAAGCAAGTCACAAAGTGCGAGTTTGACTCGTAGTGGCGACGAGCTCTTATGAGAGAGGCCATGGTGGCTACGTCGTATCGGTGGAAGAGCTCGCTGGTCCGAAGAAGCATTGAGCGAATGGTGGCCAGAATCTGGGTCTTCACATCATGGTCCTTGCGGCTGGTAGGTGCCGCCTCCAGCTCACGCAGCAGTGCTTCAAGCATGGCATAGTAATCCTCTTCGCGAGAGACGATCTCCTCGCCATGGTATTGGTACAGTCCCTGCAGCTTCCTATATCCAGAGATGTCCATAGTCTGAGAGGCAATTCGGCTAAGGGCCTTGTTTAGCATCTCCGTCGCATTGGCAGGATCCTTGGATCGAGGGCTAGGGCTTCGGTGCCGCTCTGCCCACTTCCGACTGCGGCGGAATGCTGGTTCTTCGCTCGTTGGATGGACTGAAGATTCAACGGACCGGCTTCGTGACTCTGTAGGCAGGCGCAAAGTGGACTCGTTCAAGGGGACCTCCTCAAGCGCACCAGGCTTGGCAACCGATCGTGGAGTCGCAGTAAGCTCTGCAGCCTTCATAACATGCGCAGTAGCATTCTCGTTATTTGCGCTGCTCTCAAAGGTCTCTGCAATAGCTGGCTTTGGTGGTGATGTAGAAACCAAAGTAGGGACATTTTGAGAGGGTGTAGGGTGAGGACGATTCCTGGTGGGAGAGGGGGTTCCCCGAAGTGGCGTCCTCTTGGGTGACGGGAACCGGGGCTCGTTGGGCCCATCGTTGGTGTGTTCCTGGGGAGGGGCCAGCTCCGGTACAGGGTTCTTGATAGGGGTCTCAAAGGTAGCCGGGGTACCTGGGATGGAGGCTTCTCCAAGCTCCTGCTCATCGAGGTGACGAGGTGACTTTTCAGGAGAGAAATGGCGGACTGGAGACATCTTTGGTGTCGTAGGCTCCGCGGCAATCGGCGTATCAGGGTCCTCGTATATTACCATTTCTTCGGGCTGTGGCTTTGGAGTTGGTTCGGCGTCGACTAGTGAAGGAGCAGGACGCAACGGAGTCGCCTGTTCGGATTCAAAGATACCTGGCGAAGCTCGCACAGGGCTAGGTTCAGCAGGTGAAAGCGGTTGTGGTTCTTCAATAGGCTCTGGAGTGACGTGGCCAGGATTAACTTGCTGGCTGCGAGCAAGTGTTGGCTGCGATGCAGAAAGAGGTGGGCTCTCCAGAACGATAGGCACTGGGGAGTGGCGATCTTCAGACCCGCTTCGATGGTCGGTATGGGGAGCATGCACGGATGACTGATGCGCAACGCTTTCGGCAGAGTCACTACGGGCACGGCTTGCCGCCATGAGGTCCCCGTGGGACTTGGATTTTGAGAGGTCAAGCTTCTTAGGCTTGCCTCTAGTGGTGCCCGTTTGTCCAGCATCGTGGGGTCGAAGGCGAGGCGCGTTGATGGGTTTAGATGAGGGTGTAGATGCCTTGGACCGCACGGATCTCGGAGAGCTGACCGGTTTACCCGTAGCTTGAGCTGCTCTTGAGTCCGGCCGACGGGCGTAAGGATCCGCAGTTGCAGGACGACTGATCTCAGGCCGGCGGGGCTTCATAGCAGGTCGCATGGGTGCGGATGACAGAGAAGAGAGAGGTGCCCCCGTTGGTACAGTCCGAGCAGAGGGTCTAGGAGCAGGATCTGAGTCAATAAACGCAGACTGGGCGGACTCTGGGCGACAAGGAGGCATCGCCCTCTTGCGAGCTGCAATGGCTTCTTTCAGTGCGGAACGGCTGGCACCTGGGCCAGCGGCACTCTTTGTGGGTGTAGATGTGACCTTAGAGGCATTGGGATTCGATGAATCCTTTTCCAGCAGAGTGCGCGATTTGGCATCGAGAGTCGCCATGATGGCATTTGCTCGGTCGGGCCAGACACCGTAGAAGGTCCAGAAAGTGCTGCGTACAGCCTCTCGTACAGCAGGGTTGGCATCTCCCAGACCCTTTTTAAGAGACTTCTCGATAAGGTCCAGACCACCGCCATGCTCAATCGTGCTCTTTTGATGAGCCTGTCGGTTGATCAGAGTCCTGAGCCACCCAGCCGCAAAGAGACGCAATTGTAGGTTTTTATCTTGGGAGGCCCAGTGGACGTGTTGCAGAAGGCGAACATTGTATGTTACGTTCCCAAGAACGGCATCGACCGTGGCGTTTCCACTCTGAGCGGAAATCTTTTTCAAGGCTCCACACAACTTGATCAAGTTCTGCATGATAATTTCAACCATGGGGTCGAGTCTTGGGCCGCAAGTCCGAGCAATATCTTGCATCAGCAGGCAGCCGTTGGTACAGAGCGTGGTTCGCAAGGAGTTGACAACTCTGAAAATTCCATCAAGAAGGGTTTTGACGCCGTGAACGTAGCTCTGAGGAAAGTCGTGAGGACCATTACCGTGAGTGAGTCGGCGAAACAGAATAACATTCTTTTCACGTTTCAACCAATTGTCTTCGGATTCTTTGCCCTCAAACCAGGGAAGCATGTCTCGCACGGTATCGTCGATGTCTCGGGCGGATGAGACAAGGAAGGGCTCGACTCCATCATCTTCTTGGGAGATTTGCTGCATGGCCGGTTGCTCGGCCGGGGTCTTGGGCCTTAACGGGGCTTCTGGAGCAGGGGTAGATCTATCATGGTGGCCTCTTGAGGATACTGGACGGGTTTTAGTAGGTTCTGGCTCTGAACGCTGATTAGCACCGCTCTTTTTAGATGAAAGCAACCTGAAACTTGGAATCATACCATCATCCACTAGTTCCCTAGCATGTGAACGTGAGGACATCACCGAAATAGGGCGTTCGGCACGAGAGATGGGCCGGTTTGAGCTCACGAGCTCCGAGTCGCCAAGCCCAATGCCAGAAATAATGGCGCTAGCAATTGACTTGCGCACGCCGCGAGCAACCAGCTGCTTTTGCAGATCAGACTTGGCTCGCGCGGGAGCGTTTCTAAGTCATTAAGTCAGCCTGGAGAAGTCGAATTGAGAATACAGAGTTCCACGTACCGGAACAATTCAACCACGACTAATCTTGCCGTATCTCGAACCGCGCTGTCTGCATCCTCCAAGCACGCAACCAGAGAAGGAACATATTGGCGGAACAACAGACCATGATTTTTTGTCATCTGCAGAAAGATGCTGTTAGCGGCCAGATTAGATTTTAGGCAGCGAATAAACAGACATTAGAGAGCCAGAGCATGCTCATCTCTTTGGCTCGCGGGTTTTTGCCCGTCAGTGCGGTCTCCAGAACGTAGTATTCAACCTCGTTACTCGCCACGGACCAGAGCTCAGTGAAGATCGACGCCGCCTGGGCTCGCACACGTTCTTTATGATCGCCGAGTCTCTCCATCAGGACGGGATAAAAGTTCCGCGCCTGGCCCACGATCCATTGTTGCTGGTCTTGAATCGAAAGTCGCTTCAGAAAGTGGCCAAGTGTGGAGAAGCCTGCACCGAGAACCGAATAGTGTTGGGACGTCAAGGCGAGTCGCAGAGTGTCGAAAATCGTCGGAATAGCGCCTTCGGGGACATTCTTCTGTTTAATATCGGACTTGATAGCTGTCAGGTGGGCGACCTTGGCATCGACGGAGAGATTGGGATTTTTGAAGGCCGCCAGGAGCTCTGCAGCCTTTGCCTCCATCTTGAACGCCAACAGATGATTTCAAGATATGTTAGGCACAAATCATAGGAGCTACCACCACTTTGGGGGGAGCAGATGAAGTCGCTTTGTCTTTTAAGCGGTCACGGGGGATAGGGGACGGAAAGCACGGATAATGGAGTTCTGATAATCGTCACTGCCTATTTTTGAGTGTCAATTCGCTTTCATGAAGTACTTTGCGCACGCAGATAAGACAGATCGTGACAGGGGGCTGCGCGCAGAACTGGGGCACGTAGATGACCGTAGCGCGGGTTCAAAGAGAAGGAGCGCGGGAGAGTAATCAAGGCCAACGCGAGATCCGAGAACAGCGCAACATGATATCAGGGGAATGATGGAACTTACCAAGGCAAACGCGACTGTCGAGGGCAGGATAGGGAGGTGAGCGGGCGCGAACCGTGGATGGTGGGATGTTGACGAAGGCGACGGAAACTCGGAGTCAAGGGGCGATAAGCGCGGATAAGCGCGAGCGGCTCCACTGATGCGACAATCTTCTTCCCAAAGGAACTATTCAATTCCAAATAGATAAAGGGGTTTAGTCTGCGGTCCAGGATGGTGAGATTGTTGTGTTTGTTTTTCCAGAAGTTCAATTTGAATCTTGGTGGTGGTCAACCGTGGTTGTGCCCAAACCCCGCCCAACCCTCAAAGCCGGTTTGTTTATATGGTGGTCGCAGTGGGCAACCAGATGCGGTGTAGTACAGTGTAACAAACCAAGACTATACACGAAAATAGATCTGGGAGTTGATATGAAAACAAGATTGATGAGAGTCCCAATGCTAGATCTATCTTCAAAATAGGATTACCATCCAGCTATATCTACAGTACGAGACAACACAATAAACAACGAATCATGTGACCGGGCGAGGCATTAATGTTGGCCTACAAATCCATACCACTTAGCTATAGAGCCTAGGAGTTACACAAACATCTACTACTATAACCTATGAGCATGGATTGGCCTAAGATAGACCTATATCCAGATTCTGATCAATGGACTCAATTCAAGATGTCCTGGCTCTAGCAGAATCAATCAAGAATTATTATGTCAGAGCCTTCCATGTTAGTTGTATATGTTCTCAGTCACAGATAAGCTACTTTGGGAAAGACTAAATAACTATGAGCTATCCATGATAACCGATCTCAATGGTACCAAAAGTCTCTAGACCTTCAATTTCCAATCTTTAACAAAGAAATGACGTGGAGGAGAATAATGATATGTGGAGTCAATGCAATGGCGAACTCCCCCCACCTTCCGCATTGTTAATGGAGAGAATAGATTAGTCTCCCCTCGAACTGCTCTAATTGGCCCCAACTCAGCCTCACCATCGACCACCAGTCCTTCCGCTGACCACAAATCTGAACAAAGTCACTGAAAGAACTTCCGGATACTTGATCCGATCTTCTCCAAAGCCTTAGGACTGTCAGTAGATATATGACTGAACTCGCAATGACGACTACTTCGGCCGAACCGGCCGCTGCATCTGCGATTCCCAAACCCAACCAACCTGACGAGGCACAGAAATCAAACGCCAACGATCAAGATCAGAACCAGAAGATCTCACAAAAGAAAGTACACATTCCAAAGCCCAAGTATCGCCTCCATGCCGAGGACCTCCGCCATCCAGAATCTGCCTCATTCTCTACCTACATCCCGGATGTAGCCACGACTCTCGACACGGCCCTCAGCAATATCGTCAAATACCTCTATACTAGCCCAGAAACCGGGTCTCCAGTGGATGTGAAAAGTGCACCAAAATGCAAGCGACCTCACTTTGTCCCCTTCATCCCGCCCACGCGCTCAGTGACGTTATTCCTGCGCGACTTCGGCGGCGTGGCTTACACGACGGGCACAGAGTTGGACGACGCCCACAAAGAAATCCACCTCTCATTGCCGTATATCACGCACTGCAAGAACTCGGCCGCGAAAGCTGACCCGGTGCATGAACTAGCGGGTGTGCTGACCCACGAGCTGGTCCACTGCTACCAGCATACCTCGCCCCCGGACTCTGCGAAGGGCGGGAAGGATACCCCAGGCCCACCGGGAGGTCTGATTGAAGGTATTGCGGACTTTGTTCGGCTCAAGGCTGGCCTGTCGCCGCCGCATTGGACGCGGCCTACGTCTTCTTCACAGAGGGAGAAGAAATGGGATGCTGGGTATCAGCATACGGCGTACTTCTTGGCGTGGATTGAGGATGTCTGGGCTGGCGAGGGTGCGGTTGGTATGCTCAATGATCGGCTCTTCAGGGTTGGTTATGTAGGCGAGGGGGCGGAGGATGAGGCGAATGGTCATGAAGGGGGCTTTTGGAAAAGTCTCTTTGGGGCTGGGGTTGCGGAATTATGGGATGAATATGGGCAGTGGCTTGACGATGGTGAGAAGGCTAAAGGAAACTGGGAGGAAGAGATTGTTAACCCAGTATAAAGTATAGTTTAGTTGCTATATTTAGAGCGATTCTACCTATAGTCTCGATCACTATATGCAGAAGCAATGAATGGGTATGTCTAGAATGTGATTTTGTTTTTAGAATACATTTGATAGGGGCACCTCTATACACCAATGCCGAGACACGCGACCTCGGTGCCCGATGTTAACCAAATTTCGCTGGAGAAGAGCGGGGGGCGTAGCCAGATACATGATGAGACGAAGAAAACAATGATCAAGGGGAAAAGAAAACGAGATAATAAAAGATCCATAAACAAAAAGACACCAGATGAATCGAAGGAATCACAATTCCCATACTATACAGTATCCAGTCATGCAAAAGACAGGAAGCAATGACTCTTTTTTTCCCACTGGCCTGCTTCCCGTGCGAAACCACAGCACCGAGAAAATTGGTAATAAAAAAAGTCAGTAATAAACAAGACACGAAGATGGCAACGCCCGTAGGCGTCCAAATTCAAAGCACGTATTAGACGATGACCTCACCCAGGTCAACATAGACGGGCTTCCAGGGCGCAGCACCCTCTTCCTCCATAGAGCTAGGAACACGCACGTTGAGGGGGCTGTAGAGATACCATCCCTTCAGAGCAGCGAGAGCCGCGCGCTCTCGGGCCTCGATCAGGCTGGCGCCAGCGCCCTCGCCCAGCTTATCCTGGCCAGAGAAGATACCGACCACAAAGACGGGATGTCTACTCTTCCGACCGGTCTCGCTAATAATTCTGGCAACTGGGGGCTCGAAGTTTTCGCGGGCACACAGACGAGCCAGGTCACGGGCGGGCTGGGAGAAGTTGAACAGCTGGGAGATGTTGAGGTGTCGAGAGAGGAAGTGCTGCTCAAAGAAGCGCTTGGCTGCCGGACGGCCAGCGTGGAGGTAGATGGCACCCATCACGGCGCGGACGAAAGTGGCACTGGCGAGCTCAGCCGTAACACCCTCACCCGAAGTTTCCGGTCCCTTGATCGCGTCACCAAACTCGTCATCGTAGAAGATCTTCGATGTCACCGTCATCCTCCATGCTTTCTGTGCAGCATATGGGCGAGGTGTGCGTTTGTTATAAAGGACATTCAAGTCGCTGCCAGGTGCGACCCTGCGGAACTGCAGCAGACCGGGATCGACTTCTCCACCAGGCAATGAAGCATGTTCCACACCCCATTCTCTGGCCATCGCAGCGAGTGTTTTGGGACCGGCATAGGCGTACATGGCGGCAAAGATGACAGTCAAGGGAAGGCGGGGGTAGGTGCAAAGGAGGTGCTCGGTGGTGTAGTAGGTGAGGAGGTCGTGACCAAGCGTGGCTAGCGATTCGTTGTTGAAATCGGGGTTGGAATCCGCGGAGGCATCAACCAATGCTCGCGCAAGCGTCTGAGGGGGTAATCGGGAGGGGAGGTAGAGTCGAGCGTGAAGAGCAGCGAGTTTGGCGGAATTGAGCGCGGCATCGACCGGAGGAGAGGGATATTTGAGCATGTCCTTGCGCCTGTGAGCACTTCGAACGTGCTTCATCAACTCCACATCTTCAAAGCCAGCATCTCCAAGGCCTTCTTGAGCGCTGGACTCAGCCTGCAGGGGAGATGCCGTCGATTGGCACCGCGATCCGGTAGCAAACACTTGTTGATGCAGTCGGCTAGCAGCCCGAGCCCGTGTCGAAAGGACTGTACTGCTCCATCGTTGGAGCTGTACCCTCTTCATCTGAGCGATTGTGCGATAGACTGGAAACAAAATGAAAAGCCGAGAGAATAGCAATCCACGCTGCGTCAATGGGGCGAGACTCGGAAGGCGTGCGGCCAAATTCACGGGGATGAGGAAAAGAGAAATTGTCTCGCCGGGTCACGGGATCGCTCTGTCGTGTGAGCTGACGCTAGTCCCGTTTAGGCAGTCAAGGCTTGGCACTCGACCTTCGATTGACGGCCCTTTCGGCTTCAGCCCGCTTGCGAGGAACTGTCCAGCCCGACACTCCTTTCTCTACTCAACAACTCCCTCAATTACATCTCATTCACAATGGGTGGAGGTGGAAAGATCCCGTGTGTTTCCATGTTGGTCCCAATTGGTGGCTAGAGGACTAACAGATTCTGCTGCACAGGTACCCCAAGGAAGTTTGGTCCCCCGCTGGTGGTTGGTACGCTCAGCCGGGCAACTGGAAGGCCAACACCGCGATCATGGGCGCCTTCGTTATTGGCGTTGCTGCTGTTGCCTTCAGCATCAGCGCTGACCGGGAGTACCGCGACAAGATGCCCGAGCCCGGCCGCTTCTTCCCCAGCCGGTAGTACGTCTTGCCCTGGAACCCCCAATTTGTCCGAAAACTCCCCCCATACTGACCATTGTCCTTTTTCTTTATTTTTAGCTGGAGCCGACAGATTCGCGAGCACGAGAAGCAGCAAGCTGCTCAGAACCCCTCATAAAAGAGATACAACCGAGCCGTGGACGGTAGCCAGAGGAGGAATCGCTGCGTGACGGAACATTTTCTTATCGTGTTTTTACTATCATTTTATCGTTTTCTGTGGCTGTACGACAATAGAAGGGCGTTCCTGAATGAACCATTGGATCAATTGGTCAACAGGTGTCTCTGGGGAGACTCGTCCAATGTCTTAAATAATCGCTGCGTGTACAGGCGGACTCGTTCCGTGAATTCAGACTGATTCCACAATTCCTTCCCTCCCTTCTCTGTCATAGAGATCTCCGGCACACCAATTTGTTCTACCACGAACCCTGCAGCAACGGTAGCGCAGATCAGGGCCATGGGCAGATTACGACGGACGGCCCAGGCATCGAGAGATTCTCTCCAGGCTTGAGAAGCAGATAAGATAGGTTCAATGACATTGAACGGTTCACGCCCTGCAGTAACCATGCCCTGGGCCAATGCACCGAGGAAAGAATTGCCTGCACCTGTTGGGTCGACAACGGCCGTAGCACCCGACGTTCCTGGTTGATGATATGCGGGTAGCCATAACTTTTGGGTTCTCGAGAACGCGTAGCTTCCTTCCTTGCCCGCTCTGATAACAAGGCAGCCATCCCCATTAGGACCGATACCAGAGGCGAGGATAGTTTGGACGAGTTGCTGGCCTTCCTTGCTCCACTCGGACCACCCAGGCTGATCAAACATCATGCCCAACTCCTGATGATTGGGGCTCACCACATCGACAACTTTGTTAGCCGCGAAGAATTTCTCTTGCTCTTCCGGCGTGCAAAGATCTGGTACTGGCTCCCAGACAAAGATGGGTCGAGTTGACGCATGCTCAGCGGAGGGGGCTTGTCCTGCCTCATATAGCTCCTCACGCCGCCGCAATATCTCATTCACGATATGTATGCAACGAGATGGAGAGCAGACCATATGAAATGTACGAGACCAGGCCTGGGTGTCCGATAGCATGTAGGGCTCTAGCCTCAACTTCGGCGTAAGATATTTGAAATCTGGGTGTTCCTGTCAGTCATGGGTTCTTCGACCGTCAGAAATAAGACTCTCAACCAACCCCGCTTCTCATCCGGATGATATCCATTCCATGCTCTGGTCGTCAGTCTGGTATGATCGTTCCTGAAGACACAATCGGTGCCCCAGGACTGGAGGACTGCCAGTGTCTCAGGTGGAAAGTCGGAGCCAACATCGACAATCCAACTAACAGATCGTGCATGTGTAGATCCTGCAACCATACGAGCGCCAACTACAGCGAACGAAGCGGCACCTCCAAGAATGTTCTTGACTCCTGGTCTGGAACCTCCGAAATCAATGTCATCTGGGTGGAAACGGAGTGTGAGTATCTAGACCGCGGGGCTCTACGAAGAGAGATAAGCATACCAAGAATAAACATCCCCAATGTGCAGAATTCAACCTCGCCTGGTTGGGCAGAGGCTAGAACAGACTCGGCCATATTCAACAGGAAATCGAGGGTCAATGGCTGTACACGAATGGGAACAAGATAGTTATCAGATTGTGTATCCAGTCGGTTGGGACGAGGTTAGAGCCTCTGTACTGGAAATACCAAAGATACGCGGCGACGTCATTGGCTGCCGTTACCCCCGACGTAACGACGGAACGTACTGTTGCGGGCCCCAACTTCAGGAGCTCCAGGCTAGACTCCGAATCACCATTGACCCTTTGACACTCCCACCACTTGGCGTCCTGTGGATTGTGAAGGACTGAGAACAGCCGGATCGACTTTATTTACGATCCCGTTTCTTGCAACCAAGTGAAGATTTCCCTTTCGTCGAGTTCATTTCGCCCCTTTCCGACTTCTTCGAGCAACGTGTTGCCTAACATGGCGAGCGGCGGCCATATGCATAATTTCACCACCCTCATCAAGCGGTATGTATGATATTTATTGGTAGCTGCGTGGCCTTGATTCGTTTGTTTTTCGTGCTTCAATCTCGTCCAACCCGTGCGACAAATGCCCCAGCGCAGAGCATGCTAACCATGGTGTGGATTAATAGGCTCGAGGCAGCGACCTCACGCTTGGAGGATATGGCGATGTCCCTAGACGACCCCAACGTAGCGAAGGGTCTGGGTACTCCTTCCCCAGCTGCACCTGCCACCCCCGAACCTCCTAAGCCTGCACCTCCTCCCCCGGCGCCTCCTGCTGCGCCGCAGGTTCCCCCGCAGATCCAAGACTTCGACGCATTGATCAAGGGGGATGTCCAAAACTTTGTCAACCTCGGTGAGAAGGTTGGCGGGCTTGTTGCAGAGCAGGTGAGAATTCTAGATCAGCAGTGAGATTTGGAAATTGGCCATTGCTAACGCACACCGTGCAATAGTCAAAAGCAGTTCTGCAAGCCTTCCAGGCCGAGCGTACATTCCTCTATGTCTCGACGAAAGCCAAGAAGCCCGATGTCCCCCCTCCAGAGCTCATGACGGAATTGCACAAGGCCTCGGACAGTATCAACAACATTAAGGAGTCGAACCGTGCGTCACCATTGTTCAACCACCTGAGCGCCGTTGCGGAGGGTATTGTTGCCTTGGGCTGGTTCTTCGAGACCAAGCCCGCGGAGTTCGTGTCTGAGATGATTGGTGGTATTGAGTACTACGGAAACAAGGTGCTGAAGGAGTACAAGGAGAAGTAAGAAAATCCATGAAGTATAGAGTATGCGCCAGTGACTAACATGTTAGCAGGGACCGAACACACGTTGAGTACATCCAAGCATACTACCAGAACTTCAAGGCGCTCTCTGCCTATCTGAAGAAGCACTATCCCAAGGGCTTGACTTGGAACAACGAATCTGGCCTCAATGTGTTGGATGCTTTGAAAGAGATCAAGCGCGGCTCTGCCCCAGCTGGCGGCGCTGCTCCTCCTCCTCCTCCCCCTCCACCTCCTGTCCCTGCTCTCAATATCCCTGGCAGCGTCCCGCCCCTCCCCCTCCTCCCGGAATCCCTCCAGCTCCTGCGCCGTCTGCCCCCGCGCCCGATATGTCTGCTGTGTTTGACCAGCTCAACCAAGGCGAGCATATCACATCCGGTCTTCGCAAGGTCGACAAGTCGGAAATGACACACAAGAACCCCAGCCTGCGTGCGGGCTCGACAGTCTCTGAGGGCTCAGGTTCTCCCCGGGGCAAGTCGCCTGCGCCGAGCAAGAAGCCCAAGCCTGAGAGCATGCGCTCCCGCAAGCCTCCACGCAAGGATCTGGAAGGAAATAAATGGTTGATCGAGAACTTTGAGGGCTCCGATGAGATCATTGAGGTCGCCGCGGCGCAAAATCAGTCTATTCTCATCACCCGCTGCAACAAGTGTATCGTCAAGGTCTCGGGCAAGGCCAATGCCATCGCCATTGACAACTGCACTGGTCTCTCTATCATTGTTGACTCTTTGGTCAGCAGCCTGGACGTCATCAAGTCGCCCAAGTTTGCTCTGCAGATCGACGGTACCGTCCCGACTGTTCTGTTGGATCAGGTCGATGGTGCCACTGTCTATCTTGGCCAGCAGAGCCTTGCCACCGAGGTCTTCACTAGCAAGTGCAGCGCCATCAACATCATGCTGCCTCCCAAAGAGGGCACCGATGATGATACCAAGGAGTGCCCCGTTCCTGAGCAGATTAAGAGCTACATCAAGAACGGTGTGCTGGTCAACGAGATCGTTGAGCACGCCGGCTAAAGTGCCTCACGTTCGTGATACAGCCGGATCTATAAACAGACCCGGTTTCTTATTGCTCACGACTACCGGTTCCCCTTGTGATAGGATTCGGATTTAAATTGTTTTTTAATCTTCGCTTGCTGTACCTAGCGCTCTTTGTAGATATATTCCAAGAATACAGGTCTGTCCCGCACCATCATACCTACTCATCAAACTACCGAGCAATGATATCTGGAATCTTGAGATTTGTTATATTTGTTTGCATAAACTATCTGCTATAGAAAAGTACCTCAAACGCCCTTGACAAAGGAGAACCAATGAAGGAAAGAACCGACCGAAACGAAGAGTACTTCCCATTTCTCCTCAGTAAACGCCACAGACAGGATCACGACTGTTGCTCCATGCCTTCAGGTCTGCGCGAGGCAAAGTATGAGATTACAGTCAAGTAGAAAACAAAAGATAGAACGGGGGGTATATATCTGGAGCCCAAGCGCCTGGCCTACACTGATACGATGAGGCCGAACAGAAGAAGACAGAGTAACGAGGATAGAGAACCTGGTCCCACGTGAGAGAGATGAGACATGCTGGCATCTGCACCTGCAGATGGAGTGTCCATCTCACGGGGCCGGTGGTCGCTGTGCGGGTATTGGTTAGTGGTATCGGTCACGCTGCAGTCCGGCGCTTGCTGTGATCAATTGCAAAGTAGAAAAAAAAAATAAGAAACAACACAAAGTTTAATCATCATACCGACAGTAACCCGACAATTTGGCAGACTGAGACTTATGCTGAGACTCTCGGGGTTGAGAGATTATTTCAATAGCCGGCTCAGTTATTGTCAAAGGCCTCGTGTTTATGAACATCCAGGCCGCGAAGTCGCTTGGCAAGTAAGCTCTCACCGTTTTCAGAGCCGCTCTGGATAGAAGCATAAGGATAGCCTCCATAGCCAACGTCGCCCTTGTTGAGCTTGTTATATACAGTGCCAGACTGGCGGGATGTCTGCGAAGGCTCCACGAGGTCCATTGACTCTGATTCGTCCCAATGTAGAGGGCCATCACTTGGCGAGGAGATATAGCTCGGTAACACGGGGAATCCGCTTTGACCAGCACTTCGCCGGCGAGCTGCTTTCTCGATCGCTAGTCGAGCTCCGGCAGAAGTGGAAAGCGGATTCTCGCGAACGGGTTTATACGGACTGTATCGAGGTTCTGGCAATTGAATCTCGTTCCGAAGTTTCTCCTTGCCATCCGGGACTCTGTTTGCGAAGACAACCCGAATGCTGGAGTGCAGATAGAAGCGACCCCGGGAGGGACAACAGATGTTTAGATGAACGAGATACCGCAAGATTGGCTTGTCTTGGGGGTCCTCCGTTGGGTTTAACGAGGCTTCTGGACGATCAGTTCCATAGTTCTTTCGCACGCTCAGGGGCATGTCAATTATCGGACCTGCCGAGTAACTTCTTTGCCGGATGAACGTCTTTGTGCCGGGCTCCATATCGCTGAGATCGTAAGGGACGAGGAACAGCTTGACCGCAGTCTTGTGCGGGTTCTTGATGATGATTTGTAATTGTCCTTGCTGGGGAATTCGGTAGCTCCCACCAGGGGGGCATCTGGGAGACTCCGCTCTGCGGTTCTTCTTCTCCCGACGACGCCGCGAGTCGGCGTCTGGGGCTCGCTGAGCGCCCGATTCGATTGGGACAATTTCTTCCGGGGCCTTGGATGGGCTGAAATGATGTTTACGACGCCGGGTCGTACTGGATCCATCCTTGGGTAGCGAATTTTCTAGGTCGATTTGCCCAACATAGGGACTGGGACTATCGTCGGCGATCGACCGGCCATTCCCCGAAGTCGGGTAGCTGTAGAAGACAGCCGGGAACGGGACTGTCACATGGGGAGGACATCTCAGATGTCCTTTGCAGTTGCCTTTTCCTAGAACTCCGATTTGAGCAGTGAAGTCTAGCGGCTTAGACGGGTTCATAGACATCCGACCACGTAATATAGACTCTTCGTACGACCCGACCATCGGTGCATGAGGCTTGGGAGAGATCTCCGAGGCAAGAGAAGGTCTCCGTGCTCGAAACGCAGGCGTATTCGCCGTAGAAGCAAGCTGCAGGCTATATGACAAGGCAAGGGACCGACGAGGGGCGTGATGAGGTTGGAAATGCCCATCTTGTCTACCTTTGGGACATGGACTGCCAATATTGACCGTCCGTAGGTTAGGGGGACTGGAGTGCAGATGCCGAAAAGTCTCCGGTGGGAGAGTTCGTCGTCTATTAGCCCGTTCTAATGGTCCTAGTGGCTCTGCGGAATCAACCCGAGGCGAAAAGTCTAGATCGGTGTTGTTGGCTTGGTAGACTAGAGGGCTTGTCGGGGCTTTAAGAACATAGCTCGACGAGAACGATCCAAGCGACGGTGCTCGGGATCGTGATTGTAGAACATGTTCTGGTTCATGGCGATCGGAAAAGGGGTTGAACTGTCTTTGGTTGCTTTGAAAAACAGCTGCTCCAAACCACGGCGTTGTAGGAGAAGTGCCGAGGCGGGGAAATGGCGAGGATGGGCTGGGTTCCGCAAAACGAGGTTGTGGTGATTGTTCCCCATGATGCGGGGAGCCTTCTCTAAAGTCACCAGAGTGTAATGCAGATCTAGGACGCTGGATTTCGGCAGGCGAGCCCAGTTCTTCGGTATCTTCCCCACAGCGTTGGTTCTCTGAGACCTGCTCTACCATCCGCTCGTCGGCCTGCGAGTTAAGGGGCGGTATAGAACTATGAGGCGTATAGGATTCGCAAGTGTTGGTGTTTTGTGGCTTCATACTTTGTTAGCTAAAGACAATAAAGTAGATATGAACGAGAAGAGCTCTGGATCAAAGACCAGAAGTTACTATCTCAGCCCAATAGCAGCCCGACATACCTGATATTGCAATCTCCACGGCGATGACTCTTTAATTCGCTGTATGAGCTCCTGCCGATCGTTGGCCCAAATTTTGGACGGAGACGGCTCCATGGACGTATAATCTATAGCCATCCCAGCTGATCCGACTATATAACGTCCGCGGCCGTCGTCTTCGCCAGCCTGATCCCGAGGGGACCCTGGGGCTGGCTGTTCCGGCTCGCTATGGTCACCCGACCAGCGGTGCTGGGCCCGTCGATCCGGATCATGAAAGAGGGGCATCGTGGCGAGGCTGGAGTGACTATGAGGGTTTGAACGGCGAGTTGGACATCGCAAGAGGCCACCGACGGGGCAAGTGCTAGGATCAGGCCCGACAGTGGGGGGTGGGATGAGATGCGGTGTGGTGCAGATGAGCGGGTATGCCGTCAGAGGTTCCGAGTGGAATGGGGTGATTGGCACGGACGAATATGGGTATTTCGAACAAAATGATATATAGTTGTAACGAAACGAACTTAATATATAAAGGCAGGCACTGCAGAAGGAAGGAATGAGTGTACCGGAGGAGGAGTCCGGGAGAGAGGGGAAAGATAAGGCGTTGGAGGGCGGAGGATGTCATCTGGTGAGGTCGTGGGTCTCCCGATGATTCATCGGCGAGTAGTTTCGGGTTTCTCGTTGCGAGGGCTTTAGTTTCATCCAAACAGGTTGATCCATTTTTTGAGAGAGAGAGAATAATCCTAGCGAACAATATTCAAGTAAATAATACATAACCTATACACAATAAATCCACTGGATTCGATATATCTTGAATACTCACCCATATACTACCATATACTATCAGCTCCGAACTCCGTGGGGGGAACCACAACTTTTTTTTCGGTGGCCGCGGCTCGCCACTTTTTTCCTTCTCCGACTCCAACTGCAACAAAACCACCTGCAAACCCAAACTCGTGTGCCCAGCCATATTCGCGATTACCCAACCCGATCTTGAATAATTATGGCTCCCAAAAGAACTCGCGATGGCGAGAACAAACCCTCCGAGTCACGAGCAGGTCCCGCCATGAAGAAGCGCAAGGGCTTCAGTGTCGGTCCTGCAAACCTCCCTGACGGCACATATCGACGCAAGAGTAAGAATCTGCTGTTCTGTCAATACAAAGCCTCCGTCTTTCTAACCCGATTTTCTCTCTACAGCTCAAAAGATCAAGTCTGACCTGATCCAAAAGGCCAAAGTTAAGAAAGCCTACGCCAAGATCAAAGCCCAAGAACTCGCCACCAACACCTCCAAACCACTCTTCACTACCACTGAAGAAGAATCCGAAGACAAGCCCGAACCTGCTTCCCTGGAACTGCACCCTGATCGCGTAGCGATGATGAACGAGCCCGAGCCGGTGCCTGAGCCTGCGCCACGACCTGAGCGTCGCCCGCGCAACATGGATGGACAGCGAAGAGAGCGGAAACCGAAGCCCTCGGCGTTCTCCAAGGAAATTGAGATTGCGGAGCAGCGGAAACAGGCAGCAGAGGCGCGGCAACGGCAGCGGGAGGCTAGACAGAAGGATCGTGAAGCGATGGCTCGGGCGAAGCGGCCGGATCAATTTGGCAAGAGGCGGTTGGGACGAGAGAGTAATGTGCTGTTGAGTCGGGTGCAGCGGATGGTCGGCCAGAACTGAGTATAGACTGGGAGGAAGGGACAGTGGAAAGAGGCCTACATGGAATGGCAAACCAAAAAAGTTGTGATACCCAATTGTTACTTATTCAGTATATCTCTCTCATAGTCCTTACAGAGATAGTTTCCTTCCTTCCTTCTTCTCTTTTACATCCCTTATGACATCCTCCCTTCCCATCCCTGTCAATAAGGATATCTCCTTTGATTCCGTGTAGGATTTACAAACCTTTAAGTCATCTCTATATTCTCGGAAAGCGAACATAGGCGGCATTATACCAGGTTCGACCTATAAGCAAAGAATTCATGAACGCTTCATATTAGATCGGTCTTCTCGTTGAACTATATACATGGCTAGGCTATGTCGAAGCGGAGGACTTGGAACCTCCACTTCGAGGCTTCTTAAAGCAGGCAAACTCGCCCTTCGTTCGGTCTCGCAGGCGTTTAAGCACAACTCGCATCTCTCCCAGTTCGGACTGGAGTTTGGTGCGGGCCTCGTTGGTGGTACGGCGATCCAATTCTACATAGATTTGGCTTTGGATATTGGACGCTTCGTCGGTAGAGTACTGGGATAAAGTCTGCGCAATGAACTCGGTATCCAGCGTGGCTTGCATCAAGGCAGCCAGTGAGAAAGTGGGCCGAGAGCGGAACGCTGCAAGCAAGGACGACGACACTTCTACCAGGAGGTGTGTCAAGATGGTGGCTAGAAGCGATGATGGGGCATTTGTCGATGAGCGACTGGAGCTTGGTGATACTGTGGAGGGAATAGTTGTCGAGATCTCGGTATGCACCAGCACCAGAGTGAGCATGGTGCTGTAGACGTAAGGGCGCACTTGATCTGGGCGGTCGGTGGCAGGCACCCAGTCGGACGCGGTAATGCCTGTGGTGATGGTCTCGTTCAATGTAGCAATAGTCGGCTTAGTGTATGACTGGAAGAGTCGGTCTTCGATCTGTTTCAGGACGTCCCGAACGGTTTTGCCTTCTTCCGTCAACTTGACGGAGAATGACGTCTCGAAGTTGGCGATCAACTGCGGCACATATTCGGCCTGAAGGGCCTTGAGGTTCGAAAGTGTAAGGAGAATCCGTACATTCTGCAGAGGTTAGACTTGAAACACATAAACTTAAGATGATGCAATGAAACTTACCCTGTTGCGGGAATCGACGGAGTCTGCAGTGAGAACCGACAGAGCTGCATCGACTGCCTGGCTGGCTATGACCGGTCTAGAAATAACCCATTCATTCTCCTCTTCTGAGGGCGCGAGTCGTTCTGCATTCTCAACCAGTCCGCTAAGTGCCTTGTAGACACTGGACACAAATTGTGCCCTTACCATCTGAAGCAATTTGGCAGGCGGTTGGGTAACAACATCAATAGAGCCCGATTTCGCCATTGCTTCGGAGATGTACAGAATCTTCTGCATACCTCCAAGGATAGCACTCTCGAAAGCCACAAACAAGCCAGGCATCTTCGTCAGATCTCGTTTCTCCGAATCGCGAGTCCAATCCTCTAACATCTTGCAAATCTCTGCGTCCTTGCTCCACGCAGAGCATGCTACGCGAGCAGAACGTTCCCGCGCGATGCTGACAAGAGACTTGAGTTGATCATTTGTTGGTCCTGCGCTGCTGACGGGACCTAGTGCCGCCATCTCACTGGCAGCCGTGCCCAAAATGACGAGGAATTTACTAAGATAGTGGACACCACTGAGAGAGTTGGAATAAGGCGGCCAGAATGCATAGCCCTCCCAATGCTCTCCCTTCTTGGGAGCTAATATGGGCAGATTCTTCGGGTCCAGTTTGAACCTGGATTCGGTAGGTGTGACGCCCCGCGAGGCCGGACTTGTTGGACTGGGTGGAATGGGAGAGGAGAGGAGGGAAATGTCCTCTGTTGGAGGCTCATTGAACAGAGACAAGACATTCTCTCGAATGAGGTTCACCAGCTCCACAATACCTCCCTCGAGTTGCGTCACATTGGCAGAGGTAAGCCGGTGGTGCTTGCGGCTCTCGCCCTCGAAGCCGACAGGAAGGAGTCTTTGGCGGCTACCATCGATGAAGGATTGAGCTACCTCCCAGAAGTCGAGTACTTCGCCGAGCAACCCACTCTGAGACGACAGGAGTCGAGTAAGGAAAGCCTGGACGCAATCCCAAAGCTCAATGACCTGATCAGTGTCTAGCCGCTCGGGTATCTCTACCGATCCATCTCGTGGAGCTAGACGTAGATACGATGCAGTGGCCTGGGGCGATGGTTTCTCTCCTCCCGCCAGCCTTCGCCGCAAAATCTCAATCTCTACCTTGCATCGATCACAGAATGATGTTATCTTGGTCTTGAGGAATTCGTAACGGCTGAGGAGCCAGGTCCAGATAGGGTTGTTTTCAACACCCAATTCCAACAATGCTCCAATCAGCTCCATGTGCTCCTCCACAGGACCGGATGCTGTACTAGTCGTCGACGTCGTGGGTGCATCACTCAATCGTCTCCAGAGATCCCGCTTGAAGTTTTGGATTTGCTGATCAACATCCATCCACATCCGGCCCATGGCCAAGATCGTATGCGTTTCGTGGTCGGACAATTGCCGTTGAGCGCTGGAGGCCTGCTCCACAATATTCTTTGCCCGGTTTGCTAGAGTCCGAGCCTTGGTATACTGTTCAAAGACTGAATCATAATCGCGCTGTTGGATGGACTTGGACAAGTGACTTCCAATCTCATATACATCACGTTGCTTCTCCATGGTTTCCACAACCGACTTGAGCATCTGCTCGCGGTCTCGGCCTCCTAGCGCAGGACCCCAAACTTCCTCGGCCTTTACTGAAGCTTCGACCAGAGGGCCACGGATGCCTTTCATACCGTATTCGCTCTCCTTGGTCAGTGCGTTCTTCTTGGGCCCAGTTGTTACCACAGGAGCAGGTGATATGCTCCGGTGTTGGCCTGAATAATTCCGGAAGTGTCCCGAACGACGAGGAGCCAACGCTTGCTCCTTCGTCGCTCCTTGATCTCTCATCTCAGTGTATACGCTGTCAATAGTTGCTTTCGCGCGGACGAAGCGCTCGAAGTTCGCCTCCACCAGTACCTTCAGCGACGCTGACTTTTCGTCGATGGAATTCGACAGGTTCTCCAGACCAGCCACAAGCGATTCAATCGAAGCATCATGATGGACCTGGGAGAGGAACAGAGCGGGCGAGAAGGACGTCGATGAGAGTAGGAACCGAGACCGTTTGCCCCCGTCATCCTCGAGGCGTATTCCACGGCTCTTCAGAGTGCGGAGAATACTGTCACCTCCTCCCAGTGGATCTGGCTCATCATTCTGCGTGGTTTCTCTGGCATCTTTCCCTCTCCGAGATCCAAAGTTACTCCGCCAGTCACTAGGGGTGCGTTCTAGCGCAAAGTACCGCGACTTGCGCGACTTGGATTTCTGGACGGGCTCCTGGTCGGACTGGTCGGCCTCATCCAGCGCCGCCGGCCATTCATCAGGGAACTCCGAGGGCAGGTTATAATGACTCGCGACGTCGAGGTCGGACATGGTGGCTAGACGGTATGCTGGTCTGGTGTGGAGACAGGACGAATCGAAATGGAGGGGGGTTGTCTCGGGGTCAGGGTCCGGGGTGGAGGGCAGAGGCCACTACTCGGAGCCTCCTGCAGGAGACTGCAGATGAAGAGAATCGGCAGAAGCTAGGAATTGTATGTGGTGATAGGCAATGGCAGCTGTAGAATGGAACCAAGTATGGAAGCTCAGAACCCCGAAGTTGGGTTGTTGTCACAGCAGACCAATGACCAGCAGCAGAGTGGACTTTCGGGTAGCCGGAGAGCCATCAAACCACCAATGCGGTCTGCCCGGTCGGATCGGGGCGGCGCCGAGAAACTCGATTCTTTCGTCCCTTTTCCTCTTCTCTTCCTTCTCCCCACCATCACACCCTTCCCCCCAAAAAGCCGATTGTCGGGATCTGTTCACGATGCTCGCCGCCAGAAACTTCTCTGCTGCTCGCCAGTGCCTGCGGTCGGCCCGCATGGCCCCCAGCTTCGTCGCCTTGTCGCAGGTACCGTCCACCACCTGCACCCCCCTCTCGTCCACCGAATCCGAAGCGCCCACTTGACGAACAATCAATTGACTAACATGCTCTCGATTTTTAGCTGCGCGGTTACGCTTCCTCTCCCGCCGATGCTGTCGCCAAGTTCAAGGGCCAGAAGGGCTCTGATGTACGTGTTGTTCCCAGCCATCGCGATTTTTTCCCTCCTCGTGCCGGCGCCAACCGCGCCTGAAACCCACGGACAAATTCTCCACCTCGAAAGATAATATACAATCGCGACAATACTGACAAATTTTATTTTGCATAATAGGGCAAGTACACCGTTACTCTGATCGAGGGTGACGGTATTGGCCCGGAGATCTCTCAGTCGGTCAAGGATATCTTCGAGGCCGCCAAGGTAAAGACTCGTCGCAACATTGATTGGTCGGTAACAATCAGGGATACTAACTCTTATCATAGGCTCCTATCAAGTGGGAGTCCGTCGACGTTACTCCCATCCTGAAGGATGGCAAGACCGCCATCCCCGACGACGCCATCCGCAGTGTTCAGAAGAACTACGTCGCGCTCAAGGGTCCCCTGGCTGTACGTTCTCCACCTTCGCGCATTATGGCGATACCACCCTGCGTCATTGGCGATTGCTAATCGCATTTTCCCCCATCCTTTTAGACCCCCGTTGGTAAGGGTCACGTTTCCCTGAACCTTACTCTGCGCCGTACCTTCAACCTGTTTGCCAACGTCCGTCCTTGCCGCTCTATCGCCGGCTACAAGACCCCCTACGACGGTGTCGACACTGTCCTGATCCGTGAGAACACCGAGGGTGAATACTCCGGTATCGAGCACGTCGTTGTCGATGGTGTTGTCCAGAGCATCAAGCTCATCACCAAGGAGGCCTCTGAGCGCGTTCTGCGCTTCGCCTTCCAGTACGCCGAGTCCATCAACAAGAAGAAGGTTCGCGTCGTGCACAAGGCCACCATCATGAAGATGTCCGACGGTCTGTTCCTGAACACCGCTCGCGACATCTCCAAGGACTTCCCCGATGTCGAGTTCGACGCTGAGCTGCTGGACAACTCGTGCCTGAAGATCGTCACCGACCCCACTCCTTACAACGACAAGGTCCTTGTCATGCCCAACCTGTACGGTGACATTCTGTCCGACATGTGCGCCGGTCTGATCGGTGGTCTTGGTCTGACCCCCTCCGGTAACATTGGTGACGAGTGCTCCATCTTCGAGGCCGTCCACGGTTCCGCCCCCGATATTGCTGGCAAGGGTCTTGCCAACCCCACTGCTCTGCTCCTGTCTTCCATCATGATGCTGCAGCACATGGGTCTGCACGACCACGCCAACCGCATCCAGAAGGCTATCTTCGATACCCTGGCTGAGGGCAAGGTATGTTTTTGTGCTCCCAATCTCTTGGACAATGACTAGAAATAAACGCTAACAATCTTCCTTCCAGACCCTCACTGGCGACCTCGGTGGCAAGGCCAAGACCCACGAGTACGCCGAGGCCATTATGAAGCGTCTGTAAACTTACGTCGCTACTTGGATTTCTTGTACTATGACCCCCCATTTGATCTATTTCTTCTGTACCCTCGAACGACCTTAGACTTCCTATAGCGATCGAAATATACCTCTTTGTGGTTATGCCATTGTCTTCAAATCAAAACACGTAAATCGTGGTTGGGCTCTGACGGGAAGATGTTTCATAGAAATAGTTGTAAAAGTACATAAAACCCATTGTTACACATAACAAATCGAACAGTATCCAAAACGCCACTCCAAAGATCCGCTGGTATCAAGATGTAAAACTGAGATGAAGGAAAGGGCCGATATTTAGCCTCAACGTCGGCGAGCAGTTCGGCGGGTCATAGTGCTCGTTGAAGCCTTTTTGGTGTCCTTCTGCTTGGACCGTGATGCTTTTGCCCTCGTGCTCCTTGACCCTCCCTTGTCACTGCTCTCTTCCTCCTCGTCCTCGCTGTCTTTGCCACCATCACTACCCTCCTCGCCTTCTTCTTCATCACCTTCATCATTGACGTCGGAATCTTCCCCAGAGTCGGCGTCCTCGTCAGACGCCTTGCCTTGGCTACTAGAGCCAATTTCAACTTGGAGTCGTGTCGAGCGAGTTTCGCGTGCGGGCTGGCGAGTGCCACGATTGTATTTGCGACCTCGAGATGGAGCGGGGGATGAGCGGGGCTCTGCAGTGAGCGATTGGGTTAGTTGCTGGATTGGATACATAGTTGAGAGGGAGGCTTGAACTTACCATCAGTATCTGCCACTGTGCTTCCTCGTCGAGACTCCGCATGGCGACTTGTTACAGGCGACAAAGAGCCTTCTGTCGCCAGCCGTCTCTCAAACATGAGGTCCCCATATTCGTCGTAGGGAAGCTCAAATGGCCAGTACATCTCACTTGGCTCTTCGTCATCCTCGTTCGTATCTGCAAATACCGCATCCTCCTGTTTTATGGGTAGTCATTAGCAAGAGGATTCCCAACGTGCTCGAAAGGTGGAGTGTCGCCTACCCGTTCATCCAAAGCCTCCAAGTTGTATAGGCTCCCTAGCTTCTTCCATATCCCGGGAATGCGCATATGCTCTGCTGATGAGGGCGCATATCCTTGACTCTTCAGGTAGTCTGCAATCGCGAGCATACGGAAATGCTTGTGAACGCCTGTAAAACGAGCTTCATTAGCTTCCGAATGTCCCCCGGGTGCGACTCAGCTGCACCGAATGGTAACTCACCGACGGGTTTCCATTTAATTATCGCTTTCAACAGTGCCGTCTCTTGCTCGTCTGTCCAAGGATCGCCAATCAAATCATATTCGGGCTCGGGCTTTTCAGCGCTGTCGGTTGATCCGGGGGTGTCCGCGCTAGATTGCGCTGCCGTATCCTCGGGAGGTGTAGTGGAATGTGCGCGCTTGGTCTTCTTTCGAGGTGGCATAGCGACTATGCAATGTCATACGGCAGAACTAAAATAATTGACGCGCGCGAGATGCGAATACTGGAGAAAGTCGAGCTTCCAGAATGTCAGTCGCGGGTTCTGTTATCGGGTGGCCCGTGCACGATAGCCCTTCTCATCGCGGGACTGTCCCATGAATTTCGAACGCGTCCACCACAACACCACGGAGAGGTTCTGGCTGGTTATGGATTCAGGATGGATTCGGCTGACCATGAGTCTGATCCTTTCTCCAGCGAGAGCCTATGGAGACTTTCTAAGTTCAGTATTGAAGCTCTACAACCATTAGAGGACCTACCATGGAACGCGGACTTGCCGAGTACGTTTCCCGCATCCGAGGGTGTTTAGCTGGCTAATGACGTCTCTGTTGGTGCATAGCAATTCCAAAAACATGCTTTCAACCCCCACTTGAAGGCTTTGAAACGCCTGACTCGATATGGAAACTGAACTTCTTCCCCAACGACATCGAACGCCCCGAGTCTTCGGCCAATTCTGTCATCGAACCTTCGATCGACGCCCAATCCGATGCGCCATCAGACCCCCTCCACGATCTCTCGGACGATAATGATATCTGGAAGCTCGATTCGTTAAATGATGATCCCGATTACATTGCCCCTTCGAAGACGTGGGAGAGATATCAGGATCGTTCACATCGCGAACCAGTGTCGGCATACTTTAGCGAATCAGGCGCGAAAGGATTCGATGCCGCATTGTCACACCAAGCAAATGCCAAAGGAAAGCCCATTGCGGGTCGATTAGTCCGAGACAATGTCTTCATTCGGTCGCTGCTTCGCCTTGGGCTCGGATGGAGCTCGTCGTTTTTCCGCTACAATGAGCGGACAAAGACATTCGAGAGATCCATGAACGATGTGCGCGTTTCCGGGGTGAGCCTTGTCATGCTAGACTCTGTCATTTCCAGTGTGCTACAGTGCGGTACAAACATGCAGCACATACGGACTTTTGCAAAGAATGCGCCCACCAAGTTCAAGGATCTGTCTTCTTTGTTCACGTTGCGCGGTACCATTGTGATAATCATCTACAACCTGGAGCAGCAGATTCTCCTATATTCCCAAAGCATAGTTTCAGTCTTGCAGGTCATGACACTGTTTCAACGATGCGGGGACTTGATAAGCGCATTGGCGGATATCGTCCATGTGGCAGAGATGGCCAATTCGGATGCCCAGGTTATTTCTGCGGTGATTGAGCGGGCGGCTATCTTTACCCATATGTTTGGATGGATGGAGAATCTTCTGCAGGAAATTGTCTTCCGAGTAACTAGCCCCTGGTTTGAGTTCGTCGAACGCTGGATAGGGTTACGGCCGGAAGAGGGTGCTCTCAGCGAACTGGTGGCTAGTGGAAGAATGTTTGTTCAGTTGGAGCATCATAATGACCCTACGAAGTTCAAGACAGGCTCTCAAAGGACCGAGTACATCTACCTTGGTGCCAACATGCCTTCTTTTATACCGAAAGATCAAGCTCGGACTATTTTTGAGAGTGGACGGAGTTTGCGCCTTCTAAAAAGATCGCATCCACACCATCCCATTGCACGTTATGACGTGCTTCCTCGTGCCGGAAATCTTCATTTACACTGTGCGAATACGTGGAGTGATATTGAAAGGATCCAAAGGCGAGCCAATGAGTATGAATCAAATCTTCGTCATGAGATCTTGAAATACCACAGAGGACACAATTCTACGCAACCAGCCCAACTGGACGCCCCTGCCAGCAAAGAATCATCATGTGATAACTTGGATCACACGTATGAGTTCTTTGATATGGATGATGAGAAGATTATCTCGGGTTCTGCGGTAGATCAAAAGGCGCTTGCCAATGACAAGGTCAATCAACTACTTGAGAAGACCAGGGAGCCGGCCTCGGATTTTGTCGATGACGCGAGTCGCTTCGGCCCGGAGCTATCATCTGCTCTCTACCTCTCCCTTGCTCCAGTCATTACTTCCCAGGCACAACTAATCGACTTCTCTTACCTACACCATCTATTCAAAGAACACAATGTACGGCACCATCTTAACCTCCAATGGCGTTTTCAACTGCTTGGGGACGGCTCTTTTGCCTCCCGTTTGACACATTCCCTTTTCGATCCCGAGATGGAGAGTGGAGAACGCAAGAAAGGCGTAGTCCGGAGTGGTGTTCATACTGGATTGCGTCTAGGAAACCGGGATGCTTGGCCCCCCGCGAGCTCAGAGCTACGACTGGTTCTTATCGGGCTTCTCGGTGATTGTTACTTCTCCGAAGAGGATCCTGAAAACTCTGAACAGACGCGGGGTCAGCAAGACAATGAGCTCCCAGGCGGACTGAGCTTTGCGATCCGTGAGTTGACAGATGAAGAGATTGAAAGATGCAGAGATCCGAATGCTATCGAGGCACTCGACTTCCTCCGTCTCCAGTACAAGCCGCCCGAGGCTCTTGAAGCACTCATCACAGCGAAGTCATTGAAGAGGTATGATCGTCTCTTCAAACACCTGCTTCGGCTATTGCGAATGGTTTCAGTAGTGAAGGGACTGGTTCGTGACTCGACGAATCGCGGCTCCATGTCGGGAGACACCCGCAATGTGTTTCAAAAGTTTCGCATTGATGCCCAACATTTTGTGCTCGCTATTAGCGACTACTGCTTCCACGTCGGCATCGGATCTATTTGGGACCAGTTTCAGAAGACACTCACTAGAATCGAGCGCTGCCTCGACCGCGGTGACATTGACGGGACAATCGAAGCCGCTCACTCGGTCCCGCGCCTGCGTGACTTCCACGAGGACATTCTTGACCAAATGCTATTTGCATTTTTCCTCAGCAAACGGCACGCGCAGGCGGCTAAGCTGTTGGATTCAATCTTCGGGACTATATTAGCCTTTAGCCCCCTATCTAAGGCAGATGGGTTGAGTGGACTGCGTAACAAGAGCGAAGGAACCGTCCTCCACTTATACTCAACTTTCCGGAAACAAACATCCGCCTTTGTTGGATACCTCCGTGGCCTGGACACGGGCAAGGCATCCTCAAAGTCTATGGGGAAGTCTGAATCATTGCTCAGCTCTCGTACCGACACGACTAGCGTTTTCGAGCATTTGCGAGTCAGGCTAGATGTGAGGGATTATTACTGAATTCTCTGGGTCCTTGGAGGAAATGATGATTTAAGATACAGTACTCAGAGACTTTTGAGGATTTTTGATGAATAATGAAAGCCCCAAATACCACCAAGATTCGCATGTTTGCTGAAGCTCGTAACTCTGTACAAACAACTGTTCTTTGTGTGAAAGGCCACATCCAGGATACTGATACCTCGTCTCTCAGGCAAACAATACATATACCTCTCTCTCTCTTTTCTCTGGATTACTTTCTCTCTTATTTTCATGTTCCTCTGCTTTTCTAGCCAGTTTATCTCCAGCCTTGACTGCCCATGGCCCTCCTATGTAGTGTCCCAACTTTCGGTATTTTGAGCGCGGGAATTTGCCCCCAACAAACGTTTCCACTACAATTTGACTAACAATGGTGACTTCCTAGGTGATCTAGCGGACTTGGTGGGGTTTCTCTGTCATCTTGGCGAGCGCAAGTGGGATATCTTTGAGCGAATACAAGACTACAACCCCGACCTAGAGATGTGCGGTACCTGCTTCAAAAGTATCAGGAGCATGCTGCTGGGATGTCATATCTAACTTTCCTGCTACGAGCGGACTCATATTCAAATCATGAAACTGAGTATTTCTCGGAGAATCTACGAGCAACAAGCTCTGGTACGGAGAAACACTTGAATCATAACCCCTGAAATTGGAGAGAAATTATAGCAGTCTTGTCGATTCCGACTGAAACTGCGGCATGGTACTGAATGTCTAAGCCTATAACTCGGTTGCACCCCAAGAACTGGCGTCCTATGTCTCTGGAACATACTTCAACTTGTGGACTCGGGCCCGGACTAAATGAGATTGATTTTCAGGGAATATGTACTGTCATCCCGAAAATTTATTCCACTCTTCAACACTACGGCTCCTAATATTGTGGTGGTCATACTTAGGAATTGAAATAGCAGCTATTGAGAATCATGGGATGAGCTCCGACATATACATTATTCACTTGTTCCAAGGTTCATGCTGTAAGTTTTTCAATTATCTTATGCTCTTATACTTTCTCATTTTCGCTCATGAGACTTGATTCCTTCCAATCAGAGCCAAGTCATTGATATCTGGATGCCATTCGCCCAGTCAAACTTGATAATCTTTCATCTTCAAATCCGACCAAATTGAGCTTCGCAAATTTTCTCTGTGCTCAAGAAAATTGCTTGTTATATAGAATATAATATTTCACTGTGGCATCATAGGAGTATTTTCTAGTTCAAGAGGGTGAAAGGGTCCTGCAGTACTTGACAATCTGGGCAGCTTCTAGATTATGTTAAAGTGGTTGTAAAATGGAAAAGTTCACGACTGAGCGCAGAATTTACGGGCATCACTCAACTCTTGCATTGAATCTCTCATAAAGTAGACTGCATCGTTTGAGAGCCTTTAACTGTCATTCTCCTAGGTTGTGGACCCCCTCTTAGATTGTATGATCATGTAGTAGTAACTTTTTTGTAGAAAACCCGATGCATAAATTTAGGGTCAACTAGACTATAGAGGCAGGAGCGATCACTATCATACGATTTCCTAAAGCTATATTCACATGGCTTGCCACAGCAAACAATAAACAAAGCTTCCATAGTGATAATCAGACGCGCTCGAACGCGTCCAAGCGCGACTCCAGTGTTGATTCTTCGAGAAAGACAACATCGCCAACCTCATCACAGAATACAGCAGCTCAATGGCTATCCCTCGGGCCCCAGGCTTCTCGGGTTTACATGTTATCTGTTCTATTGAGCAACTGTAGTTGGTATAAGCTTGCCGTCGTTATTGTAATAATTTTAAGGATTAGATAGAGTAGAGTAAGCATAAACTTAAGCTTAATTTATAGTCAGATATGGGCCATTGAAGACCAAGAGGACTTGATCCATTTGATGATTTCACATCAAATTTCTCCCCATCACTACACACTCTTCTCTTCTCATCTACCTCTCCATCTCGTTATCTGTCTGACTCCGACACCTACGCTTCACACATCCCTACAACGTGAATCATTTCGTTCTAAACGTTTATTTCACACTCCTCATAACCTCCTCTACTCTTCTATTACCTCATCCTATCACCAAGTTCCTCTCCCATATCCTACCAATGTCTTCATCGTGGGAGAAGTCCTCATCTGAGGCACCCACCTCGACCATCCCGTTCAGCTCGGCGGGTTCGGAAGCAATCCCGAGCGATGAGGATTCGTTGATGACAATGGCCCGAGACACCCCTTGGAGTCCCGCGGAGTCATTCCATGAATACCTCGATGATGAATCCATGGGGTTTTCTTCTTCATCTCCATCGGGGGACAGCTTGATCCTTCAGTCTATTGAGCACGACGACAGTGTCGCCCTGGTTTCTCCGCAGAACCCTCTGTCAAACGACCTCTTCATGAGATTGATGAGACCAGCTGCTCAGCTGATGATCTCTCCTACCGACCCAACCCTAACTCCTGCTGAACAAGCCCTCAAACGCCGCGAGGAGCTGTTCAGCCACGTCCCTCACAGGGTTCAGAAGACCATGCACAGTGTCAGAACTACTCGGCACGCATTGGCTGATCCTACCGCGACCCCATCCTCTCCTCCTAAATGGATTAAGAACGTGCTCTCCAAGTTCATCTCGGAGAAATGGCCACAGATTGTGGAGCACCATAAGACAATCCTGGCCACCGCAGAGAAGAAGTCCCGCTTGAGAGAACTCGAACGCGAACTTCAGACCCCAGAAGTGAAAAGCGTTCTGCTCAAACTCAAAGAGCGTGGAGAGTTGAAGAAGGATCTCTGCTTGTCTTACACCGACATTGCCGATCAGATCTTTGCCGAGGAGGACCCGGACCTGTGGGATATGCTTCTCGAGCTGTACCAACAGGAAGTTGGAGAAAATCTTCTGGAGCCTCACTCTCCCCCAGACCCTCCCGGATTTTCGGCTGTTATCAACGACTTGCTCTACGATCCAACCCAAGACCCCGGCCATGGAAGCAAGCAGTCCTAGTTTTGTCAACAATCGCCGAAGGAAATGACATGCGGAGTCTGGTATCAATTCAACGGACATGTTGCAGGTGGAGGTCTACGAATAACCTGGAAGGTACCTTTGTACGATATGTTTGCACGAGACCTTGAGTGTACCAGACTATCCAGCTATCTGAACGAAATCTAATTCACCGTTGCCTTTCGAACATTTCTGTAGATCGTCAAATTGCTTTCATTATACATGGATATCGTTTCTATACAAGTAGCTAAAACAGAGTTATGGCATGTCCGTCTTCGATCAGAAGAAGTGGAGATCAGACTCGGCCCAGCCCTGGGCAAGAAGCACTTTCTTTGCCGACTGTTCCATTGCCCCTGGTCCACAAAGAATGGCCATACTGCTCTCTTCGGGAGGCGCAAACTCCTTCACCAAGTCCTCCGAGATACGTCCCCGGCGACCCGTCCAGTTCTCTGACCCCTTCGTCAGGGTATGTACAAGAGTACACTTTTCCCTGTCTGTTTCCACATATTTATCAAGCTCCGAACGACACAGTATGTCCTCCTCCAGTCTGTTTCCATCGAGCACAACACACTTCGTTGGATCTTGTGAATCTTCCATGACAGCACGCAAGACCTGGAAGATCGGTGTAATGCCAGTGCCACCACAGATCATCTTGAAAGATTTGACATGGCGTTCCTTGCCACTGATGAGTACACGTCCGTTGCCCAGATACTCGAATCGACCAGTGGGCCCCTTGCAGTCAATCTCAGCTCCAATTTTGAGTTTGTCAAGGGCCATTGTCATCTTTCCACCGGGAACATCCTTGGTTGGGAAATAGATCTTGACCAGCAACTCCATCTTGCCTTCCATGTTTGTGTCTGAGATGGGAGTGTATGATCTGATGATGGCTTCTTTGGTGTCCGGGTCGTTGACTTTGATCATCAAGTGTTGGCCGATCGGCAAGCCCAAAGTCTGCTTTTCGTGTTCCAAATCGAAGACGAATATCCTGGTGTCCCAGGATACGGTCTTTACCTCTGAGAGTTTGAGTTTCGACCAAACGCGTGACTGAAGGAATGTTGGGCGGGGCTCGTCGGATACAGCTCCAGTGTTGCTGTTGAGCGCTTTCAGAGATGCTGCGTCCAATGTACCAATATGGTAGTCGGGCATCATCAACTTCGCAGTCTCGGAATCTGTGAAGCGTGTTAGCAGAATAGCGGAGAAGTTGGACTTCGATCTACTTACGAATTGCCAAGAAGTCCTCTGACACGTCAAGCCCGGCAGAGGATGTAATACTGATTGCTCCTCCAGGGTGGCCCTCAAGGAACCCGGTGCCGTCATACACTTCACCGTTCACAACGAACCAAGGCTTCTCGCTGCTGCTGTTTGCCTTGAGCTCTTCCAGACTAATTTGGCGGCTCACTCCTTCTTTCTTCATGTTGATCTCCTTTACAGGCTCTTGTTCCACAGGTTCTTCACCTTGGTGCCTCTCGCCCCAATTGCCGTTTGTCAAATCACCACCCGCCTTCTTGACCCTTTCCATCCAGCCTCCAGCCCTGGCTGGATGTGTCGGGTGTTCGAACTTCAGAAGGTTTCCTTCTTTCGTTATCGCAACCCGGAACCATGGGTTGTTCATCATACCGAGAACAGACCAGTACATATCGCGTGGCTGGGCGGTCATTGCTTCGTCCATAGCTCGCACAAGTAGCGCATCGCTATCTTCCAAGTCTGAGACGGGGATGGAGAGAGACCAGAATGACCAGCAATAACAGGTCTCTCGTTGCCACATGTCGACTTTTCCTCCAAACAACTCGCCGTCGTATTCTCGGTACTTGTCTTCGGCGTATTCAATGTCGGCAAGGCGCCATGCTGCAAATCAACAAATATTAGCAAGATTTTCACACATTTCTTGAGCCAGGACGCCTTACATTTGCCTTTGTCCAAGGATATCTCAACCCTTGTGATCCGTCGACCACCACCTGCGTATGCATAACCCTTCGCAGTGTATGTTTTTCCACTCGAGGTCAAGTCCAGTGTCTCTTCATGCTCTGGGTGTACAGCGACTGAGTTGACATTAAGGTCGTAAATGGCATATCTCTCATCAGTCCACCACTTCTTATCCGCCGCAGCCATCTCGGGGGAAACCGTTGTTCTAATAAAGGTGTTAGTTCAGGAATGCAAGGCTTATTCTCCCAGAACAACTTACGGAAGCACCCGGTTATCGTAAATATGATACCAGTTTTCACTTGGGGCATCCGTCACAATTAACTTGGTCAACCACTTCACACTGCGACCACCGATCTGGCCGGGTACAACTGCCCGCAGGGGACGGCCATGATCTGGGGTAAGTGCCTCGCCGTTCATCTTGTAAGCCAGCATGATCAACTTGTTCCGGTCCATAGCCCAGTTCAATTTGACAGAGGTTCCATAGTATCCATTGGGCTATAGAGCGAGTTAGTCCCTTGTTCTTACATCTCATAACCTGCTCCAAGGTAATATTTCCCATACCAATTTATCAGCCCCCTCCATGCACACAAACTTGGCTCGTCGGAGAGGCTTCGCGCTGCAGAGGATATCGGCCATTAAAGGTCCTGTGAACAGGGCAGTTGATAGACCAGCTGGACCCCATGAGAAGCCTTTCGACTTCCGAACGGTGTTCTGTTCTTTCCGTCTGTTGCCAGCACAGACGAGTGTGATTGGTGCGGTGATTGAATCATATTTCTCGAGAATTTCACGGAAGCTCAAAGTGATGGGGTTTTCCACAAGTCTAGATACAATTAGTTTTAATTTATACTCATGAATGCCTAAGTAAGCGACAGTGTCGTCACTCACCCTTCAATGCTTAGCTTCCAGTCGGGGATGTCTTCGTCGCGAACCTGTGGTACGGCGCCATGGTTTCGGACATAGAACAATTCGGGTGGCGTGAGGAATCCTTATGGGACGATCAGATGGATGTCCTCGATAGCTGAAAGCATTGTGAAATTATAGTACCTTGATTAAATAACGTTGTCAAAGGAGCCTCTACATTGAAAGGATGGACGCCGGTCAGTCGAATAAGTCTTGAATCACGAGGCACATGGTTATCGGGGGTGCCTTTGTCGATATCTAGAATCTCGGTCGGGCTGAAGGATGGCGGCGGTAGAGGGATATCAACTTCTTGTGGCGTTGGTAGGTCATGGAATGTGATATGTGATTTCTTGAATGACAACTTGTCACTATTGACAAGAACTTGTGTGGTAGTCATCGCCATGGCGAATGTACTGTGTGTGTGACACGTGGGAATTTTTTTTGGTTTCGTAGTAAATAATAATGAACGGAATCTACGATGGACTCTTAAACTGATAATAAGGATAAGACACACCAAGCAATCTCATCTAATATCATCTCATAACGGTCGATTGCCGAGAATAACGTCCATTAGTAAAAAAGGAAATCGTCTATACGATGTCAGACCCGAGATTGCCCACGACATCCGCCAGAATCCACGGTTTTGTACGCATCTCCGCGGGTCCGGAGGGGCAGTTCTTACGACATTAAATAAGGCATTACATGATATGAGTGTGGGCTATTATTCCGACCTAAGGTCTTCGGGGGGGAATTCGTCAATATGGGTGTTTTTAGCCCTTATCAGGGCATAGATCGGGACCAATCAGAGCGAGGGGATTGTTATCAGAGTAGAGTTAGTTGATCTCCATTAGTGTTTTGCCACCATCTCCGCGGAAGGCCAGTCCCCGTCCATGTTCTTATCAACGATCGCCTTCGAATGAACTCACCGATGTGGACCCTACTTCTTCCGATGTCCATACTCATTGCTTGTTCGTCGCAACTTTGTACTCCGGACTGCAATAATCGTAAAGTTCGGTTTTCTTAAAACTAGATTGTAGCCATATTTTTGTAGCGTAGTACGGGTCATTCTGTTTTCAACTCTCTGACACTGTGTTATCCGTCACTATGCCAGTTCTAGACGGGCTTCGCCATGGCGAGCCGGTCGACGGCAGCGCCAGCCCCAGCTTCCATGCCGAACCTACTACTACGCGACAAAAGATTGTAATTGTTGGATTGGGAATGGTTGCCATCTCATTGATGTAGGTCTTACAGAGAGAGACATTGGCGAATTCGTCTCGCGCTAACAAAATAACTCTAGTGAGAAAGTGATTAAGCAGGATACGGCCCGCCGATACGATATCCTGGTTATTGGAGAAGAGCCGCACATCGCATACAACCGTGTAGGACTCTCAACATACTTTGAGCACCGTAAGATTGAGGATCTATACCTCAATCCCAAAGAATGGGTCAGTTTACTGCTACCAACCGTGAAACTTTGGAAGAAGTGGTGTCATCCTAATGCGATAATATAGTACGGATCATTCAAAGAGCGCGCTTTCGATCACCATCTCAACACCCGAGTTACCGAGATCGATTCCAAGAACAAGACCGTTCTAACATCAACCGGAGAAACGATTTCATATGATATTCTCGTTCTTGCTACTGGCTCCGATGCCGTCCTCCCCACCAACACCCCTGGCCATGATGCCAAGGGCATTTTCGTATACCGCACAATTCAAGATCTCGAAAACCTCATTGACTTTGCATCCAAACACAAGGGTCAAACGGCTGTCACGGTCGGAGGAGGTCTGCTTGGCCTAGAAGCCGCCAAGGCTATGACGGATCTAGAGGATTTCGGCAATGTCAAACTGATTGATCGCAACAAGTGGGTCTTGGCCCGGCAACTAGACGCTGACGCCGGCTCTTTGGTTACTCGCAAGATTCGGGAGTTGGGTCTCGATGTGCTCCACCAGAAGCGGGTCAAGGCCGTCAACACAGACGCGGATAACAACGTGGTGGGTATGACATTTGAGGATGGTGAGGAGATTGAATGCTGCTGCATTTGCTTCGCGGTAAGTTCTGTCTTACGGTTTGAGGCCTTTGGAGGCATCCACTAATTGTTCTCTTATAGATCGGCGTAAAACCCAGAGATGAACTCGGCCAATCAGCCGGTATCCAGTCGGCTTCAAGGGGTGGCTTTGTCATTGACGAAAGGTAAATTAACACTTCGATATTTCCCTTTGTAATGAGGATATCTAACTAACACATTTAGCCTTCAAACATCCGTACCTGGAATCTACGCCGTCGGCGAATGCGCCAGCTGGGAGAACCAGACATTCGGTATCATTGCGCCCGGTATCGAAATGGCCGATGTCCTCGCCTACAACCTCACAAACCCCGACAAGGAGCAGAAGCGCTTCACTCGCCCCGATCTCAGCACCAAGCTGAAGCTGCTTGGAGTTGATGTTGCCTCGTTTGGAGATTTCTTTGCCGATCGAGATGGGCCCAAGTTCCTCCCCGGTCGTCGTCCCTCGGTCATCGACGGTGTCAACACAGAAGCACCCCGTGAGAAGGAACCTCCCGTAAAGGCATTGACATACAAGGATCCATTTGGCGGAGTGTACAAGAAGTACCTCTTCACCATGGATGGCAAATTCCTCCTAGGAGGCATGATGATCGGCGACACCAAGGACTACCTCAAATTGAACACGATGGTCAAGAGTCAGAAGGAACTGGAGGTGCCACCAAGCCAATTTATTCTTGGGGCACAGAGCGATGGCGAGGAGAATGCTGATGACCTGTAAGCTGCCGTGTGAATTTTTACTGATTTCGTGTCACTAACACTCTACTCTAGTGATGATAGCGTGCAAATTTGCTCCTGTCATAACGTGACCAAGGGCGATGTGGTTGAGTCTGTCAAGAACGGAACTTGCAAGACCATGGGTGAAGTCAAGTCCTGCACCAAGGCTGGTACCGGTTGTGGTGGCTGTCTGCCTTTGGTGCAATCCATCTTCAACAAGACCATGCTCGAAATGGGACAAGAGGTGTCAAACCACTGTGAGTATAAAGTTCTTACCGATAAGCTTGATGTCTCGTGAATACTGACTTTATTAGTGTGCCAACATATCCCCTACTCCCGTGCCGATCTATACAACATTGTCGCTATCAAGCAGCTGAAGACCTTCCCCGAGGTGATGAAAGGTGCCGGCAAGAACCCCGATTCCTTGGGTTGTGAACTGTGCAAGCCTGCCATTGGCTCAATCCTGTCCAGTCTGTTCAACCCACACGTCATGGACAAGGGATATAACGATCTCCAAGACACCAACGACAAGTTCCTCGCCAACATCCAAAGAAACGGCACATTCTCCGTCGTGCCTCGAGTACCAGGTGGAGAGATCACCGCCGATAGGCTAATTGCCATTGGATCCGTCGCCAAGAAATACGGACTTTACTGCAAGATCACCGGTGCCCAGCGCATTGATATGTTCGGAGCAAAGAAGCAGGATCTTCTGGCCATCTGGACCGAGCTTGTGGACGCTGGTATGGAGAGTGGTCATGCGTATGCCAAGGCTCTCCGTGCTATCAAGAGTTGTGTCGGTACTACCTGGTGTCGATTTGGTGTTGGTGACAGTGTCGGCATGGCCATTCGATTGGAGGAGCGATACAAGAGTATTCGCGCACCTCATAAGTTCAAGGCCGCTGTGTCGGGTTGTGTACGAGAGTGCGCCGAGGCACAGAACAAAGAGTGAGGCTCCTCCCCAATATCCTCCGCCATTCTGACAAGACAAACACTAACAAAATGACAGTTTCGGTCTTATCGCGACCGACAAAGGTTTCAATATCTATGTCGGAGGTAACGGTGGTGCTAAGCCTCGGCACTCTGAGCTGCTTGTTACGGATGTACCTCCTGAGATGGTTATGCCCATCATTGATCGCTACTTGATCTTCTACATTCGCACAGCAGACAAGTTGCAAAGAACCGCCCGTTGGATCGAGAACTTGCCTGGTGGCATCAGCTATCTGAAGGAAGTTATTATCGATGATAAGCTGGGTATCTGCGCCGACATGGAGCGACAGATGCAGGAGCTTGTTGACAGCTACTTCTGCGAGTGGACTGAGACTGTCCGGGATCCAAAGCGACGAAAGACCTTCCAGCAATTCGCCAACACGGACGAAACCGTTGAAACGGTCGAAGTGATCAAGGAACGTGCCCAGAGCCGCCCCACATACTGGCCCGCGACCTCAGCGCAAGAAGACTTCAAGGGCCATCAGTGGACAAGCCTTGCATGGCAGCCAGTTGTCAAATCGGATCACTTCTCAGACGAGCCTCCACAAGTCTCATCGGCGAATGTCAAGCGAGGAGATACTCAACTCGCCGTATTCAAGATCAAGGGCAAGTTCTACGCGACGCAGCAGATGTGCCCCCATAAGCGAGCATTCGTTCTTTCGGACGGTCTGATCGGCGATGACGACGCTGGCAAGTACTGGGTTTCATGCCCGTACCACAAGCGCAACTTCGAGCTCAATGGCGAACAAGCCGGGCGATGCACCAACGATGAGAGCATGAACATCGCTACTTTCCCCGTGGAAGAAAGAGACGACGGGTGGGTCTACGTCAAGCTACCTCCCATCGAGGAGCTGGACTCCGTTCTCGGAACGGAGAAGTGGAAGGTCAAGAAGGGAGAAGCTCCAGACCCGTTCCAGAAGCTGGACAAGCGGTACAAGGGCATGAAGGGCAAGAAAGTGGCCGAGGGTGAAGGCGTTTCCAAATCGCTAGCTCAGCCAGCGAAGGGTATTGACTGGTAGAGGTTGTAGAATGTTCATGTAACGATTGGATGGTATTTTGGCGTTCGGGCTGGATTTTATTTCGGTTGCCTCATTGCCTCATTGGCCTCATACATAGCGAGATACACAATTTTGAGATTTCAGTTAATTCATCAATGCATTTCAATAGATCTGAGAACTGGCATGGCTCATTGAATAACTCGTTAATTTATCAATTCATTCCAATAGATCTGAGAAATGGTCTAGCTCATTGAATGCTGTATTCCATCAAAATTGAAAATCGAGCCCCTATACAAAGACTAGTACAAATTGGTCTAATTTACTATCCTATCAGCCTATTAGAATGACCCAGTAATGACTAACGAGGCCAAAAAATTGCGCTAATCGAATCTTGGCCTCACGATGGAGTTCGGGAGACTGTAAAACAAGCTAGTACAACACTGGATTCTCGGTATAGGGAAATTTCGAGCGTGGGAGCTCATCACCGCTCGAAAATTTTCATTCTGTCGCTTATCGAAGTTTTTCAATGATGTCAGCATTTCAAAAGATGTGCACACACAGACGCACGAAACCACGTTGACGGCGAATTCATCGCGTGGAGGGAAGGTGCATCCCACGTTTTCTGCAAGCCATTGGGCTCTTGGGCGTTTGCATTCCTCGGAGAACGTTCTTCTTATTCAAGATTTTCCTCCCAATCTTCCCATGTATATGAGATATGGTGTTAGCCATCCGGAGTACTCTGCGCCGCGAAGAGGCGATGGGCCACAGTCATAGTCGTCAACCAGCGATTCCAGGGCTAAAGAGGATTTTTACAAGGGAAGAACTCTTATTTAACTATTTCCGCGGAGGTCAGATCAACCCGATTAAGATCATTCCTGACCCACAGAAAAGTGGTTCACGTCTCCATCCCTATCTTCGTCGCACGTTCGATATCCAATGAGAGGCAATGCGTTTATCAATACCGGGCCTGGTGGGCCTGACAAACCCTTGCTCCAGCGAACCGCCCCAAACCCCAGACATTAGGATTGAATTACATACTTAGCCGGTGGCTGTGAAATGATTCTTCCATTCCCATGGTTGAACCCGCGGAGTTATGAAATTCTAAATCCCAAACCACCTTCTTATCGGGAGTGGTCGTTTAGGGTTTCTGGCACTCGGGCCGCGTTTTCATAGGCCATTCCGATACATTCCTTATCTTTACCGGATTTATGGCCCAGACCACCCTGTCCAATTCAGGCCTTTGGTCAGCCTGTGCGTGTCTGGGGGATTGCCTTATCTATCGAGTGATCTGCTAATAGAGTAAGATCTTCGTCGAATCAGCGTAGGTGGATATAATCTGGCTTCTTGCTTTTTTGGTCGTGAATAATCTACCCGATTTTAGTTCGTGCGCTGCTTGCTATTCTCCCAGGCACCGCGATAACCGTGATTGTGGCTCTGCATGTGTCATAATGAAATTAGGCCTGGTATACGAGTATCAGCCTTAGATGCGAACCTCTCGGTCTATATAGATGTTAACGGTTTCCGGTTAAATTTGAGCTTCACACACTTCAACAATTCGATCTCATTACCTGAGCCTCCTCTATCAGACGCAATTCTTAAATCGATCTCTCGATATTAAAGCCCTTGTGCTATCCTCATTGAAAACCATACAGCCCATCACCATCTTTTTTAAAGCGGATCAACACGCTTCTTGAGCCCGCAATGGCTATTAGCTCTCTCAGAGTTCTCTATGCCTCGCCAGAGGTCAACCCTGCTAACAGGAAAGCCATCACTATTCCTATTTTGAACCCAATCAACCAATATGGCCGAGTTTTCTTCTTTGCCTGGATGGGTTTCATGGTCGCATTCCTTTCGTGGTATGCGTTCCCCCCACTGGTAAGTTGTACAATCCCTACTCAAGAGTATCTCAAAACGCAATTGGCCGCTAAACTGATTCTATAGTTGACTGTTACCATCAAAAAAGACTTGCACATGAGCCAACAAGATGTGGCCAACTCCAACATTGTCGCGCTTCTTGCAACGTAAGATATCTGATTCGCTACAACTTATCAACATGGTCTAATTCCGTCTAGTTTCCTCGTTCGATTCATTGCCGGCCCACTCTGTGATCGCTTTGGACCCCGCTTGGTCTTTGTCGGTCTTTTGCTCGCTGGATCTATCCCTACCGCCATGGCAGGCCTTGTGACCACTCCTAAGGGCCTGATCGCTCTTCGCTTCTTCGTCGGTATTCTAGGTGGTACATTCGTCCCATGCCAGGTCTGGTGCACTGGATTCTTTGACAAGAAGATTGTCGGCACAGCCAACTCGCTCGCTGCTGGCTTCGGTAACGCCGGTGGTGGCATTACATAGTATGCTTTCCCAGACTGAAATCTATTTAAATCCATATACTAACAATATTGTGCTCTAGCTTCGTTATGCCCGCCATTTTCGATTCTCTCGTCGCTAACCAGGGATTGACTGCCCACAAGGCTTGGCGTATCGCATACGTTGTTCCCTTCATTATCATTGTCTTCATCGCTATGGGTATGCTTTTCCTGTGCGAGGATACCCCGACTGGAAAGTGGTCGGAGCGTCACCTTTGGGCTAAGGAGACCTCTTCCACCGAGACCACCTCTCAAGGCAACATCATCGAAATCAACTCCGGTGTCTCCTCTAGCGGACCCTCAACTACGCCCTCTTTGTATAACATGGGCTTGGAAGATGTGGAGAAGAAGGGCGCTCGGTCTCCCCGGGTTGTCGACAAGGACGCTTCGGCAATTGGTCAGATCGACACTCTCCGTCAAGACACCGTCGTTGCGCCGACTCGCAAGGAAGCATTCCGTGTTGCCTTCAGTCTCTCTACCATGGCCGTCGCAATCCCCTATGCCTGCTCCTTTGGATCGGAGCTCGCTATCAACTCTATCCTTGGAACCTACTACGAGAAGAACTTCCCCCACATGGGCCAAACCAAGACCGGTGAGTGGGCAGCTATGTTCGGCCTGCTGAACGTCGTGTTCCGTCCCATCGGTGGTCTTTTGGGAGATGTTCTCTACCGCTTCACTGGCAGTGTCTGGTCCAAGAAGCTGCTTCTGTCCTCTTTGGGACTCATCATGGGAGCCTTCGAGCTGGCAATTGGCTTCACTAACCCCAAGAGCGAGGGAACCATGTTCGGCCTTGTCGCTGGTCTGGCCTTGTTCCTGGAGGCTTGCAACGGTGCCAACTTCGCTGTTGTCCCTCATGTGCACTCTTATGCCAACGGTATCGTTTCCGGTATTGTGGGCGGATTCGGTAACCTGGGTGGTATTATCTTTGCCATCATCTTCAGATACCACGGTTCCGACTATGGAAAGTCCCTGTGGATCATTGGTGCGATCTCTTTGGCTGCCAACTTGGCTGTGAGCTGGATTCGCCCGGTTCCCAAGAACCCAGTCATTGTTTCGTGAAGACTGTGAAAGTGAACATTGTTACGACTGCATTAGACCTTTTTTTTCCTTAGCGAGGAGTTCTTTTTTTCTTTGGCGAATACCTTTCTCTCTGTCTTAACATACTTGTATCTCTTATCCAAAATTGATCTGAGTCTCTATCCTTCAACTCCTGTGCTGTAGGCTTCGGCATCCCGATACATAGAATAGTAGAACGGGCCTCGGGTTAGCACACCCCGAGCGCGGGCTAACACTGTGGCGACAAACGAGGGGCAGACGACAAGCGCGTGCGGATACTTGGCCTCTTTTACTTTACCTATTGGCTTAATTCGATGATAGGTCTATCCTTTGTCATACTCAATTCGCTCTAAATCTGCTCTCTCCTCTGCCTGGTGACCCTTTTTTTCTCCTTCCCCAGACCACTACCCCGCAGACCCCGCCCAAACCACAATCGATTGCAATTGAATTATTGTAAACGCACACAAAATGCCTCAGGTTCGCCGTATTGCTCAGATCGTCCACCTCAAGCCATCTGCCGTGGTAGCATACAAGGAATGCCATGCCAATGTCTGGCCTGAAGTCTTGCAGCAGATCAAGGACTGTAACATCATAGACTGTATGGTCTCGACTTTCCAATTGACTTGAGAATGAAATGGCTAATTAGGAACTACTCCCTCCAACAGATTCCATTTTCTTCGACAATGAGCGCACTCTATTCGCTACCTTCAAATATGTTGGCACGGACTTTGATGGCGACATGGAGAAGATGCGGGCGAACCCTAAGGTTCGAGAGTGGTGGGCCATGACTGATGGCATGCAGGTATGACAGCCTTCGATCTTTTCTTATCACTGGAATACTAATACTTAATCTCAATAGGAGAGCCCTATCCCTGGCGCTATCGGTAGTGCCGAGGGTCCTGGTTGGTGGAAGGTGCTGGACGAGGTCTTCTACACCGAGTAAAGGCTTTTGATCAAGTGATGTCCAAACTGTATATAACAGCATGTAGGTATGGGAAAATTTCATGTTCACAGGACTATTTAAAGAACTGGTCAATCCTCTTCTGTCGATTGTCATATGAGGCGCTCCCTATGCCACCACGGGTACGGCGCAGGCCCACGAGATGTTCCTTATTATCAACAGCGATTATTTTCATAGACCATCCCTGCAGAAGAATATCTCCTGCAAGACTGCCAGATGGTGGTCCTTCAGTGTCTGTAATCGCGCCAGGTGCTACTCGCACTTCATGAGAGGTGAGATGTCGCTGTAGCGGTGATGACGACGGTGACTGCTTCATGCGAATCGATAATTCCATGAATCCTGTATTTGACCAACTTGGAGAGAGTAGAGCAGCCGGTCCGCCCTCCCGCGCGGCGATACCCGGCATCAGAGATATACTGATGGGGTCAAAGAGTTCCACGAGACAGTTCCATAGTACGCGAAGGATGATTCCATGCGCAACAATGGCAACTTTACGTTTGGCGGATGGATCATCGAATAGAAGCGGCAAGAAATGGCTATGAAGAAACGAGAGAGAACGTTGTCGCATCGAGACTGTGGTTTCTTTCTCGATGACTTCAGCAGATGTGATACTACTCAAACGACCAGGCGAGGCGCTCGCATTGGTAGACGGTGACTGCCAGTGTACACCCTCCAATGAACCAAAATCCCGCTCTCGAAGATCTGAAGTCAAAATGGGAGTCACTAGCCCGCCATCTTTCTTAGGAGGTTGCGGGCGACAGATGCCCTCTGCCGTGATGCGTGCTCGACTTAGATCGGATGCAAACACCGAATCAAAATGTATAGATTTGCTTGCAAATGTTTGAGCGAGAGATTCTATTTGTAGCATGCCGTGGTTTGTTAAGGCCGAGTCGGTCGTCCCGGCCCTAGGGTGTGGGTCAGCGTGGACGGACGAGGGCGACGGTGGCACACAGAGACGGCTTCTTACCAAGCTTGTGCGACATTGTGGACTGTCTCCCCATGCCGAATGAGATAAACTCTCATGGTTCAGACATGTGCAGCAGTATATCAAAATCCGACATGGTTGATATCAAAGAACCGAGATGGATCTATCATGGCTTCCGTCTTCGTTAGTCACGTGGCCGTGCACCTGCTCCCCCACCAGGCATAGTGCCGGCCATCGCCATGTGGGCATGTGGGGGAACACACACTACGATCCCCATCTACATTATATACTAAATCAAGGACACTGAGAAAGCGCTTGAGGGAACGATGAGATTGCATGGACATTTGGAGCAGTTAGAACTGTGAAGGAAAATTGCCTTGAATGAAACACCGAACTAATTGCTCCGAAGAAAAAACCTTGGAAAACCCTTAACCGTAACAAAAGTGGTATGTTGCCATGAAATCCCATCATCTACATCGCATTAAAGAAGAAACGCCGACTGGCAGAAGCCAATTCCCTCATTGTATTTTGGATAAAGGAACTTTTGTGAAGCTTTTGCAGCGAACCGAAGGACCCCAGTCAAGAAACAGCCGAGCGACGCGCTTAAGCAGCGAGCTGGCGGATCTTCTCCTGGACGCGAGCCTTGCGCTCGGCGTGGGTGAGCTTGGCGACCTTGTACTTCTTGGACTCGGCCTTCCACTCCTCCTTGGTCTTCTTGGAACCCTCATCCTCATCCTTCTTGAAGGGGTCCTCACGGATGGCCTTGTGGGCCTCCTGGTAGAGCTCCTCAAGGTCACCGGCATCGATCTCCTCCTCGATGTACTTGGCGAACTGGGACTTGTAGCGCTCCTCATCCTCATCGGCGAGGGTCTCCATGTACTCAGTGACGTGGCCACCGAAGATGTAGTTGCGGAGGGTGTCAGCATCGAGCTCCTCGGACTCGATGTCGTAACCGGGGAAGCGGCGCTCGGAGTGGGGGATGAAGATACCACCGTCGGAGGCACCCTTCATGGCAGCGAAGACACGGTTACCGGTGGAGGTGCGGACGAGACCAACATCAAGGAAGGCCTTGAAGGGGCGGCGCTCGCCGTCATCGGTCTCGACGGCCTCGGTGAGGGTGTACTCACCGTCAGCCTCCTCGACACCAGTGAACTGCTCAGCCAGACCGAGCTTGGCGAGGGTGCGGCGGGCAAGGAGCAGACCGGTGGCGTAGGCAGCGGACCAGTTGGTGAGACCCTGGGTGATGCCGTAGCGCTTCAGCTCGTGGGCGTAGGCAGAGGCGAAGACCTTGTCGCCGGAGATCTCAGAGTAGACGATCTGGGTGACGATGTCGCGGTTGGTGAAGCGAACGACCATGCGGTACTTGGGCGCATTGTACTTGTTCTTGGCCTGGGTGATCAGGCGCTTGCGAGCGTAGTAGTCGGTCTTACCCTCGCGACGGCGGCGGTACTTAGTCTGGTAGCGACTATGGGAGAAAGCGGGGTCAGTAAAAAATATTCTAGAGATATTAAAAATCTCAAAGTGACAGAATTGGCTTACCTGAAGTACGCATCGTTCTTGACAAGCTTGGTGAAAGGCTGTACAAGAAGATATCGCGAGTCAGCAATTTGCGCTTCAGAATTTCGTCCGAAGCATCTTGCAGGGACCCGGCTCCGAACGAGCGGAGGGAGAAAGGCGTGGGAGCAGAATGTTGATAAATTCAACCATCTGCTATCGCAGACACACTCACCATGTTGACGGTTGTCGGAGCTGAAGCCTGGTGGTCGACGGATGGAAGAGAGGAGGAGGGGAGAAATTTTGGCGGTGACTTTGTGGGGAGTTTCGCTTAGCGGGCTGCATCCCGCAACCAAAAGTGCGGTTGGCGACGACAGACTTTTGGGGTGGGCGACGAGTGGCCAAACTTACAGTACCGTAAAAGGCTTGTAATAACGGGAGGATTGGCCAGCACTTCGAAAATTACAGTACCCAGTCTTCTACAACTTTCATATCTATGGGAATAATGCCAACAGAATAATGTAATTTTTGGGGATTTGGTATGACTGATATACAACAGTATGATAGTTACCCGTAAATTACTGATAAGATAGAAGAACAGCAATGGCATAAAGCGTAAAAGTTGACACAGGGGAATCACTCGCACTCTATACATACTACCATCTCTATACTATGCTATCTTGCCTCACAGGCGGGCTTTATCCTCGCTCTCGAGCAAGGATAGGCCAGTGATCTTCTCGAGTTCCTTGACAGCATCTTCAATCCTGCCCAGGGTGACCTTGACAGTACGCATACCAGCCTTCTTGGCACCCTTCAAGTTCTCTCCAATGTCATCGAAGAAGACAATATCCGAAGGCTGAACCTCGGGCAGTCCGCGCTGCTTAGCCAAAGCCTTCATTTCTTGGATAGCCACCTGGTAGATTTTGGGGTCTGGCTTGCGAAGCCCGGTATGTGCGGATGAGATGAAGAAATCAAACTGCGATCGTACTCCAGATACGTCGCTGTTGTATGCATGACCATCGGGGAACTTCACGGTGTTCGACAGAGCCCCCATCAGATATTGCCCCGATGCTTTCAACTTCTGGAGTGCCGGAAACATGTATGGGTCTGGGTTGCGGGATACCCTCATCATCTCCCAGAAGAGCCACTCTGCATCCACTTTTGGCAGTGGGGGGACGGGGCCGGGGGTCTGGCCCTTTTTCTTCGCTAGTTGCTCATGGAATTGCTTCCATAGCTCAGGGTTCTTCAGATCATTGTTAAATCCCGCAAAGAAGTCCGCATCCATTGGGATATGACCACGCTCGAGCTTATGCCAGCTGCCGTTGGGGGATGTGCGGGAGATGCTGAAGTTAACCCAGCCTGGTGGGATGTTCTGTGCAATCTCATAGTCTAGGATTGCCTGGAATGGAGAAACAACCTGCGAGGGTGGTCAGCGAAACACTCATGGTTAGAATAAAGCAACTCGGCGTAATCTTACGCAAACTCCACCAATGTCGAAGAGAAGGCCTACTGGCCGCTTAGTCTCTGCCATTATATGGTCGATGTATCAGCAGGTGACGAGACGTGACCTTTTGCAATGTATAGGGTAACCTGGAAGATGGTTGTATCGAGCGCGTCTATTATCAGATTACTGCGGAGGAATCCAGGCCCTTTAAAAGCGACCCTGGATTGCCGAGGTACTGGGCGGTTTGAGACCGAGGGAGTGGTTCTCGCCAGCTTCGATACGAGCCTTTTTCAACAACCACTCGATAGACTATTATCATATACCAATAGTGATATTCGGCGTGTTTATTCATCATATATGCCACGACGGTTTCCCATGATCGAAAGTGCAAACCGTTAATTCATTCGATTCTCCTCCAGCATGCAGACCGTGGGGTACCGCACGTGACCCGTTATCGATAAGATTGCAAGTGGACGCGTCCCAAGAGGAGAGAAGCACGCCGCTCCTCACTATCAAATACAAAGAATGCGGTTTCATTCAACAACGTCGAAGCAATGGACTCGGCTCAAAACATATCAGAATTAAAGTCATCATTTATCCGCGGTCAAGTTCGCATCCTCTCCGAGAGTCTCGAGCCACCCGAGGACTGGAAGAACTATGCAGTGGAGACGGACGAGGGCGATCTGCCTGAGAAGGTGATTGGGGATGTATTGCACAAAAGTAGAATTCTCTCTCGGTGCTCAGGAAATGGCCTACTTGCGAGCCTCTTCTATGGACAACTCTTTGGGCTTAGAGGCTAACCCATTACTAGTCAACATGGCAGCCAAACAACACAACCGCGTCGTCTACTCGTCGCAGGCAATTCACCATATCGCTCATCAGATTGCCAGTCTCTATTGGACTTCGGTCAATGAAGAAATACAAGACCGAGCTTCTTTTGCCAATGGGGTGGAGAAAACAGCTGACTTGTCGCGACATATGTGAGCCGCCCATTAGCCCCTCCGGTTTTCTCTCCGTTCGCACAAGATCCCTGCTGACTCTCTTCAGGAATATCACGAAATTACCATTGGATATCGAATCACAGAGTGCGAGTGATGATTCAAATAGCAGGTTAGCCTACAATCTGCCCGAGCTTTCCTCGATTACAGTTCCGCCTGCCTAACTCCCGTTGTATAGATACCAACAGCTCCGAGAACAACTCGTTACGCTGGACGAGCAGCGTCAGCAACGTCAACGAAGACTCGACCAATTACAGCACTTGCAGCGCCTGCTCGGACCTTTCAAGGATCCCCAGAAGGACATCCAGCCGAATCTTGTCACTCGAGATGGAGAGCTGGTCCAAGAATTGGAAAAGATGCGAATGCTGGCCGCGCGGGTTGGTGGACGAATCTCTCAGCAGAAGCAGGGCCATCTCAGTACCCAGGAGAGCAAGGAATATTTACTACCAGGGTCTGGCCCAAGACTAGGGGCCCTACTCGATACGGAGTCATGACTTTTAACGACCTCACAAATCTACATGGAACATCCACAACGAATTTGAAACCCGCCCTGGTCCATGACATGGGTGACGGAAAGATCTCGCACTGCAGCACCGTAAGAAACTTGCAAGTCAGTCGTAGCAATTCCCGGTAGCCTTTTTTTCCTTCTCAGTTGCTTGATCTACTGGTATTCCTCGTGTACATGCAGATCCCGAGAGGGCGCTAGGCAACCAGCCCACCCGAACTATATAGATCACCATCTGGGCCCAGACCAGATGATCGGTGCAAAGGACAGCAGGCGCCTAGTGACCAACTCGAAAGACAGACAATGACAATCGCAGCAAGAACCGCCCGTGGTTAATGAATTCTAATTGTAGTAGGTACGCTTACAAATTATTTGAAAAGAAAGCGAGAGTTTACCGGTTCCTTGCAAGTTTCCAAGTTGCAGCTTCGTTCTCCATTCTCTCCGTCATCCATTACACCTACATCTGTCAGTCTCGGAACGGTTCGGTTTACTCAGGAGAACGATTCTGAGCTTATCCCTGAGAGAGTTCTCCATACATTCACCAGCCTTCATGCATCAATGAACGCTCTTGATCGGATGAAACGATTGGTTGGGTTGGAAGGGGGAAGTAGTCGACAACAGACTCCAGTGGCTTTGGGGACTTCCAGCGAGAACGGGCCTCCAGCGGTGAAGATTACTAACCCGATCGGGAATGGCGCTAACTCCCTGGAACAACGCCAGCTCGTCGAGGAGACACCACTTGCGTTGGATCTCGCCCTGACAACCTTTGATTCTGACTTTAATCCATCTGAGTACCGAGAGCATTGCGATCGTCCCCTTCACTCCTCTTCTCAACCCAACCAGCCCCTCTACCAGCCTCTTCTCGACGATCCCCCTGCGATTGGCCACGACGCCGACCCTCTCTCCCTCTCTGACTCGTGCGCCGCCATCATCGAGGGCGCCGGCTCTTCCTCCTCTTCCAAGGCACCTTATACACGTGGGCACCGCCGTCGTTCCACCCACGTTACTCGCCGTGACCTTGAGAAGTTTCAAAAGGAGGTCCTGGGCGTTGACAACCGCCCCGCCTGGTACGACGAGGAAAACGGCTCCTCGCTCCCCATCAACCCTTACGATCCCCAGCTTACGGAATTGAATCTCGCTTTTGAACGAGCCGATATGTCCATGAACAGCGGTGCCGGTGGAATGGCTGGCGGAAATAATCCAGGACCCAACATGTATTCCAATTACGCGGAGAATTCACCAACTCCCAACATGGGTAGCATGCAACGACAATCACCCAACCCTGCATATCCTCACCCTGCTCCACAAGTTAATGGTGCTAGTGCTGGTGCTGGTGGGATGGGTGCTGCGATGAATGCCAGCATGTCGATGAATGCGGGGCATCAGATGGATTTGCATCATCTTTATGAGATGGTCATGGAGCTGAGTGAGGTGCTGAAAAATAACCGAGAGGTTACAAAGAGTATTGTCACAAGTGCTGAAGAGATTATGGTTGGTTTTGCTAAGACGATCAGGTGATGGGAGAATTGAGCTAACGGATTAATGCAGAAACATGGAAATTCCGAGGATGCAAGCGCCGTTATGCGGCAGGTCAACGGCGAGATCTCCGGTATGTCTTCAAGGTTCATATCATTTGTCTCAAGCCCATGCAACTGACACTAGTTCAATAGCTGCCCGTATTTCAGAGCTCGAGCGTGCCCTTGCCAAGGAGAAGCGACTAGTCGAAGATCTAAGACGTGAACAAGTGGAAAACACCAAATTGATCAGTGACTACGAAGCCAACGTAGGCACAATGGTGGAACAAATCCGCAATTACTGCCAAAACAACAACATGCATTTCCTCTACCAAAAATCACATTACAATAACCTCCTACAAGCAGAGCGAGATGCACACCTCGAGAGCCGTCTCGACCGGGATTACTGGCACACACAAACAATGAAATGCGCACAAATGATTCGCAATGCACATCAAATCAGGTCAACTGAAGAGGAGCTCCCTGTCCGCATCATATCTGGTCTACAAAATGAAGTCCGGGCCTACCGCAACGCCTTGGGGATGGAGCCTGAGAAACCAGAAGAGGAATATGGTTGGGAAATTCTCAAGGATGTTTCCAGTCTGGAATGAAATGGAACTACAGCGCCGGATACTTAGACTCAGTTGGATGATGGACGCCGTCATGACCTGTATTATTACCTTGTTTCTGTTGCATAGTTCCCGCTGGCGGGTTGGACTTTGGATGCCGTGATGATCGCTCTTTTTTTTCTTCGCTTCCCTTTCTCTGGCTCTAAGCTGCCATAATTAGGGTTGGCTTTTGTCTATACAATAAATAGCTAAGTGTCCCAGCAGGATACTTAGATTTGAATCATTGATAGACCTTTTTCTGCAAGTGTTATCCTTGAATAGGCATGAAGCACATAGGCAAGATGATTAGCAATATTTCCTTCGAGATAAGTACACATCTTCCTTGAACTTTGCATTGTCATAGAGGCTCGCCCAGGCTTGATAGAATCCGCAAATACTATCATTAGAAATTCACAAAGAAGACTGAAAATGACAGAAAAAAAACCTAAGCCATGAGATCTGGCGAGGACTGCTGAACCAACCAAATAAGTCACATATGTACAAGACCCATTTGATGGCTATTAAAAGCAAACTGGTAGCAGCGAGCATGAAAAAATAGTAATAGTAATAATGATGATGATGATGATGATAATGCCAAGGATAAAGTAAGGTGATATTCGAACATGGACAGGCAATATGTGCAACAGGAACGCTTTCAAAGAGTAAGAGACAGTGTGGAGGACATATGAACGACCATGAATTATGCGTATTGATAAGAGCTGGGGGCGTTTGAGATGTGGAATTAAGGAGGTGTGAGAGACTTGCTCTCAGAGCTCTGCTGAGTATCGTTACTGGGGGTCTTCTTGGACTCCCCGTTGCTGGCGCTAGGCATAGATGCAGCCAGGCGCAAACCACTGTTAATCTGTGCCGCAATCTGGGATTGCTTGAAGCGCTCAAAGCCCTCGACGTCCTGCCGTTGAGCATCCCAGAGCTCTTCGACGGTTGAACCGAGCTTTTCGAAAGCCTCTTCGGCTTCGGCGCTGTCGAATGGTGACTGGGATTGTTGTTCGTGCAGACGTTCCAGTTTTTCTCGTAGAGCGACGAGATGCGCAGCATTGTCATCGTCCGGGTCGCCTTGGCTAAGTGGCGGGTTGAGGAAGTCACGACGGAGGTTCTGGCCTAGTCGGTGAACATGGCCTTCTTCTGATGTCATGGCACGAGCATGGAGCGAGGTTATGGAGCTGGTTCGGGAGAGATGAATGGCGTAGTGGTCAGTTTCTTCGTCATCGATGGCGTTCTCGTTATCAATGGCACTTCCATTCAAGTTGCCGACCATGCTTGGTCCGGTTGCATCCTCTCCAGAGTGCTGTGAGGTGTTGTCGGGGGCGATTGATGCAGGAGCAGGCTGAGGGACGATACGAGTCTCGGGGTACTCGTCTTCGAAGCGTTGAATCATCCTATGGAGAGTAAAGTCCAAGAATTGCAGACGCCCTGTAAGGAGAAGATGTTAGAGAAAGTTGCAATACTGTGTGCTGCGGGGTACTCACTATAGTTTGCATCATTGCCAGCTCGGTCCTCGCGGATAAGGGCTGTCTGAATACGAGCCCGAATGTTTCGTGCCGATTCCAACAGGTTCTTCGACATATCACGAGGCCGCTTTGCAACGACGCCTCGAGACTTGCGGCGTCTAGGAGTCGTGGTGCCACTAGGGGGAGCTGACTGGTCTGCAAGAGCATCGCTACCATCTTGGTTCAAATTGCCAAGGCAGACACCTAGCGCCTTAACGACACCAGTACCGCCAATGACATAGTCCTCGTCCGGAGCTGCATCATCTTCCTCGTCACAAGGCTCTTCAGGGCCGTTTGAATGACCGACGATATGTTGCAAGATATCAGGCACAGGAACATCCCTAGAGGATGAGGTGGTAATCGATTCAGAAAGTTCTTCTGCGATTGCACCGCCCTCGAGATTTCGAAGAGAGTATGCCACAATCTGAGACGCCAGAGCCTTGACAACTTCATTGGTCTCTGCGGTGGGAATTTCAATATCCACTGCGATGATCGTTCTCGAAACGCGGACAGCAGCCATCATAGAAGCATAGACTGCACATGCCTCCTCTTGAGCAGCAGCATCCGTACTGGAAGCCATAGCTGCAATCTGGGGATTCTCCAGAATATTGAGATGGCAGAGGCTGGGACATTCTGGGAGAACTTCGGCCAGACCGATTACATGATCCGGTGAAAGATCAACGTCTGCCAGATGGATGCGCTTGAGGGAAGGCATCTTCGGCAGGAATCGTCGGAACGCTCCAAGGGAGCTCGGTTGCGATGAAAACAGTGCGAGATTATGAGAAACATCCATGAAGCGAAGATTGTGAAGTCTGGTGAGAGCTTGGAGCAACGGGCAGATCACAGCTGGTGTCAAGGAACAATCGGCAAGGCTGAGTGCGAAGAGAGGCAGCTCGGGCTCAATGGCAGCGATGATGAGATCGAGGTCGTCCTTGATGAGATTTCCACCCAAGTCCAATCCTTCACAATAGCCATCTTTGAGGTACTCAATCACATGTTCGAGGCCTTCTCGAGTAATACCATTGTTCGCAAGACCCAGTCTTCGCAACTTCATTTTGGTGGCGGCAACACAGATCTTCTTCACTTGATCCATTGACGGCATGCACTCACTAAGCAACAATTCTTCAAGATGCTCACCACCAAAGCGTTCTCCCAGCGCGTCGGCAAAGATAGTGCAGACATCGACACAGGGCGCCTGAGGCTGCCCTGTAGAGCCGGTAGAGCTATCAGACGATGATCGGGGCTTGGGGAAAGGAACACCGGACAGGTCAATGGCCTTTAAGGATTTGGACAAATGGATGAACAGACTGATGTGGCGCCATCCTTCACGCCCAATCTTTGGGTTATTCTTGAGCGAGAGCTTTTCCACAACGCCCCATCGCACGTCTTTAACGACAGGCGAGTCTGGCTTCCGGGCCCGTCTCCGCCGGTATCGCATCTGTTCAACCGTCTTGGTAGAAAGAAGCCCGGAGAGGATGGCTCGCACAGAGTCATCAGTTAGGGCACAATTCTCCAGAATAAGCTTGCGCACGGGCACAACTGCGAGCCAATCGCTGAAGGTTGCAATATCTTGTGCAGTCATCGGAAAGTTACTCAGATCCAATGCCGCGACAGTACCCGGAGACTCGGCCAGTGTTGAGGAAGGAGACGAAATTTCATCAACAATCCTCTTGAGAACTGGGGTTTCACGTAGTTGACAGCAGCGGCGGTAAATGCGCACAGGATCTGTGGTAGGGTGACTCTGAGTTTTCGAACGAGAAACACCAGCCGCTGGGGTCCGACTCTCGTCCTCGTCATTCTCGCCATCGAGCTGCAACGGGATCGAACCATTGGCAACAGCCTGCCTGCGCTTACGTTCCTTGCGTTCTCTTCTTTCTTCCTCCGAGCGCTTCTTCTTCTCTTGCTTACGTGTCGGGTCCTTGGTTTCACCATTGGGCTTTGCATCGGCTGAAGCTTTCGGGGTAGTCACCTCGGTTGCAGGAGTTGTAGACTGAGCATCCACGGAAGCATTCTCCTTAGGGATTGGCGGGAGTGGTGCTTCCTTTTCAGTCACGGCAGGTTGAGGTGTCTTCGACGCTCCAGTCTCCTCTTTACTCTTTTCCTTGACATCAGCCTTTTTCGACTTTTGGCGATTGGACTCGGGTAGAGGCTGTCGCAGTTGGTTCGTCGGAGGCGCATCCTCATCAGAATCTCGATGTGAAATGCCTGCAATCTCCACATCGACACAGAATGCCACCCGGTTCAACTTTGCTTGGTTTAATTCCGTAATTTTGCACCGGTCTCGACTTTCATCAAGGTTCATCACCCGTCGCGGACAAATCACACCATTGGGAGGTAGCTTGGGGAGGCCTCCAGAGCTTGATGAAAACTTGCGCAACGCATTATGGATGAAGGAGGGTCCCTTTGGCGAAGTAGAGCTAGATAGACTGGGGTCATCTTTCTTCTCTTCTTCGCGGTCCTTGGGTGAATAGGCTGCGCCAAAGGGGTTGTGGGCATCAAGGGGAGAAGTTGCCTTGGGACTTGCAGGACTTCCCTTCAGACTAGACTGTGACGGAGGTGTTGACCCAGAGGAAAATTTCGAGCTCAGACTAGATATCCACGAATTTCGCCGCCCGCCGACAGGCTTTGGGCTACTCTTTTGTACTGCCGGGGTCGGGGTCGATGGCGGCTGCTTCGGTGGCTCTGCAGTCTTCTCGGCTGTCTCTCGTTTCTCTTCTACTTTTCCAGCATTGTTTTGAGGTTCGCGCTTGGGTTGCAGTTTATCCGAAGGTGGGACAGCCGGACTACTATTCGAACGAGATCTTCGGTGAGAGTTTGGGGTGGAGGTCGTCGAGCCTTTATCAGTCGAGGACTTGTCGCTTATAGTCGACGAAACTGACTTCGTTCGTGAAAGATGATCTAGAAAGAGCAAGTCAGTTGTTGCCCAACTGCCGACGAGAGGGGGACCGGATTCCGCGCCCGGGGATGTACCCGCGGGCCGCCAGCACACTGAGCGGAGCGGGAGTTGCGACTTGCCTTTTTGCGAATGATGGAGCCAGCTCACATCCACAGTCTGAACACCCTCCATGTTTTTTGAGGTTTGTTTCGGTCACGTTTCGAGTTTGCGAATGCCAGGGGCTGGCTACGAAGGTTGTGTCCGGGATAACCAGTTGTGCGACTGTGTGGCGCGGAATCGAGGTCGAATGACAGGATAGGTCTAGATCGAATGACGCATAGTTGGCTGATCCCCCGCTTTGCACGTATGACTATGCTATAAGTCTAGGATTCGAGCCGAGCAATGCTCCGGTTGGTGACCGTCCAGGATAGCCGATTCTGTTGATCAAAAATCCGGGGTTTTGCGACCGAGCAGAACTTCCGGAGTAGACAGGTGTGTTTGTGGGGCATACACCGTTTACAGGCGACCGTGGGGCAGTCTCACCATCAAGGGATGAGAGACAGAATTCATATTGTGAGAGAGGGAATAGAGGGAATAAAAGACTCGGTTGATCAGGTCGGAAGAAAAGAAAGCAAGACGAGAATCCCGAAGAGGCGCTGGAAGCGACCGGATGTGGGAGAGGAAAGATTAAGCATCGACGAAGGTGACATAATCCCCCCCCCCTCAGCTCAACTCAAAAAGCGGCTCCACTCCGGCACGTGAGGTGGTACATTCCCTGGATACTCCGGTTTTAGTTCTTACATTACTTAGCAATTATTTCCTCCCTTCTATCATCTTCTACTTGGACCATTTACCCCTTCTGTGCTTACTGTAAGCCCTATAATTGGGGAGAGTTCGGGCGAACCACTAGCAGTATCAATAATTATTCTCGGGTCTCTGATGTGGAGGACGTTACGGGGGGAATGATTGGAACTCCGGGTGGCGGGAACCAGGTCACTGGGACCTGCAAAAATATGGGCGCCCAGTCGTGGTGCAATTCCATTTGTAGAGGAGTGTGGATTTGCAATGGGCTAGGTGCTACTACTGCAGTTAGCTCGTCTCAATACTGATTAGTTGGTTAAGGCGAGCGAGCCCTCCAAAAAGTCTATAGCCCTGTTCCTTCCTCTCGCGGGAGTAGTAAGTACAGCATAGCCAAATTTCCCTAGTCCCTGAAACGGGACCCTCCTGAATAGGACCCGCCGCACTAGAGCTCTGGGGGCAAGTTTACAGGATTCAGCTTCTCTAGTTGCGGCCGAGAGTACGGAGTACTCATTATTCTCACTGTATATTGCGCCACAAGATACGTAGATCTTCAGCTGTGCTCACAGGAATGATAACTTACCCACTCATCATTACTCTACGAGTCCACAGACTCCATACTCGCAGATCTCGCCTTAGTACAGTGCTGTCCCAATTACCTCCAGTTTCCGACCGGGCACCTTGATGATGACATAATATTCGGACCGGCAAAATATTTCTTTATTTTCTGCATCACGCCTTGATATTGGGGATTTTTTGAATTCATAAGTATAATCTTATTTACATCTAGCACAAGGTTTGATCCAGAAGATCACTTTAATTTAGATTCTTAACGCTATATAGACTAGCAATGTTCTTGCTAAGAGCGGAAGACTAGGCAGTAGAGCGAGGGTGGACGAAGACTAAGGTTATGGAACACTACTACTATATAGCGCGGGCTTTACGAGACTATCTTTAATCATTTGAGGTCGTGTTTTACGCGATATACTAGTATTATCCATAAATATCGTATCCTGGCTTTAGAGTATGAATTTGAGCCTTCCGCAACCCTTCCAATAACTCTTGTAGATTAATTTATGTCAAGAAGAAATCGGTGAAATCCAGGCAGAGACAGAGAGAATTGATTAGAACTAATCTTCCGATCTCTCTAGAGGGCAGAAAAGATGAGTAGTACTTTATCCATGTGAGAGAAACCGGACATCCTCGAAGACTAGAGAAAACAAAAGAACGACTATCCGAACCCAAATCCTACCCAAAGCTGTCATCGAGACTTCCTGGCTGCACGTAAAACGGCCATACTGCGGAAGACTGCGCGGCTGTCTCGGGCAGGGGGATGAAGGGGTGAGACCTACAGGACCGGGGTTTCCAGTCCAGGTGTTAACCTGTACTCATCTCATTGATAAACATAACAATCCTTACTCGCAGCTCGTCCTTCGCAAAGAATCAACTTACATTAATAACCGCGCCACCATGAGTGGCAGTCAGTCTTCCAATCTCCGCAAAGAGGTCTCGGCGGACCCTTATCACATAGCAGGCATCATCACCAGCTTCTACATCAGTATCACTTTGTCGGTCTATGAAAACCGTAGTGTAGGCAAGAAATAGAACTTACGGTGCCCTTCCCGGTTTCATTCCCAGTAATGATAGTCATAGGCAGGTGGAGGGCGGTAGGGATAACCGCGGCGTCTCATCATCTTGACGAGACGAATAGAGACGGGAGGAGGGGGGGCGAGAGTGGAAATGTGGGGGGACCCGGGAGGGATTAGGTGATTGATTTCTCGGATTCTGGTGAGGAAGACGAGAGAGAAGAGAAATAACTTGCTGAGAAGAAAGGCTGCCATCTTTTCAGCGACTCTGAAAGTTCACCCGTCCCTATATCTAGTGATCCCGAACGTTTCGAGAAAGAAGAAGAAGAGAAGGGGGGCCGGGGGGGGAGGAAGTAGAAACAGATGATGACGATAATGATGATGACAGACAAAATGAACCAGGGGAAGAGGGCTTCCGTTTTGAAGCAACAGAATGCTTCGACGAGGTGGTTCTACCTCATCATCATGCCATACCTGACACCCTCCACTTTGAGACTTGGTTCATGGAGATTATGAGATACGTTTCGGAGGAGCTGAAGAAAAATGCTAGCAGCCGGTCTTACTCCGTTGTGGAGACACGTTTGTATATCGATCTTGTCGTCCTCGAGAAGCGCTTGCGCTTATATATGGGCATATGTATACATAAGGGCTTAGTAGTTATTATGTAGATATCCAATGTATCATTTCGTAGTCTTAGGGGTATTCCTAATCAGGCTTAGTACTACTGTTTCACGAACATTCTTTGTAGTGTTAGGAAAGCTTTTTATAGTACCATTAATATAATCATATTAGTAAGGTACCCATTTAAATGATATGTGTTGAAAGAGGCGCTGAACCTCGTGCTAGAGACGTCGGAATAGAGTACCACATAATAATGGTGTTATATCATCACTTATAGAGGATCCTTTTAATAGTGTCATATCGGGGGTATGTTTGTAGTTAAGAAGATAATTTACGCTTACGTAGACGGCTTAGGCAGTGCAAAAAAATCGATTTGCATCCCTCCAATTTCAGTGACTCTGATCTATATTTTACTGAAGCCCGGGGTACACAGATCCTCAATGCAATCACATCGGATTATTATGGCTGGGGGTCAACTAGTCATAACAAGCGATTCCAGACAAATTTATGTTTTCCTGGCTTATATTACTTCACTCCGCTCCGCAACCGACCTTATTGTCACAGCCCTGGTGGGACTGGGTTTTATCTATGTTCGTGCAAGCTACCTCTTGCACTCTCTTTTCTCCTTTTCTTACCCGGGTGGGCCATTTGACCTATGAAGTTGAACTCATACGGCTCAAGGACATTATTTCTTAACGACTATTCTAAACATATAGTTCGCAATAAGAAATAATGATTTCTTGAAAGCTCGCTCCGGAACCAACTTTGGGAGCGATGAGCCGAGACTATCAATTTTTTAACCTAGTTAGAGTGAACCCTTGGCTGTTGTTAGTAGGGTAATCTATATGGAGCTTATGGATATTCCTCTCCTTGCACTGGGGATTGGAACCATGGATTTGTGTCTCTTTTTTGGTGTTGCTAGTAATAATATTGGTTTTGATATTCGCGCAAAGCTGAATTGCCTATCTGTCTTGCGTCCTACTGATGGACAGGCGGAATTACGTGATTCTATATATTTGACCCAGGTCCAACCTTGTGCCCGCCCGAATGGTATGTAGCAGTTGGGCCTACCTCCTGACAGAAAGGACAATTTTCCGATACCCAGCCCAGCATCTATGATATTACAACCGATCCAGGCTCAATGGGTCATATATACACATTTTTGGACGTTAATCACTTCCCGAAAGCATTGACTGAGGAGTAAGAAGCCGCTTTAAAGTTATTCGAGCGGGATTGCCGACCGCATGGGACAGAAACCTTCCAGGCATAGGACACGAGCATGGTGGACCATTGCCTCCATTTACCTTTTGATACATCTAATAACCAAATTAAACCCAATTCAATTGCTCTATATACTGAAATAGCCGTTGATCTTGTCAATTGAAGCAAAGGTGGCGGTGTGGTTGTGACCCGGTCGGGTATGGTTTGGATATCAATTTTGACCTAATAAGACTCCAAAGATCTTGATTTAGGATATAACAAGAAGCGCCGATAGTGTAATGGTTATCATTCAACCCTTCCAAGGTTGAGATCGGGGTTCGATTCCCCGTCGGCGCAAGTAACATGTTCTTTTTTTGTCAACTAATAAATAGCACATCTTTTTTAACTCAGAGATAGTTCAGGAGTAAATTTCCTCCTATTATCGTGAGACCCTATACGAGGCCGTTGCATTATTCGCGGAATAGGCGGCAATTGGGGTAGAAAAGCTTTGGTCCGGTCTCTGTACCAGATCATTACACAAAAATTGTAGTAGAAAGGGGTAATAATTTCACGGTATCGACTGCTACCAAGTAACAACGGTGCCAGTAAAAGATGCGGTTACTGATACATGTATGTAATAATAAACCGAAAGTGTCCAATTCGCAACATATGTCGAAGCATCAGAATTATTCTATGCAAAATACTCCCCTATTCTTAAAAAAACAGTAATAATAACAGTTAAATTACTACTAATAATGATAATAAAGACGATAGTCTCTCGTATGGACAATACATGTTCCATGGCGACTTGATCTCCACCCGAAAGGCACATTTTTGCACATTTTTCTGAACAAAAAAGTTGTCCTATGCGCCGACGGGGAATCGAACCCCGATCTCAACCTTGGAAGGGTTGAATGATAACCATTACACTATCGGCGCTTCTTGTTATGTAAGATTATTCAAAAAAACAAGTCATAATTCTCAAGATTGAATGCCAGACTGGCAAATCTGTGATTTATGGGCCCGATCCCGTTTTTCAGCCAATCAAGACAGTTTAGGGGGCTTCGGCCTCTCACCGTCTAGCAGCACTCCTTTCTGTTGTTTTACGCCATCAAAACCACCCTACGACTTCAAAAGACCGCGTAGCGCTGAAGCACCTTTTTCGGCGAACTGGCAGGATTCCTCTACTATCATTGCATAATTCCTGCTTTTCTCCCTAAAAATTCCATATATTTATTAAGGACGGCGGCCATGTTGGCACGGCTGCTTGACCTTTTGCTAATAAATGCCCCTTTGTACACTGCCTGGATAACGCTACGCCGATACTCCAGTCGAATTCAAATTTATCGAGTTGTATTACGTCTACGCGGCAATATAAAATCGTACCTTTTAAATGCTTTGAATACGGTAGTATTGATCGTTATGTAACGTAAAAAAAGCAATGTCTACATGTTGGCTGAGCTAATGGAAGAGAAATTATCGGCGTAGCGTTGTCCAGGGAGTGTATAGTTCTTGAATACATCACCATCGAATCCACTGGGTGGTGACGGGCAAGTCGGGGGATTCGGATATCAACCAGTTCTGCCACGTTATTTACGTGCAGAACTGGCATGGTGGCTCCTAGCCATGTATCGAAACCATCAAGATCCTCGAGAGGGTTGGCCATCTTGTCGAGAGTGACATGCGCATTTGTTGTACTGCTTCGGCTCTAAGAGGGCCGTGCAACTCCAGCGTTGAAATTTGTCTTCCCATGCAATTGATTTCCTCGAAGGGGGAAGTGGCTCATGGTAAGGCTATCAAGGCAATGTCGTCTGTGACTCTGTTTTCATATCACCGACACTCAGTGATTATACCTCGAACGGATGCTGCTGGTGCATGATTGTCGAATATCCCGGATGAGACCGGACCGACCGTGATCCACCGAGAAGATATGATACTGAGTTGGATCTTATGATGAATCAGAGAACTTGTATCTTTTGGCCAGAGCCGCCAGCTGAGATTAGTATTTTCCAGCATGGCTATCTGTATAGGCAAGGAACTGGGGCAGTGATCCGATCGAGCGAGAGAAATTACTGGCATTGTTTGCTGATTCATATTGGAGGAGTCTCACTCTTAAGGGTTGGTTGAAAATGTTCTCGTATTGACACTTAATGAGGATTTGTGGCTAGGACCTACCGTGCAGATCTGTAATGGTAGAAGAACATTTATGTGTTTGCTTTGGCGCGATTTTATAATGCGACCCTCAACGTATCATATCGTTCGATGTGATTGAATAATGTTGTATTGCCGACGGAAGTATAACCCACTGCAAAGCTTAGCTTCCAGAGGCATAATCTAGAAAATTTCAGTATGGGGTGAAAGGTCTGTGAGACCCTCATTGGATCACTGGCAATCCTTCCGTACCTGTGATAAGTGGCTTAGATATCCAATTCAGCCTCGCACGTGAGCATTTGGTCAGCATTGCGTCCCCATTGCCTGTTCAGAGCGGAATTCATGGTAATCAAAGTGTTTTAGAATAAGATTCTTAATATTATGACCGCTGATAAAGGAACTGTGCCTGTGCCCGTGCTTGTTTTTGAAGGATCATCAACCTCAATTTTGGACCCGATCAGGTAACGCCTTTTGTCTAAAATGGCTGTAGTAAGTACCTATTAAGGGGTCAAAAGAAATCGTCACTAAGAATTATTCTTAGTTACAAGAGATAGGAGTAGCAGGATCAATTTTAGAGTTGGCACGTGGGCCCTCCGAGGAGATATAGGACACGAAAGCGAAACCAAGAAGGAACACATGTGCCAGCCTTGGTCAGGGTAACATTATGATTCCAACTCATGGATGTTGCCAGGTACGGCTCCGAATAATCTTCTTCGCAGTGGTGTCATTGAGGATTCTTAGAGGGAGAGGAGGGATTGTGGCGAGGGGTCAAAAAGTATGTTGGTCTAGTCTCCACGCAAACGTACACCTCGACGATCCCTCCACAAAGACTGTTTTGGTCGTCCGTGTGTGAGCACCAGCAATTGCCTGCGAGTCCAGGGCGCACGTGCTGGGCTACCACTCTGGATCGGAGGGGAGAGAGAAAGGGTGGAGGTAGATGGTACTGCCGGTAGTGCCTAGAGGTACCTACGGTAGTTAAGGATTCAAGTATATCCTGGATGTACTCTTGATAAGCTCTTGGCCCCACCAGCAGCAACCAGCAAATACCCGTCGTCCCTTGGCCCACGGGGATCCCCCGCCAATCAACGGGCCCCATTGCGGCTCGTGGGCGCAAAGCACGCGACACCAGCTTTCTATAGGGACAATCCGTCTTCATACCACCCATTCTCGGCCTTATAATCATGTCGATTCCGCTGCCTCTTCCTCGCTGGTACGGAGTGTGTACCTTTTCTCCTCATCCCTATTCCTCTCTCCTTCGTCCCCCTCCCCCTGATGTCTCGATCTCGCTTCCCGCCTACACCAGCCATGTCTGGTGAACTGATCATTAAGGATCAGCCCGCCGACGGCTCCGATGCCTTTGCTCTGCCCCCGGCAGCTCTAAGTCCCGCCAAGGGGGACTCGGCCAGCCGGCGCTCCTCGCGATCAGACCCAACTTATGTCCCCGCTTCCCCGACATCCCCCGAGCTCACTGCTCGGGGACGCTCATCCCAACATGCTCGGTCGGGAACGGCTACCAAGCGACCATTGGAGGACCTGGATCTCCCTCCTCCACCGACTCGCACTCGCAAAATCATCCAGATGAAGCCCAAATCACCAGCAACTACTAAGTCTCCTGCAAAGCCCAAGGAATCCGCCAAGGGAGCAGCTCAGACCGTATCTGAACCCGCCAATGCCAATGCCACAGCCTCCAAGAAGAAGCAGCCGAGTGCGACCAGTGCTGCTGGTCGCAAGATTGCCCGCAAGACAGCTCACAGTTTGATTGAGCGCCGCCGCCGGTCCAAGATGAATGAGGAGTTTGGAACACTCAAGGATATGATTCCCGCCTGTCGGGGTCAGGAGATGCACAAATTGGCAATTCTTCAGGTATGTTTCTTCTATATCTTCCTCATTCTACTCTCACATCACCATCCCAATCTAACAACCTTGCAGGCCAGCATCGACTACGTCAACTACCTGGAAAAATGCATCCAGGACCTCAAATCCGCCGGCAGTGCCCACCCAACAGCCGCACCTCCATCTCCTACCTCCCCAGAATTCATTGCCGAGACTGGTACAGACACTCTCATGCACCAAGCACCACAACGTCCTCCTTCTTCTACATACTACTCCTCCGCCTCCTCCGTCGCCTCCCCAGAAATCCTGCCCCCCAACACTCACATCTATGATGCATCCCCATCATTTTCTCCCCGCACGAGGATGCCCTCCGTCCACACTCTCCCCGATGCCCCCTCAATTCTGCCTAGCCCTGCCCTGGGTCCTAGTCACCCGTCCATGGATAAACTCCATGAACTTCAAGGCATTGACCACGAAGCATCCGCTGCGCTGCTGATGCTGACACGAGACCGCCGTGGTACGGCAGACTCGATCAGCGAGCACTTCTCCGGTAGCACAACTCTGTCAACGTCAGAAGACAGTCGGATGAGTGTCGACTCCCAAAGGAGAAAGGGTATGAGTGTGCGGGATCTTTTGATCTCATAGACCGAGGGGATGTATCATGTGTCACGTGCTTGTTTTTCTGGGTCTCATGTTCATATTTTGCGGGCGTTTTGGTGGTTTCATAAGATCTCTGGGTTAATAGAGTCTAATTGGCGCGAGGGTTGAGCGATTATATCCTGGCGGCTTTTTCTGAAGTTCGGTAATTTTTTTTGGAATCTTCAAAAGAATGAAATGATTTTACGCATGACGAAGATAAGACACTGTTTTTCTATAGGCTGATCCGGTCGGCCCGTCAACTGTTCTTTTGTAGTGTTCGTATGAAGTGTAGAGTGTGCATGAGGGGATCCATTTGGATTGGCAAACGCGGATGATCGCCGCTAAGAGTTGTGTATAGATCTTGCTGCCAAGGAGCAGTTCTCGTATATCCAAATATCCCATGACACTAGGTGACAGGAACACCTTTATCAATTTTCAAAACCCTGGCCCGTATCCAAATCAATAAAAGCCGACTGTCATCATCGTGCACTTCCCCGGGTTTTGCATGGCTTTTGCGTCGCTTCTCTCAAGGACCCTGACCCAACCAGACCCACTCAGATATCCACTTCATCCACCTCACCACCAACTGATTGGATGGAATCAGCGGCCATTCACCAAACCCCGAGCTCCGAACGACCGAGCCTTTGTTGCATCCATCATCGATCATCTCCACAAACAAGCGCAAATCAAGAGCAGACATTCACACTCCAACGAGCCTAAGGGCGCAAATTCCGAGCTTGAAAAATCGAGGGCCGGGACAGCCCCCTTATATTATCTCCACAATCCTCGCGAGCGGATGGATTAATTTCTGAACGACCGAGCTGGCGTGTATTCGTCATCACCATGGATATGGAGCATGTTCGTCGCTACAATGTCGAGCGCTCGTGTCTCCGCTGCCATGAACGGAAGGTCCGTTGTGATAAGGGGGCACCGTGCAACAAGTGCGTGCGCCTTAATGTGCCCTGCCAATACCCCGGCCCTAGACGGGCTAAGCGCCGCCCACCCAAGACGACGGTGACGGATGTCGTGGCGCGGCTTGAGCAGCTCGAGCGCTCGATTACCACGTTAGCGGGGAGTAAGATGGCTGGCGCTTCGGCGCAGGTGAATCAAGCGCTTACCGGGTCGAATGTTCAAATTAGTCCGGTCTCGGTGTCGAGTCAGTCTGGACCAGGTCTGAGTGGTCGGTCTGGTCGAGATGAGGAGTCGCATCGTGGATTCTTGTCGAGGGATGGTTGTTATATTGATGAGCCGCTGTTGTCGAGGGTTCTTGAGAAAGAGAAGGATTTACAGACTGCTATGGGATCACCCAATACGGAGAATACTTCCTCGAGGAAACCGCCTCCACTGAAGGTGGATGGGATTATTACAAATCCTATTTTGCTCCAGGCTGATTTCAGAGCATTATGTCCTACTCGGTGGCAGGGTACGCTGCTCTGGCAGATCTTCTTGAGTCGGGTGGATCCCGTCTTGAAGGTGATTCATGTCCCGACGACGACACCGCGTATATACACTGCTATTAATCGGCCTGATGCGGTGAAACCGGATGTGCATTGTCTGCTTTTTGCGATCTTTTTCGCTGCTACTACGACGCTGGTCTCGGATGATCCTACTAATGAGGAGACTCGGGATGATCTACGTCGATATCAACAGGGATTGGAACTTGCCATGCACAATTCATCATTCCTAGACTCTCCTACCGTGACATCGCTACAAGCCATGGCTATCTACCTGGTAAGAGCCTCTAGTCTCAAGAAAACTAGACCATCTGATATTGACGAAAAATCTAGACATGCCTTCGCTACACTAATAGCGGACGCTCCGGCTTCACACTACGCGGCCTGGCCATCCGTGCCGCTCAATCTATTGGCGTCCACCGCGACGGTAAAAACTTCAAGCTCCCTCCACTGGAATGTGAGCTCCGTCGCCGTCTCTGGTGGATTCTCTACACAACAGATGCGCGCATGGCCGAGGACCACGGCATCAGCGTCTCAGAACAAGACTTTGGCGCGGACACCGAATTCCCCACAAACATCGACGATCAGAACCTGACAGAAACCCAAACGACCCCCTCTCAATCCCTCCCCCGCTGGACAGAAATGAGCTTTATTCTTATCATCTCCGAAATAAATAGCATGTGGGTGCCCATCTCTCGCGCTAGCGGCCATGCCGAATCACTCATCACAGACCTTAAAACACGTCTGCACGAGCGCTACCTGCAATATGCAGATATGGACATTCCCATCCAACGTCAAGGCGTAATGGTCGCTCAAGTCCTGTTATCAAAATTAGAAGTCCACGTGCGTCAAAAGGCCCTACAGCGTCGATCTGCTGCAGACACAGACGCGAATGTCGAGGCTGCCTCGTCCTTGCTAGCAATGGCCTGCCATGCGCTCGAACTTGGACTGGAAATGTACACGGACGATTTACTCCGCGGAACACGCTGGTTAACGTCGACATACACACAATTCCACCTGCTGACGTATATCCTGTGGCATCTGTGCGTGTACCCGAGCGGTCCGCACGTAACCCGTGCCTGGCGCGATGTCAATCGCCATTTCGATCTTGCAGAGAATGATCCCTCGTGGCCGGATCCAGGTCCCAAATGGCCCGTTCTGGTTGGACTGCGAGCCAAGGCGTATAAGATTCGACAGGCTTATGTCCCGCCCGTAACGGGGGTGGAGGTTATCCCCGAGGGTGGTGTGACTGGCGCTACGACTGTTACGGCGGTTGCAGCTGGTACAGGCGAGACTGGGATGGGGAGTGTGGTTGTTGCGAATGGGAATATGACGGGGGCTGGAATTGAGAATACTGTTGCGATGGGTGGGGGGTTTGTACAGGGTGCGGAGGCTTTGTTTGAAGTGAATGGGTGGGATTTGAATTGGGTGGAATTTCCGGATTGGAATTATTTGGCGCAGAGTCTTGCGGTTATGGGGCAGGAGGGTGGGAGTTATCCCGTTGGCTGAGAAGGTTGGATTGATATGGGATATACGAGTGTGCTTTATACCCCTTTGATGAATTTATGATCTTTTTCATCCGGTACTTGAACTCGAGACACTCCGCGAGTAGTTGAATGATAAAGAATTGTAACTTAAAGTACGCCTAGATTCACTTAATCAAAACAGTAATCTCGTCACTAACTTAACATCTTAAGTTCGAACAAACGTCAATACCAAATCCATATCCAAAATCATTTCTTCCCCCTCTTCAAAGAAGACACAGCCACAATCCCAAAAATCATCAAGAACAACGCAATAGTCATAAAAGTCCGCGAAACAGTCGTACAGCAATGCTCCTTGCTACGCCGTCTCTCGCGCCGCTCAAGTTGCCGATCGCATTCCTCGCAGTGAGTATGCGGCTTATTGGAGTTGTTTTGGGATTCGTTTAGTTCGAGCGGGAGTGATGCGTCGTGCTGGTGTGCGTCGCGCTCGAGGTCGAGGTCTGGTTCATCGGCAGCAGCGACGCGGGAGTACTATTTGTAGATAGGGTTATGAGATGGGTGTGTATTTGGATTTATAGGTGTAGGAGCGACAATAATGATCTCGTGGTGGGAAGGAGAAGTGAGATGACGTACCCCAGTTAGTGGGTTTGATGGTCGCTGGGAGTATAGTTCTTCGTAGGGAGGGGCTACTTCGCTTGGAGTTGAGGCTCCCATGGCGATCTGGTGTAGGTAACACTGTTTAATTTCCTGTTCTGTTTATTGAAAGGATGGATGGAGATGGAGGGGATTTTAATGTGATCGTTGTCTTCGTAGTGATGCTCAGGTTGTGGTTGTGCTGACGGGCGCTCTCGACTAGGCATCCACCATGTTGACTCGTGCTGATTGGATGATTGTTATACGGGGCGCTGGCGACAGCCCACGAATGATGTTTGCGATCATTGTATGGCTATTTAATAATGTGTTTGACCATTCGCATGTGGAGCTTTAGGTACTCGAGGATAAAGGCTTGTACTATGGTTGGTTGTTGGATGGACTGTTTCAACTAAGCGATTTCCATGTATATGGATGACAGCTCCGTGATTAGGGAATTTACCTTTTTTACTTGCAGTCAAACATCCAGATTAGTAAAGTCAAAAACGATGCAGTAGTACAGTCAGTACTTAGACTTAGCATATCTATTTCTCGTCGTGGAAATAGCAAAAGCATCTTCGCGATTGTTTGCGTCCCTTGGCGCTAGACGCGTCGCGACCCTATTACGACCCATTCAGCCACATATGGAAAAGTTTGCTTGCGGAATTAATATTTTCACGAGAATATTTGGGAGAATTATGAGAAAGGAGAGGGAGATTGCATATTGAGATCTATCGACTCTCCAGTGATGAAGTGGATCTATCCGCTAGTGCGGGATGGACACAAAGAAGAGTGCCCATCATCGAGATCCGATATAGGTTATCGAATGGGATAGTTGAATTGGCAATGATTTTGATAGATCTCACTTAGTCTATTCGATTTGTACCCGACTAGTGGTTCAAGACATAATAAGCAATCACTCACTAATGCACAGATCGAGCCTCCACTTTCCCTCGGCTCGGCCGACGCGTCTTAGCGGACGCGCTAGACCGTGAATACATAGCGCCAGTTGGTGTCCTCCGCTGCTGAAAAAGTGAATATAATCAACAGCTCTTTTCAGATCTCACGTGCTTTCCGAGTCCAAAATTCATTGAGAATGGCCCCGGCAAGAGCAGAAAAAGTCGATCTACTCGACCACACAATCGACACGATCTCTACCGTCAAGCTACGCCAGATCTTCAAGTCAATCTGCAAGACGTGCCCCGAGGCAAAGAAGCATGCGGAAGAGCTACTCCTTGCAGACAAAAAAGATGCAAAGACTGGCCCTAGTATCAACGAGGAAGAAAAGGAGAACAAAGACGCGCCAGCCAAAGACGACGGCGTCAAACAACCCATTCCGCGCTTTGCCTTTTGCGCAAACTGTGAAAAGGAGTTTGACGTTACAACAAACACAAGCACGAGCTGTCTATACCACACCAGTAAGTTTTACAATGCTCCGTATATACTGCACCACCAAAGCCTGATCGGGAACTTGAACTAATCGCCACAGTGGAGGACGAACCTGACGATTGCCTCTATGAAGATAATCCTACGAATCCTCTTGATCCAGACTCGATGGAAGCCCGTGAAGAGTATCCTGAGTTCTTTTGGTTCAAGTGTTGTGGACGGAATCGCCACGAAGATGAGCCTTGCACTGTTGGATGGCATAAGGAAATGACAGAGGAGAAGCCGTACAAGAGAGCTCGGGCAAGCTATGTTGTCTAGCGGATGGGGCTTTCCTGTCTCGACTGTGACCGCTTATATAAGGGTGCTCAGGCTCAGGCTCAGACTACAAAGTGATCATATCACTGATTGGAAGTCATACGATGGAGGACTCATGCTCAGTGGCTGTTCAGTGTTTAATAACGGCCACTCGGTGATCACGCAGAATTGCTCGATGACCAATAGGTGCTTAGATAAAATTAGACACACTCGACATACAGTTCGTATTACAACTTCACTCTTCTTCCACAGTAGTAGGCCAGAAGTGACGAGTAGCCCATTTCCGAATCCATCCACCGAAGATATATGCAGGGACGCCCGGACCGAAAAGAACACCACAGATTATAGCATAAATATTCATAGCCCCGTCGTATCCGAGCTTATCGGTGATTGGCACGGTCGAGTAGCTCAAACCGAACGCGAAGAATCCTCGACCCGCACAGATAACAAGTAACAGTGGACCAGTCTGTTCTGGGAAACTGTCAATCGCATATGTGATCGCAGCAAGATTTGCGCCCAGGAAAGAGAAGTAGCCAAGGTGATAAGGTGCCGCGATGGCAACCAATGGCTATTGATCCGGATTCGTTGCTGCACGGCCGTAGATGGTGCACGATATAATGGCAGCACTTGCGGGGATGAAAATTGTGATGAGACGATATTCGGGCTAGGAAGGGTTAGATCAAGTTAAGGGATTTCGAAAGACGGTTCGCTTGAGATACTTACTTGGAAGATACCACCCCTCCATTTGCTGAGTACCTTGCAAATGAAATCGGATCCGTAGCCCAGTACTGGAATCATCACCATCGTATCAATGACCTGCGTCACTTGAACAAAGCCAAGCCAATCAACATGGAAGGAATATGGTGGACTCATGAGAACAGTCGAAAAGGTCGAAGCCTGGTATACATAGATACCAAGACAGGCACCATTGAGAAGCAACAGCCAGAATATTGTTGGCAAAAGAAGCCCCTTGAACGTATCCTTGTAAAACAATACCGAGTCTTTCCAAATAGGTTTGAAGTGGAAGATGCGCAATTCATCTCTCCATGTACGTGGTCCATAGGTGGCGTGGTTAAGGAAGGGCTCTTCTTTGGTCGCCTTATCGTAAAGAACCTCTTGAGAACCAGCTTTGTACCCTTTTTATCAATCTTCAGTTCTTCCACTTGTCCATCAATGCCTAGTGTGTCATGTCCCCGCGGTCGGTCGTAGCGAGTCTCAGCAACAAAGAAGATGGACAGGATAAACACAACTCCATTGACAATAGTCATGAAGCCATACTACCACCGTGCGCCTAGATTAGAGGCAATGTAATTCGTAGCAAGGAAACCCACCGTTGTACCGACACATTGCACGCCAACAAAGTACGCAATCTTGCTGCCATGATCATGCATGAAGTGAATCTCCTGTACCATTAATGTAGCCAAGGCCGCGCTCTGACTAGCCGCTATGCTGAAGAAATCGCGACGTGCAATGTGGCTGTTCAATGACGTTGAAGCAGCACACCAAATGCCAGAGACGATCAGCAAAGCCAAAGACATGAGGAAAACTGGCCGTCTGCCGATCGCGACATTGAGGGGCATGGCGATAAGATTTCCCACGCTCATGAAGAAGTTTGGCCATGTGAGGAGATGTCAATAGCGGCAGAGGACTCGTTGGGGTACATTTTCTCCACTTCGTTTCTGATGGATCCGAGACCAGATGTTCCAAGGACCGAGATGGCTGAATAAAGACCGACCAGCAGAATGATGAAGTATTTGCGCCATGTTGGCAGGTTAAGAGGGTCTAAAAAAAAGAGAAAGGATTAATTCAAGAAAAAGACTAGGAATCCACCATCACCAGGACTCATACCTTTCGGGTCGGGCGTAGGAGTCGGGATCAAGACAACCATCTCCTCCTCGAACAGCTTCACGGTGCCAGAAACTGGAAGCTCGGCCATTGAGGGCTTGCAATCCTCAATCTCCATAACGTTTGCACCCCCTGTCATCTCCGTCTTGTCTTCAGGAATGCCCATAGTCGCTGATTGGAGCTTACACGATCGAGTGCAGCGTTGCGATCCACGTCGAGCTGCACAGGATCATGATTCAAGGCACAAAGCTCCCAAGTTGAGCGTTATATAACAAATCCAAGGCCTGTGATCGGCTGGGGAATCTGGGGTAGCAAATTTGTGTGGGGGTCGATTTTCGGCTCCAACGAATTGTCCCGACTAAAGACTCGGGGACCCCCTTTTGTTCCGTCGGAACCTCATCGCAATGTCTTCCTCGGAGGTCCAGCTGGGTTCAGCACATCGTCCTAAGCGACGCCGCGTTAATTTAGCCGTTAATTTAGCCTGCAATTATTGTCGCGGCCGCAAGACACGTTGTGATGAGCGGCAGCCATCTTGTCATGCATGCATTGTGACCGGTGTCCCTTGTGTAACTGAGGATCGTCGACGACCTGGACAGCAGATCAAACGCCGTGAGACACACCAAAGCCCATCCAAAACACAGCAACCTACCACTCTCGTCAGTCCTACTGTCAGTCCTGGTAGAATCGGGGAAAGAGCGGGTGAGTTTCACCAATCGGATCCTCTCGTGACTCCGACATCGCCAGCCGATTTCGTGACCGTAGATCGAAGAGAGAGAGAGAGAGAGAGAGTTCCTTTGGTCCCAACGATCTCTGATCATCGGCAGATTCAGTTTAACGGGCCCTTGCCTATGCCTCTGGAGGCATCTGTGACTACCTGTTTGGAAATTCTAACCAACTGGCTGGATCTGGCTTTATTCCGCTTGGGAAAAGCAGATCGATTTGGCCCACCCCAATCTCAGCGCGATGACTGTCAAAGCCCCTCGTTGATACCATTCAGTTTCGAATTGCATGATCTACCAGAGCCGGACGTTTGCAGAGAGTTACTTGGCATCTATCTGAAGAGATTAAACTCTGTCTTTCCAATTCTAGAAGATGAACTCGCTCAGCAAGAAACAGCGGAGCTGCTGCAATCTGGCCCCAATCAATTCCTTCAGTCTTGGGGGATGATATCGCTTCTCCGAGTATACCTGAATTTCGTGGCGGGTGCCCTTTGCCATCAAGACATCAACCTCAAGCCGCTCATTGACAGCTGTCATCAGCTGAGTCGCAACTATATTGGGCATATCATTGGCGCAGTCTCATTAGAGGCCCTACAGGCGCTTCTTCTGCTCTCCATATGTCTCCGATATAACGATGAGATATCGGCATAAATGGAAATACTGGCGATGTGCGTCACTATGGCGACAACGATGGGTCTCAATAAGCCCGGTGCTGCTCGTTCTCGACGAACCAGCAATGGTGACAAGCGCATCTGCCATAGAATTTGGCTCACGCTCTTCTGTTATGAGAATCTGTTCTCCTTTGAACTCGGTCGGGCGAGTTGCATTATCGATGAACATTGCTATTTTCCACAATGGGAGGATGTGGGCTTGGGGGAATCTACAGATAGCCGCCTTGTCGAAATGGTACTCGGCTTGGCGAGGCTACTGAATAATGTCGGTCGGCGTGCATCCGCGTCAATCTATACGAGGAGCAGATTGGTAAGGACCGTTACGAGGAGCAGATTGGTAAGGACCGTGTCGAGGAAGCAATTTCTGAGAAGGTCAAGGTGACGAACGAGACCTGTCGTGATGTCCTCCAATGGGCTGGCAGCTTGCCACCGGATATGAGGTATGTGTTTTTTTCGCATTGAGCTTCACACTCAGTTTCTAACTTTGAATAGACCTGATTCAGACTTGATTTCTTTTTACATTAACCACTATTTAGCCCCATTTGCCTATACATTCACAAAACCAGGCGATGAGGGTTCGAAAATTGTACAAAGCTAGCCACCACTCAAAACTTGGCTCTTAAAACCAGCCCAGTGTGATAGAAGCGGGCAGCCAGGATGAAAAAGCTACCCGCTAGAAGGAAAACTCCAGCAAAGACCTTCATACCCGTATATGAGCCACCGTCCCGAGATAGAATAGCTCCTGCAATAGGATTGGTCGTCAAGCCTCCGAATGACGAGAACAAAAATAACAAGCCAGTTCTATATCCAATCTCCGGGAAGGGTGAGATCTTTACCACCAGCGCAGCTGCGAGGGAGACATAGGCACCAGATGCAAAGCCGAAGAGAGTCGCAAAGACGATGATGGCCGCGTTACCAGTGGCAGGTATCCAGAGAGCAAGGATTAGTATACTGGCGAGCATGCAAGCGCTGACGAGAATATTGTAGGCGCCCAGCTTATCAGAGCCGATACCAGCACCCATACGACCGAAGAGACTGTAGCGGCGCATGTTAGTCTTGTAAATTTCCGAGCCAGAACGCCAAACTTACCTCGCTGCATTCAGCATAGGAACCAGGTATTGGGCGAGATCATAGCTCATGCCCGCATCCATGGCTTGTATGACTAGGTAGTTGATTGGAATAAAAATGCCAAAAGTCAAAAACAGGAATCCCGCAATAATCAGTAACATCTTGATCTCAGTGAAAGGCCGAACCAGACTCGCTTTATCGAGGTTCTGAGGCTTGGGCGGCACTCGCGACCGAACCGTTAGAATAGCAATGCCCAACAGGAAAAGGATGAGAAATGCAGCAGTTCGCATGGCCCATGCATATCCAACCTCGGCGATCATGCGGCTGACCATAATTGGGAAGATCACACCGCCTAGACTGGACCCCGTGGAGACAATTCCGTAGGCTGCACCACGCTTTTTGTTGAACCAACTGGGGATACAATTCATCGACGGTTGGAAGATTGCACACACCCCTATAGCGCTGCAAACCCCTTGGGACAAGAGCACTTGATAGTATTCTTTTGAGATGGATGCCATCATGAGGCCGAAGACGTGTAGGAATGAGCCACCGATGAGGACGTAGCGAGGACCGAAATTATCGTAGAGCCGACCAACGATAGGGCCCTAGAGAGATAAACCAGATCAGGGAATTGTAAGAAACATCTCTCGCCTGAGTCTATGAACCCACCATTGCAAACATAAAGAAGATTTGAAGCGATGGGATCCATGCAATGGTGCTCGCGGAGTACTTTGAGAGGAGAACTGTTTCATAGTAGCTTTGGAACTCCCCAACACCTGTAGCATGATATCTGGGGTCAATATTGGATCTCTAAAATGTCCGATCATCATTTGATAGGTTGACGCACTGTTGATCCACCCGAAAGTGCAGAACAATGCACACCATGCGCCAAGCACCATCAGCCATGCCTGTAACCCCCCATCAGGAGGGGGATCTTCTGAAGACCAGTTTTTAGGCGTTTCGGCATCTTTAACTTCGAGTCCAGTATCAGATTTCTCCATCATAGTGCTTTGGTCAGATGGGGCAGCAGAGTGTAGGTCAGAGGGCGGGCTCTCGGTCGGCGCTGTCTTAACATCAGATGTGGACATCTTTTGCGATGAAAAAAACCCTTTGACAATTATGTTGCTTTCAACGAATTTCGCGTTTAAATCCTTGTTTCTAACAAAGCAAATTCTCCGACAATGGGAAGGGGTGTACTTATTGGAATTGAGCTCAACGGACTCGGCCGTTCGTGAACTGCCGCACCGCCGCACTTAACTCATAGTGGGCCATTTGGAGTCCGAACGACCGAAAGTCTATAGGGATCATTGGGATTTTGGGGGCTAAATGTGGAGGGGATTTTTTTTGACGGATCTTGATAAGAAAAGAATGATTCTTGTGGGTGATATTCCGTCGATGCCAGAAGCTCACTTGGATTTCTGGGTTGGCGTTTGATTGGGAGGGCATGATATCACCAATGCACTTGCATGCAGTTAAAATCCAAATAAGCTTCTTCGAACCACGTGGATCCCACGTACTGAGTTTTTATCATGATGAAGTTGAATGGTGTGAGTCGTGACTTCCTTGCGATCAGTGTTTGTTTGCTACATTTGTGGGTCATCGTATACAATTCTGTACCTAGTCAAGGGCCTTCACATGAATCACCATGCTGAGGCTAAAGAAGGGAAAATCCGATATGACCGCGTAGCATTTTCATTCATCAAGTAAAGTTATTCTGGGAGTGCAGTACCGCATATGCGTGATACATCACCAGTTAATTTCGCTTACGGTTGAATACTAGGTCTCAAAACTTACGAACAGTGACCATGCTAGATTTGATAAGTCTTCGTCATTTCGTCAGTTGAGTGAAAACCTTCATTATCACCCGTGGAATAAAATCATTGAAAAAGTTGAATCATAATAAATTTTAAATATACAAGAGTAATAGCGTTCAGTCACACTGACAAGAAGCATCACTGAGGATGGTTCTTGTAGCGAGACATTTCCACCCAACCTTCAGGGCCACCAGTGCTACTAAGAACCGTATGAGGGGTCTCAGCCTCTTCCTCATCATATCTGGTGAAAGAGCCTGCCGAAGATTCCGCACGTGCAGGTTCAGCAGAAGACGAAGGTCCCTTGGTGGACGAGATGGAGATAGTCGTCGTAATGACAGGGCCAGCAATCGGCGACGTGAGATCTCCCTTCGACGAGGCATACTGGTTGTAGTTCTTGTATGGTGGCAGACTACGAGACTGTCCGTTGGACTTGATGAAGTGGCGAGTGAAAGGTCGGAAAAGTGGCCAGACAGGTGGGATCGACATGGAAATGAGGACGACCCACTCCTCGACCTCACCCCAGCGGAAGAGGATACCGACACCATCTGTCAATTTGAAAATAGGATTAGCGCATTTTCAAGGCCTATATTAGAATAAAGGCTACTCACACGACGGATCATCACCCAGGATGAAGCTAGCTGCCCATGTTCGCACAATGGCTGCGACACCGGCAAAGATACCGCAGCCCATGAGGAAACTCAAGCCCCATTTCAGCTTACGATCGATTCGGAGTGGGGCCAGCATCGTGATCGGGATAATGGCCAGATAGAAATCTGAGAGTGCCGCGACAGCTCCTGCAAAGTATGTATAGTGGACACTCGTTCGGTGATCGCATTGACTCTGTCGCAAGGGGTCCCAAAGAGCGTTCGGAGGGCTGCATTGAAACCAGGCAAGCAAGATTTGCGGGATGTTGAGAACGATGTTAAGCGCAGCAACGGCGATCAGACTGCGGCGGATCTTGGGGTCTTTTGAGAAGAAGATAAGGTTAGATAGGGCACTGGTACATCCAATTGCCTTGGAATTAGGAGGGGAAACATACTGCCTTGGGCATTCATCTCAATCAGAAACGCTGCCACGGCGATCTTTCCCGTTGGAATGGCCAGGTTGAAGAAGAAGACCGTCATCCAAGTGAAGAAGAGATAATTGCCCAATTCACCGGTTTCCTCCACGGTTGTGAGATGATTTCCGAGTCCATGGAGAATAGAGATGACACCAAAGGTCTGGGTGACGGCAGTGAGGAGCTGTTACTTATCATTAGTACGAGATATTTCAGCTGCGATATCATTGTGCGACAAAGGCCGAGCTCATACCCAGGCTACAAGGGACAAAATCAATGCCGTAGTACCGAATTTATTGATTCGTAGTCGGACATAGACACGTAGGATCATGAAAATGGTGGCCACCGATCCCAGACCGAGTCCTAGACGCAGATCGCTAGGGCCACGGCCCCCATATGCTGGGTAACTGTCGTGTAGGCCCATGACGGCGAGGGTGGTGATGATGATGGAAAATCACCGACAGGGTAGACAGGCATATTTAGGTACCCCTCTCCTTCGCAGAACTTGTTGAACATGGCAATTCTCGGTTCCGAGCGGCCTTTCGCCAGTGATCTGGTTTCAACTTGAGAGTGGAGAAGCGAACCACCAGATCCAAAGGCTTAGTGCTCCAATTGCAATGTCGAGGGCATGCAATTCGACCGAGTGGAGCCGGAACCGCCGAACGATCCGGCTAGATCCATTGGATTCGCCAACGGGGCTGATTGCGCTCTTTGGTATTTGCTCCCCTCGGGGCTGTAACCCTCAAACGATCAGAGATTTGTCAAGGGGCTTTTGCTCGTGGCGAATTTCCTCCGTGGCTTCAAGGATTTGCCGCGGCGACCACTCAGCACTCTTGTACGAAACCCCGCTGATTGGATCTCAGCCGCATAATATTACCATTCAATTATGCTGAAACCAGGGTAAATATTACCGCGTCGAAGCATTATTATTGCCGAAGCCTTATCAGCCACCAAAAAACGAAGAGTGGAGCCCAAGAGGTCCGTGTGAAGCTGATCGTGTGTGCAATGACAGCTCAAGATCAGGTCCCCGCACGCAAGCCCCCTCGCCAACCATCACCAACTATTGAATTCATTGCGACGTTTCCCTGGATCATGAAGTGCATCTGTCTGAAACTTCTTAGTCAACCCATTCCCATTTTGTATTAGCGCGGCCACCTTCAGCCTTCGATCGGAGGAATCGCCTTATTCGTGCGGCACTGCGGTCGGAACCACGTGGAAGAATTTTCCAAGGTACAAAACATATACAAAAGAACTTCGATTCCCCGCTCGACTCATCTCCACTCGAAAACTTTGCTACGGTTTTTGTTGCTAATATACACGCACTACTCCTGCTATACTGGAAGGCGTCAACACATATACTCCGTTGAGAGTATACATACTGTACTACTAGATGCATACTTCTCAAGTCCGATGAGGCCGAGACACCCGAGGAGAATCGCACAAAACCACCATTCTTTGGTACGGCTTGATTTTAGAGGCGCTCGCAAATGTCCTTAATAGGAAGGAGGACGGCCATGAGGCGAACAATATGATTATTTTTGAACCTTTTACCTATTCCCGAGGGCGTATATATAGAGATTTACCTTGAGGGAATGTTTCAAGAGAGAGAAATAATTATGTAGCGATACACTTAAACTCGAGAGGTGCAAGCCAAGGATAGAGACAGAAGAGCTAGTAGCTGCAATCGCAAATTGATACATAAACAAAGAATGCAAAGGAAAACATAGACAAACGTCGCAACCCGGGAGTTCCTTGAGCGACTATTCGACCATGACATGGTTACACAACTCAAGTATCGCTACCATATTATTTTTAGAAAAATCGGCCCTAATCAACTCGGTGAAAATCTCCCTCTCAAGGGCTCTAATTGAACCTGGTTGAGGTCGCCGGTGCCTATACCAACCACAGATCCTTCGACGAGGGTTAGGGTTTGCGCCTTGTTGAAGCAGGTAACTTGTGATGGGCTCACACTCCGACTTCTGCGCCACACGCATCAGTCCTCCTTGAACATCTCGAATTTTTGCACCACTTTGCACAAAAAGAAAGAATTCATCCGACTTTCCTGCTTCCGCCGCAGCATACAGAGCCGATTTGCTGTCTGCGCCGGCATCAGCCCCATACTGCAGTAGCAGCTGGATTACCTCATAACTACCCTCCCTGCCGACGGCCAGGCACAAGGGGGTCAAAGCGCGACCGCCGTTTCTAAACTTGTCGGGTGATTCTCGGGCATTTGGATCGGCCCCGTTCTCTAGGAGGAGCCGAACCATACTGACAGGGGCGCTTTTAACCGCGTCATATAATGGAGTCCGACTTTCTACGGTAAACTGAAAGTTAATTTCAGCGCCTTCGTTGAAAAGAAGATGCATCACTCGTGTCTCGTTTCCTCGTCGTGCCGCGTGTTGTAGCAGTATTTGAATATCGGCTTTGGCAGTCAGATGTAGACGCGGGTACCGGTGCCGAAATTTGTCAAGCAGATAATCCGCAATGTCATCATGTCCCTCGCGCGCTGCGTATGTGATAGGTCGACGACCGTCCAAGTCGACTGAAAGAAGACAGGCGCCGCGGCTAAGAAGCATCTTGACCGTGTCAAAATGACCACCGCCTGCTGCCAGTGCAAGCGGGCTCCGGCCAAAGCGATTCTTATGATTTACATTGACCCCATTGTCAAGGAACTTAGCCACAACGGCAGTGTGACCACGTTTGGTAGCATTTGAGATGGGATGCCTTGCCAACTCGTTCAGTCCGTCGCGGAACTTAAGGTATCGGAAATGCTTGGCTCTCGGGAAGGCCCCTGAGCGAGACCAATAATTTGACTCCCAGCATAAGTTTGCTCCAGCATCGATGAAGCGCTGGAGGGTCCCTGAAGAGCCGTGATTCGCAGCCCACCATAACGCAGAACCTTTGTTGTGTTTCACGCCACGAGCGTAAAGACAACCGTTAAGGGAATGTTATAGAGCAGGATGACATTGTACGACCGCATTAAGATCGCGAAGACTCAAATCTTGGATGATCAGTGTGAGAAGCTCAGGAGGTAGTCGAATGAGAGACATTTCAGTGGATACACGTTGCAATCACCTTCTGAGGCTCTTTTGAACAATCAACATCGGGCCATACAGAGGGTGACCCAGAGAGAGTGGATGCAACGAATTAGAATCCTCAAATACGACACGTAAGGCTTCCGATACGCTTAGAGTGTCAGCAAAACATGAATGAATTATGGAGATTGGCCCCCGTAATACAGGTGTCGAATTCTTGTGTTGGGCGATTCCTTCTAGACTTTCTTGTATCTCAGCCATTTATTCTTTTAGGAGTCCAGAACAAGGCAAAAAAGTAATGTTTTGTGAGGGCCACATAATGATGGATGTGTTGATGTTTGGTTTGTCAAGCACTAACTGGATATCTAGATTGGCGAGGACTGGCAGACGTAACCGAAATTTCAGCCCCGGGTCAACCGCTTCTGATCGTCTCAACTTTAATTCGTGGAAATTTTAGATAGATTGAACGCAAGGATATCAGATTCCGCCAATATGCTAGCAAGTAGTAAAGGTCAAGGCTGCCATATTCACATGTAGAAATGCTGAAAACACGTTCAGGGGTAGCTGGTGAATAAGCCCCTTGGGCCCCGGGGGCCAAAACCGTTCGGGTTTAGATTGTCAACTACTGTACGGAGTACTCGCTTAACAGTTCTGGAACACCGCAACTATTATTAGTGCGTATAGATATGTAGAGCTAAGAAAGAAGTGGAAGAGAAATATTAAATGCATGTTAATGACGAATTACCTCGAAGTTAAACATTAAACAAGTAGTAGTTGCCTATGGCCTTGACGGCAACGGAAATCCCCGAAAACAATATTTTTGTATGCAATGCAAATGCCCATCGTGAATGCAAATTCGAAAACAGCTCGTGGTCTCATCATGTCATTGTTAAAACAACCCCTTAAGCCTCCTCGGGTGTTCTCGTTCCACTCGACTGTTTGATCATATCCTCTCCCAACAATCTCTGACAGAACGGGCTCCGCTTCCGTATCGAAGGGCCGTAATACAACAATGCAAAAGGAATGGGGATACACGCCATACTGGCGAACCCAAGTATCGAGGTTGCCCAAGAGACCTCGAGTTTTGAGTATAACGGATCCGCAGCGAGAGGGAACAATGCTCCCGCGATACTGCGCATGATGACTGAAGACGCCAGTGCACTAGCAGAATAGATTTTGTAGGCATCGGTGACGTATGTGAGAAGGGAGATGAAGGTTATTTGGTATGCTAGTCCGAAGATTGACCCTGAAAGTACAGGGACAATCCAGTGGACGCTCGGCTTTGCGGACCAGGCCAGCCAGAACATGCTGATTGATAGGAGAGGTCCAGCTGTGCATGAAAGTGGAAGCCTTTGATACTCGGGTCCTGAGGCCCAGCGTTTTCCGAGCTTCTTGGCCTTTTGATAGATCATGTCGTAGTATAGAGCGAACACACAGGATGATGCGGCACCAACGCCCACTGTTCAGTATTAGACTCGTGGCCACCCTCATTTTGAGAGTAAAATAACGACTTACTTGGAAGGTATGTGAGAGAAGTCATCGCAACATCGAAACCATATATTCCTTCGCACTTTTAGCTTCAATTCGTTCATTTGTGAATACTTTAGGGACACACCTTTGAAGATAATTGGATATGCTTGAAAGTAGAAAAAGACCATGGCCCATGCCAGAGAAACATAGATAGCCGTGAACAAAATAATTGGTTCAAACACAAGCATTGTGAGTGGGCGTGTGATGGTTTGGGTGAGAGTAAAGGCCGCATCTGACTTTAGTTCTTGTGGAGCGAAATAACGGTTAGATCCCGTCTCTTTGCGTAGCTTCTTAGCTTGCTTCTTCAATAGAACAGGTGTGAACGTTTCTATTGAATCCAGTTTAGCTTTGTCCCTTAAGGGCAGTAAATCCGCTTCTTACCTGACAAGAACAGAAGAGCTATCCATGTAAGACCACAAATGATCAAGTCGATACGGAAGGTCCATCTCCAACCATATTTGACAGAACATCCAGAGATGATAGGTCCAATGATTGGCCCAAAGCTGGAAGCCTTTGGATTAATTAGCTTGGTCTGCATCAAAGCTCCACTGTGATACTATAACTTACCGACATGTACAAAGCCATGGCGCGACCACGGCTCCGCATATCGGAGAACATATCCGCGTACACTCCACCGGAAACGGTCTGCGGCGCAGCAGCCATTGTACCACAGATGACACGGAAGATTAACAGGGCTGCCCAATTTGGCGCAAAAGCACAGCCAAGTGTCCCAAGAACGAAAACAGTAAAGGTCCAGAAGAGAACTGGTCTCCTTCCAACGGTCTCACTCAATGGGCTCCAAACCAAAGGTCCAACACAATATCCTATCAGGAAGATAGCAGTTGGCAACACCTTTTGGCCATCTTCTGACAGACCAAAGTCCTGCATGATAGTGGGGACTGCATTGCTAGGCAAGGAGGATGACACGCCACTATTGAGCACGATGAATAGCCCCACAACTGCATTGTATATTTTCTTTTTCTGCACCGGTTGTCAGTCTTATTTTATTCCGATTGGCTCGGTTCTCTAGAGTGTTCAAGCTTACAAGCGTCCAGTTGGTGGGATCGGCAGTTGAGTCTTCTGAGAACTCGACGAGTGTTTCTTCAGGAGTCAAATCAATGAGTGTATAGTTTTCATCTTTTATAGTACTTGTAGTAGGCTTGATTGAATCCGATACAACTTTTTCATTGAAACTAGGCTTCTTGCCTAGAAGCAGTTAGTGGCAATGTTAGGAAGAAGGAATTATGCGGGGTTTGATCGCACCTGAAGAAGAAAAGAGATTCATGGCTCGTGATGGGAATGGACGGCCTATGTCCAACATATTTTATGTGCGATAAAGAAAGGGATAAAATGTAGTATGCGTAAATGAAGATTCGAATGCCATATTCATAGATCCAGAAACCCCCTAGAAAGTAGGACCCAAGCATTATATAAAAGGAATCGATCATGGCTCGCTGCAACCGGTGGAGCCCAAGATTTACTAAAATTTGATCGGAAAATTTGAGTCACAATGTCTAGAATCCCGCAGTCATGCATAGCGTTGCAAGCTATTATGTTCGAGTCCGTTCAACACACCAATAAAGTGGCTGCTATAGTTCAAATTCTGGTTGAGTGGGTCGGAGCCGGTACGGGGCCGGTGTTTAGGGCCAGGTGGCATACGGCACCGGCCTGGGTCCGGTTTGTTGACGGGTGATGCCGACGCCTAGATCTCCGGCTATTGCACGTTTTTGACTCGGCCCTGCACACGTTTTTGATCGTTAGCGTGGAATTCCATGTGGATTGTGACAGAGGAACATAATTTTGCGGCCCAATTGTGGGATCATCTCTTGTTACCCCTCCATTTCGGATGTGGCCCGCCGGAACTATCAATCTTGGACCAGCTGCTGTAGGTCGACTTGGTACAAGAATCATTCACTATAAGCAGTTTCGTAGAGCTTAGATAGATCTTGGATAAAATTATGCTATATGGGTATTCTTCTATTAAGGCAAAGAAGGCATCATAGGCAAAAAGTCAAAGATATCATTCTGGCCTTCCTCGAAAAGGCCAAACGAGTCTGCGATCGAGTTGGAGACCGTCCAGGTAGGGGCATCCATCGTGTCAGGCAGCCTTGGTAGAGGCGGTCTGGTTGTTGCAGATGCATCATTACCTGGCATTGGAACCAAGTTTGTATCTTTGTCACTTGGGATGGCCGTGCCGGCTCTGTATCGAGGATCCTCGAGTGGTGCCAAAGGAGGGGCATTCTGCATGGGACTGTCTGGACCCCTGTATGAAGGCACGGGCCCATCGCCTGGTTCGGACATGTGAGTTGGCTCTGTACTGCCATTGCTTTGTCGATCATTGCTGAGGGGACGCTGACTAGCAATGAGGGCGCGAGCATAATTAACGAAGATAGAGACAGTGCGGTGGATATCAGGATATGGCGGCTGTTTCAGAAAGTCGCAGATTTTTTCAGCTCTTTCGAGAAGAAGATCTTGATCAATCAGATTGGGACGCCAGCGAGCGATTCGAAGCGCGAAAGTAGCTAGTAATGGTCAGCTCTGACATTGAGGGAATTATAGCAATGAATATTACCAACTTACTGACAAAGGCGACTGTCAATGCAGGGTAGGTTGGTGCCCATGGGAATTGACAACGATAGGCTGGCTCGCCAATCAAGAATGCCAGCTGGTCCATGATTGTTGCAACTAAAGATTGCCATAGTCCCATGACATTTTGGTCAATTCCCTCTGACTCGAAATTGGATGAACCAGGTTGTAATTTCTGAATGCGCGCCAAAGAGGCACAAAGAACAAAAATTCTTGCGTAAAGCAGCATAAGCTTCAGACTGCTTCGTTGGAAAGCTCCAGCATGGAAACCGTTGTCTGATTTCGGCGTTAGTCACAGTTGCTTTGTTTTCATCGGAGAAGGCACTGAAGCTTACTATTGTGAATTTCGTCCCATGTAGTCCACCAATTCTGTAGCTTCGTCATGATAGCTGGTAATTCTGTCGAAACTATTTCTCGAACCGAGCTCGAGTTATCAATAACAATACGCGAATGGCCTTTCACGAGATTAGTCGATGTACCGAAAATGGGATAACTGTTACAAACCTCGAAGTTGATGAAGCTCGATAATGCAAACTGTTCGCATATCACAAGGTAAAGAGAGAGGGTAGTCTAGAAATCTTCGAAGTTTCATGACATCCACCTCACCAATGCGGGATTTGCGGCCGGTCCCAGAGGCAACGTCCAGTTCCAGCGTAAAACTAATAAGCCACGTTCGGGTCTCCCACACGAGTTGACGTTCTTCCATTGAGGCGGAAAGTGAACTGCGAGGGAGAGTTTCTTGAGATAGCAACGTATCTAGCGACTTCTCTAATCCCGAGTCCAAGGCAGTGCGCAGAATGAGCGCCGTGGAGAACCATGTTTTCTCCGAGTAAGCGGCGAGAAGGACCATCGCTTGCACAGTTTCAAGTTTGGTGGGACGTTCGAAGAAGCTGTCTTCCGCCAGTCTCTGCGATTCGTCTTGCAAGACGCGCTGCATATGTGTGTCGCCGCGCAAGTCCATCACGGCTCGACTCGCAAGATAGATTATCACCGTGAAACAGAACAATGAACGTGATCTTATAGAGTCAAATGTATCACGTATTGGGTCAAATAGTGGCAGAAAGTTCTTGCTTCCGCCAACAAATCTATCACCGATGCGTTAGATTATGCTTTCGTATGTGTCCAGTTTGGCTGAGAGTCGATTTTTTTATTACCTTTCATACATTACTCTAGCATTTTCTTCGCTGACGATACCACGGGCAATAATATCGCCTCTTCCATCACCCTTGGCAGAGTTATCTAGAAAGATCTTTGATAGCGGTCAGTGGGGGCTTTTCACATCCCTCGACGGTTTGTTTGGACCCACATGGTTATTGTCGAGGAGGTTCACAGACATGGAGTGGACTGCCGACGCCGGAGCAATCATGTCATTAGGGCTTAATTGCTGCGATTCAGGCCCATGATGATCAGCTGTTTGAGACCTGCGCAAGTCTCCAAACGCCGATGAGTCGGGTAAAGAATCAATCGATGCGTCAAAGCTAGCATCACCTCCCGCGATCGGGGAGTATTCTTGCTCCCTCGATACAGGTGTCTGTAGCCCACTTCGCTGATCGAGTGGCGAAGTTACTGCGGAGCCGCTATATCTAAACATGATTAGCTGCTTTCTAGAACGAACGATAATGTAGTCGTAGTTAGGATGCTTACCGGGCAGGCGTCGCAGTCTTCCTACGGCGGTCACTGCGTCGTCTGGCGTCTTCTATAGGGTCGAGAATACAGTCACGACCAGTTGAGCGACAGCGAAAACATGGTACTTGTGTACGCGCATCACAGCGCATCTTCTGCCTGCGACACCACCGGCATGCTTTGAAGAAGCGGATCGGAATGTTCTCCGCCCGAAACACAATCTCCGAACCTCGCTCACTCATGATTGTTGCAGTTGGTGCTCTTGGAGAGTTACTTGTCGACTTTTAGGCGATGGCTATCACTGTTGGCATTCTCTCTGCCCCCTCGTCGGTGAACAGCTTCGGTGACACTTGCGGTGTGAAGCTCGTCGTGACTTGGTTATCTCGCTGTGACGGGATGAGCCGACCAGTCGGGTAATCCTTCGCCGGTCACGTGCATTTGAGGTATTTATGAGAAAGTAACATTCTTAATCCTTTCATTCGCGTTGTATACATCTGTTGTCGATGCTAACTGAACCTCATTAATTCCATTGACTCGTATCTTTCATAAAGAATCACATCTAGGTAAGCAGTCCACATTGCTCCTTAGGCCGCGCCAGCAAGACCTGGATATCCTTCTCGTGCGGGTGAAAAAGCTCCAGGTATAAGCAGATGGCTTGGCATTCTAATCTGGCCCGCCTGGCTATCCACCACAGAGACTCGCTCATCGGTCCGTACCAATAAGCGAGAATGAGGAGCGCCCGAGGGTCTTTCTCGTGTAACAAGGACTTGAATGCCGGGTCCATAAAACCTAGGAATTGCATATACCTCGTCATTGTGGCTTGGGTGCATTTCAGATGCCACAGTCGAGTCAACAGGGAAACGGCAGTGAAGTAGGGATTCTGCGTAGGTTCTGCCGTTCTGCCCAGGTGACAGAGTTCGACAAACTCTTTTGGCATATCGTGCATTTCGCACAGTGCTGGCTTGCTCATGAGAGTACGATAGTCATCTCTCATGACATGGAAGATACTATCCGGTCGCATTGGATCCGTTGCTTTCCATATTGCCTCTTTGCCGTGAGACATATCCATCCAGCGTAAATCAGACGACTCGGAGGATCGAAGAGGCCATGCTTCCCAGGGCGTAGAGGCTTCAATCTCGGCAATGCTCAAGAGTCCGAGGATGGCAGCGGCAGCCCAAAGGGCATCGCGATCCTGTGGCCTAATTGGAGCTGAAAGCTTCTGGTTTAGCAGTGCGGCACCTTGTGACCAGTGGTATGCCTCGGCAATAGAGCGCTTTGCATTATCTTTCGACGAGGACAGAAAACGGTCATGTCTCGCTGTTAAAGTCAGAATGACATGCATCAGGAATGGGTTCTGTACGGACATATGGTCAGTATTGGCACTGACGATTTCAAGAGATTCTATGAGGACCGCATATCTATAACTCACCTCGATGGCGATGCTGGTCACATGATTCTGGTAGACGGTGGAGTGCTGATTGCCAGCAAATGTGTAGACCGTACGCCGGTGGAAGCGATCTAAGCGACCGACACTTTCTGCGTCCAGTTGGAAGGACCCTTGGCCAGATCCTATTACCGTCGCGGGGAGGAGGAATATTGATTGAGGTCGGGGTTTTACATTAAAAACAACTTCACCGAATGAGCCTTCCGGATGAGCCTTGCTGGGTTTATCGAGCGATTTTGGCTGTAGATCTTGGCTATGGGGGGTATTGTAATTGCAAACGACACCAAACGTTAAGCACTTTTGGCATTGAGGCTGTTTTTCATCGCACTTCAAAGAGGGTTAGCCAAAGCATCTAGAGCAAAGCCAAATATTACTCACTTTGACGCGACGGAGCTTGCAGTTACGACAGCCTCGACGCGATTTAGTGTGGGCTCGGCGTCTCCGCCCGCCATGCTCATCTGGACTTAGCTTGTTCGAACCCATTTTTCACATCATCGGTTTAGAGAATGTTCCCTGAACAAGACAAGGGGAATAAAGGGAAGATGTCATGACGGGGTTGAGGCGGGCCCACTGCTTAACTCCGGAGGTTGGCCCGAGAGTGTCTCATTGGCTGCCATCAGAATCGCGCTAACCCTCTGTCGTATATCGGTGGCCCGGCGCCTTCGATCGGGCTTAGATCTTGCTTGGCTCCTTTTAGAAATCACAAGTCTAGGAGAAGCTTATACGGCGATTGCCTCAGATCGTATATTCGGTTGAACTAATGTCCCACAGAACGGAACCGGCTGAAATCATGGAGCTTGCCTCTTTATGTCCGTCGGGATCTAGCATCGATCAATCTCACCGATCGCGACTATATAATGGCCCAATACCCAGGTTCTATCACGGTCTTCATTCCAACAAACCAAACTGATAATCCCAAACAACTCAAATCAAATCATCACTACCTTTCAACATGCGTGTCTTTGTTACTGGTGCAACTGGCTTCATCGGCCAAGCTGTGGTCCAGGAGCTTCTCGATGCCGGCCACACCGTTGTCGGCCTAGCTCGCTCAGATGCATCGGCAGCTGCCCTCAAGGCCAAGGGCGTCGATGTGATCCAAGGCTCCCTTGAAGATATTGAGGCCGTTAAGAAGGGTGCCTCCGAGTCAGACGGTGTCATCAACCTCGCTTTCAACCACGACTTCACCAAATTTGCAGAGAATGCCAAGGTCGAGCATGCGGCTATCATGGCAATGGGCGATATCCTGGAAGGATCCAACCGCCCCATTGTACTTGCATCCGGCACCATGATGTTGCCCAAGGGTGAGCTCGTCACTGAGGATACGGGCCCCGACTTGGACTCCCCGTGAATGTTCGCGCATCGACTGAACAAGAGGTGGCCACGCTTGCGGCTCGAGGCGTACGCGCCTCTGCCGTTCGCCTTTCTCCCACGGTCCATGGAGACGACGACCATGGGTTCATTAACTTGATTACTCAAGTTGCGCGCGCCAAGGGTGAATCGATCTACATTGGCGAGGGGTTGAACCGATGGCCTGCCGTTCATCGCCTCGATGCTGCACGCCTCTTCCGCCTCGCACTCGAAAAGGGCGTTGGGGGTACTAGGTACCACGCTGTGGGTGAGGAAGGTCTGAAGATGAAGGATATTGCGGAGGCCATTGGAAAATCTGTCGGAATTCCAACTTCGTCCAAGACTTTCGAGGAGGCTGCCGCACATTTTGATGGTGGCTTCATGGGACTTGTTGTCGGCGCCGACAATCCATCCTCTAGCAAGAAGACTCAGGAGCAGCTTGGCTGGGCTCCTACTGGGCCGACTTTGCTCACTGATATTAATGCTGGGGTGTACACTCGAGGACAGTTGACTAGCCCCATCAATGTTTGATAAGGAATCTTGTCAGGGGTATTTTACTCCTAATTGAATAGCCCGAATAATTCTCATACTTTCTGAATCTTGTTCTGCTGATATTCATACTTGCATCTGGACATATATCGAGAATTCTCTACTACTGTATACCTGCCTCCGTAACCAAGACGAAAAGTGGATAATTCCGTGGGACAACCATTCACGCCTCGGAATACGCGATGCAAGGCGTGCCGGGATGAAAGCAACGCTTGGTGCCTGATTATACGCCACTCGCCTGGAGGTGCGCAAGGCCCGCAATTCAAGAAGATCACATATCTCACCTATGCAAACATTCTCGTATCCTAAAGTGCACACACACAGAGTGCCAAGACAATTTGGTGGTCTACGCTCAGTCAAAACCTACACTGTCCCCGACATAGACATGTCAATGCCACTGACAAAGACTCGATGAATTCAAAGGATTCTCCTCTTACCGTTGGAAATGCTCCTTCAGATTCGGAGCACATTCCAAAACGACGAAAGATTCGCAAAGGCACATTCAGCTGTTGGGAGTGCAAGCACCGCAAGAAACGCTGCGAGTCAGTGCCCGGATCTACCTCGTGTATCTTCTGCCAACGGCATGGACAGCCATGCTCCAGCCAAGAGTTCGCAGACACCTCAGTCAATGACTGCCGTGATGCCGTGCAGCGCCTTGACCGGGTTGAGGCGATAATAGATCGGTTAGCCCGGCAAAGAAGCAAACATGTTGGTCAGAGGAAGCTGTCAGCAGCAGCAAGAAGCCTTAAGCGCTTCGAAACCCCGACATTGAATTCCGTCAATCATGAACGAATATCCAGAGGCCCGTCGCTGACAAGTTTTCTGTACTCTCTTCTTCCCAATCCCGCGATTGCCGTGGTGATTCTGCGCAACAGCAAAATTTTCAGATCGCCCCTTCAGATCAGCCAACGGTCACATTCAAACACCAATCCGGAAGAGCTGAGCGACGATCTAGTCATGCCACAATCTGCACATCCGATTCTCTTGGCTCGAAAGCTGATCCAGCTTGCGCTTTGCCTTCGGAATTCTGACACTAAAGATTCCGAACAGCTTAAAGTACAGCTGAACGAGTCTGTCACTAGTGCAGCAAGTCGCTACTTCGACACGGCTTGTGGCTATGTCCTATCTCATGATGAATTGATAAGCTCTCTTGATGGGTTGCAAACTCTGATGCTGCAAGGCCGTTACTATATCACTATTGGTGACCTTCGGAAAGCGTGGTCGATCCATCGGCGGGTCTCCAGAATCGCCTCCGCGATGGGAATGCCACTACTAGCGCAGACTATGGGAGGTCATGCAAACTCTATATGGTTTCAGTTGGTCTACAGCGATCGCTTCCTGTCTCTTATGCTTGGAATGCCTTTTGCAATTACCGAGCGATATTTGGAAAGCGCAGAGTGCCGAGACGCCAGCACACCAGCTCAACGCTTGGAGCGAGTTCATGTCATGGCCGCCGGGCGAATTATTGCTAGAAATATGCGCATGCAAAGTTCCGATATGCCATACGAAATAGCATGGTCTTCCAATGAGGAAATCGCCGAAACAAGAGGCATCGATCAGGAGTTGAAAAAGGCAACGAGACTTCTTCCATCAAGCTGGTGGCTGGCACCACCTTTGGACAATGCAACTATAGAAAACGAGGTCCTAGAAAGGACGGGAAGACTACTGATTCAGATGCATCAGCACTACCTTTTAGTGCTTTTGCACCTCCCATACCTTATAAAGAGGCTGTGTTCTCACATTGGTGATAATGGCCTCCGGATCTCAGATGGAGACAATTACAGTGTGCTTGCAGCTGTTTCAGCAAGTCGTGAGATGATTTCGCATTACCTTGCATTTCGTGGGTACCATCGATCTACCTCTCCCCGTGCTACGGACGATAAATGCTTCTTGGCCTCTATAACTCTCTTACTTGCCCACTTGCAAGGCCATCGTCTTCGTGGAATGAATGTCTTAGAGCACCAGAGATGCCATGATCTAGGAATTATTGGACGGGTGATTGACTTTATGAAAGAGATCTCTGTTTTGAATGACAATCCTCTTGCTGCGGCACGGTCACAAACCCTGAGCAAGTTTGTGGAGATTGAGGCCCACGCTGCGGAGGGCTTACCTTATCACATTTGGATTGAACGTGAAACGAACGAAAATGGCACCAGAGAGGTTGAGGATACACTGCACGATTTTCAAATATCGGTTCCTTACTGCGGAAACCTCCACATCTCACTGCAGGTACGCAGTGATCCTCCGCCTGGAGATGCCTGGAACTCTGAACTATTCGACTTCGTGGTTGATTCTCCAGATCCAATCAACAACCAGTCTACGCTCGCTACTGCGGACGAAAATTTCTTCGCTGTGGAAGACTGTTCATCGATATAAACATAACGCGGTTCGAACAAAACACATATAGACAGTGATCGAGAGAAGGGAAATTCCTATGTTAAGGCCCCATCTACTTTGAATTATAGACGTGCAATTGAATGGGCACGCAACAAAACCATGGTTTCTCTCAGTTCTTCAAAGCAGGCGTATCACCGAACGCATGGCCAGTCATGTTCTGGAACCGTTCGCCAACAATTCCTTCCGCGAGGCGCCGCATTTCTTTCTCATCTTCCTCCGATAGGGTCACATCAAGACTTTGGAGATTCTGGTCCAGGCGACGGACGTTCGAAGATCCCGGAATGGGAAATATATCATCACCCTGAACAAGCAGCCAGGCAAGAGCCAACTGTGGCAGAGTAATACCAATTTTCTTCGCAATATCGGCGATCTGATCGAGGACCACAAGATTCTTCTCGAGATTGCCCTCCTTCAGCCACGGCAGAACCCCACGCAGATCGCCCGGCTTGGTCACATCGTCGCGCGAACGAATCGACCCTGTCAAAAATCCATTTGCCATGGGACTGTAACAGACAATCCCGACGCCGAGCTCGCGTGCCACTTCCAGCAGGCGTCTCTCCGGAGACTCGATCTCAGTGCAGAGCAAACTATACTCCACCTGCACACAGGTGATTCGATGCACCGCATGAGCACGACGCAGAGATTCGGCACTGCACTCGCTAAGCCCGATGTGCTTGATTTTGCCGGCGTTCTTGAGTTCCACCAAGGTCTGCATGGTCTTCTCAATCGGCGTGACTTTATCCAGACGGTGGACATAGTATAGATCCACAAATGGCAGTCCAAGTCGACTGAGAGATCTTTCAATGCACGTACGACAGTACTCTGGCGACGAGTCCATCGCGCGTCCTGGGGCTGTGTCGATGCGTTTGATGCCAAACTTGGTCGCAAGGAAAATGTCCTTTCGTTTATCGGGGTTGGCATCGAACCATTTGCCAAGTAAATCCTCGGAGTCGCCGTACTCATCCGCTTTGGACCCGTCAGCAATCAACCTTCGGATTGACACCTTGCTCTTCAAAACGAATAATACTAGTAGCGCTTACCTGTATCCCAAAATCGTTCTCCTCTTTCGTACGCCTCATCAAGGAAGGCGAGTCTTTCTTCGTTGGAGAGAGATACCCTGTACATCCCACTAGCACCCATGAGGCCAAGCCCCAACCGGGGAACAAGAGGCCCATTTCGGCCCAGTGGGCGAGTAGGCAGAGTCTTGAAAGCGGCCATATCTTGATAGAGGGGGGTTGTCGTTGTGAAGTTGCGATGTCAAATTGTGGAACAAATCAGTTTGGACTGGTCTTATTGTGATTCTGAGTCCCACGCCGCTCATCCTTATACTTTCGAGACCTCGGATTTTGCGGTGGACGAATGTTGTACTCTGGCACTGGACTACAGTATAGTCCGCTTGGGCCAATCATGTTGTTCCGCCGCCAATCCCCGTTATCTCCGTTGTGTGGACGCCTGGTCTTTCAGGCTGTCGCAGCCTTTCTTGGAGAAAACAACGAACAATAGACGGGTTACCAGTAACTACTGCGTGCGCAACAATAGAATAGGGCACGGTTGTGCAGTATACATTATTGAATTTGAGAGCAACAGCACCAAAATTTTAAGGTCAAACGCATGGTCCTTGTTGTGCATAGTAACAAAAAGGATTGCCAATAAAATATCAGCAACATTACATACCATCTATTCTTCAACTTCAATCATTAACATTTTAAATCTTAGTCTCCCGGGTCTGTGTCTGAATTCCAGATTCGATAGCCTTGATCTGCAACGCCAGGAACTTGGAGTATATCCGGCACAAGGCAAGGTTGCCACCAAAGTACCAGAATCCAGGATGCCCGCTTGGGCGCCACATCTAGAACCACCATTAACATTCCAGGGTTCAGCATGAGGACGGACAAGTCAAAATGAACTTACAGCACGGAGTTCTCCCTCATGATCCAGATCCCATACATCCAAGCATCGGTCTGCAATTTTATCACCCAGCACCTTCCGCACCGTCGTCCGCATATTATCATATCCAGTCGCCAGGACAACAACGTCAGCGGGCAAGTCAGTGCCGTCCGCAAGCTTCAGCTCACGCGGGCCAAAGCCTACGATCCCTTGTGGACTATGCTTCATCTTAATTTTACCATCGATAATCAGCGAGCTGCAGCCAACATCGATGTAATACCCGCCACCGCGCGTGTAGTACGCTCGGGCGATACCAGCGCCGTCAGGTCCGAAATCCAATTGGAAGCCCGCACGGCGCAGGCCATCCAAGGTTTCTTTCTCGGCATCTGCAATTCGACGGGTCATGTCCACGCTTAATGCGAATTGAACCGGGAAAGGCAAGCTCTCGGAGACGATGTCAGCCTCTTCTGTGGGCGGGCCACCGTCCTCGTGAAGACCCTTGTGCATCATAAAGACACCCTTATCGGCAGTGATCACGTATGTCCCACTGCGTTGGAGCATGGTTACGTCTGCGCCATTCTCGTAGTAATTCTGGGCAATGTCGTGACCACTGTTACCGGTGCCGACAACAACCACCTTCTTACCTCGAACGTTGTTGTATTCGGACGCATCAGTGTGTTGGCTACCGTGATACAATGTGCCTTGGAAGGAGTCCTGTCCCGGGAAACTTGGAATGCGTGCCTCACCGGAGTGACCCGTGCACCAAACGACATGGCGAGGCCGGAGTATGCGCTGGGAACCGTCCCCGCGAGTCACATTTACCGCCCACTGGGCAGTAGAATCATTGTAGTCGGCCGAAGTGACAGAAGTCTTCATCCAAACGTTGAGTTCCATGATAGTAGCGTAGGCTTCGAACCAGTCGCCTAGCTTGTCTTTGGGAGTGAATTGAGGCCAATTTTGCGGGAAGGGGAGATAGGCCATGTGGGTGAATTCGACAGGGTCATGGGTGACGAGTGTCTAGAGAATATACCGATCAGCATAAAGATATTACTGAATCGGTTGAGGGCTTTGAAACAATCTTTTCCACTCACGCGATACCGCTTGCGCCAATTATCACCAATCCGTTCATGCTTATCAACAAGCAGACAAGATAGCCCCAGGTTTTGTAGACGAGCACCCATATTCAGACCAGCTTGGCCTATAAGTAACTGAATCAGTATCATATATGATTGCCGATATCTCTCTGCAAACAGATCAACTCACCGGCACCAACAACCAAGACCGTTGGTTCTGCATCCAGGAATTCTTTCTGTCTCTCCCTCCGCTCAATCCACGTGCCACCCACAAGCCCACCAGGCATACTCTCCGTCGTTCCTTCGGGCCGTTTCTTCCCCAAAGGCTCTTCAGCCCCTTTCAATTCTTGCAAAGAGGTATACATCGCATACGCCCTCCAGCGTCCGTCGTCTCCCTGAGTAAGCCGCACCATCCCAGTGCCGCTACCAAAAGCCGTTTCGAAGAAGAACATGCTAGAAACCCAGCTTAACCCTTCAACCACCTGTTGCCAGCGTGGCTGAAAGTTCCCCTGTTCTTGAATTCGAAAGTTTGACAGTCGGGCCTTACTCTGGTGAGCGCCAAGGAACTCGGAGATTTCAGCGGCACTGTGCAAGGTGCGCATATCCCAGTCCAGGGCCAGCATATCTCGCCACCATGATTCTTCGTGGAAAAGCGAGCCGATTTTAAGTGTTGATGGCTTCGACAGTGCCGTCTCTAGAGCTACAAGCCACTCTTGGATCACTGCTCGAGCATCTGGCGGTGCGCTGGTGGATGTTTTAGGGAGATTGATAATGTGCGGGTTTCCACCCGTTAACGTTGTTACCATGATGGATGAAGAGTCGTGTCAATTCTGCAAGATTAAATTGCAAAACGTACAAAGTACACCAGGTTTCTTCAGTCTCCAGATGTGCGGGGAGCAAGAGGTCCTATAAATAACCCTGTTCTCCTCTATAGTACTCGTCACATTGAAGGGACATTATTCAGCCGAATTCTGGAGCAGGAGGGGTAACGTGGGGAAACAGAAGAGTCAGAAGACCCTAGATGACTGCAGAAGCTCAGCAAGAGCCAACCTTCCAGCGGTTATTTCGGGTGATTTTATGCCGTGGGGAAGGTCGGCTTGAACTCCGAGCAGAATGTTGGGGGAAGTCTGCCGAGAGTCATCGCTCAATTAGGAAAATTTCGCGGTCGCTCGCTTGTTGGTTCTTTTTGGGAGTTTCTCGATCTCCGCCTTCTTGGTGACTACTCCATCCAAATTCCACGATTGGTAGCCCCAGGCACTTTTACTGCTTTGAGGTTCCCGAGTGTGCATGGAGGTGCCCTACCCAAGAAATTATAGCACAGTCCCCGAGCACCTTGGTAACAGAACCCCACCACGCGCATAAAGACCGGGAGCACCAAATCAGTAGTGCCCATCATAGACACCTGGGCGGCCAGCTAGCGTGGTTGTAACTGTTTTTATTGTCGCCCAGGGGCGAATCACCAAGGCGACTTATTAAAGGCCTCTACCAGGCGGCGGGCGGTCATCTCCCGGTCGAAATGCTCTTACCAGGACCGGCGAATCTTGTCAACTCAGCATACTAGGCGTCCAGTATCTATGCATTTTGATAATAGTTACAGAGTCCAAATGATGCATGTTCTGAAACTTACAGTGGCCAGGGCTGTTGCAGTCCCAACAATGCCCATCATAGGCACCTGGGCGGCCGGAGTGGTAGCCAGGGCAGCTGTTGTCTTGACGGTCACCCATGGTGAACTGTACAAAGGGAGAAAAGAGGAGAATGGAGTGAGGAAGAGAAGAAGATAAGAAAAGAGTAAGAATGTAAGAATATCTGATATAGCTTTTCCTCCTCATCGTCTCCAGGTGTTCCTCGCCAGCTTGCTGTGCGTCGAGTCTATATGTCAAGGCGTGCAGCGTCCAGCGTCTAGGGCAGCTCTCTGGGCTGCTGCCTCGCTCTGTATCTTCTTCACTCGGTCGTTGACCGGCGAAGGACCGGTAGCTGAGGGGTAGGGGCGGAGACGGGACTAACCGTAAGAGGCTCTTCGGGAGGAGCATGAGCAGCGAGGAGGTAGACGAGCCTGTCATTTCTGGCGTAGATTTCCGTCACCTGGCTGACTACTTCTTTCAAATTTTGGAGAAGGCTGAAGCCGTCTATGTTACCAGCCACTCTCTGCTCAGCATTGTATTGGAGCTCGGGCGCCTCCTTGATCATTTTTTCAACGCAGGTGTTAAGAGTGTTGGGGGTACTCGTTGTCCTGAACGGGACTAGAGTAGATGATTTTCGAGTGGCTCTATCGTAAACATAGATTAGTTAAAACGTTTGTCTGAAGGGAGTGAGACGCGAAATGGACTTTACCTTTTCAGGGCGGGTTTAGGTTGAGAGCTCTTAAATGTCGATGAGGTGCTAGCTCCAAGCGGCACGATAGAGACCGTCATGCCCAACGGCATAACCATACATGGCGAACCTGCGGTAGTCGACGAACTCCGCGCAGTGGTCGAGTCGTACGACATCTGGGGCTACCCCCAAGTCGCGAACATCCCTATAGACCAGTGGATACGCATTCCCATGATCCCCAGATGGGAAACCAAGGTTCCGAAGTCCGGCCGATAGAGCCGAGATCGACAAGCTGTTTAACTCCCTCCAAGCCGATGGCAAACTCAAGTTCGCAGACTCGCATACCCCCAGTGGCCACCCAGTGCTTGTCGTCTGAAAATGGAAAACGGATGATAGCGGCAATCGCACCCGAGTCGGCAGAGTAGTTGGACCTCCGAGCCCAGAATAAGCTCGTCGTCAAGGATATCTACCCAGTGCCCACGCAAGCCGACATCATAGCGATAACCCTAGGGAAGCACTTCATGACAGTGTTCGACGGCGCGAAATGCTTCTGCCAATGGCGGGTGTATCCAGACCACACCGGCCAAATAGCGGTGATAACCCACTGCGGCCAGGAGGTATTCCAAGTCGCCATCATGGGGTTGGAGTCAGAGGCTTTTTTTGTGGGCGTACCGCCGGCCTCTTCGGGAGCGGGCCTTTTCTTGCCCTCGATTCTGCCTGATATATTGTAGAAAGATGTGTTATAGACCGCGAGGAGAGAAAAGAGGAGAGAAGCAGACAGAGAAAGAGAAGAAGACAAGAAAAGGGTAAGAAGGTAGGAGCATCCGACACAATATACTCCTTGTCACCTTCCTCAAGTTCCTTTCCCTGACTGGCTTCAGTTGAGTCAACACATCAGCATGTGCCACATCCATGGAAGCAACACTAGTATGCCTGGGAAGGAATTTCGTAATGGGAAACTTTGATACGTGCCTCTTGGAGTACCTAATACGCAGGCATCATCACCAGGTCTACACCAGTATCACTTTGTCAGTCTATGAAAACCGTAGTGTAAGCAAGAAATAGAGCTTACTATGCCCTTCCCAGTTGCATTCCCAACAATGGTAGTTATAGGCAGGCGGGGGGGCGGCAGGGATAACCTAGGCGTCTCATCATCTTGACGAGACGAAGAGAGACGGGGGGACGGGGCGCGCACAAGAGTGGAAATTTTTCTTTGAATAGTAGATGTGGGGGGCGGCAGCCAGACACGAGAGCGAGCGAAGACGTAAGACTTGTGAAGATGGGAGAATACTGGAACTACGGTTGGGAAGGAAGTATTTATAAGTTCCCCTCAGGCTTGACGCTATTCCCAGATCACTGATCTGGCGTATCTGATTGGCTGGTTTAGGGACCCATTGTGGTGATGATCATCTATTATGATTGGCTGAATCAACGCCTGTGCCAGCACCGATCCCGCACTCTGATTGGACAATCTGCAGGGGCCTTAGAACACTCCACTCATGCCGTGAGCTCGCGTTCCTATTGGCTAGATTACCGCTACTGATAGGTAATCCTGGAACTTCATTGGTTGATACTGCCTATGATCGCCCGGCCCGTCCCGCTGCAGCCCTGTGGGTCAGACATCAATATTATTGTAATAATTTGCAGTGGGTGTAGAATTCTATTGCAGTGGCCATCGCCTGAGCCCGTAGTTCCCCTTCTCTCTCTTTTTCTGTACCCTCTTGTCAAGAGTTGTGTTTCTATTCATTGCGTGTACTTTGTGTTCGTCACTAGACTACTGGAGTTTGTACGTACTCTGGTCTGTATTTGCGGGTAACTTAAGCTGCCTCTTCCCCTGCATTTCTCGAGGGAGCACTCCTCCGGTCGCCCTTTGTTTGAAGTGTCATAAAATCCCTCTTGCAAGACTCGCCATACCGTCCTCATAGTGTGGTGCAGTAGAAAATCATGGGTGGCATTGCGATTCGGGTTTCCACACTGTGTGTCCGGAGTAAGTTCTTTCCGTCTCTGTACTCGTATCTCGTTTTCAACGGCTCTCTGCTTTCCTCTCGAGTTGCCTATTGAAATTGACCACACAGAAGACGTAAGTCATCTCCGACCGGGCGGAAATTCTGACTCGCGGGTGTTTCCAGTCGTCCGCAGCCGTCGCACTTGATATCCAAGCCGGATCTCCGCCTAACTTCCAATTCTTCAAGAACGCGTCGATGCTGCCAATTTGAACGATTCCTCTGGCACATATCTCGCACGATTGGGATAGACATTTTGGAAGGAATTGAGAAGAGCAATAGAGAGCCACTCTCAAAGTTCCCTATGGGTTGGATCCGTGTTTGGAGGAAGGACAGCCAACTGCCGGAAGCTTGGTTCAGCTCTCTCATCCGCATCAAAGCGGCAGTGCGTTGTCGTCTTGAGGCTATTGCGACCCGTGCCAATTTTCGCCCGATACTCCTTCATTCGATTCGGCGGGTGTGCGGCGTATCCAGTATAACACTCGAGCTCCAATTTCCGATCCACATGTTTCTTGCCAAAATCACCTGTGCACGATCAGCGCACCACCTTCATCATCCAAGGCTTCTGAGTCACTCGCAGTGGCTGACCGTTCGTTCTTGACGAACTCTAGGACTTTACATCCGGCAGAAGCGGATTCCATGACTTTACATTTGGCAGTGCCAAATTCTTTCGACTCAATGGTCTCCAAGCTCTTCCTTTGAGTCTCTCGCACATGTATATCCTTATTATTATCACTGCTCTTCCGCTTCGATCCTTAAACATCGGACGTTTAATGTCTGTTAATTATATCCGTCAGCGGCCTGCGGCTAGTGCGGATACCGTTATAGTTCCGATTGATCGAATTCTGGTTATGATCGAGGAGGCCCTAAGTTAAATTCTCATTAGCGAATTCCTTCTGTTTATCTCCCTCGATTGATTTAGCTCTAGGGGATGGGGAGGGAGGGAGGGAGGAGGGACCTCGAGAGGGGGGGGGGAGTGAGAACTGCCTAGCTTAGCATTAGACTCCACTGCTGTAGAGCTAGACCGGCTGCGTAGGGTATACTTCACGCCAGAGTTAGTCATATTTAAGTTTTTGATTCGAATATAGCGACTCGGTATAGAAACTGATTTAATTCTTGTCGAAATTAGTTGGACCGATAGCGATGTAGAGTGAGAGATGAATGGTTATCCTCGAGGTGATCATCCGCCAACGGGGGTGCCTTATGGCCTGATTACGTTTTCCCCCATCGATTTAAAACGGACTCCTAAGTGCCAACATTCTCATTCCCCTCCTCGTTACCCTCTTCAGTGTCAGCGGTGTTGATGTCGATGTCGAACTCACCGACGGCATCTCGCTCTTAGGCACCACCAGCACCAGCACCGCGGTTACCACCATAGGGATGGACCCGAGCACAGCTTATCGTTCGTATGGAATTAACTTACACTGATGACATGACCACCATGATTAGTAGTCAGTTCAACTTTCGCCCAAATATCACGCGGACCCTCATCACAGAGCAACGCTCGTCACCAGCTTGGCAGGGTGTTCAAGCATGAGTTTGGGGGTCAAGTATGCGAGACAGGTTCAGAGAGATACGAAGTATAAGTATAAACCGCAGAATTAGGCGTTATGTGACGTTCTCGCTGTGAGCGAAGAAAGCCAAAAGAAACGATAGGCTGAACCCAAATCCTACCCAACCTCGATAACGAGACTGTTGAACTGCATAGCAAAACAGCCATACTGCGGAATACTGCCCGATTGTCTCGGGCGGGTAGTTGAAGGGGTCTCAGTGTCGTTTGTGAAGCACAGCTGACCACCGGCAAGATCTTTGGTGATCTCGGTCAGCATATGCTTTGACTTTGTTTTCAGCCTAGATTGTAATCTTTAGCTAGGAAACCACGGTCAGTATGGCCCGCACGTTCAGAAGAAAGGGAAGATTGCCTTGAGAGAGCAGTACAGATACCTTGTCAAAGGGCGATAATAACTCGAACGTGTATGAGGCTATCTCTGCTGCTTCGTCGACATGTGGGAATGGCTCTTCGAAGGGTGCTGGTGGTTCTAAGGGTCTTTAGATAGCGATCAGAGGATGAAGGTGCGAGTATCCGGCTTGTCCTTTCGCAAGTGAAGTCTCGCCATGGGTGACCCTCGAAGAAGAGGGCATCCTGACGGCAGGGACGGTAGAAGCGATCCCGTTATTCGCAGCGACGACAGGCGGCAATCCGTCTATAGCCGAGTCATTCGGGGGCCGATGGGATTCTGGGCTATGTATGTCGGTTATTCAAACTGTATAATCTAAGAAAGTCACAGAGAGATGAGAATGAAATGGGGAAGTATTAGACACTATGCAGCAAACGCCCACACTTCACACATCACTCTACCGAACTAGTTGGATACTCGGCGAAAGGAGAAAGATCAAAGGAATACGAGCATTTGTCGGGCCCCATCACTGACAAGAATGCTGTGCAATGCCCGACGAAAAATCCACAGCTTACCCCGGCCAAAGTTCATCGACCGTCAGAATCCAACCAATAGCTCCTTGAGAGGAATGATTTTCCCTCCGGACGAATGTCGCCCGGTGAAGGAGCATGCCTAGAACTCATGAGCGAAATAATATCACTCTATCAAATCACGAAATCAAGTTAGACCGGAGTAAACAACGATTCATGATACTATCGCGATATGAGCAAGATAAAAAAAAAGAAAAGATCAAGCAAGAGTCGCCGTTGATCGACCCCAAAAATTGTCGCAGGCCCTAAGGTTAATTACGGGGCCAGCTTCCGCATAAAGCTAGACGACGGGGCCTAGATCCCGACAAGAGATAAGCGCGAAGACATGACAATTAGAGTTTGCCGAAACTGGCAAGTCCCGGCGAAATGTTTCATGGTGGATGGTAGAGTCTGGGGAATGCGGGGTAATTCGACGCGGAGGGCACTGGTCGAGATCTGGGGGAGGATACCTGGTCTAATGCAATTATTGGATGCTTCTTCATGTACCCCAGAAGATTAAACTTTCGGTGGGAAATGCCTGAATCACTGGTGGCAATGATTCTCGCAGAATGGCGACGTGAGGGTTTGGAGTATATAAACCGTGACAGTCGTGCAAGGAGAATCTTTTTGGCACAGACTGAGAGACTAGCTTCTCATCTTTAATCTTCGTGAATAGATCTCTTTCATATATCAATTCAGTGTCTTTCGGAGCCCTACAATTGCTCCACTTTCAACAATCTACCATGGCAGACTCGGACCAAAATAGTGTCTCATCTAAGATGGACGAGAAAAATGCCGTCGCTGAGCATGTCGAAGCCTCCTCGCACCTGAACCTTGATGATCTCGACAGTATTGAGAACACCGAGTCCAGCAGATACGCCTGGCTTGTGTCCATCACGGCAGGTGTTGGCGGCCTTCTCTTCGGTTACGATACTGGTTGGTGCCAACTTGTCTATACTCTAAAGTGGCTCTCAAGTAACCCATATCTATTCTTCTGCTCACAGGTATCATCTCTGCAATTTTGGTCTACCTAGGAACCGACCTAGGTGAGACCCTGAATGCGAGCCAGAAGGAATTGATTACTTCCATTACATCTGGCGGTGCTTTTCTAGGTGCTATCTGCGCCGGGTTGTTCGCAGACAAATATGGCAGGAAATTGCCAATCTATAGCGGTTGTGCACTGTTCATTATTGGTGCTATTATTCAAGCTGCGTCCTTTTCAATTGCCCAGATGACTGTCGGACGTCTGGTGGTCGGCTTAGGAGTGGGCTCTGCAGCCATGATCGTTCCAGTTGGTATTATCCTTGCCTAAGGATACAAAATTCCGCTAACATCTAGCAGCTTTATATTGCCGAGGTCGCTCCCGCAAAGTATCGTGGCCGTATGATCGGTCTAGATAACATGTCCATCACCGGAGGTCAACTCATCAGCTACGGAATTGGTGCTGCATTCGCCTCCGTGTCGAATGGCTGGCGATATATGGCCGGCTTGGGTGCAGTCCCGGCCATAGTTCTCTGCTGTTTGCTCCCACTCTGCCCCGAATCTCCACGCCAACTCATCTGCCAAAACAAGCCCGATGAAGCAGCGAAAGTCATTGCTAAAATCTTCCCCAACGGTACTTCTGAACAAGTTCAACAAAAGGTCCAGCACATTTCAATCCACGTTGAGCAGGCCCAGAACGCTCTCGGGAACAAGAGTGTTTGGTGGCAGATCAAGCAACTCTACGTTGTCCCTAGCAACCTCCGTGCTATGATCTCTGCTTGTGGACTCATGGCAATTTCGCAGCTCGGAGGTTTCAATTCGTTAATGTATTATTCTTCGACGCTATTTGCACTTGTGGGTTTCAGCAATCCCGTCGCAGTGGGCACCGTGATCGCGGGGACGAATTTTATCTTCACATGGGTGAACCTCATGCTCGTTGATCGCATCGGACGCCGACGCATTCTGCTCTGCACGATGTGGGGAATGTCAGTAGCCCTAATCTGCGCTGCTATATGCTTCCATTGGATCCCGATCAATCATGATCTTACTCTGAAGAGTAGCCATATCGGGGCACCCGCTTACCTTGTCCTGGTCTCTATGGTCATCTACGTTGGATTCTATTCCTCCGGCATGGGCAATACCGCGTGGCTATCGTCTGAATTCTATCCTATGGAAGTACGTGCTGCTGTGGGCACTATGATGTTGACATTGAGTTGTTGGGGTTCCAACATCATCGTGGCGTCGACCTTCCTTACCCAGATGGAGAACACTACGCCGTCGGGGGCTTTCGGTTTTTATGCTGGTATTTGCTTCTTTGGATGGATTGCCGTCTATTTCTGTTACCCGGAAGTCAAGGGAATGACTCTTGAAGATATTCGAGAAGTGTTCAAGCATGGGTTTGGTGTCAAGTATGCGAGACAGGCTCAGAAAGATGCGAAGTATAAGTCGCGAAATCAGGCGTCAGGTGACGTTATCGCTGTGAGCGGGAAGGTGTGAGTCAGATTAGTACTATTCTTATTTCAAGAAAGACTAGATCGGTGGAATGGAATTTTTCTAAAATAGGGTAGTATTAGTATTCAACAAAGAGATCTCGTTAGAGATAGTGGTGCGGGACTGATACCATAGAATATATATTTCCTGCTCTATATGCTTCATCTACCGCTATATCTTCTAAACTAACCATCTAGTGACTAAATTATTTTAAAAAAAGATAGGACCTTTAATTTCTAATATCTAATTAGCTATATATAATGAGATTTCATAAATTTTTCCTAAGGAATATAGCTGAGTCAAGGGAGATGTTAAAGTAGTATACCAAAACACTATTTAATAATAGTAAAAAGTTCGGATGAATCCTCATTTTATCCATCTTATTTGGGAAGATTATGCAAAAAATATAAGCCTAGAGGGACTCCCATGAGCGAACTAAAAGACTTGGTCCCGTGGGGGTGGGACTAGATTTTTACTAGTCCCATGGGAGATGTCCATGTCTAGGCGATAATATATTTAGTAGGATGTAATTACTCCCATATGATAGGTATTCTGACGTTTTCAAGTACAAGACCTGCATTAGAAGGAAAGCATTATTTCATTAGCTTTCCGATACATACAATGAGCTCACAGGATGGGCTAGACATGAATTTTGGAAGGCTGCTAACACGGAGGATTTATTTAATAGTTGAAAATCCTCAGGTCCGGCTCAGCCCGGCTCTCGCTTTCCCGAATTAACTCACGGATATCAACCTTACCCAGGAACCAGCTCTGAAATAGGTTGCAAACAATACGCTGCATCTTCCCATTTTCCACCTCGTAGTATGCCCATACGCGGATCTTGATAATATCGCCCGCCTCAACCGGATACCCAAAGACGCCCTCACGAGCCGTCTTGTACACAAAGTAAGACTCCATGATAAAGAAGATCTTGTGTGCATCGTTCATCACAACCATGGGGACGACATATTCGTCACAAACGTCGAATAGTGGCATATAATGCCCACGTATGCCATCTTTCCCGCGCAGCATGCCGGTCTTGGGATCCGGGATGTGTAGTGTGACGTCATCGGCATAAAAATTGTATTGCGTCTCAAAGTCGTGCGCATTGAAGGCACGCATGTAGTTCAGGAAATCATTGCGGGAGAGCGCTGTCATTGTGGGAAAAGAGCAAAAAACAAGGAGGGTTGGCTGGCAAATAGTGCGCTGGAAAAGTTCGTTTCACTTTTTAGGATCGAGAGAGTATTCTCAGATTCCATGTTGGCGTGAAGCGCTGAGATATATGTCATCCCAAAAATAGCGGATGCAGAAGGGTTTAGAGGTTATGCTGACGGGCCGGGCCATATTGACTGACCAAATTGCTGTAAACCCACTAGGCGCCGGGACACTTCGGGTCCACCCTAGAGATAGTGACTGACCTGAACGCTGGGCACACTTCGGGTCCACCCTGGCAAGAGCCTCCCGGATCCTCTAGCCCCAAATTTCCAGATTACTCCGACACCTCTCGCCTTGAATTATACCGAGGCAGAGTAACGGGTCTATGTCTCGAGACCATAGATCGATGGTCATTCAAAAAATGAAGACATCGTGCTAACAATATTGAGAGGAGTTTACGGGTTTGACATTACACTACTAGTCAATAGGAAGATGGCTCTCCACCCAGTGTCTCTGCGCGTCAATCTTCTATCTGAACCCTTGGGCATCGATACGTCACAGCCAGAATTCAGCTGGCAGCTCTCCGCCCAGCAGGCTGCGGTGCTACAGTCGGCGTATCAAATCCAGGTCTCCGAGAGACTGGACTTCAGCGCTCCTCATTGGGATAGCGGTGTGATTACGTCTGACCTTCCATATGAAGCCCAGTATAACGGCGCAGCACTGGTTTCATGCCGTCGGTACTACTGGCGGGTGCGCGTATGGGATCAGGTAAACCAACCGGGCAACTGGAGCGATGTCAGTTGGTTCGAGACGGCCTTTCTGCCCGGATCGAACGGACCGAACGCCCAGTGGATCAGTCGGAAGTCCCTCACACCCTTGTCTTCACAGCTTCAAGATCGTGATGTGCTATACTTCCGCCGTGATATCACCCTGCAGCAGCCAGCTTGTCGTGCGCGGGTATACGCTTCTGGCCTGGGGTGGTATAAACTGGTGATCAACGGCGTCAACGTGACCGGCCGAGCGCAGGTACCACGCTGGACGCCATACGAAAACCACCTTGAGTATTCTGTTTTTGACGTTGGTCTCGTGCTGCGCGAAGGTCATAACTGCCTTGGTGCCATCGTCGCCGACGGTCACTACCGAGGAGAAAATAACGGACTGAGCCATCGCAACTGCTATGGTGACCGACTAGGCCTTTTTTGCCTGCTCGTCGTCGATCTGGAAGACGGGCAGCAGATGATAGTCCGCAGTGACAATGACTGGGCTGTCACCACCGGTCGCATCGTGCATTCGGACCCTAAGGCGGGCGAGACCGCCGACTTTCGTATCCCGGATGTGTTTGACGACGACATGAGCAGCGGCCTTCATGCCTGGGAGTCGACTGATATCCTCCCCATACCAACCAAGCACCTCATTGCCGAGGAGACTGTCCGTGTAGACGAAATTGACCGACGGCCCACCACGCACGTCTGGTGGTCCCCCAAGGGCCAAATGCTTGTCGATTTTGGACAGAACATGGTCGGTCATGTTCGTGTCTTGCTTCGAGGCCCTCGCGACACCAAAGTCACGCTTACATTTAGTGAGGTCCTCACGCCCGAAGGTGAACTTGACCTCGCGTACCTCGAGCCGGTTGGCAAGGATCGCCCTCAGCAGGACAAAGTTTTACTGTCAGGTACCCCAGCGGGGGATTGGTTCGAACCCATGTTTACCATCCACGGTTTCCGTTACGTCGCGCTTACCGGGCTAGATGCCCTTCTCTCGCCGGACGAGATCGAAGCCATTGTCATCTCCTCACAGTTCACGGGCTGGGCCGAGTTTGACTGCTCCGATAGCCGCCTGGCACAACTCTTCCGCAACACCGTTTGCAGCTTTCGGGGTAACTTCACGGATACGGCTACCGACTGTCCCACGCGCGAGCGCTCTGGTTGGACAGGAGACCTCCAGGTCTTCGCATCAACAGCGGTACTGCTGACGCGTGACGTGCAGAGCTTCCTGCGCCGGTACCTGCGCAACCTGCGTGCGGAACAGTGGGATGACGGCCGAATTCCCCCATTCATTCCGTCAGGCGACTCGAAGTTCGCTGGTGTGTCGTGGCTGTCGCGGCTGACTGCCAGTGCCGTCGGCTGGGGCGATGTCTGTGTTCACCTGCCATGGAAGATGCATTGCCACTTCGGTGAAACCACCATCCTTGAACGCCAATTTGATAGCATGCGGCGCTGGGTTGACGCGCTAGCCGAGCGGGCTCGTAATAAGCGCAGCTGGACACGTTGGCTATTTGGGGGTCCTGCCGAGGTGGAACAATATATCGTTGATACTGGCTTTCACTGGGGGGAGTGGCTGCGCCCGGGGGAGACATCGCTGGTGCCATTGCTTGTTAATTTGTTCTTGTGGCCGAATGCCGCCATTCCTACTGCATATTTAGCGGAATCTAGTCGAATCTTAGGCGAGATAGCCGGGGCCTTAGGTCGCAAGGAGGACGAGGCATCGTACCGCGAGCTGGCCTGTCGTGTCCGTGAAGCGTGGCAGAAGACCTTTGTCTCTGGCGGTGGCTACCATATTGCCCATGATAAGCAAGATGACTACGTGCGCGCGGTCCAATTCGGGCTGGTGTCCGGAGTCGAAAAAGAAGCAGCGCTGGCGCGACTAGCACAACTTGTGGAGCAGGCTGAGTACCATTTGGCAACCGGCTTTTTGAGCACAGGTGAACTTTTACCCACACTAATCACAAACGGTTACGTGGAGGAAGGCTTTCGCGTGCTATTGCAGACGACGGCGCCGTCGTGGCTGTACGCTGTGGAGCACGGCGCAACAACCGTCTGGGAGTCGTGGGAAGGCTGTACGCCGGAAGGCCAGGCTGTGCTCTCGCAGAATCACTACGCCCCAGGCGCCGTTGTGGCTTGGCTACTGCAAGGGCTTGCCGGGATCAACCCTGCTGTTCCAGGCTGGCGACGCATTCGCATTGCGCCGCAAATTGGCAGTATCATGCATGCATATGGGAGTGTGGATACTCCATTTGGACGAGTCACATGTCACTGGCGCCGCGAGCAAGAAACGGACGATATACATCTTGAACTCCATATCCCTCCCGGCACGACAGCCGAAGTTCAAATTGGCGATGGGGTTGTGCTGTCAAAACCCTCTGGGTACTACAGAGTAACGTGGAGCGGTAGCCAATGGGCGGAAGACTCATCGTAGCTGTCTTGCGGTACTCGGGGGAAGGGGGGCGGGCACAGGGACATGCTTGACTACCAGGGATGGAAAGGATATTGACCATTATATTTCTCTCTCTCTCTGAACAGCAACCCACGGGTCAATATTAGCCTACTATGTATTATGTCAAGGATTTCCCTTATAACTCAGTCAATTTAGTTTACCGGTAACTGAGCGTACCTTAGATTTCCAGACGATCTAGACGGGAGGGCAATCGAGAATTGTCCAAGGGAGCGACTGGAATAGGGAGCAATATCTAAGCCTGCCATGCAGAGGACGGGTATGAATACTGGTCAAGCCAAAGATTTCAAGTTTCTTGACCAACAACCTCGCCGCGGTTTGATAACCTTTCTAGTAAAAATGTAGCTGTAATCCTTTCTTAAGAGGTTTCGATAAAAGCCCCATTCCCACATGATGGTGTTACAGACACCAAGCACATGAAGCAAAAGGGGGCCACGAAGTCGATTAGTCTATCTAGAGAGAGGCCAAGAAGAAGAAGAAGAAGAAGAAGAAGAAGAAGAAGAAGAAGAAGAAGAAGAAGAGGGAAAAGAATGGAAAGGCCGAAATAGGCCTACAAGATACAAAGAACCAAAGGGACAAAGTCCTGGTCCTAGCAATCAGCAAACCTGCATGGCAAATCATGTAGGAACAGAAGATAGCTGCACAATCAAACGGCCGAGGCCAAGGTCGAGGTCCTGGAGGTCGATTCATCACCACAAATTCCCGGAGAGGCTGGTCTTTAACATCTAAGAAAACAACTGGTCCCGGTGGTGACTATTGAATATACCTTCAAACGTGCCACTTTAATCATTGTAAGTGGCCGAAGGATTCCACGAAGCGAACCGCCGAGCAGGAATCCCGCGCCGAAACATCTCATCCAGCGTCTCGTAAGACCGGTCCTTAGTTTCGGGAACCTCAAAGTACAGGACAATCAAGCTGATAGCGCTCGTCGCCAGAAAGATCCAGCCCATCTTTCCGCCCAGATTCCCCTCATCGGCGTTGAACATGTATGGGACGACCACGTTCCAGAGCGTCGAGTAGAAATAGTTAAATGCGAAGCCGATCGATTGCGATTTTGCTCGTAGCCGCACCTGAGACACTTCGCCGGCAATGCCCATCGCTGGACCAACCGTCGGGCCCATCGTCCACCAGGTCAACTCGAGTGAAATCCCGATCACCCTAATAATGGGTTAGTCTAAGTCAGTATCTATTTGTGTGGTACTGGGTATGATAGCCTACCAAAGGGTCTTGGAAGTGGACGGGAAGCAGCTGGTTATCCCCATCATGAGGAAGAGGAGGCACGATAGACCAACGCCAAACAGAATGATGTTGCGTCGGCCATACCGGCTGAGCGCAAACCAGGTCATGATCGAGCTACAGATCGCGAAAGCAAGGCCAATCTCCACGATCATGCCTGTGTTATTAGAGCTCATCCCCGCCATAATGAGAAAGTAGGGCGCATTGGATAGAAAGGTCGCGCCAATCATCTGCGACAGCCCGTTGCAGTAGAGAATGATCCGCGTCCGCCGCCAGTTGCTGCCCCTGAAGCATTCCAGGAAGCTGCTATCCTTGGCCTCTCCGGACAGCTGTTGTTCATGCTCGAAGACGCGCACGATGTCCTCCAGTTTTGCTCCAACGTTTGTGTGCTTATTGGAAATTCTAGCGAGCGCAGCGCACGCTTTGTCCTTCTCCCCCTTGCGGACAAGATAGTATGGAGACTCGGGAATAGCATAGGCAAAGATGATCAGCAGTGCTGTCCAGGTCCATCCTATAGCAAAAAGTACCTTTTCAAATTAGCGTTACAGATCTACGCGTATATATAGACTACGCGTCTTACCTGGTAGGAGGCGGCTGTGGGAATATCGAGACGAGTGAATGCGATCGACGCGGATATTATGAGACCTAGGTTCTACACAATCCCCGTTAATCATCGCTACCAGGGCCATCGAATGAGGCAGCCACATACCATGGAAAACGAATACAGGGAAAGCAAGATGCCGCGCAGTTCCAACGGGGCGATCTCGGAAACGTAACTCTGGCCTGTGGCAAGGGCCATTCCCAACCCAATTCCATTTACCATCTTTCCCACAAGAAAGACCGGGGATGTGGCTGCACTGTAAAGAACGGCCACGCCAGCGGAGGAGATGATGCCCGAAAGAAAGAACCCCAGGCGACGGCCAAAAGCATCCGAAATGTGGCCAGCGCTCCACGCACCCAGCATCGTGGTTAGCTGGGGGATTGCATTCCACAGCGACTGCCAATAGGCGGGGATCACCACCCCAGCGGAGGTGTTTTCGCCGAATTGCGTCCTATAGATAGCCTAGTTTTAGCCATATTGGATGGTACTTTGGGGTTGCGAGGGTGACGAACATGAATGAGGTCATGGATAGGCACAGCGACAGCGACATATTCTCGTAGCCATACATTAGAGCGCCGACGTTGGCGAACATGGACAGTGAGAGGATCATGGGGTTGGCGAGCAGCGTCTTGGTAATGGACATGGGAGGTTCTGCAGATGTATCTTCATCCCTGTCGAGGATTTTCGCGGGAGCAACATCTTCCAGGTGCAAAGCCTGGTCAGTTTTGTCGTTCTTGTCTTGGGTGGTTTCGGGCATGTTCGGACTCATGGTGAGGTTCAATACAAAGCGATATAGTTTTAAATTAGATCTGTTCCCCACAGTGTAGTAGGTTAATCTGGGGTCTTATGAACCTGGGGAAGGGCTTGAGATCAGGGGCTGGGGAAGCGCTGGCGCCAAAGTTAGACTCGGTGAAACGCACCCCGAGAAGATGCTCGTGGCGCAAGCTGTGGGCCAGCTGGCAAGGTGGAGGGTTAGGAGATCCGATGTGGAGGGGATCCTCCGGGCTTTGGGGTATTCAGCGCGATCCCTTGACAGTCAATTACGATCGTGGAGACTTTGCCCCCCGAAAAGCTGAGATTACGCCGGCTCAATAACCAACGTAGGTGTTGAGGTATCTGGGTTAAGATGAGGCTTACACACCCCCTCGGGATAACCAGAAAACAGAGTGCTGTAAGCTGGATTGATAGATAGGCTACTTAATTGCTAAATATTGTTATATAAATAGAGCACTGGTTTACCAACATAGATCCATAAGGTCTCAAAGTATGCATATACGTGTTACGTGTGCGCATACTGGGATATGGCGAAGAGGAATAGTCATTATAGATAGGCCGATGCTGAGAAGCTTACAGGTGACTATGTCAGACTCTAAATAAAATTTTTTCCAATTTGGCCAGAGGGGTGTCATGGCAGATACGGCTGATCTGAGGACTTGTAGCTGGTAATTCATAATGAACTCTCCATGCTAAGGAAATATCAGTGGCTCATTCTTTCGCACATCATACGAGCTGACGTTTCCTGTCCGGTCCTTGTACTGAATGCGGGTATCAAAGCTCGTTGTCAGGAGCACCGGTTTCCCTGGCTCCCACGATACCGTCACTGTGCCCAATCCAATCGCGAAGGTGCCCGCCATCTTCTCCCAGTGCTCCCGCCGCGGCTCAAACGAGATTGTGGCAAATTCAGGTGCAGCAGGTCTCAGCCCAGCGAGATTTGCAACCACGTCATGAATGGGAACCGCACTCCACCCATGACAGTCACTTCGGGGCATGGCCGCGGACTCCGCCCACGTTGTAAGATTGAGGTCCATCATCTCACGCCACGGATTCAACAAGCTGTGGCGGAGTTGATCATAGATGCCCACCTTGTGAGTGGCCTCCAAGACGTAGAAGGACATGGCATAGGAGCAGCGTGCGAAACTTTCATCTACCAAAGCCCGTTGCAGCACCTTGCGGGCAGTTTCCCCTTCCAGTGCCCCGGACAGAACTGCAAACACTTGCGCGTGCTGACTACGCTCCTCAATAGGGCTATCCGGCCCATCGACCAAGAATTCTCCTCGGAAGCAATGCTTGAAGACGGCTTCGTTGAGATCTGCTGCGCGCCGGTTGTACTCGGCTGCCGTATCATGTCTTCCCGCGTACTTGCACAACGCGGCAGCCTGTTGTAGGGTATAGGCATATATCAAGCTGCTATATGTCATTTTACCCGTGCGGTGGTAGGCCGGCGGAACGGCCAACTGACGAAAGTCACCCTTTCCCAACGTCCACTCCTTCGCCCAGTCGACGAATGGCCAGACGTCCCAGGCAAACCGACCTACGAGGCCATCCTCCTCTACCCGCTGGTGAAAATGGTCGAGAATCCCATCAACGGTACCAAGATAACCGCGTACCAATGATCTGTCTCCAACATACATCATATGATCATGCACCATAAGGACCCAGTACAGTGAGAAGAATGGGATATTGACAACGGGGAATGGAGCGGGGTAGTGTGTCTCAATGAGTCCGTCAGGCCGGCGGCTGGAGTAGAATTCCCGCATACACTTACGCGCCAGTCGGTCATCGTGCGAAAGCTGGTAGGTGAAAAGGATCTGCAGGCGGGCGTCCATGGCGAACTGGTTCTGCTCATAGTAGGGGCAGTCTTCGTAAGTCTCGTGCATGCAGTTGCGGAGGGTGTTCAAGCTAATATCCCATTGCTTGGCGGTCTCCGTCGAGGGGAAGTGGGAAAACGTTGTCTTAATTTCTAGCGGATAGTTGGTGGATCGGTACATGAGTCTCTGGATGCACAGCGGCATATCGAACGTCTCGATCTGCAACTCGATGTACCGAAACGTGCGGAACCAGAAGGGCTCATAGTATGTTGAGCTATTGACATCGTTCGTACTGCTGACAGTATAGATGTCATCGTAGCCCACGAGAACACCGGCAGGATCTGTGCGATCGCCCTTGTTTCTCGTAAAGGGGTCGGGACTGTCTGTAGCGGGCGCCTCGAAGCATTCTGCACAACGGATTCGGATGCGCGACTTGGCTCCACCTTGGAAGCGCAACTCAAGAAAGGCGGTTGTCAGTATAGTTGCATCCAGTGTGACTGTGACCTGGCTATTACTGTCTATCCAGACCTGCTGGTCGTTTCGTACGAGCTCTCTCCAGTGAATGGCCTCCTCGGCGGTAGTTCCCTGGCGAGTGACTGCTCCCGAGAACCGCCCATCAATCTCCGGAAGAAGAGGGATTGTTCGCTGTATCAGCCTGCGTGCTTCGAGGACAGGGACCATCGGCGTCTTCAACGTGGCCTTGACGGCAGTTACCCATGTTGAATCGTCGTAGTAGCTTGTGCACCAACCAAAATCCTCCCGTTTCCCGTCAACCTCCTCGTTCACAAGCAAAAGCGGTGGCCCGAGAGCAGGGTTGCTTCGTTTTGGGGAGATGATACAAACTGCGTCGTCCGCTTTGCAGAGCCACGGCCCATCGGTGGATATGTCCTATATGGGCGCGGCACAATCCGATTAGTGACCCGCTCCCTAACAAGGCGACAAGTCAAACCCATAAACATACCAAGTTATCCGAATAGAGAATAAACCCTGCAATTGGGCCTCGTATAAACGACATGGTACCTGGCTGGCGCGGGGAATATCTGAGCACCCTGGCCGCGATGACATTTGTCCCGACGCTGCAGAAGGGCGCTATGTCAATCGTCTCATAGTTCCATTCGGCCAGAGTGCTTTTTGCAGGCCCAAAGCACACACGCTGGCCATTAACGAAGAGTCGGTAGCGGGTGTCGGCTGAAACGTGCACCAGGCATTGCGCGGGGACCTGTTTGATCTCAAAGCGCTTGCGAAATTGCAGAATGCGAGCAACATCGCTACTGTCGTGCCAGTCTGGGGACCAAATCCATGGAATTGTCTCACTCCAATGCCCGGCCATGGTAAATTCCTTGTACTGGTGATGAGAAGTGCTGTGGTAACTGCAAAATATCCAATTTTGCATTTCTGCCAACAGCATCACCGACCGTCATTCGGGGTTTCTAATACCGAGACTTTCATTTCTCTGGTGGAGTCTTCTCTTCGTTCGGTGGATTGACTCCGAAATACAACACGGACATACGTATATAGCTGGCCCATAGCTCATCGGACCTGGCGCCTCCACTTCCCGATCAAACTACGGGGAGGGATACAATGCGCTCTACTTATCGCAGCCTCTCCTAGATCTGGTCTCTCTGCTCTCGCGCATACTATAATTGTCTAGTCCGGGTGGGATCCTTTGAAGACCTGGATCGATGTAGTACCGGGAGGTGGCCAGCCTGTCCTCTGGAAGCCAACCCGTTTATCACAGCCAGACACGTCAATGTATACCAGATGGTACGACCTGAAGTCGGACAGTTTATGGACGTAGCAATCTCGAAGATCCTGATTCTGCTCCCTCGCCTTCTGATGAGCAACCCTCTTTGACTAATTCCTAGAGATTAGCGCTCGCCTCATACTAGAGGTCGTTGCCTGCGTCCTATATTTATCCCCGAGGAAAATCGCTATCTTATCGAGATAGAGATCAGGTTTTTCCTGTAAATACTCGTAGAGGGACCCTAACATCGGCGTTGTAATACTTCGTGGTCTGCCTGCTCGAATGGGAGGCGCTCGAGCATCACGAAATTGCTGGAGGTTGCTACGGATTGTGGTGATAGAACGCTAGCTGGCAGTTATCCATATCTAGTAGTATTAGTAATCTCGGCTATGGTAGGTAATTTGCTTAGGATTATATCCCGGATAAATTTTCGACTGGAAGCTAGTAGGTTTATGGCTATTGTGCCTTCGTCTTATGGTGTAGTAGTAGGGGATAACGCGGTCTAAGGAGGCGCTGCCTAGGCGTTGGCGGGTGGATAGCGTTGGTAGAAAGCGTACGAAAGAAACGTATAAGTATAGGGGGCCATGGCGCATTAGACTTGTTCTTATTCTACGCAGCTAGCTTAGCTTTACAAAATAATGAACACATTCTGGCTTATCACACAACAATGTAGGATGGTAGGGACGAGATAAGGTTAGTCCCATCCATATCCATCGGCTGGCGGGGAGGGATTATATGAGGTGAATAAATGACCAAATTCCCATACTATCATTGACATCAACTATGTTATCTACCTATTTACTTCCCATTAAATTCATAAAACTTCCCAGAGCTCTTCATCCTCTCACTGGAAATCATCAGGTCGGCATCGGTCAATGCACCGCAGATACGTTTGCCAGCTAAAATTTACTTGTCAGCACTCTGTAATCCACAATATCCAAAAACTTATGTCATATCACTTACCAAAACTTATCATCATCCGGCACGGCAACATTACAAGTCTGCGCCTCCAACGAGCACAGCTCCGAACAATGATTGATAAGCTTGATATGATTGGGAAGATTGGCCGATCCCTGAATCTTGGGAGAATGGTGTGTGCCATTGCTCTTGCTTGCTGTTCCCGTCGTCAAGGGCTTCGTCACTGGCGTGCCGGTAGTAGTCGCTTTGTGGGCAGTCGTGACGTTGACGGGGACATGGACTGCGAGGGGTTTGCCGTGGTATGGACCGGCGAGTCTGGGCATTGCGGCGGCGGAACTGGCTAGGCCGACTAGGCAGAGGCCGAGAATACTTGTGAGTTGCATGATAAAATAATGTGGAGAAATGTTTTGAGAATCGATGATCTTGTTGATCTGACTCGGAGAATTGATCGGATGTTGATCAGGGCGTGGAGGTGGAGTTTGATGCTGTGGAACGGGGATGATCGACCGCAGGGCTTGGTTGCTTTATATAATGGGTCTGCTGGTTTTCCTGTGGCTGGTATCTGGTTTTTCGTGAGCTTCAAAATCTCCTATTGGATTGTGCGGTCTTACTATTGGCCTTATCGTGGACAATGACACGGCCGATCACTGGGGTATGGCATTCCACATTCCTGTAGTAGGCGGGGGAATTTTCTTGTCAATATCACGATGGAGCAAGATTTACTGATTAACTGGCACGTTTGTATCAATTTCTGAAGTCAATGGTTGAGAACATACTTGGTAAGGTTGCAGGACAGAGTCATTGGTCTTTCTAAACTGCCAGAATCGAGGAACATAAGTCAACTCAGGTTGTATACAAAGATGGGAGTCGCGCTCAACTTACATTCCAGACAGGCATGTTTCCACCCCACAGTCCAATCACAATTAAGTATTATAGATCAATCAGTATATTTGGCTTTCGAGTAACGCGTTGGGGTTGTGGGCCTAGGTCGATATGACAGGGAGCGTTGACCAGATGCCGCACCCAACCTCCCGAGATAACCATGGCGTTTCTCACATACCTCTGGCAGGCTGGAAAATATTCGCTGGACAAGTATACAAGCGGGGAAGTCTATGCTCCATTAATAGCCCCCATGGATCCAGGAGGCAATTGGTATGGTCTAGATGACACGATCTATATTCGTTATCATCAAGCTCTCGCTAGCTAGCTATATACAGTCCAAATAAAACTTTAACTGAAAAGCTTCTCGATGAGGATGCTTCCGAACGTCTTCTCCGCAGGCGACTCGTCCATCCGATAAATACGGTTACCGGCACGCTGGCTCAACCAAAGGCCATGGTCACTCGCGCTCTCCTCGTCGCCCTCAATCGGATGCCTGTTACGCCGGTCAACGACGCACATACCACGGGTCCATTGGCCCGTCGTCTCGATACGGATATCCTCAGGAGAGGTGGCCGTGGGCGCCCAGTGCGGGTCCTCGCATGTCAGAGCGTACCAGACGCAAACCGGATCGTGCAGACTGAGTTCAGCATCGTCGCCGACATGGCCTGGGTGCAATCTTTCCAGAGTCTGGAAAGTGTGTGCCATGAAAGCAGAGACCCATTCAGCCAACGGAGAGCCGGCCTCGACGAGGGGGGCTACGGCTGTGCGGAACTCGCCCCGGGAGAGGTTGTGTCGCAGAGTGATGTCAAGTGGGAACAAGCGGAGGGTCAATTGACGACTCAGCTTGGCGGGGTATGGTGGAAGCAGAGAGGTCTTGCTAGGCGGCAGAGTCGAGTTGGGGTTGGGCGATGTGAGGGCAAATACCCGTGCGGCGGCGAATGCATCAGCATAGGCATTGAATTCACCGACAGGGGTGACCTAGAAAACGGATTAGAATTGAGGTCATACTGAGGTCTCTTGGCTTCAACTCACATTGCCAGGCTCGTTCACTGCACCACCCATGACCACAACCTCCTTCACCCGAAGGAAGGTTTCGGGGTCTTCGGCAGACGCCAAAGCCAAGTTGGTGAGTGGGCCGACAGCGACCAAAGTCACCGTGTTCGGCTCATTCTCACGCAATACCCGCAAGATCTCCTTGTGGGCAGGCAGCCTGGATGGGATGAAGGAATGGTCCTCCGGGTCAGCGCCAGTCTTGACGGTCTCGATCCCTTGAGGATCAACGGCCGGGTCGAACAGGTGCTCCCAAGTCTGGCTAGGAGTGAGGTGGGGGTGCTATATACATCAGTTAGTTGATTTCATGCTGCAAAAATGCACAACTGTATGCAAATTGGGGAAGGGGGTCTAGCCATACACTAGCATGGATTCCGCCGAGTCCATCGGTTCCATCTGCGGGGTAACCATTAGAAATCGGTTCGACCAAGACAAAGGAGTTTCCAGCAGAACAAAATAACATACGGAAGTAATCAGCCAGCATCTTCTGGTCCTCTAGCGGATCCTCTGCACCGACGGCGACAACGGGACGGAAGGCACGCATAGCGCCAAACCCTTCAGTGCGGCCATTCTGGCGACGCCATTGGATCTCACGCTCGAGGATGTGAAACATGGAAACCACATTACGGAGACAGCTAAGGTGTGTCAATTAGATGCATGTTCTCTTACTTCAAGAGCAAGCAGTCTTACCTCTTAACCTCGATGTTGCCAAATGTCAACGAGATAAGCAGCAGCTCGACCTCTTCTGGCTGGGCGGACAGCGCCAGCAGCAGGGCGAGGATGTCATCGATGCCCTGGAGATGTCAATAACCGGTAACAATTCCCCAGTCTATCGGGAGGATGTTGGCTTACGGGATCTGTATCGATAATGATCTTCTTGCGAGCCATGGTGGGATATGGTGAAAGAGTTGGATGGTGGAAGTGGGAAAGAACGTTTATCACCGGTGGAAACCACTCGCCCGCTCTTATCGTACGGCGGACGATAGAGGGGACTTCCCCAAAACTTCTAAATCCTACAAGTGCCTTAACCGCTTCTTCCACCGTCCTGTACACTCTACCTGAATCCCAAAACCCTCTTACCTAGGTACGAACGTACGTCTAACTATGTAGCTTATATCATAAATTACACAGCTCGTTACTAAAACGTTATCTATAGCCCTAGTTATTTACCAGTATTATATATACTAAGGTAGGTGATTTAGGAGATTAGCTACAAGATTCTAGGTCTTAAGACTAGTCTTGAGGTTGGTCTTGAGATTAGCTATGAGATTATAGATTATATAGGACAAAGAATAGCTGAAATCGAGATTCTGCCGGTTTGAAAATCGCCGAGTCCCCTCTATCGCCTGGGCTGCTTCCTGAGGCATCAGCCCCACCGTGTCTTTCACTTGACGAGTTGACTAGCGGCTCTACACGGAAACACAGTTGGCCCCGATTTAAATCACGCTTCGAATATCTCCGCGCAGAACAGATCTAGGTATTTTGTGGTTTGTCACTTGGTGTCACTTGATTTGTTCGTGTGTACTCGAGAATAGAATAAGCCAATTAGTCGGTCTCCAGCCACCCGTCATCTCGCATATGCTGTGCGTATACGAAGGGCTCCGTAGTGCATGATGCACAGCGAGAATCAGGGGTTCCAGAAAAACAAATTTCATCACAAAACACACAAGTCGAAGACAGTAAGGCGGAGAATTGTCCATGACTACTGGACGACTTCCTTCTAGTAAACTATTACACTTGATTGCCTTAGAGACTTTTCGATTACCTTCAGTCTAGAGGCATTAGGGGGTTTTCGATGTTGGTAGAAGTCTTATCGAAGCACTATGGAAGAGATAAGGAAGCATCTGGATCTTTTCAATTGCCTCGTAGATCGAACAGCGCGTGAGCACGTGAGCTCCACTTCTATCGTATACGAGGTGTCTAGCAGTATTTACCTTGTACTCCATACTGATTCGCAATTTCAGATCCTGAAGAGATATATCGAAAACTCTAGAGTGAACAGATATGTCTTTACGTATACCGTTCGGCATTTCCTTTGCGCCCCTCGTGGCGGGGGCGTGAGGGCGGCTGCAAGGGGCAAGGGGATTCCCTGCCGGATCGACGCGAGAGCTCCCGGTGGGCGGAGTATGGACGGTGAGTGGACGAACAAAAGAAATTCGTTATCACATCCAGGGGGATCACTAGACTGATTTAATTTCAGGGTGCAGAAAGCAGGACCTATGTACATTGTAGCATGTACACTGCGTAGATGTATAAGACCCAATAAGGTAGATTATGGGGACGCCCAGCGGAGTGGAAATGAGACAGAGGCGGCGGAGGAGACGTGGCCTGTTCACATTCCCCCCCCAGTTGTAGCTTTCCAGCTCTCCACACCCGTGTCTGGATTCGGAGCTCTGAGCTTTGTCAGGGCCAGTCTGGTTAATTCCCGGTAGCGCTAGTCAATTAACTCCGTAGTCCACTTGGGGATTAGGGGACTAGTTATACCGGTGGTTGGTGGGTGAGTCCCGAGTCTCCCAAGGGGAAGGAGTCTGGGCGGGTATTTAATTTTTACAGGCGGTGTACCGAGTACCAAGGATTTGGATATAGATGTCGATGGTCAAGGACTGAATAGTATGAGGCAGTCGCGAGGCAATATTACAAGGTCAGAATGTAACTGAACATTTTAATCAACCGTTAATAACGTTCAATGGGCTTTTATTACCTTTTTCAATCCATTTTCGCAGCTATTATCCCCTCAAGCCCGTGGTAATCACCCCCTCCCCATAAATTACCAATACGCCGCCGTGACGGGAAATACCCGGCATTACAGTACCGTCGAATGGCTCAGCGTGTCCTTTTCCACTCCCTCCACCTCCTCCTCTTCTTCTCCTGTCCCTCAAACGTTCCTTTGGCGCTGCTTTTCTTTTCCTTTCTTTCCCCAACCTTCTTCGCTCTCCGCGCAGCTTCGGTATCCATGCCATCTGCCTGTTGAGCACAGCTTCTTGCGTTGTCTTCCTTCCTCGGCTCCCCCGTCCGAGCGCAATCCACCCCCAATTTCCCCAATTGAGCGTGGCCTTCTCGGAACCCCCGTCTCCACGACATCCTCGCCCATCTCTGATCGCAAACGACCTGAGTTTGGCTTGTGAGCTGTGGCATCGCTAGCAAGTGCAATTGACCCCCCGATTGCATCTTGACGAACAATTCCCCGACACCCCGACAACTTCGATGTTTGACCGGGTCCTCTGAATATCCACCTAACCCCTCTCCGACACCCGCTCCCCTTTTCCTTCTTTGCGGCGTACCATCAATTCGCCGTACACTTGCGCGTGCCGAAGCCTTTGTGCACGTGAACCTTTGTCCTACCTCTTGGAACTTGTGACCCGTGCGGGCCACTAGTACATCTCTCCTCGACTTTCCAGCCTTTACGGCTTCTCTCTCAACCGTACGTCCTGCGCGCACCTTGTATTCTACATGCAAAGCTTGTGGGTGCCAGGCATGGTTGACATAAACTGACGCTGACCTCTACAATAGCTCAATGACCATGAACCCCTATCTTAGCTGGGCCATCCTGCTCGTGGTAGCAGGTGGTCTGGGCTGGTACTACACCAATGGCTCGACCCCGAAGGCCAAGACAGCAGTCCGAACTGCTGTAGAGAAGACAGAGGCCGTGGTAGCGCCCAAGAAGCAGAAGCGCAAGCCCAAGGCGCCCGAGCCAGCTGTGGCCAAGAAGCCTGAGGTGAAGACTGTGGTTTCTCCCCCCACCACCGAGGATGACCAGCCGGACGAGGATGTTGACCGTAAGGAGATGGCCCGCCGCCTGGCTGCCATCAAGAACGGCACCTCCCCCGCTCTCGCGCCCTCCTCCAAGAGCCAGAAGAAGAAGGCGAAGAAGGCTGCTCAGCTCGAGAGCGGCTCCCACGCTTCCTCGACCACCGGCGCCGACGCAGACGATGACCTCTCCCCCGCTGCCTCCCCCGAGGTCAACGCCACTGTCCCCTCCGCTGGATACGTTTCTGACATGCTCGAGGCCCCCGCCCCCGGTGCCTCGGTCCTCCGTGTGACCGGTAACATCGAGTCTGAGCCTAAGAAGCAGAAGGTGCAGAACTTCAAGCAGGTGGAGACCAAGAAGCAGCGTCAGAACCGTATTAAGAACGAGGCGCGCAAGCAGCAGGTCCAGGAGGCCGAGGAGCAGCGCCGGAAGCTGTTGGAGAAGCAGCTGCACACCGCTCGCGAGTTCGAGCGCCAGGAGGCTGCTCGTTCTAAGCCGCCCACCAGCAACGCCTGGCAGACCCAGGGCGCCAAGCCCGCCGTCAACGGCTCTTCTCAGCCCGCCCCCGCTGCTGCTCCTGCTACTGCCGCGCCTGTGCAGCTCCTCGACACCTTTGAGCCCTCCGCTGCCGCTCCCGCCCAGAAGAAGTGGGACCAGAACCTGCCCTCCGAGGAGGAGCAGCTGCGCATTCTGGAAGCCTCCAGCGTTGACGATGACTGGACTACCGTCTCCAAGAAGGTCAACAAGAAGAAGGGCGGCAAGGCTGACGAGAGCGTCAGCGAGGCCAGCGCCTCCGAGTCCCAGCCCGCTCCCGTGGCTCCCGTCGCCGTTGAGCCTCGTGTGACCGTGACTCCTACCTATCTCCCGGATATCCTCCGCTCTCGGGAGAAGGGCCACCCGCTGGACTCTGACTGGGCTGCTTGAACGAGTTTTCCTCCCCTCCGACCCTTCCAATTTCGTCTATATGACTCTTCTTCTTCCTCACACTTTCGACCTTGTACCTATTACTCATTGACTTGGCTTTGGCGTTTTCGGGGGTGTGGCCCACAATCTCAGCCTTGGTCTCCCCAGCTTCACCCCCTTTGTGTTTTGGGGTGGGCACGATTGGCTCTCACGCTAATCGTGGTGAAATCGCCGGTCTCCCTCGGCGGGATCGCGCGAGGGGAGCACAAAAGCACACTTGGGACATCTTGTCTTCTTTTTTTTCTTCTTCTATTTTCGACTGTATTACAATGGAAGCATGCTTTTGTAGCATTTGATTGAGAATCGTTGATCGAGTAGAGAATGTAGAAGAATGTTGTGAATGTTCAGAAATGTATAGAATGTGCCCATGTTTGGTTTCTTGGGTTTCCGTTGTCGTCACAGTAGCCCAATCGGGACTAGCGTCGAGTTCCGGGCATCGTGGCCTGAAGAGGACCGCTTTGTATACTCGACTCCACCCTGTATTTACTCCCTCGATCCCTCCCTCCCTGCACCCAACCTTCGACCTTCTCCCACCTTCTCACAACCTCCAATTTACTCTCGAATACCTCACAACCTCCTCTCCTCTCCGACTCCTTTCGCCATGGCCCAAATCCGTGGCACCGCGGGCTACAACCTCGGTCACCAGAACCCGTTTGGCGGGCCCAGTAGCGCAGATGCTACCAACGACCCTAGCCCGCTCGATGCGATCCGCGAGCAGACTAGCAAGATCGAGGACTGGTTGGATTCATTGGCAGACCCCGTCAAGCCGTACGTGAGCTCCTCGATATAATATCTGGTTCAACATGGCTGTCCTGTTGCTGTTCGCCCAGCTTCCTCGGCCCCCCGATTGTTCCCCCCAAACAAGGGATCTTCAGGCATGCACTGACACCGTGTTCTCTTGCTGCAGGTACCTCCCTGCGATCGGCCGGTTCCTGATCGTGGTTACTTTCATCGAGGATTCGCTACGCATTCTTACACAATGGAGCGACCAGCTAACCTACCTGCGTGATTTCCGCAAGAGTAAGAAACCCTGCATCTGAACCTCGGACCCTGGATCTCGTCCCGCACGAGCTTCCCCGGTGGCTTGTGGGCGGCTTGCGCCCCCCAACAAAACAACCATATTATGATTACAACGCGACAATTTTGTCTAACTCGTCTTCGTTGGATATAGTTCCCTGGGGAATTACGCACATGTTCCTCATCACCAATGTTATCGCCATGTCCGTCTGTTCGTTCCTAGTTATCGCCCGCAAGCGCACCGAGTACGCCGTGGCCGGTCTATTGGCCGTTGTTATCACTCAAGGACTTGGATACGGCCTCATCTTCGATCTAAACTTCTTCCTGCGCAACCTGAGTGTCGTCGGCGGTCTGCTCATGGTGCTGTCGGACTCGTGGGTGCGCAAGAAGTTCGTGCCCGCCGGCCTGCCCCAACTCGACGAGAAGGACCGCAAGATGTATGTGCAGTTCGCCGGGCGCGTGCTGCTGATCTTCCTGTTCATCGGATTCGTCTTCTCCGGTCAATGGAGCTTCTGGCGCATTCTTGTTAGCTTGTTCGGTCTCGTCGCCTGTGTGATGGTCATTGTCGGCTTCAAGGCCAAGTGGAGCGCCATTATTTTGGTGGTGTTGCTGAGCGTCTTCAACGTGCTGGTCAACAACTTCTGGACGGTAAGATTGGGGTTTCCTTATTTTTGCGGTTTGGGACTTGTCTCAGATTGACTGACTATGAAACAGCTGCACCCCCACCACCCACACAAGGACTTTGCCAAGTACGACTTTTTCCAAATCTTGTCGATTGTGTATGTCTCCGATTCCCTTGATCTATTTTTACTCTGTGTTCTAATTTTTGGTTTAGCGGCGGTCTCCTTCTCTTGGTCAACATGGGCCCCGGCCAGTTGAGCATGGACGAAAAGAAGAAGGTCTACTAGTGTGGAGTAGAGAAAGGCTCTTATACTTCTCTCTATATATCCTATGAGCTCTGACATCCCGCAACTAATGGAAATTGGAAAGACCAGGTGTGGAAGATGTCAAAGAAAGCCGGCTCTCATCTTACTCTCACAAGAAAACAACATACATCACCTCTGCAAAACCAGCGTGAGGAGGTTAGTCAACTCTTGTACCCGCAATCTTTCCTTTCCCATTCGGATCTGTCTAGAGCCCCATCAAAGTCCCATCTTCCTTCCAACCATTTTGCATGTCCTGTCTTTCTGTCTTTTTCCTTGTCTCACCCAGCTCCCCTCCTCATACCACAAGGGACTGGATTGGATTGGTGTTCCATCATGCTCCCCGTCATACTCTTTTCTTCCGGGCCGTTCTGCGTTTTTTTCCCTTTTTTTTTATCGCCTTCAGCTTTTGTTCTCAAGCAAAAAAGAATATGTCCCTTGCATGCGATGGTTTGAATCACCGTCATGGACTACTGCCGAATCTATCATGAATGATAAGTTGCATTGAAGTCATGAGTTTATTTACTGTGCTGTGCTGTGCTGTGTAAAGCTGTGTACCATGTAGTATTAGGCGTCCCTCTAAACCAGGGCTTCGCTGTGTAAGGACGCCTAGTTTTTTTTCTATTTACGTATTACGGCTCGTGTTCAGGCATACTTGCTGAATAACTAGGCCGCACCCTTTCGACTAAATAACTACTCCAAAATGGAACTCGTGTCCTAAGCCCATAGTTTGGGGGCGGTAGGTATGGAAGTAGCGCATATTGTTGGGGGCGGGAGGACGAAGCCCTAACACAACGTTTCGAGTATTCGGGCTAAGCAGCCAAATCCAGAGATTATTACTCTTCTTGGGTTAAAGTAACATAGTTGTCGTGTGTTCAGGAATTTTCTGTTAGGTTTAGCCTTCGTACAGTATATGTAGCTTACCTGAAACTCTTTAAACCAGCTCTAACCCCGGTAGTCGGATACATTCAAGATATATTTTGAGCTAGCACCACCGTTCACACCCGCACGAAGGACAACCTCCAGTACTAATTTCAAAACCTTTACATGGTCAATCAATAAAGAGTTAGAGTAATTCAAAAATCCAAATCCAATGATTCATCATGCTATGTATGCGCTATGTATGTACCTAAACGGTGGAAAGTGATTATGATACAAGAGAAAGAAGAAGAAGGGGGTCGAGGAGCGATCTAGGGGATAACCAAAGGAGGGTCGCAGCTGCAAGGCAAAACAGAAAACTAATTTCACCAATAACAATATGGTAAAAAATGAGAGTAAGTGAAAGGACAGTCTCGGTGTGCTGGGGATACGCTTAAAAAAAAGGAATGACTGGGATGGGGAGGTAGTATAGAGGAAGGAATGATATAGAGGCAAAAGTGGTGGTTCTTTCGCCGGTCCAACTAGAACTGTTTGTGCTTCATTGATCGCTGTTGGGGGCATCTGGTCCAGCCGTGCGCTTGAGCCCAATGGAGGAATGGTCTGTTGGTGTAGGGGCGAAAGAGGGAGAGAACAAAATGATAATCCAGGAATGCGCTGTGACTTTTCGCTCGAATATAACGCCTTGGTGCCAGAGAAGAATCCAAAGAGGTCGAATAGGGAGGAGGTGGGTAGTCGGAGAGTATGAAGTTGAAAGGTTAGGTTAGGTTAGGTCGAGGGTGGAAGGATGATGATGAGGTGAATAAGGATACAAAAAAGGAGGGCGCTAATTATATATCCATGCTCCAGCGCCATGGGCGAATGCGTTCTAGCTGGCCGACACCAAATTCGTCTCGATCATCGTTGATCTCCAGTTGCAGCAGGTGGACCTTGTGCTTGTTGCCATCGCCGCGTTGCAAGGTAGACAACGTCTTTGAGATCTGTGGACGAGGTGCCTTGATGCTGCCTTCGGTGGAGTTGGAAGCCGGCCGTGTCGTAGGGGTGTCGGGGTACTTCCATGAAGTGCTGAAGGATTGATCGTCGGCCACGGAGGACATGGAGTCGGATCGAGAGTCCCGAAGTCGATCAAAGTCGTCGTGAATAGCACTCTCATAGCTTGCCCGGACACGTGTAACGGATGGTCGACGAGGCAATTGTTGCTGAATTCCGGTGGTATCAACCGTGCCGTCTTCAACCTCCTTGCTGATGTGTTCGGGCTCTTCTTCGTGGATGGGGGAACCCCTGATCGTGCGGGATGGCCAGTCATTGAAGCCACCCATACTGTCTCGAGGAGACGACATATCGAATCGTTCCTTTCCAGCCATGACCTTCGCACTGGGTGGCGGCTGAAGCATCCATCTAGTTTCGGCGCGGCTCCGGGGCCCACTCACGATAGGCGGATGTAGATCATTGACAGGGGGTACACGCGCTGCATAATACTTGGGCGGTTCCTGGTGATCGGTACGACCGCGACCTGAAAATCCAATGGACGATCCTCGAACTTCCTGACCCCAGAGAGGTTCGTCTTCACGCTGGTACCGCATAGATTTCCATCGGTCGTTCAGAGGTTGCATGAGGCCACTACTCTTATCCTTCTTCAACTGCGAGCTTTGATCCGTATTCCAGCTGTTCGTCCTCGCATTGTTTCGATTTCCACCTCGGCGAGTCGGAGGTCCTGGCCCTAATGATATCTCTTCGGTCCATCCCTCGTTGGTGCTAAACGCGGTCGGCTGCGGAAACGGTCGGGGTTGATCGGTAACGAGGTCGGCGGCGGCTTTCTCATTGAGACGCTGGATTCGTGCAGCATCCTTCTTGCGCTTCCGACGGTCGATGCTCATTGCACATGGTGTGCAAGTCGCGTAATAGAAGACCGCGGATTGCGCGCCACGATAGAGCCACATCGCCGACGCGGGGGAGGGGGATTTTCACCCTTTCCTTTTTTTGGTAACGATGTCCTTGTAGTACTTTTCGGTGGTAATATCGTCCGGACACGCTCACAGCGGGGTCTCAGCCCGGGAGAAGTGTTGAGTCGAGCCCGGTATTGGATCTTTGTTTCGTCGTGATACTAGAGTCCACATGAAGGGCTGAGGTAAATCGCGGATAGGGGGGGGGGAGGAGGACGGAAGGTTTGGGTGGCGCAGAGTCGTAAGAAATTGAACGCCCAACGACCAGCGGAGGGGATGCTTAAAGGTAGAGGGGAAAGAGGGTAGAAAGTAAGAGAGTAAGAGAGTAAAGAGGGGAAGAGAATGAGGGTGAGGGTGGAAGGGGGGGGGGGAGGATGAAACGGTCAGGAGTAGATTCTGAGGGGAACGGAACATTGGCACTTTGGCCCTTTGGGGTTTGGGGCGGATGGGGCGGGTATTGTGTACGGAGATTACGAGAATAGATTACCATACGGCGGAGTGGTGACAAGCAGAGACGACGGAGTCTGACTCCGCCTGGGTTTGACAGTAACATTGTTGCCTATCCCTCGGTGTAATTCTGTACCCATCAATACACTCCTTACGGTACATACAGTCAGCACCTCCACCCATGGTTCCCCCAGGTACTTTGCATACTACCGTAACTTTGGTGCCCTAGGCTAAGGTCTCCGACTTACTCCTATATATTATATTATAATATATCTTATTATATATTATTATCTGCTTGCGGTTGGGCCTATTCAGACTCACACTCTCTACAGAGTAAAGTTCTCTGACCGGTTTTTCCATTCGAATTGCGTCAATTCTACGTCTTACCAGACGAGTATACTTTAGTACCTAAGCCCTAAGGAAACTTAATTAACCAACCAGTAGTGATGACTATGACTGAACACGTCGGCCTAACTAACTCATTGTAACGGACTTCAACTAATTTACTTTCCAACCGGCGAATTGACCGCAACCAAATCCCCCTAACAACCGGTTGGCGCCAAGAGCCCGCATAGCGCTACTGTACGATTCATGCGATCGGGCAACAGAACTACCAGCTCGACCGGCCAGATCCCAATTTCCAAACCCCAATCCCTGTCTGGAGCGGGATCCCAAGAATGTTTCTCAATAATTACACACATTCGAAGAACCATAGAAACATCGTTCCCCTATATGGAGAAACTCGACGTTCATATTGGGCTTGGCATCAATCCTGCGTCCCGCGTGTGGGGCCCTGCGCCGCAAACGGGATGGAAAGGGGCTGGAGAGACAACTATGCGTGCGATACTTTCCTTGTGGGCAATAGATTACGAGATAATCTATTCTTGTGCGCTTTCGACGTCCTGTGCTCCGCCCAAGTCGTGTCACTTAAGCGCTGTGGGTCGAGACCTCTTTTAGCTCTTACTTAGGCCACAAGGTATCGTTGCAGGCCTCGTATTAGGCTTAGCTGTGAGCTGTCAGGCCTGGCGTTCTATATCAGATTCATCCACATCTATGCCGTATACTGTAAAAAGTACGCATACCCCGCCGTGTTGCGGTGAGTTGATTACTCTCCAGGTAAGACTATAACTATTACATGATCTATGGAACTAAGAATCAAGAGTACAAGAAACCAAGGCTTTGACAGGAAGCTGGGCAAGTCATATTAATGCGCAAGTACAAGGTATTCCATACTTCCAGGTACACGTATCTTCGAGATCCATCAAAAAGAGCCCCATTCTACACCCGGGTCTTCTTCCCCGCCTCATTTCGAATATCCGAAGAATGTGCCTTTCGCAAACACCCATAGGTCCTGATTGTGTGATCTTGTCTCCATAATTGAATCAATTGAATCCTCCTTTGTCTATGCCGTTGCTCGCCTTTGCCCCGTGCCCAAAGCCCCAATGTACCGTAGATCCCCGCAAGCATGTAGCCAACCGCGTGAATGCCGAGCTCCATGCGCCTGGGACAGCGCATCCCGCATGTGAAGTCGTGGTGTAGATCCTCGGGGCCGTTGCATCATGTCCAAATCAAACGCTTGCGAACGTCGTCACCAACGAATTGCATGCCGTGGGCTTGTGACCAATCAGACGAGGCTCGGCCTAAGCAGACGGACATGAAAAGAAGAGAATCGGGTATGAGCGAAATCAAGTCGACCGTCTTTCGGAGATGGATAGGACCGACCAGCGATACAGACACCCGTCAAGGCCCCCGCGCATGCTTCCAAAGTCCTCATCTCCTCGGCCCATCTCATGCAAAGAAATTAAAAGGATTTCCCAAACCACCAACGCCCGAACGCGCGCAAATCAAATCAAAACCCCGCTCATGCATTCTTCGTATCCCGAATAACCTGCCCTTTAACCTTTGACCAGTCGATATCCGCATCAATCTTCTCATCTACCTCGCCACAGACCACCACATTATCGCCCCGAATGAGGTACAGTCCATGCTCGACCTGCGCTGAGGGCTCGTCGTCGTCTGGGGTGCGGATGATGCGCTCGACCGTGTTGGTGAGGACGATGTTGGTGAGTTGATCCGTGGAGAGGAGTGTGCCGAGAAGTGTGCGGCCGTCCACGGTGAGAATGAGGACTTTTTCTGTGGTTAAGATAAAGAGGTTGAGTTAGTATTCGGCGGTTGTAGGTGAGTTAGGGACAGTAGGCGTGGGACGTACTATTAATGAGGGACATGAGAGGGAGAGACATGATGGGCGAGATTGTATGATGATGAGGTGAGGTCCTCAATTAAAAAAGTGAGAGGCGTGTAGGTAGATTTGCCGTGCAATTGAAGCTCGAGACAGGCCTGTGCAGGTCTATACTGCGGCTCGTAATGGCGATTTTGCAGCTTTCCGCAGCAAAGATCGTAGTTGTCTCTCGGCGCGCTTGCTGTCTATGTACAAGACAAGCTGGATCTCGAGAGGATGGCCTTTGTAGATTCCGGCAGGCGAATAGTGTCCAAGTCGAGCTCGAATGCAGCAAATGCGGTCTTTGGGTGTGAAGGTAAAGCCGAAATCCGCGGCGGTCAAATGTTGGTGATGATGTCAAAAGGCTGGACGTATGAGGCTGATAGCTGTGAAGGTATTAAGACTATCGAAATCCGAAGCCACAGGTAACTGAACCGTAAGACCGAGAGCTCTTGTTTAATTGACGGCGGGATTGGTCGTGATTATCTCGGAGGTCTTTGGGGTTGTTTGCACTGATTGGCATTGAAGGTCACGTGCCAGAGCTAAGCTTCATCCTTGAGAATGGAATTGATCAGATACCATATGATTACTGCGAGTAATTGCTATACAAATCAATAAATACATTTATATTTACAAAATGATTCAGAACTACTCTGTTGTATCAAACAATTTATATGTATAGTAATCACTATTTGTGCACGATATCGCCCGCAATGTCCCATGCACTCAACCACTCAACGTACTCAAATCCAACGGTACGCTGCTCCCTCGCCCAGCCCGATACCTACGTACTCCGCCGGTAAAAGGCCGAGGCTTGGGGAGTAGCCCATCACCTTGGAACTTGAACCGGGTGTCATCTATTCGGACAGGACCGTTCGTAGGAGCTGCGCGCAGGCCAGGTGCAGGAGATGAGCCGCCATTGGTAAGTGTGTAAGCACTGGGATTTAGTGGCGTATGAGGCTCATGCGAGACTGGGCGCGAAGGAACGGGGGATGGGCGAGAGGGCGGCTCGCTGGGTGGAGGGGCGGGGGCCGAGACTGGCGGAGGAGGTGGTGGAGGAGCCGCTGGAGCAGCAGAGGGTGGTGGAGGTGGAGGGTGAGCTGCTGGAGAACTGGCAGAGCCAAGTGCAGTACGTGCTGCTTGGGCAGCAATTGATGCGGGAGCCCCAGACGGGGGAGGAGGTGGTGTTGGTCGACCAGGAGCAGCTGGAGGAGGAGGTGGAGCTCGGGAAGAAGTAGGAGCAGGCGGGGGAGGAGGTGGAGGAGCCGCAGGGGAAGCTGATGGGGGAGGCGGCGGGGCTCCAGAAGGCTTGCGTGTTCCTGGAGGTGGTGGAATCTTGACTCCTCCAGGAGGTGGTGGAGGAGCACGAGGAGGAGGGACGTCTGGTGCTGCCTTTGAGGAGGTTGTGGAGATTGTAGATGATGGCCTTGAGGCCGGACGTGGAGGGGGCTTCTTTAGGTTGGCAATCAATGGATTGAGAGCGGGAGTAGGTAGCGAGTCTGAAGAAGGCGGGGGTGGTGGGCGTGCTCCAGGAGGACGAGGGGCTGAAGGAGGTTTAGGAGCAGGGGCAGCTGGAGGTCGCGTGCTTTCACCTTCAGACAGGTAAGGTGAATCTCGAACCGCTCCAGTGTCGACTCCGCCGCGACTGCGTAGCTTTGGCATTCCACCTGCGAAAAGACCGCCTAATTGTGCTGCTGGCCCGCTAGATCCTCCATCTGACCCAGATACACCTTCGCTGTTGCTTCGCAGCCGATTGGCAGCGGGACCTGACGGGACAGGTGGTGCAAGCCCTGAAGGGGCCTTCATCCCAGGAACTGGTGGCGCGCCACCAATAGGTGGTGCAGCTGAACCTCCCCCTGACTTTGAGAGCTGTGGTGCTGATCGATCATTGGTGACTGTTTTCTTCAACCGAGCGCCTTTATGGATGTCTGATAGTAACGCGCCCTGCTCTCTTGTTAGCATCTCTCGCTGGGATGATCAAGTATATCGCTGATAGCAAGCGATGCGATAATCCCAAACCTACCCGACCTTTCACTTCACCCTTCGATGGCCTGGCAGCCAGGCCTCCTCCTGGGGGAGGCGGGGGAGGGCCACCTAGACCTCCGGGCGGCGGCGGCGGCGGAGGGGGAGGAGGGGGAGGTGGAGGCATGTCGATGATACCGCGTGATCAGTGAGAATGCGAGAGTCGAGGTAGATGCGGTGTAGTATAGGAAAGGTATCAAAGATGAACGAGGATGGTCTCCTTGACCAGAAGGAGCGGCGTGTAAGGCAGAAGCAAAGACGTCAGTGTAGGGCGAGTGAACGGGCCGGGGCCAAGTCTCCGCCTTTGGAGCCTCCCTATCAGAAAAAGATAGCCGCCTGCTTCCATCGCAGCCACAGCCACCTATTGCGCGGCCTCGCGAATTCCCCAATTGACATGAACCGAATTCCTTTGAGGGCCCGTCGGGGCACCCAGTCTCCAGGGGCTGCGATTTGCCACTTCTGTGAATTCTCCTCCTCGACATCGCGCCGTGCCCTTCCCCTCGCTCGATTGAACGCAAACCCTCAAAGTCGGGTTTCAAGCAGCAATCTCGCATTGCAACCGTCGCGACCGAATGTACCACAGCCGCTGACATCCTCGGCCTCTGCCACACGGTATAAGTCGCGCATAGCTTCTCAAAAGGCCGAGAAGCCCGTGGAAACCGACCCAAGCCCAGAGCATCTTTCTGGCACGAACGACGATAATGGCGCCAGCGAGACTTCCCACCGTTCTCTCGAGGACCTCATCAAAATCACAACGGATTGTGAAGCAACGGCACTCAGCATCCTAGAGTCTAGCCAAGTACCTGAAAATAAAGACGTGGAGGACACCCTTCTCAAATGCGAAGAGACAGCTCGATCACTCTCCCCATACTGGGATTTGCGTGATGACAACTCGACAAGTGGTGAAGGGAATGCGATTTCGTCACTACTAGAGATGGAGGAAAAGCAGGGATCCGCAACCCAGCGCCACGAGGTGGAAGAAGTCCTGCACGGGTTGGCAGACCGAGTCTCGGACATCATGACACAGTTAATCAAGGATGAGAAGGTATTCATCTCCCCCGCGGCATTGGAGCGTTACGTCGGAGCCCAGTGTATCTTGAACCGAGCCGAACATCTGCCAGAGGTCTTCCATCTCTATGCCAACAAGCCGATTCCCGAGGAGAAGAGTAGCCCGCCTAAATTCCACAAGGCGAATCCAAAGGATGTGAACAGTGCCGTCTCCGCAGAACTGGCAAACCAGGCTATCGATGTCGCCATCAAGCAAAAGAATCTCCCCCTGGTGCTTGCAATGATCGATAACACCTTTTGCGCCCCGGCTTTCCATCGCGCAAAGGTCTTCCGGAAGGCTGCCGTTCCCCTGGCCGGTCTGGCCGCTGCCCCGGCCGCGTGCTTCACGCTCGCATCTTGGGCGTCAAGTTTCCAGAATACCATGGATCCGAGCACGGCGACTGGTATCGCATTTGCCGCGTCACTGGCCTATGTTGCGGGCACTTCCTCAATTGGTATTTTGGCCATTACCACTGCCAATGACCAGATGAAGCGCGTTACCTGGCTGCCCGGTGTCCCCCTGCGGCATCGATGGCTGCGCGAGGAGGAGCGCGCTGCGCTGGATAAGGTCGCTTGCGCATGGGGATTCCAGGATCCGTATATGCATGGAGAGGAGATAGGCGAGGAATGGGACAGTCTCCGCGAGTTTATTGGCATGCGGGGTATGATTCTGGATAAGACAGAGTTGATGGAGGGCATGCAGTAGACGAGGAACTTTTTGTACTATACTGTCATCTTTACATGTTGTTACTATATAGCCTGAATACATTAGCGTGTAATACTACATGCATAGCTTCCAATATTACATCTACAAAATCTACCAATTACAAGAATGCATATTTTGAGACCGTGAGATTCATATTTTATTTTTGGTGGTCACTAAAACTATGACACCCTCACTTTTCTCAAACACCGACTAGAGATCCAGCGCAATGAAGCGACGGAACATTTAGTAGATGCGCTTGGGGGGAGACATGGTAGCCTTGACGACCAGGCTACCAACGTTCTGCCAGCCCTTCTTCAGGAGGGAGACGAGGTAGTTGATGGCGAGCATCAGGTTGGCGACGAGCTCATCCTGGGTCATGCCGACGTTGCCAACGGCAACACCGAGGCAGAGAACCTTCTTCAGCTGGAACTTGATGGTGGACTTGACGTCGGTGACCTTGGCGGCCATGTCCTCAGCGTGGGAGATGGGGGTAGGGAACTTGCCGGCTGTAGGAAGGTGGAAGTTAGCATTGGTTTTGCGGATCTCGTGCAGAATTGGATTTTGTGGCAAGACTTACCCTTGGACAGACCGGGACCCAGGAGACGGGGGATCTGCTTGATGAGAGCCTCGGAAGCAAGGAAGGCATCGTACTTGCGAGCAAGCTTCTTGATGAGCTTCTTGTTCTTGTTGAGCTTCTTCAGGTCATCAGTGGACATAGCATCGATGCCGTGGTGCTTGGCACGGTCGAGATCGTGCTGGTCACCGAGAATGCTGTAATTGCCAGTCAGTAAATCAGACAGCACTCGTAGGATTCTCCTCCACTCCCTCGCTTGTCGGTATTTTGAGGCGATCCGTCACAGAACGTCCTCGCAAAAATTCGACGCAACTCGGGGTGGACGACAGAAATTGTAAAAAAACGCACCAGATGCTCATGCCAGGGCGGGGGACGGAAGGCAGCTTGATGGTGCCAGAGAAACGCTTGTCACGCTGGGGGTCATAGTTCTTCAGACCAATCTGCAGCTCAACGGTCTCAAGGAAGTTACGCTTCTTCTCGTTGAGAGAGTAGTTGAGCAGCTCATCGACATTCTGGCGCACTCCGGCTGAGAGGGTATTAGCGAGTCGAGTCTCAGGATTGAAATCAGAGGGACAGAGCGTAGAACATACCGACTGTGATCTTCGACATGATGGCGACAGTCTTCCAAAAGGTAAACTTATGGTGTGGCTCTACGCTGAAGTCTTGAAGAGAAGAAAATGTTAGTCGCGAATTTCTCCGCTTGTGGGTGGAGATTGTGCGACTAGGCCCAAAGGGGTTTAGCCTTGCCCTCTAACGAGAATCATGACTCAGCTACCGCGGGTTTTGTGATTGGTGCCTTGGTGCCTGAGAATCCATACATTGGGAGCAGACACAGGCTAGTTATTTGCTTGTCATTGTAATTGAATAATCGGTTTTAAAATTTTATATCAAGGAGTCTCTGGCTTCATGCAGACAAATCAATCTCCAACTCCAAGCACACTACGCTCGACTTTGCTCCTTGACGGTTCTCGATTACCACCGCTTCATCAACCACCTTGAACCCCACTCTCTCATATAGACGCTGTGCACGAAGATTACCAGACTCGACCTGCACGGTGATGCTAACTTTGCTTCCTTCAAGCGCGCGAACCTCCTCGGTAGCAGCCGCAATTGTCGCCTCCATGAGACGCTGTCCGTGTCCTCGTCGCCGGCCTGACGGTGAAACAAACATGCCGACAACCAGGTATACAAGGTGCGCACCGCTCAAATCACCCAGCTCGGATGTGGTTGTTGGAATTTGGTACTGGTTGTTCTGAATGAATACTTCGGAAGGCTGGTTCAGCCCTGTCGCGACGCCCTCGTTTGGCCGGGAGAATACCCCCGGTCCCAGCAGTGTCACGATGCCCACCCATTCTTTTCGTAGTAACCGCTGAAGCGCATCATTGGCACCGTTGGTTTTGACAAGCGTTTCAGTCGTGGACGCTTCCGATTGAGTGTTGGAGTCGGTCACAGCGGCAAAAGTCTTGCCAACTGGATTGTGTATCCGGGATAGCCAAACGTCATCGTCAAACTTGGACTCGTCCTCGTAAGTTGCGGAGAATGATTGAGGATCGACTTTGAGACCATGGAGCCGTAGATGCTTGTATCTGTTCACAACCTCTTGCTCGAGGGTTGGAGGAGAAAACATTTTAGGCACGAGGATAACCTCGTCTGTGTCAAGGCGAGGGGCTGCCATCACGTGGGGACTTGAGAGGATGCTGTAATGCTATCTGGCTCGCTTTGGCACAATGCAGAGGCTCAAATATAAGGTGCTCAAAGCTGGAGGAACTGAGTATCGATAGCCCATGAAAGAGTCATAGTAGGTCGTGAGTCAACTCTGTAGTGTGATACGACATTGGGGCGGACTATTCCGTCTTGACGAGGCGGGCGGCCTAAGCCTCGTTGATAAACAGCAATCACTCAAGACTTATCTTCCACTATATTGATTCGCCAAATTAGAGTCGGAATGTGTTATCGCTATGGGAAACTATTTACTAGGTTTTCATTTTCCTACCTTCACAATTAGGTTAAATTCAGCACTACTCTGGGAAGCTCAGTCTTCTGGAAATCGTTTTGATAACTGAGACGACAGATATTTCTAGTGTCGCTAAGAGTCAATTGTGGGATTTTATAAGTAAAGACAGACTCAGGCAGTAATATACCGAAACTGGTCATATAGATTTCATGTTTCCCATTGCACCCCTCATGCAGGAAACAAAGTCAAGTCAAGATTTTGCCAGTCCCAAATCTGGTCAAACTGACCAACTTCCAAATTTGAAAAGTCGCCCACACCAATAACCGGCGGGGTGTTCATTCCTGGTATCGGAAAATCTAGCGAAGCAGGCCAGAAAATCTGATTCGAACCCAAAGAAGCCAACGACGAAGATGGCGATTCCGTAGAGATAGATCCCAAAGGAGGGAATAAGTCCGTTTCTAACTCTGGCGAGGGGCCAGCACCGGTGATTTCGAGGCTAGAGGTAGCTCGTTTTGAAGATTTTGATATGCCTTTCGCAAGTCTCACGAGAACTGGATAGCAGATTGCGCCCGTTTTGGTGACCTGGGCAAGTTTCTGCATGAGAGAGCAGGCGAGGCTGATCTTTTGGATGATATTTTCACGTTGCAGGAGACTGCGGTCCTTGTCGTGAATCATTGCGGAGCATAGGAATGCAGCGGTATCAAAGATTAGAAATGTGACGAGGTGGAACTTGGCATTTAGCGGGTAGACATGATTGAATAGTCCGTGAGAAACGTCCATTAAGTGCACGGTAATATCGACGGCTGTGCTTCGTAGTGCCTTCTCCGTTTCGGAGCTCCGACTGTCGAATGTCTTGGTGAGGAATGCCTTGAACGGTAATAGCATTGTCATGTATCCGATTGCCTGTAGTTGGTGACGTTGGAGGGGTACATAGAGATGTTTCGTATCCCATTGTGTATCTGGATCCATTTCTCGGTAGGCTGGTGGAAGAGACAAGAACCACTGATCTATATCCACTTTGATGGAGTTGGCTTGAATGGGATCAACCAATTCTCCGAAATCTGGCACCCGCGAAATAATCTTGCCAAGTTCACACTGAGAAGCTATATGGCAGAACGGGGAAGGCGGACCCATGTTGGGATCGTGACATTCAAGCTGCATATTCGGGAGCTCGACAGGACAGTAATGTTGATTGATAATGAGTGGACGAGAAAGCAGTAACGACATTTGCCTGGACGGGTTATCATTAATCTCGATTTGTACACCATGTGAAAGAGTATGCATCTCTTACCAATCCCATACATATAAGAGACACCACATTCGACGTCTCATTTCAATGTCGAATTCTGATAAGCCCGCTCTTGGAGCACTTTTGTGCATACCAAGTTCCTGAGCCTCATGTATTGCACAAGTCAAAGCATGCCATGATTCAACAAATAATGACTCGGACTTGTACCAACCCGCCATAAGAAAGAGTTGCTGAATTTGAGCCAGTCCTCCTTTTCCTGGAGGAATCGTGTTGCTTAGTTGCTTGGCAGCGTGATGATAGCTTTCTGAAAGGCTCTGGACAGATTCACCCAGTTCGGACTCTAATTTCTGCTGGATCTCAACGTCGAGGTACTGAGCTGAACATGCGCAGACTCGGGTGAGCAGACAGGTGAATTCTGGTGTGAGTGTCCTACCCTTGGCTCGATCGGACCACCATGCTGCGTAGTCTTGTGAGAAAGTGGGAGGGTATAAACAGTAGTAGCCGTAATTCGTGACTTCCAGGTATCGCTCAACTAGAATATCTGGTCTGCTGTTAGAAAGGGTTCAACTTGCCATGGTTGCGACCACTAACCTGTGTAGGGTTTTGGAGGCAAAACACGTAACACGTTTCTCATCTCTGGAGATATGGCCTCGGTAGTTTGATCTGATACTGACTTGTCGGCCTTCAGAAACTCAATTATGTTTTCCATACAATTCCTAGGGAGGGTCAAATACCGTCGGAGCTGCATTTCCAAACAACAGATTTTGGTCATCGGGCAGATACCCTAAGTCACGGAGTTCATTCTTCGCCGCGAGGGCAGGCAGGTCCGTGGCTTTCAACTCGGACTCTTCCACTTTGACGTCATCTTGGACGATATCATCAGAAGATAACTTTCTGTAAAAGGTTGTCAGTCACGCTCTCGCAATATTGGACGTTGTCCATACCTCTGAGCCTCCACCGAAGCCTTTGACCCATTAGAAGCTTGCTTTTGAGGATATCTACATAAATGCGGGATCTTCCGCGACTGACAATTGTTACAGGGCCATTGGCGGCTGCACTGTTTGAACATTAGACGACTTTCACATAGGGTACTGGGTAAATTACCTTCTGTTTGCGTCGCTGGCACTCAGTGCACGAGGCCGGAGCTCGACTAGTCCTTTCCACCTTTGACCCAACCATTGTGAGTACCAGCGAGGCTCAACGTTCCTATGTAGGTGTGGCGGAATATCGTGGGGAGGTGTAGGCTAGGAACTCGGTAGGAATGCATCGCTCATTTGAAGCCTTGATTATCAGGCCAACATTCAACGTCACATGTCCCGCCCTAGGCCAATTACGGGTAAGTGTCAATACCCCGACATCATTGGCTGAGGGGTTAGGCAGCCGAGATGGCCAGTTAGTTAAGTGCAGGATAATCATATGTAAGGTGTAACAGGTGCAAGATTCTAAAAAGCTCAATATGATAGCGAACGTAGGAGCCATATTGTACTCCTGAGTCTAGGATCCTGGTTCCATGCTGGAAGTGCTCCCGCCATGTAATGTCCCGAAGACAGCATATATAGTTTCCGCGCTGTGTTTTAAACAATATCAGGATGGCAATAGAAGAAAATCCAACAACTGGAGGGAAAAGATTAGCACAACCATACATACTGAATTCAACCCAGTACTGTATGAGGATCAATATGATTACAACATTTTCGCGATTCGAACAGAACAAAACGCCCGCCCGCGAGTATCCAACATAAGTATCAAGGATTAGGTTCAACAGCTTTTAATCAGTTACCCATTTACTTGGAGGCCTGCCATTTACCAATACTCGTGTAGACCCTTACACGGGTTCAAACAACATCTATATACCAACCCTCGTCATAACCCCATCTGACCAGCACCTGACATGTACATCCATGACGGGAAAAAACTAGAAAACAACAACCCTGTGACCAAGCTTCTGCTAAGCAAAAAGCACCCGACACCTTTAATCAGACTAGTCCTCTACCCGCGGGTACAGAGTGTTCCACACGAAAACTATAATTGGTAATTGGGGGTCAAGCACCTCGATGAAACCGGGCTGTCGCGGGGCAAGCCCACGCTGCAGCTGATGCCCGGCGCTTAAGCGTGACCAGCGGCAAGATCAGCCTCAGATGACGCCCCCCCCTTTTGGCGGGGGTATGGTTCGTATAAATCACAGTGTAGTCCAGTCCTGCAGGAGCTGGGCGTGCCTCAGCTGGATTTTCTTTTTGCAGGACGCTGCGATCATTTACTGCCAGGCTCCCTCCTCAGCCTCCCCTTTTTCCATCTATTTCCCCGCAATACCACCACCGTCCCCACTTGCTCTAGCAGCCGTGTTTATGTTTAACTACTTTAAACACGAGCCTCCCGCGCCCGATTACACTAACCTGTGGTCCTTCCACCTAAGAAAATCACTGCCTATTCAACAGAGTTACCTGTCATGGCGGAAGGAAACTACGGACTCCGCAGTCCGGAAGAATACTATGCCAGCCTCCAAGGCACACAAGGCTCGTTGGGGTCCAAATTCCAGAGTATTGATGACGAGACGAATTTTGGGGATTACATGCAGCGGCTGAAGAATCCGCTGATGAGGAGCTTTGTGCTGGACTTTGGGAATGAAGATGCGTACTGCGCGACGGATTTGGATACGGGGGATTTTCGGGGCTTGTTGAGTAGACCGGTAAGTTGGAAGCGAAGCGAAGCTTGGAGAGGGGAGATTGGTGGATAGGAAGATTGCTAATAAAGGGGTTAAAGAGGGCAAAGTGCTTTGGGACTAGGTGGATGTAAGTTGGCTTCTATGATCGATCCTAGGAGGCAGGATGATGGTCGGGGGAGTTGAGGCTGACTGTTTCAATTGCAGTCATATTTGGAATCCAGAACAACAAAAGGAGACAGTTAAAGTGTGTTGGGACCACTTCTTTTTGCAGAAAGAATTGATACTGACGGGATGTTTAGATTATTACATCCGACTACGGTGTCTCTGAACGACTACAAGGCATGATGTATACCGAGCCTTTCCATGCCGCGCCGCCAACGGCTACAGCCCCGCCCAAGAAGACAAAGCGAGTATCTGCCCAAATAGTCGACTTTGAACTCGACGACATCGAGAGTGCACCTGCCGTGACGGAGAATTACCAGCCCACGTCATTCGGAGACATCACGTTTGGGCAAGTCACAGACCAGATTTGGCATTTCTCTTCCGTGGATTACGGTCCCCGATGTAAGTGTTCGATAATGACGATTATATTATATAGTTCGACCACTGATGAAAAGTAGATACTTGCATCGGCTACAACACATTATTTGTAGCGCCTGATGTACCGGTGGAAAATGGCAAGGATTTGCCCCAAGGCACACGGCTCTGGTCATGGCTAATCCTGTGCAATGATGGTAAGGAGGCCAGTTATCAGACTGACCAACCTGGACCTTTGCTGATTGCTGTCAGGGACTATTATCTCAATTCAAGAGAACCCTTTCCCCCAAATCCAGACGTTATCCGAGAAAGAGCGGACTGCGGTGCTAGCCGTCATCCGTCGGAATATTCGGTTCATCTTTTCCGGCATCTCAAAGCAGCATCCTAATAAGTCGCAGAGTGAGTCGTTGGTGACGGTTCGAGTACGAAATTTCCATGATACCGGACCGGACCAGGCAAATATCAAGCCGGAGGACGGGTCGAGTTTGCTGTTCTACTATCTATTCGACGACTGGGTGTCAAGCTTTGGGTTGATCGCGAAGCGTCAGCACACGTATGGGGTGTCCCTGGAAGATCTGGTAAGTATCGCAAGGCGCTGGGCTAGACCCCCGGCTAATTTTGGCCTTTATAACCGCTGACCCTGGGACAGAGAAAACAAATGCTCGAGCGGCCTATGGTCGACCTTGTTGATGAACTCCACTGGCTGGGACGACGACTCGGAGTTCTCAAGCGACTATATCAGAGCTACGAGCTCATCATGCGACGTCTCCTGCAGCGGCAGCGATTGTTGCGTGACGAGGCCCGCTCCTCCAATGCTCCGTCCAAGTCCATTGGAAACACTTTTACAGAATCCGACTTTGCTGAACTCCGGCAAGCGAGTATCCTCAGCGATGGAAACCGGGTTGGGCCGAACGACAAGCCGGTTGGTGTCGCTTTGAGCTCGGCGGCGGTGGCCCGGTTTGAGCGGCTGGTTGACCGTATCAACCTATATTGTCTGAGCGAGATTGACACCTGCCTCCTTGAAAAAGAGTCATTGACATTCCTGGTAAGAATCGTTCTCGCCCAAAGGCACCTGCCAGGCTGTCATCAATCATTGTAGTGCTAATTTGACCAAACTGTTTTTGTTAGAACTTCAACTTGATCGCGCTCAAGGACTCCCAGGCTGTGGAGAAATTGACACGGATCACCATCTTGCTCGCCAAAGCCACCATGCTGTTCCTGCCCGTCAGCCTGATGACGGCGTATTTCTCAACGGAGCTCAAGGGTGTCAAGGGCGGGTACAGCCAGGTAGAATACTGGGTGGCCTTTGTGGTGATATTCGTGGTGACCGTTTTAGTCTTGACCGTTTTTGGGTACGCCAGCGACACCGTGGAAGGCAAGACGATCTATCGCTCGTTAGTGAAGACGTTTTTCCGACGATCACGACAACGGATCACTGGGCGTGGAGGACGTCGGGACTGATCCAGAAGGGCTCCAAATATCTTTAAACGGAGATGTGTGTATGGACGAAGTACTCCATGGGATAAAGTTGGAGCGCACGCGATCGAGATGGTGTCATGACGCGGCGGTGGACTCCTCGGTCCCATGTGTGGTCCCACTGTTCCCACTCTCCTATTGGGGGCCCGGTGCAATGGCTTGCGGCGCATTGCAGAGCGGTATTGGCGCGGTGCAAGGAACGAGACTGGGCCGATAAGTCGGGCACGAGCCTATCAGGGGGGGTCATATGGGGGGGGCAATTGAATCTGGGTCGAGGTCGAGAAATGAGTGGATGAGTGGGTGAGAGTGGAGGATCCCAGAAAGAAGAGTCAAATGAAGAGGGGAGAGTCTGGCTGACTAACTGGTGTATGGGGAGTACGGAGTATGAAACGGTGAACTGGACAAGGCTTGGAAGGGGGCGAGTCCCCTTTCGCCTCTTTCCGTATTACGCATACGGGAAACACGGTGTCCTCTTGGAGAGGATGGTATCAACCACCTCTGAAGTATAGAGTAGCTTGTCTCAAAAGAGTATAATGGATATATGTCACTACCAGATAGAGTCATCTCTTATTGTGCTGCCTACTCTTTATTCGAGTCTCGTAAAAAAGCTTCATGTAAGGACCAACGTGGCAGTTCCCTCGTGCCCATCGGCATAAATACAGAGTTTCCCAAACCTGCTTGAAGCTGGAGTCGTCTCCAAGTCGAATACCAGCCAAGACCCTTTCCATTATTACCATACCATACACCCTCCCGGCCCGTTGTTTAGGGACGGAGACTACGCCCACCGCCAACTGCCGTATTTTGGTATTCCCAATTCCAAACCAAAAAAAACACCCCCTTCCAACTGACGCCTTTCTTTCTTGAAGTCAGCCTAAACCTCCATCATCATCTTCCTCCTTCTCTTCCTCCGATCAACCCACTCTTCTCTACTTCCATCCCTCTTTGCTACCGGTAAGTCTGTGGCCGTCGATCACCCCTGCCGCATTATTGCTGTTACCCCCTCCCTCTCCGAAAACCCACTCCCGACACCCCTGACCGCAGAGTCCACAACACGTTTTCCCACCACCTCCATCCAGCATCATCCACCCCCTCTCCTTCTCCAATCTTCCCTTGTTGCCTCCCCCCTCCTTCATATCTAACTCTATTTTTTTTTTGCTTCCGCTGCTAGGCTTCGAGGCTCCGTCAATATGGGTATCACTTTCTCCAGGCTGTTTGATAGACTATGGGGTCGCAAGGAGATGCGAATCCTGATGGTCGGTCTCGACGCCGCCGGAAAGACCACCATCCTTTACAAGCTGAAGCTCGGTGAAATCGTCACCACCATCCCTACCATCGGTTAGTCCGCTCCGCCCTTGATGCTTTCGACTATCGACAATCGAGAAATTCGAGGCTCCGACCTTCGAACTGCATTCGCAACGTATCCGGCGACCGAAGCTGACTTGAGAACGTGACAGGTTTCAACGTCGAGACTGTCGAGTATAAGAACATCCAGTTCACCGTGTGGGATGTCGGCGGTCAGGACAAGATCCGTCCTCTGTGGCGCCACTACTTCCAGAACACCCAGGGTATCATCTTCGTGGTGGACAGCAACGATCGCGACCGTATTGTCGAGGCCCGTGAGGAGTTGCAGCGCATGTTGAACGAGGATGAGCTCCGGGATGCTCTGCTCCTGGTGTTCGCCAACAAGCAAGATTTGCCCGTATGTACCTGACAGGGACCCTTTCCAGTCAACACACTTGCATGAGGTTGAATACTGATCGCACCTTTAGAACGCTATGAGCCCCGCCGAGATTACCCAGCAGCTCGGCCTCCAGAGCCTGACCCGCCGTGCTTGGGTGAGTTCACCCCCCCCCCCAATTATTACCTCAATATCCCCTCACCCCTCACCTCTTCCAACTCCCCGCTTCTTCTATATAATCCATGTTGCTAACTCATCTCCCCTCCCCAGTTCATCCAATCTACCTGTGCCACCACCGGTGACGGTCTGTACGAGGGTCTGGAGTGGCTCGCCGACACTCTCCGGAAAACCAACCGCGACTAAGCGAGTATAATATGGTGAATGCGAGTTTCCAAATCCACTTTCCACTTTTTTACTTGGGGGGAACGACTGGCGGGGGAATGCGTGTATGTAGCAGGACGAGAGAAATACCACGGCAAATCTGCAAATGATGGATTGATGATGACTACGGCGGGAGTTTTCTGCGCGAGGCCAACCCCGGATGGACCAGTGAAATCTCCTCGGGAGGGGGTTTTTTTTTTCTTTCGGTGCTTTGTGTGTTTGAACTTTCCATGGCTCTATTTCTCTTCGCTATGCTATTAGCCTCATTTGTTCTTTTTTTTCCTCCTGGCGCCACGTCAAAATTGCGGGTTTCTCCTGGTTCACCCCTTGTGTATCACCATATACCTCGAGTATGCGATATGCTTGGAGTACTCGAAGTACTGGTGCTATGACTATACCAGACTATTATGGTGTCTGTTTCGATGCTCGACCCCTCCATGTAGATCGCAAGTAGTGTATGAACACTCCGTCGTATAGGTATCTCGACTAGGGAGTATGGGGCAGGGCCCCGGGTATAAACTGGAGAGGATGGGAAGTATGAGAAGAGGTAAATAGCCTTGTCGGACACTCTTCACTTTTAAGATTTTATATGGACTCTACGAACCATCAGAGTAATACCCTTAATCTACCCGATCAGCCATATCACTTGCCCTAAAGATGATAGGAGGGAGTGATCATCTGCGGCCAAAATTAGTAGCGGACATGCGTAATCTCCCTCATTTCCTCATTTTGCTGGCGGACTAGGTCTTGGCATTCGGCCCAGACCTCGTTTGTTGTCTTCTTTTCTTTTGCCCTCGACGGAGTATTTTTTCGTGTACATTTTCCGTTGCGATTATCAATTGTACACTCGCTTTCTGGTGTTTCTCCTCCATTTCCTGGTCTGAGCCCATTGTGTTGTTGTGTTTCTTTTTCCCCTGACGCCTCGACCCCCCCCCCTCAAACCTGGAATTGCCTGGCCGACGATCTGCCAACTCCCCGAGCCAACCCAGCCAACATCCACGACGTTTGCCATCGCGCCTTTTTCTCCAACCCTCCCCCTCTCCCTTCCCCCTAATTTCTACGCTGTACATTTGCGCCCTCTCCCCCCGGTGACTGCGTCAGTCCTGGACCACAGATGTGCTTGCGCAATTCTTGATTGGACTAGTTCCCGTTCTCCCCACACGTCAATGTTGACGATTCGTCTGCTGGCATCATGACCGTCCAGGCCAGGAGATCCTCCGCGGCCTACAGCAAACCCTCGCCGTATTCTGCGCGGACACAGTTACAAGATAGCGACATTGAAAAACACCCTCTCAATGCCCGCCAACATTACCACAACCACAACCACAACCATAACCACCACCATCACCTAAGCGACGGCGACGACGAGACCTCCGACTCCGGACCCGACCACTCCTCCACATCCTACCCGCCCTTTGGCGGCGCGGGCTCACGTCGCGCAAGAGCACCTGTGGGCTTCAGAGTGCCCCAGCGGATTATGCGATGGCTGTGCTTCGCTCTATTCGCGTCGCTCGTGCTATTCATCTTCTCCCTCTTCCGCTTTACGATTTCCTCCTCCGTCTCCCGGGTTGATGTCGAGCTACCAAAAGTGAAACCGAATAAGCCCCCACTATGGGAAAGTTTCCCATTCCTGAAACGCTACGAGGGTGGACTCACCAGTCTGGTAAAGCGCAGCGACAATGTGCCTGAGTACCCCGGCGACAATGCGGATGGATTGGCACTACCCGAGGAACAAATCGCCCAAGGGGATGCAAGGCAATTGAGTAAGAGAGATTTGAAACCGTCAATGTCGAGCACTATCTTCAACCCGTATCCGGATTATAACTCTGCGGAGTACATTCAGAAGTACGGTGAAAAGCGCGAATGCTTTTTGGATCAGGACAATTCCATTCGGGTCCCGGCCGTTCAGTCATATCCCGGTGTGCCTAAAGGCTTCCCGGACCCGGCAATCGGCTCGAATACTATGCTGGGAATTCGCGACGACATGTGCTTTGACCGCTTTGGGCGATTGGGACCATATGGAATGGGATATGGAGTCAAGAAAGGCGGCAGCGGAGCTGGATTGGAAGGCCACCGTGAGGGTGCTGAGCGTACCTGGGAAGATGTGCCACCAGTGGATTTCCGCCAGGTGGACTGGGCCGGTGCGCAGCAGCGTTGTCTTGCGGCGAATCGCCACCGTTTCAAGGACTTGTCCGAGCCACGTCTCAACCGGTTTGTCTCTATGCCCGTGGGTGTGCCCAAGGTGGAGATCCCATCTCTTGAGGATGATCACAAGACAAAGCCCAAGGTTGGGTCGGAGCGTTTGCCTCGAACTGCGGTTATCATTCGTACTTGGCATGACTTTAACTATACCCCCGAGGACATTCTTTACCTTCGATCGGTGATCTCAGAGCTTGCGCTGTTGTCTGGTGGCGAGTATACCGTACACTTCCTCATCCATGTCAAGAACAACGATCTCCAGATCTGGGCGGACGACGAGACCTACGAGAAGGTATTGCATGACGCGCTCCCCGAGGAATTCCGTGGTATGGGTACACTTTGGACGGAGGCCCAGATGTCTCTTATGTACCCTGGCCTCGAAGAAACGTTCACACGCGGTCTACCCATTCACGGTGTCTACCGCAGCACTTACATGCCAATGCAATACTTTGCCTACCAGCATCCCGAGTATGATTACTTCTGGAACTGGGAGATGGATGCTCGGTACACCGGTCACTGGTACCACTTGTTCGACAAAGTGGGTGATTGGGCGAAGGAACAGCCTCGCAAGGGTATCTGGGAGCGCAATGCGCGCTTCTATGTTCCCTCGGTACACGGATCGTGGGAAGACTTCCGCCAGATGGTCCGCGTGCAGACTGAGATTGGCACCAATAGCCCCAATAACATGTGGAGCATGTACAAGGCGGCTGCGGAAAGTACCGAGAAGAACTCGCATGGTCTACACCAGCAGGGCGACAAGGCCGTCTGGGGTCCCGAGCGACCTGACGAGCCGGATATTTTCGAGGTCGAGGGTGAAGGCATTCCACCGACCACTGCAGACAAGGATCAGTACCAGTGGGGTGTCGGCGAAGACGCAGATCTGATCGTTTTCAACCCGCTGTACGATCCCGAGAGCACCACCTGGCTGCTTCGGGATGATGTGACCGGGTACAACCGCGAGAACGGAGCAATGCCCCCGCGCCGCACGGCCATTATCACTGCCTCTCGATTGTCCCGCAAGCTTCTGATTACGATGCACCGCGAGACCAGTCTCCGCCACCACAGCATGTTCTCAGAAATGTGGCCTGCCACGACGGCACTGCATCACGGCTTCAAGGCCGTCTACGTTCCACATGCCGTCTACGTAGATCGTCGCTGGCCGACCCGCTACCTGGAGTCCGTGTTCAACGCTGGACGCAATGGCGCATCTGGCGGCGCCCGCACGTCAGTCTTTGGTGACCGTGAGCACAACTTCAAGGGGACGACCTGGTTCTACTCTGCAGGGTTCTCTCCCAATCTCTGGCGCCGCTGGCTTGGTCTCCGCGTTGACAATGATGGCGGTGAGCAGCAGGAGCTGGCTGGCGAGGGTCGCATGTGTCTGCCCCCCATGCTCCTTCATCCCGTCAAGGATGTACAGATGGTGATTGACGAAGGGGCGCATGCAGAGGATCGATGAAGAGACGAAGCAGACGCGGCATCAAAAAAGAGCTCCGCTGATCTTGGACCACGACAAATTGCACAAATGCAAAAGCGAAAGAACATACGCACATGAATATACCCACCCCATCCTTCCCCAGTTCTTGATCCCTCATTGCATGATTGGGATACTGCTTTACCTTGCATGGTTGCGCTTTGCATCAATTTCATCCATCCCCTGTTACACGTTTGTCCTTCTCCGTCTGTTTTTTCTTTTCGGCCTTGCGTGTAAAGCAGGCGTTTTGCTTATTCTGGTGCAATGGCCTTGGAGCCGGCCATGGCTGTCATGATGCATTTTCCCTTTTACCCCTGATGTCTCAATGTGAATGTTTCTCTTTTTGTACTGTTCTATTCTTTTTGCCGGTCTCGTAATTAGAGGTTTTAGATCCTGATATCCAAGTCCGTTGTTTCTTTACCGTTTTTCATTTTGGTTTAGGGTCAGGCCCTGGGGTTGGATGTGTATAGTTGGATGTATTTGTATGGACTTTCTGTATAGGCGTAGTAGATAATGGATGAGATGACTTGTATTCTTGAAGCTTTTGTAGATTCCAATGGATGTACTCTATACATGACCAGAAAGATGTAAAGCAGATGCCGCTAAAGAAGACCTAAACACAACCACGCCGATGCAAAAGAAAGCAGAACGAGTAAACCACCATATCCCTCCCATATCTGATATCCCCTTCATTGCAGACAAACCAACGGCCTTGTCGTCCTTTTTCTCCCACCAGCACTTCCCCCATTAACCAACCTCCTAGAAACACCCCCAATCTGCCCTTCATAAATCCCCCGCCCAAGTTCCACCATCCCCAAAGGCGACCTCGACCGATCCCTAACCAAAAACTGCGCCGGCCTAAAACAAATACTACACTCATAAACCCCATCCTCACCCACCCCAAACGCCAAACAAGTCCTACAAACCCGATGCCCACATTTCGTCAACAACACCTCCACACCCCCATACTCCCCGTCCACAACGCACGTATGACAGAAATGCGTCGGGAAGGAGATATACGGGTTCTGCATGCGCCGCTCGATTTCGCAGGCGAGTTCTTTGCCTTTTTCGACGCGCGCGCGGAGCAGGTGGACTTTTGCTTTTAGGCTGTTTAGGATGCGGGGTATGCTGGATTGGGAGTGTTTGGTGTTGGTGGTAGTGGCAGTGGTGAAGGGTGGGGGGTTGAGGGTTGGGATGCGTTCGAGGAGGAGTAGGGGCCGGAAACGGTGGGTGACGGGGAGGTTTTGCATGGCTTTTTGTTCAAGTTGAAAGCGGCGGTTGAGTTGGCGGTTTAGTAGGATTGTGAAGTAGATCTGGAGGGTTTGCCAGGCGCGGTATTCGGAGGTTGGGTCGAGGGGGAGTGGTGGATGGGATTGGGATTCGGTGGTTGGGGACATGATTGTTGATGATTGAAGATTGAAGAAGCGGATGTATAGTTTCTTGTAAAAGTGGTGGGTATGGAAAGAAGATACGTTTCGTGTACTTTGTATACTTCTTCCCTGTAACTGGAGGATGGATTGGAACTTGGAGTTTAGAATGGAAAAGCTCGAGGTGATCGATCGTCCTTGAGGTGCCTTAAATAGACGATCGATCATCGAAAAACTATACCTATAGCAAAAATCTTGAAGAATGGATATTTCATCGGAATAGTTTCGGCCGAGGAAACACCTTCGGCAGAGCCGCAGGCTACCCCAGACGCAAATCTCTGTCACCAAAGTAACTACTAGATGAAAACTTCACAACTGACCAGGTCCAGACCAAAAGCTCCTCGCCCTATTCGTGTGGCGACGAGCGGAGTTCCCGAGAGCTTCTGAATGCAACGTTAACATGATCTGGAACCAAACTCTGGCATTTTCTTCGATTTCGTTGGTTACGATAGGCTGGTCAGGTGTTCCCGACAAGGTCAACCCTGGTTCACGGGTCCAGGGATCAATCGCCGCGCCGGCCGAGGCAAACGGAAATATCCTTGAAGATTGATTATCGTAAGGTGTGAGCTATGTGTGCAGAATCTGGATTGAGGAATGAAGTGCGAGAGATGGAGTTATTTAAGCATTGATCAGCACTTAAACTTAACAACATGGTTAGAAATATGTTCATAATCCCATGCATGGCATGTCTGTCAGTTGATCTTAGAGTTCTAGACTATAGCAGTGGAAATGGATTTTCGAGATGGAGATTATTCGTAACCCGACATATTGGAACCGAAGCGTTACGCTAGTCTATATCTGATATCTGAATATATATGGTTTAGGTCTCAATTTCTTCCTTTCCCTCTTGAGTTTTGCCAAGACATCAGTCTGGGCAGCAATATGTGGGAATTGACACGTTGATCATGTCTCATGTTCTATTCGTTGGTCTCATTCTATCTCTTGTAAATATTTTGCCAGAGAAGCTCAGATTGACTCTCAGAGTTTGTGTTGTTTTCCGAGGTACGATCTCCGACCTGGACACACTCCCACTCTGTGATAGAGACACCTTGGAAATGGAAGGTATATCTGATTCCTCGTGCAGTTGGCTCTTCGGCAGCATTGGCGTGAACCCTCTCTGCATTGATCACGTATTCTCCAACCCCTTCCTCGCGGTAAAACGGGGTCAAATGCAATCTGTAAGCGAGTCGACTTTCTTCTCTGTCTCTATCCGTGGTGACATCGTATACTTGAATCCCCGGGTTTGACTCTCTGGTTCCGGCTTCTGACAGGCAAAAAACCGCCCTCCCAACTGACGATACTTGGAATCCCGCTGAGACTTCATCTTGGCGTGTCTCCAAAACATATTCCCGGTCATGTATCTCATTTGATGGATACCGTGGGATGAATGCTACCGTGCCAGACCCAACTCGTTCCCCAGTCGCTGATGTCTGGGTATACCTCCACGTCCCATGTAAAGCCCTAAACACGGCTAGCGATGCCGCGGCTTGGGCTGCCGTGGAGTGATCCTGACATGAGATAGCTCGCAAGCTATCCAACGTACGGCGTGCCTCAACATCTTCCTGTCCATGGGCATATCGTGCAGGTATCACCGGCCCAGTCCGACTGTCATCGCCGGACGAAAGCGTCCGCTCTATTTGGAGATCCTTGGAAAATGTCTCCATTAATCCTACATAGTCACCCATCGGGAATTGCGCACGGCGAACATCCACACTGGGCTGTCTCAGAATTCGAAGAAGTTCCCTTTCGCTCTTATTCTTGGCGTCGCCTTCGCCGGGAGTATTGTCTTCGGCTGCCCATTCTTTGCCTAGGAATTTCGCTTGCATTTCCATGACACCCCAGTAAGGACCACGGTAGAATCCGACGAATCCTAGATCGGGAATCTCCGAGCGTAGTGTGCCGCCTTTATCCAGGATGAGTGGTAAGAATGGGTCGGATGTGTTGTACTCCAGGCTAGACAGAACGTCGTCAGGTAGGAAAGATAGTGAATCGAACGGGGTGAATCCCGTAGCCATCACGATCGATGTGACATCCTCCAATATTTGAGAGCCTTCAGCGGTCTCAATCTTCATCGAGGCAATCCTCGTATCAGACTGCGGATGAATCGAAGTGGCTCGACCCATTACGGTTTTTATCCCGCCGGATCGGACAAACTCTGCATAGTCATTCCCTATAGCTACCCATTCTGGCTGGGGGTCTGCTTTTGCCAAGGGAGATTGCTGGTGCGGGTGTCCGTATCTTTCATACTCAGCGCCAAGCAGGGACCTGAAATAATCGTTCGTTTTTGCAATCTTTTCTTCCGATAGAGGGCCTAGAGTATACTCTACCGGACCCGGTGGGCGGCGACTAAGGTCATACATTGCCAGATCAAGAGGTAAGAATGGCACGGTCTCCTCGGAGGTTTCGCAAGGGAGATATGTAGGTAGAGTCCAGAATGGTCGGGAATGTACGTGGTACACCTTGTTATTCTTTTGCGGGCTGCCAGAGCCTAGATATGTAGAAAGACGCAGTGAAGATTCTCGTAGAGCAAGTGCAGATGCAGCTTCGACTCCTGACATACTGCCGCCGATCACGACGGTATTTCCCTGAGGGGTAGTCTCTGCAATGGTGGAGAGACCGGCGCGACCCTTTTCCAGGGTAGAGCTATGGATCGCCTGGCCCGTGAAGTGCTCGAGTCCTGGAAGTACTGGAAGATATGGACGAGCAAAGTAGCCAGATGCGACAACAAGAAAGTCAAAGTCTTCAGACTCGATCTTGGTCTGTGGAGTTGTTTCTTGGGTGGTATTCTGTCTGCTGTTCGAACAATATCAGCTCTAATCCAGAATACGTAGATGATCCTGGATAGTCATTTACTAACCTCCCCTTAACCCAAGATACCTTCCACTTGCAATTGACATCTGATCCAGTCAAACGCTCCGTTTTAACAACTCGATGTCCCAATCTCAGCATATCCCTCGGGATATATCGCTGACTATACGCAGCCAAATACTGTCCAACCTGTCTCGCCTGCGGGAACATCGGACCATCCGTACAATTCAACGCAGATTCCCACGATAAATCAGAAAACGCCACCGTGAAACGACTAAGGTTAGTCCTCATGAGAGGGTCTAGCGTCCCCGGCGAATCTGCGCTCTGTCGGGCATGGCGTTCGGAAGACCCGGTGGGCCATAGGCCTCCGACTTCATGGCGAGTGTCGAAGATTATAGGTGAGTATGTACCCCGGGGATAATTATGGATAAGCGTCTTTGCTGTGACAAGTCCTGAGGGACCGGCTCCTGGATGTGTGATGCATGTTAGCGGGATCGTTCGGGATCGGGTGTAGCGTAGGTTGGGTTCTTGCCGATGATGGCGACTTTCTTTGGTTGCATCTTTGAAAGTATGCCCCTTTCGACTTGATCTTATCGTACGTGGCTGTGACAGAGCGAGTCATGTGGTTGACAGGGCTGATGTTGATAGTTTGATCTGTCTACCCACTGGGTTAAGTCTTCCCCGCGGCGGGGCAGCCGGCGATACATTCGCACGACATACAAAGTGCGACACGTAGCACTACTAGATTTCTTTTTCTTACAATCCTTGGATGACCTTTTTTGGAGTATGCCAGATCGCTGCCGGAAAGATCTGATCAACCTACCAGTCATTAGCCAGAGTTCTTTAGTGCCTAAAGTAGCAAAGTGATACATTGCAGATACTTCCAGGAAACCTACCCCTCACCTACTTTTCTCTTGTTGCAATGCCAATGAGCATCCGTTCCACAACTCATGTATGTTTTCTATAATATGCGACCTCTCGCGCGAGCTGTGCTTCGTATACCCACTCGAGAGTAAACTATTGATCTTGGCGAGAGGGCCCGACAGATCAGACTGGGCAAGTATAGATGCGATAAGCTGATTTGACTTCATTTCTGCTATCTCCTGCACAGTCGATCTTTCGATGCAGGCAGTGCCGAACGTCCTAGTCTTTGGTGGCCGAGTTGCACATTGGCCGGGGATGGGTGTAAAGCTGCCCGACAGTACTAATTTACAAGGCTTCAAGGAGTGAGGTTTCTCATCTTTTTACAAGACTCTTTCAATAAAATATTAGTATTATTCATATCTCCTGTATGATTTTGCCTTGATTAAAGATGGCCGTTAATAATATGCTAGAGGTATTATAAACCTATCGCCCGATAGCAAGGTCCACCTTTCGTAGATCATCTATGACACATTATTGATTAGAACAATCCAGGCAAGGAGGCTTGGTCTCGGTCTTGGCGTACCTGATGATTGCCAAGATCCCTGCTCATACCTGGGCGTTTGTTTGCGATGCCGGGTTACCGATGGAAGTAGTAGGCCGTCTCGGCATGCATAACTGTTTCCAGTGCGCCTTGCGCAACGACAGTAGTGCCAAGGCTTTGCCCAGCCAGGGGGATACGAGAACGAAGATAGCCTCCATTTGGAACGGTGCCATGGAATACCGGTACATCCATGATGCCTTCATCCGAAAATGTGTCCCAAATATTGGGACTACCCCTCGAGGCGTCCAGCACGGACATAATTCAATTTTGGGTGGTGGTGGACGTGGCTGACAGCAAGCGGGTGTGCGGGGTCACGCATCTCGAAGAGTCGAGAAAAAGCCTAGTCGAACTCTACTCAGACTAGCAGCCGAGTTGGAGGTCCCTGGCAAGTGCCCATATCAAGAAACATGTTGAAGCCATTCGACGACCTGGATGTCCGGAGTTCGCTGATTGGGTCGGCAGGCCTCGTTGCATTCTTGCTCCGTCACGAAATTATCCACATTCCGATGCGTGAGTGGGATTTTATATTGATTCTTTTTGCGGAGAAGCTCTTTCTCGGCAAAGGCCGAGGGAGAGAGCTTGGAGAGGGTGTTGCGCAGACGTCGAATCCCTCCGTTGGAAAATGACCGAGAGAACTGGGGTGGTCCAAAGGGATTGTCGTTGCGCCATGGGACTTCGGAGGCGATGGAACGAGAGTGCTTATTGCGTGAAGAGCGAGGACTGGCCATGGCGATGAAGGTTATCCAATGTATGAGCGGATGGGTTGATGGGATCTCCTTGATCCTTGTGAGGCCGAAGACCGGGGGAGATGGTTGTTAAGTAGTAGATGGGGGTAGATGAGGGCAGATGGGGGCCCGGGCAAGTCAGTGCTGAAAATATCTCCGCGGCACGCGCGCGGATCGCAGGCTGATTGGATTATGATATTGGAACCCAGTGGTTTTTAAGGTCTAGTAAGTGGGTTCTCAATGCCCTCTCACGGCACAGACATGCCGGGCCGCGCTATGCGATAGGGCAGCAGGCCTGGACTGGCTCTCCTCAAGGCGGATTCGAGAGTTGGCGTGTGCCACATGTGGTAAAGTTTGAGTGGACAAACCCGTGGCCCATCATCTTTGTGTTGTATTTCCCTCATGCTGAATGAAGTAACCTTTGACGGTGATGATTGTATTCCCCTCTCTGTTCATTGCTGTCAGTTACGTCATCTCGGAAGAGCGATGCCGATCCAGCGACTACCGTGATTGGGCGGAGTCGGGCGATCCATGCTTTTCCAGTATATGGATGGAGGAAACCTTTTTGAAGCCAAGGCGATGATCGCAGCGGTAAGAACTGGAGGGCCAGGATGGTACCTGGCTGTGGAAAAGGCTTGGTTAATGTGATCTCCCATGATGCCAGTTTTGTTCTGTCGGTCAGCGACAAATCCTGCATGCATGGGGCCCCGCGACGTGTAAGCGGCTGGCGCACCTGGCAGTGGATCAGAAACGCCTCAAGGCCCCGCCTGGAAGGTTGTTCAGGTAGATACGAGCATGCTCATTGATTGATTTGCCACGGATGAACCCCACCGATTAATCCCGCAGTGAAGGTACAGCAGATCACAGCGCCACGAATGCGCTTTTCGTGAAGCAAGCAGACGATATTCGGAATACTTGTCCGAGGTCTGTTTCATCCCACTCGGGTCTGATTGGTTCATGCACGCCCATCGGGTTCTGATGCCCAAGTGCGGCCGTAAGTAGTTCGAAGGCACATGAGGTTGACAACACAGTTGGTCAGGATCCTTTCCGACTGGGACATGTGAGTGGCTTGTGTTTTCGTCAACAAGCATTCTCGTATTCGGTTGCCTCGCTGGCATTTCATGCGGCTTAAAGTTGTGACAGGCTGGCGCATCCTCGCCACTTGGTCTCCCAAATTTGCCTGGTGCTTCTTCAACCTGAGCTATTTACCTGCGGCTTGTCCCTCCACACCGCTTTGATTCGGAGGTTCGTCGACGTCGAGGGAGGGAGGGAGGGAGGGGTTGGGGGGTTGTTGAGATGCATCCAAGCGAGGGCTGTTCTTTCGGATGAGGAGAAGAGCACGTGTGTCCCATGGGGATTGCAATGCCCATAGGAGTGGTTGGAAGTGTGAAGTTTTAACTGGTAGAACGGACTAATCAGGCTTGGATGGGTGTTCTCACAATAAGTTGACTCGGAGTCATCTGGGGAGGAGTTACCTCTGATGGTTGATACCCGTTGCTCATCCCACTTACGAAACTCGCGTGGGGGATGATGAGAACTGAGTTGATGGAGGCATGAAGCTGCCAGAGTGGATTATTGCTTTGTTGATCTGGTAGAAACGCGTCAGTATCAGCCAGTCAACGAAACTTGATCCGGAGTCATCCACCCTTCATGGATGCATCTCACGATAGATAAAGCCTTCGAGAGTCGAGGCGAGGTGAGTTTCATGCCTGACTTGAAAAAAATGCATAAGGTATGAGGAGGAGATAAGGTAAACCAAGAGGAGATAGATGGATCAAGAGGAAATGGTATGAAGTGAGATGGCGAGGATGAGACTGTGTTTTGGTCGTGAAGGTGGGGAGGTGTGAAGAAGGGAAAGTCTTGAGAGACGAGATGAGGAAAGAAAAAGAAATTTCCGTGGCTCGATCGCGTCAACTGAACGCGCTGGCGTGCTATCAAGGGAAATTTCATAATAAACCCAAATGGGTAAACGATTCATTTCATTGATATAAACTAAGCTGGCCAGCTTATTCCCCACACTACCATAACTAATACGTGAATCTAAAGCTCGGATGATCATCACCAAGATTGCTCAACTCCTCCTGAGACCATTCATACCGATGATTCCTCTTCCCAGCTTCTCTCAGACGATTCTCTCGCACCAGCCAGGCAAAGAAGAACATACACGCAAATCCACAAATCCAAACCATCCCCAGACTCACGCCAAACCCAGTGTGATACGTCGGCGCTTCGGAGTCAAAGAAGATATTGCTAGCCACCAAGCCACCACAATTCCCAAAGCCGATCTGCATCGCCGAGGCAATGGATTGCTTATAGTGACCAGCCATATTGTTACTGAGCCAGCCCATCAAGATCGGTTGGGTCATGTAGCCGCCGCCAGTGATCGCATAGAGGGCAAAGTACCGCGCTCCCACGGGGACGGACTTTTGGCAGATGAGGATCACATAGCCAACAGTTGCAATGGCACATCCACATAGTGTGAAAGCAAAACGGTGGCGTAGGCGATCACTGACGAAGGCAGTGACTAACGCAATGACGGTTGCAACGAGATAGATGGGAATACTCATGACCTGAGCACGCACCGAAGTCCAGCCGAGTTGCTTCAGGATAGTCGGAGTAAAGAAAGAGGTGGCGTATCCGGTATTGACAATGCCGAAATACATCAGTGGACTAGATATGTTAGTCACCAGGGTCATGAAGAATAATTGCAAGAGAACACATACCCAAGATAGATCTTGATATCGCGGATAACTCGCCCCCTGGCTGCACGATCTAGTCGGTCCATCCGAGCTTCTCCTCGATCACTCTCAAGCCGAGACAGCAGCAGCGCTCGCTCCTGGTCGTTCAAGAAACGGGATTTCTCGGGCCAGTCAACGATGAGGAATTTGGAAACGACGGCAGCAACAACGGTGACAAGACCTTCAATGATAAAGATCCACCGCCAGCCGCTGTATCCTGCGACTCCATCCATCTTTGCAATAGCGTATGCCAGGAGCTGTTGTTCAATATTCATTTAGTGTTCAGTCGTTTGAGAAGTCTGGAGATAATTGATGACGTACTCCGCTAACTGCACCAGCCAGGATGCTGGCACTGAAGAACACGTTCAGGCGCCACTGTAGCTCGTGGCGCTTGTAGTACATTGCAATGATATAGATGCATCCTGAGAATGTTAGTATTTCTCACGAGAGATTTACTATTCAAATGGCAACCTACCGGGCATGAATCCAGCTTCAAAAACGCCTAGTAAGAACCGACACGCAACTAGTCCTTTAAAGCTTTGAGTGAGTCCCTGGCAGACGGTAATAATGCCTATTTGGCGAAGAGAATATTATCAGCACAGTTTCATCAAGACTCCACTAAAATAGAACATACCCCATCCGAACATAATCCCACTAATCCACCACGAAGGAGCAATCCTCTTCAACAACAGGTTACTCGGAACTTCAAGTAGAATATACGGGATGAAGAAAATGAACAACGCAAGGTTATAGTCGTGGTTTTTCATGTTCAAGTCCTTCTCAAGGCCCTGCAGACGAGCATTGCCGATATTGATTCGGTCGAGGAATGCGAGGAGGAAGAGGAACATGAGGATTGGAACGACGTGAATATCGAGTTTCCAGAGGAGACGTTTCTCGGCGGAGCGATCGATCTCGGCGAGATTGTCCGACTTGACATGTTCGATCGTTTCATGATCGCCTGCTTTTTCGAGTTCCTCCATTTGGATGTAAGGGATAACTCGTGAAATTATTGAGGTCACGGAATTGGGTTAAGGAATCGCACGGAAGTGCTGCTACTTGCAGGACACGAATCAAGGGTCAAGCGAGGTTCTCAGAGGAATATGGCAGGGTCTAGAGCCGTTATTGATACCAAATATGCGGAGCAAGATGAGAAACAGTGGAAGGTGCCAGTTAAATACAACCTCAACACTGGAAAGCTATACGAACAGGCTCGCTGGGAGAGTTGGGCCGCGGTGATCCCCCTTCCCCCGCACATCATTGACAGCCTGCATTCCGCTGTATACATCCAAGACACCCTTGATTCCGCTAACCAAGACGCCAAGGCGCGCCAGGCTTGGCTGATATAAGGATGAGATCGCTCTCCTTTCTTCCTTTGTACGTGGATAGACATGAAAGTATAAAGACTAGAATTAACTGTGGCATAATTTAGCCACCCGGTAGTGTTACAAAGTTTTCGGGCGTGGAGCTGAGAAAAGACTATCTGCGAAGCAGTTGCACTAGCCGAGGGCCAAGTAACTTCAATAATTTTGTTACAGCGGAACAGGGTTCCGCTGTTCAATCCTGGGCCGTGGGGCTAAGACAATTTTTGAAGTTCAAGGTGCCTCTTTGCATCCATTCAGGTTATCCCAAGGCCGGGAAATTCCCGTCAGCTTGTGGGGTTTCCAACGATTCGGCATTTACCCCGGTTACCCCGCTTCCCCAGAGATCTACGGCATCTCGTCCAAGTTCGTGGAGCTGGTTGAAAGTTCTGATACCTGTATACAAAAGAAGTCATGCGAGATTCATTTGAATTGATAGTGAGAACCAAAGTGCGAGTCACAATATGATGAGATACAAAGATTGCTTGCTAGCATCTCAAGAGCCAATATTCTTTCGCAACGCTGGCTCCAGAGGGAATACCTGCTCTTCCTCCGTCACATCTTTATAAACAGTATCCCAACGGTCCTGAACTAGCTCGGGAGTAGGCCATGCATTCTCCGGGTCTCGAAGCCACAGGCGAAGTAGATGACGTCTAGTATAGTCAGCTCAATTCAATATCAAGGGACAGGAAACTGGAAAAACGAACTCTTTGCCGGGCTGGTCCTTGAAACCATTCCGTGCATGGAAAATGCTCAGATTATTGACATATTGGACATCGCCCTTTTGGAAGCCCAAGGAAGCACGATGCTTTTCTGCCAAAAAGTGCAATGCGTCTAGAGCTTCGGCTTGCGCTTCACTGATGGGAGGTATATTTGCGGATCGAGGCTGGGCGAGGAAGCCTGTGAAATATCGGCGAGCATATTGGATGAGAACACGCTCGGGGCTAGTCTCGGTTGCGGGTTGGTGATATAGAAGAGGACGGAGAGTATACGGCTTGTTGACATTACCGAATCTAGAACGTTGTGAGCTCGAAATATCCGGAACTTTAGGTATTCTATATGCATACCCATCAACAGGCCAGTCCTGGGAAAGAGTATGGATCAAATCGGGTCTCTCTTTAGCGAGGATATTGTAAACATTCCAGCTGCTTGAAAGATAACTCTCGCCCCCTTCGGCCGATGGGCTCAGGCAGAGAAGAGAGATGATATCTCCAGCATCGGTATGGAAGACTTGTTTATCAGCAGTATTCGAGGGAGCTCCGATCTTTTCAGCTTCCACGGTGCTGGTGATATCTTTAATGTGCGAGATCACCGGAGACTTTCCATTTTGTAATCGCGTGTCCTGTTGGCGACCGCGAATATTTCCGATATGAGAAGACACTCCAGTATAGATAATTATGTTATCCTCTCGGGAGTAGTCGTCAATACGCAGTCCCCGGAGAACGAAGAAGCCCCGACCGTGATGGATTTCCTTGGAGAGATTCCTCAGGATTGGGCGGAGGGTTGGTAGAGGGAATGTCGACTCGTTGATGTATCCCAGGGGGTTATTCAAAGCTACAAAGTTGATAATGAGAATTCTAAACTTCGATTGGACTGATAGGCAGATTACTACCTTTGAAGCTCTTCAAACCTGCATCAATCTCGTCCAGTTGTTCATTGCTCAACTTGTAGATCCAGTCACTCCTCTGTTCAATGTCCTTTCCCTCCCAGACAAGCGGAGACGTCAACTTTTGAGGAAATCCTGCCGGTAGACTAGTTTGCAGCGACTCCGTCTCCTTACGATGGCGTGTCCGTGCTTGATATTTCTCAAAGTCGGGATGATATTGAATATCAGGCTGAACGGGTCGAGTGATGGTCGTAGTAACAGACATAATAGCTTTGAAGATTATCGAAGAGGGGGTAAGTAGAGGATATTCAGAATATAACCCGCTTAAATATCCAACGTTACATAGTACTACCACTCACGCTATCTACCTTGTCACTCGCGTGTGATCGCGTCATGTTGGCCGTTGGTGGAGTTTTGATTAATTGAAGTGTAATCATTCGCTGTCCTTTGCGACATTCGCCCCACTCACGACGAGCTCACCACGTCGCATAGATCGACGGATTTTTGGGTACTTGATGTTAGATCCGTAGTGCTTGATAAGCAATATGAGGAGGCTAAATTTGTCTCAGTAGTATAAAGAGGAATAGGTCGGTGAGGTTCCGAAGGTCTAAGCTTCGATGAAACCTTTCTATTACCAAACGGTATCACTATACGTGATGATATCGATTTAGAACAGCATCTTGAGATTGAACTCAAGTCTTCTCTCTCAACAATATCTCAACATTCCAATGTGCACTCATGCTTATATCCTCATTTCACATTGTTACCATGGTAACCGTCGAGGTTTCTCTCGATGTTAGCGCCTTCTTGATCTCTATTCTTCAAGGTAAAAGTAAATGAAGACAGTGATACTCATACATATCAATCCATCTGCAATAGCCTCGTAGAAAATTGCGGCAATGGTCAGCTATTCTCTTCTCCACAAAAGCATGGGGCGCATCTGCAAGCTCAAGGCCAAGGCGATCACATCATTTGTGCTACATACTTGCCATCAGGAGTCCACTCGCAACACACTACATAATTCTTGTATTTAAGCACTTTAGTCTCGTTATTATAACATTGCAATAGAAGCAGTTCAAGATGGCAGAAGAACAAATATCACCTAAAAGTATGTTCTTTTTACCTAGGTAGCTTCCACAGGACTCACCCAATGTTAACTGGTCAGAGCTTTACCTACAGGACTCGTCTAGCGAGAATGTGTCAAGCTCCGACCTTCGGGTCCAAGAAACGCACATCTTGCAAGAGCGCAAAATTGGCGTTTTTGGGGCCATTTCACTCATCGTGAACAAGATTATCGGCGCTGGGTCTGCTCTTCTTTCTACACTCTGATGAGATGATAACTAATCAGGAATAGAATATTCTCAACCCCGGCAACTATCTTCAAACTAAGCGGTAGTCCGGGTATGGCGCTTATTCTTTGGGTTCTCGCTGGTATAATCTCGACATGTGGAGCTATGGTGATGCTAGAGTTTGGTACCAGCATTCCCCGGTCCGGGGGTATGAAAGTATATCTGGAGAGGTCATTCTCTCCTAAGCTACTTTTCACTTGCATTTACCTCTTCTATTGTGCTATCCTACGTAAGTCGAGGTCAAGCATTGACCCTAGTGCTCCCTACGTGACCGCTAATCATCTCATAGAGACCTCGGCCAGCAATGCCATCACAGCTTCTTCATATCTTCTCAAGGCTGCAGCTGTTGACTCAACAACATGGAAGCTGCGTGGGCTAGCAATTGCCGCTGTATCGTTTGCTGTTGGAGTTCATAGTGTCGCCCCAAGATTTGGAAGAGGATTGCAAGATCTTCTCAGCGTGGTGAAACTTTTCATTCTGTTCTTCATTGTCTGCACCGGATTCGCTGCATTAGGAGGTCATGTCCGAGGCTCCAAGCCTGACAATTTTGATGTCTCGACATCGTTCAAGGGCACCTCGAACAATGGCTATAATATCGGAACGGCTTTGTTGAACGCAATCTTTTCGTTTCAGGGCTATGACAATATGAACGCTGTAAGTCAGGTTGATGCTTTCTTTATAGTTTCTGGCTAATCTCCTATGTTAGGTGCTTTCGGAGGTCAAGAATCCGCAACGCACTCTGCGTATTGCGTTGCCAACGGCCATGGGCACTGTTACCGTACTCTATATTCTCGCGAATATTGCCTACGTGAGTCCCTATCCTCGTTTTCGTCTACATCAATGTGTTATTCTCTTACTGAAGTCGGAACAGTTTGCAGGTGTCTCACGCTCAGAATTCTTGGACTCCGATCTTACCATTGCGGCTTCTCTGTTCAACAATGTCTTCGGTCATTCAGCAGCAGTAAAAGCCCTCCCGGCACTAGTGGCTATCTCTGCAATCGGGCATCTTCTCGGGGTTGCCTTCACAGTCTGTATGTTTCCAAGGAGAAATAGTCTCTCACCTTTACTTCAATCTTCTAATGAACAAATTTTGGCAGCTCGAGTTCTTCAAGAACTGGCCAAAGACGGCATAACCCCCTTTCCCAACATTCTCATGCAGAATCGCCCATTCAAAACACCCATTATCTGTCTTGCTATTCACTTAGGAATCACGATTATCTTTATATGCGCTCCTCCTGCAGGCGATGCTTTTGATTTTGTCGTCGGCCTGGGCACTTATCCGACGGTCTTCCTCTTGACTCTCGTCACGATTGGACTGATCAAATTACGTCTTGACAAGAACCAGAACTTCCAGTCCTCTTTCAAAGTACCCTGGGCCATACTAGGATTCTATCTGGCAGGAAATATTGTGAGTCAAGTGCTCCCAACTCAATGAGTGATTATATTGCTAACATTGTCAGTTCCTTCTGGTTATGCCTTTTGTCCCGCCGGTCAATGGAAAGGGAGCCACGAGTCTTCCGTATTGGTTGTCTCCTGTTGTGTCCTTGTCTATATTAGCCTTGGGAGTTATCTATTATGTGGGGCGATTTGTTTTGCTCCCGTGGGTGTTTGGTTATGAGCTTGACCTGGTAGCTATAGGCCTTAGTGACGGATCACGGGTCTCGAGGTATAAGATCCGTAAATTATAGAGATGGGGGGGGTCTATTTCGATCTGCTCAAGTTTTGCACAACCTTATCGGGAGACAGGATTGATTAAAAGGTTACAAGTATAAGAAAGAACAAGAGGAAGACATTATCTCTCCAAATCGCGCTCAGCGCATGTATTAAAACTGGCAATCACTTGTGTATAAGTCCAGCAATAAATCATCTCCAATAGTGATTTTCAAACAAGAAATAAAGCCGCTTCCAGTCACTCCGCATATGGTCGTACACCCATTACTTGCGCTCAACATTCTCAACAGTAACCGAGCCGGGCTTCTCATTCACTTCGTGAGGAGCCTGAACAGCCGCAGCCTTCTGGTGAGCAAGAACTTCCTCACCCTGTACGACGTGGTTGGCACCACCGAACAGAGTATCAATCTCCTCGAGGGTAACCTGCTTAGTCTCGGGAATGAAGAAGAAGACAAAGACGGCCAGCAGGATGTTGACACCAGCGAAGAAGTAGAAGGCGTAGAAGCCATCGTTGTCAAGGAAGATGGGGAAGAACTGCTGGAAGATGGTGTTGGCGACGTTCTGGGTCTGCGAAGCCATACCGACAGCTTGGGCGCGGACGTTCATCGAGAAAATTTCGGATGTCCAAATCCAGACCGTGGCACCCCAAGATGGTTTGTCTGTGATGTTGTTAGTTTTGTGATTTTGGGATCGTGGGATATTAAATACTCACAGAAGAAGATAAACAGGAATAGCAAGAACACGATGGCAATGCCGACAGGTTCACTTTTAGCCCCGTTTGCCCCAGTTGGCGTCTCGGTTTCGACAGCAGCAACGATGATCATGCACATTGACATGCCAATAGCACCGGCAATCAGAAGAACCTTTCGTCCAAAGCGATCAACGATCCACATGGCGTTCAGGGTGAAGAGAATACCACAGGTGGCGTTGAGAGCGTTGATAAGAGCAATCTGGCTGCTGCTGGTGAAAATCTTGGAGTAGATCTTGGTCGAGTAGGAGTTGAGCGAGCCCTGTCCGGTAATCTGCTGACCAGCGTTGAGGATCAAAGCCAGGTACATGCGCTTGCGAAGAGACTTGTCCTTCCACAGAGCACTGTAGTTGCCGGAGATGGCCTCCTTCTCGTACTCGATGGCCTCACGGATCTGCAAGAGCTCGTCCTCAACCTCCTCTTCGGTGTCTCGCACTCGTCGGAGGGCGGCGCGGGCCTTTTCGATGTTGTTACCGTGCTTGACGAACCTTGGTATTGTCAGTCGGAATTCACAGGTTCTGTATGGAGTAACGACTCACCATCGAGGGCTACCAGGAATGGTCGGGAGAGTAGCGAGAATCAAGACGGGAACGAGCAGCTGGAAGATGACAACCAACTTCCAATCCCACTCGCCCAGGCTGAGCTTGTGCTTGGTGCATCCGTAGTTGATCCAGAAGCAAATGAAAGATCCGACTGAGTAGAACATCTGCCAGAAGGTCATGATCTGACCACGAATCTCAGGAGGAGCAAGTTCGCCGATATAGATGGGGCCAGACGCTATTCGATGCCCAAGTTAGCGTCTGCTTTGCAGGAAGCGTTACAAAGAGATACTTACTCAAGGCAATACCCTGGCCAACACCAATAATAACACGACCACCGATGAAGCACGCAAGGTTGTGGCGAGGGGCAAAGGTCTGCATAAACGTAGCAATGACAACCAGGATACATCCTGTCGCCATTCCGACCTTACGGCCGGCATAGTCGGCGATGGGACCACCGCAGAAGAAACCTCCAAAGATAGCACCGACAGTATACGCGGTGTTGATGGATCCGATTAGCGCAGAGTTGGGGTTATTGAACCAAGCCACCCAATTCTTGGAGCCCTGGACGGAATTGAACACGGACGCATCGTAGCCGTACAACACCATGCAGGCCGCGGCGACCAAAGACACGAACCTAAAGGATGACTATCAGAGGAGAACACTTTTTTTTGTCAACTCGGCAGCAGAATGGATATACCAGTTGTAAGCCCGCTTAGAGCTAACCATTTTGGCGAATGTAGAATGAGTTCACTCTACTATATAAAGGCCGGGGATTGTTGAGAAAGCAGCGTTGTTGACGCTGGTCACCAGATGACTGTGCCTAGTGGTGAGGGGATATCGAGGGACAACCAAGTACTCCGCTCAATGCGATTCCAATCAAGGGGAAGGGGGGAGTCGATCAGGCCAGGAGGAAACGATCAGCAACCCACAAGTTTGGGGAAGAAAGAACGGGCGGAGACTGCCCCAGATATATAACTCTCTGACAGGCAAAATTTCTGGGGGAAGAATAGACTCGTCCCCAGCGCCCTAGGCCAAAAAGAAGAGTGACTGCACCAATCAGCTCATGTCCGTGTAGGACGCCCCCAGGCGACGCTAAGCACGGCGTGCATTTTGATAACGGTAGCCCTGTCCTCGTGCGGATCGCTGAGTGGTGGGGTATTTCGAGACGTCCACACATGGCAAAGGGCCATATGCAAGCTGAGGACAGCTTATTGGACTAAGGATGGCTGGCACGCATGGTGCGGACCTGGGGTAGCCGTGATCTGGGGTTCGAGGATATTTTGTCCCGTGGGGAGCTGGTGTACTTTGCATTTCCACGAATCAGCAGCGAGCCGAACCGGGGGCTGGGAGAAAGTTGACTCCACCAATCGCGGGGGGACAGAGGAGACGTACTAACCCCAAAATCACCGGTTAAACAGAGTTGTGGAGAAAAGCAGATCGGGCGAAGTGAAGCGAGGTCCTTAATTGAGTAGTGATTGAGAGGCGAAAGAGTGGAGGAGTGGAGGAGTGGAGGAAGAGGAGGAGGAAACCCAAATTCTCCAGATTTCCTCCAGACGGTCCCCAGATCAGGTGAGCCTTCCCCCCCCTCGTGATATGAATCGTGTGCTCTTGTTTAGAGACCAAGCTTATTCTTTTTCTTTTTTTGCTTGGTAACTATTAATGAAAACAAAATGCCCTTTCCCAAGCAATTCAGGCATGTGATTACTCGACTAACTCGTTGGAAAGGTACTTCATTTAACTACCGGCTAATTAAAGACTTGGCAGCGAGATAGTTGGAAGCAGTCAGCTTTCTGTGATCACCTGTCATCCGCTTTGACTCGGAGTGCTATTCAGATGCAGGGCTGAGAAACTAAAAGCTGACAACCAAAGCAGAGGCCAGGTCTAGTCCACCATTAACGTAACATTCTAGATAGATAACTAGGCCAGTCCAAGCTTAGGCCATGACCTCAAGAACCGACCATCAGAATATGGAGGAAAAGATGAACCATAATACTAGAATGGAGAGTACCTGACGATCGTTTTCACTAAATGAAGGAGATCTTCGAATTATCCCAAAGAAGCTTAATCTTCTTATGCGATATCCCCACTTGGGACTCCATAGTAGAAAGATGGTTAATACCTGGCAAAATTTCAGACTTCCGGGTTTCTTAGGGTCAATTCTATGCGTCAAATTAAGAGCCTGTGCCTTATTTCGGTTTCTCTCCAGATCTCCCTTCGAATTCAGATCGCAAGTAGTAGATTGAAGACTGATCAAATCGTATCTCTCAAGCTACTATAGGTCACGTGCTCTCGCGCTCCTCAAACGCGGTCCCGCGCGCCGCAAAAGGAAAAAAAGTCCAGCAGCTCGCACTTGCTCAAGAAGCAATCAACCTTCCTTCTCCTCACATCTTTACATCGGGCATTCTATTCAAAATCTAATCTCGATATAACAAACAACCCCCTGCAATGAATTAAGCCCTCATCGCTACTTTGGGATCATCTTACACCCAGGACGTCATCGCGATGCCCCGCAAAACGAACAAGAAGCAGACACGACTTGCTTTTGCGCCAACTGCCCCCTCCGGCGATGCAAACGAGGCTGAAAGTGACCGCTTTGCCAGACTCTCATACGGCCACCCTAGCTTCCCTACCGTGCGACCTGAAATGCCCCGTCAAATCAAACATGAATCTCCGCCTGTGGAAGCTAGCTCGTCAACCGCCACTGCGTCCCATCGGAAGGCCACTTCGTTGAAAGAAAGCAAGAAGGAAAAGAGAGAGAAGAAAGCAAAGAAGGATGATAAAAAGGACAAGAAGTCGAAGAAGGAGAGGAAAAAGAGCAAGCTGAAGGAGCAACCGGCTGAAGGTAAGTTTACACAGCTATCTATCATGCTTCAGTAGACTATGGGCTGACACGTACGAAAGTTCAACCAGTTCAGTCAAAGATGGGAGATTCCTCGGATGACGAGATCCTGGTTCTTGAACCTACAAAGCAAGCGCGGCGTGCCTCCAATGTCGAATTCACCATCACGAAGCCCTTCAAATCTCCTCAATCATCACCACTACCCTCTGGCTCGCCTACAAACGTCATAAATATCGATTCCTCCGAAGAAGACGAAGGAGACATTGTCCAACCACGTCGCAGACTGAAGCGCAAGGCCGAACGGTCTTCAGTCATATTGAGCGACTCTGATGATTCTGAGCCCGTGGTCTCTTCTCCCGTCAAGAGGAGACGCCGGATCTCGCCTACGGAAACACCCCAAACACCTCACTCTAGTGTGGGTAAGGACCAACAAGAACTGGAAGATGATGTGAGGGATCTTCAGGACTCCGGTACCGTCACCATCTACGCTTGCTATGCATACATAGGCTTGATCACTAACATGCTACAGTTGTCAAGAACACTCGTACTCGCGGCGGGGTATATGAGTCTGCAAGAGATAAAAAGCTGAAGCTTCTGGAAACTCTTCGTCGCCGACGTGCCGGACAGAAAGAAGAAAGCGAGGAGGAGTCGGAAGAAGAATCAGACGAGGAGTCCGAAGCCGAACTTCCGCGATCCAGCCCAACACAGCATTTCTTCAACAGGCGACGAATTGACAACGACGATAGCGAGGTTGAATCGGCGATCGACGCTAACGAAGATCTGGACCGCTACGAAGATGACTTCGTCTTGGAGGACAATGAGCTCGGTGTCCCCACGGAAGAGATTCCCTTCGAGTTCACTCGACATGCATATAAGCAACCGAAGGAGTACTTCCGTGATGTTATCTCGTGGATGGTCCACAATCGTATTGACCCAGCATTCCCCCGCGACGATGCCATGTACCAAATGGCGTTCCAAAAGCTGGGGGACGAGGTTAAGGCTCGTGCCGGCTCTTCACTTATCTCTTCCGTCTGGACAGCCAAGTTCCGTCAAGTACTTCTAGCGAGACCGCATCTCGAGATCACGGGGTTTCCCACCTCGTTTATGCACTCGTGCGACGCTTGTAATCGAGCCGGTCACCCTGCATCATCTGACCTGAAGTTTTACGGCAAGGCATATTCCGAGGAGACCTTAGAACCTCTGACCGACGATACCAGCGATGACGAATCTTCCGATACATCTGACTCTAGCGATAGCAGCAAGGATGACAGCGACGATGAGTCGGACGTGGAGCGCGACCGCGACGGGAATGTTCTACCTGATGAAAACACCCGCTTTTATCTGGGAAAGTAAGTTGAAGCTGTATCTACATTCCTGAGCCCTTGTCATTCTAACGTGTCAACAGAACCTGCAGGGCCAATGCCTACATGGCACATGTCCTTACGCACTGGCGATACCAGCTCAACGAGTGGGTTGTTGATTACCTCCGTCGCATGGGACACATGGAAGACGCCGAGGTTCTCCGACGCGAGAATCTGAGCCAGAAGCGCAAGACGCGGAATGCGATCGATGCCTGTAAAAAGATGGAGGCAGATGGTGAGATCGAGAAGCTCTATCGTGACTTCCATATACATCTCAAGACTGCTCGTGAGAAGACAGTAAGTACTTTTCTGACCATTTGGTTGGTTGATTTTGTCGGTATCGTGCTAACATACCTCGTTCTTCTAGTCTACTATGGAGGTCTTGCAGAATATGTGAGAAGCTTTCAATATTCATGAGGATTATAGCTATCCTCGGTTGATGAAGCCTTAGTCTTAGCGTTGCATGATGATACCCAAGCTTTTATATCTTACCATTCACTTGTCTTTGAACGTCATAGCGATACCTTGTATGATTTTGACCCGTCTAGCCATCATTCGGCTTGGATTGATTTGGCTTCGAGACTATGTAGGCAACCACGCCCTTGATTAGATTACTCCAAAGCAGGAAACTCGGTTCGATCAAGCTACCAAATTGCATCACCTAGGCACACAAATCACGAAGAGAAGAAAGGGGAAATAACAAAGCGTATATAGAGGACATGGAGAGAGGAAAAGGAAGATGATTGTGATTGTACAAATACATGCATGCATAAGCTGCCGGAGCCAAAATTTCTGGTGGGAAAGACATATCAAGAAGCGAGGAAAAGAAAAATAGAAGAATCGGTCGACAACCGAATGACTTTATAAGCAACAGTCCTGAAGCCGATCCTTTCAAACCGATATGGTTGAAAGACCTCGGCGCAGGGTGAAGGGATTGAGGAAACCCTGGGCCAAAGCCTGGATTCCATCCACCATCTCGTTGATTTCATGTCGATCTTCTATCAATTATACGATCGATCATCAAGTCATTCGGTAGCGTTGCCCGTTCATCCCGTTTCTCATGGTGGAATTATTTTACAGAGTGGCCTGAACACCCTGCTTCTCGGGCTCGGCGCCGGGCGTGAGCATCTGGTGAAGGGATACACGGTCAGCAAATTGTCATAGCCCGAAGCTTCACAACTGGAATGGCAGAGCAGTGCCTGGTCGAGTAGAAAAACTGCAATAAGAGTTTTCCACACCGTCCCGAGGCAAGACGGGGATGGACGGCGATCAACGTAATCCCAAGTTCAGACACGCGCCACAATCCATAACTCAAGCAGATATACTAGTCCAAGGGATCTTAAAATCTTACCTCGTTGGCACCCTTAATCATGCCCTGCTCCCGCTCCATCTGGATGTACTGCTCCTCCTCGGCGTAGGCCAACGCCCATGGGACACCGATCAGGAAAGCACTGGTGCTGATGATCCAAAGGGCCTTGCCGCTGAAGGACAGGCTGGACTTGGTGAGGGATGTGACGGTGGAGACGGTGTTGCTAACGGTGCGGCGCGCGCCGGGGGGATGATGTCTTTCAAGGCAGAGATACGCTCGTAGAGGGACTCCTCCTCGAGCTCGAAGTCCTCCTCCTCATCGTTGGAGATCTCGGAGTCTGTGTTGATGAAAGAAAAAAGTCAGACTTTGCTTCGATAGATTGAGCATGATCATGTCTAGGTGTGATGATTCTGATGATGTCTTTGCGGAGACGTGGTTCTGGGCCGGTCGGGTTTAGGGGGGTGTATTTTGGGGAATGTCGACTCGAATTGGTTTTTTCTTTCCAAATAGCATTCGATACCAGAATCCCGGTGCGATATAATATGCGCCATTCGAAAGGGCTGGAAGGGCTGAACAAGTAGGAGTTTGTCAAACACTTACCGGTGTCGGTGTAATCCTCCTCGTCATCGGAAACCAGCAGGGCATCGTTCTTGCTGGGGATGGGCTTGTCGGTGAAGTGCTCATCCTCGACCTCAGTAAGCTTGACCATTTTGGCGGTTGTGAATTGGGTGGAAGTGGGAGATTTAAAAGATGATAGTTAGCCTGGATGGAGATGAATGATGGAAGAACGGAGCGCAAGTTGCACTCCGACTTTTTTGCCGGCCGCCGGGCAAAAGCGGCGAGGAAGCTTGGACCCGCCGGAACGCGACATCATCGGAGGGAACTACAATAACAGCCACAGGTATATACTTGGGAATTATCTTACAAGTTGGCAAGAGAGGAGTTTGGTGAAATATTTTACAGAGTTGTGTTTGATAGTACTTTCTATTATACAACAGATCCACCCGATACATATGCGTCAAGCTCTTTCAAGATTTGTCTGGCCATGCGACACTTTACCTGTAGTAGAAGCCCCGATTGTCCAGTCTATCCTTTGGACACTATAATCCATTTATCGCCGACCGAGCTTCCAACGAGAAATACGCTCTTGGATCTCCTCCCACGGGAATGACCGGAGCTTGTAGCCCTCCAGCTCGCCCTCCTGGAGCACAACCGTGGGCTTGCCGGTGCCCTGGCCATTGTTCTGGACATTGCCACCAAAGACCTGGCGAGCCACACGGCGCAGATCCTCGACAGTCAGGGCCTCAATCTGGTCGCACATCTCACGAACGCCGACCTTACGACCGTGGACTTGCACCTGACGGCCGAGATCCTCAAGTTCCACCATGCGGGACTCGAGGTTCATGAGCAACGATGACCGGAGCTGGTTCTTCGCCCGGTTGACCTCCTGGGTCTGCAGGGCAGTGTAGCCGGTGTCCAGAGTCAGAGACTGCAGCTCGCGGCACATCACCTCAAGCATATCGGCGGTCCGGGTGGGACTGCACGACGCGGATATACCGAAGATACCGCTGTCGGTGTAGCTGTGGTTGAAGGCCACGCAGCTCTCCACCCAACCGTGCTGGTTCAGAACGTTGGTATAGAGGCGCGAGTACATACCCTTGCCGGGACCGCCAGCGGAGAAGGAACCACCGCCACCAAGCAACGTCTGGAGGGTAGCGAGGGCGTAGATATCGGGAGAGGAGATGGGGAGTGCCTCGAAGGCAAGGTGGATGTGGCTCAGTCGTGGCAACATGGGGTTGGCTGGGGGTGGGATAGGAGGGAGGGCGATGAATCCACCGGTATAGTGAGCGGGTCTGCGGAGATCCAGAGCCGATGGCTCGATCAAAGACGGGTGTAGGGGCTCGACGGTGGCCTTCTTGTTTGCGGAGGAGAGGTTCTTGAGGAATGGAAGCTTCGACAGGAGGGAGGACTGAGTTTGCTGCGAAGCGGCCGGGCTGGTCGTGGTCGATGAGGGGGTGAATTGAGGAACGGTAGGCACCTGGCCCTCGCTAGCGACAGAGGGGGAGTTTGATAATGTGGTGTCGATTCCAGTTCCTGATAGCACGGGGCCCTTGCCCGTCCCTCTCGCCTTCATATCTCCAAAGTACTGCTCGGTGAGCTTGACGGCCTCCGCATGAGACACGCCGGCAAAAGCGACGACCATGCGGTCCGGGTTGAAGAACACCTCACGATATCGCTCGACAACCGCCTTGTTAATCTCACCCAGCCTCTCACTTGGGCAAAGCAACGGGTTACCGAGAGTGTTATCCTTGAAGGCAGTCATGTGGACCAGCTCCGGCAGGATCAACTCCGGCTTTGCCCAAATCTCGCCAATTTCATACTCTGCCGTGGCAAGTTGTTGAAGCACCTCATCCTCAGTGATTAGAGGATCCCGAATCGTCTCCGCCAGCAGACCGAGGGTTGTGGGGACTGCCGAGTTGAAACTGGCAGACTGGTACATCAGCGACTCGCGAGACGATGCGCATTGAATGTTACCGCCTAGCGACTCGAGAACCTCCAGCATTTCATCTGCCGTGCGCGTTTTGGTCGACTTGAAAGCAAGTCTGTCCATGATGTGGCTGACACCGCGAAGGCTGGCATCTTCATAACGAGATCCGGCGTCGACGTAAACTCCGACACCTGCGAAGGGACCGGGTAATGATTCTGTGGCAACTCGAATTCCATTAGGGAGTGTGGTGATCTGATCAAGGTCGACGGGGTCCTATTGTTCGCAAACGCAACTTGTTAGATGCGAGGGGAAGAAGACATTTCTAGGTTGTTCAGAAACCAAATACCTTGGCCGAGTCATTCAGAGTAGCGAAGCTTCTCGACACGGAGCGAGGAGCTCTTGAGAGAGGCTTCGCGGACTCGATGGCCCGCAATGCAGAGCGGCGCATGTTGCGTGTTGTCTTGAATGCGCGTAAGAGGCCTGGCGAATTCTTAAAAGGCGTCCTGCACGCTTTCCTTGAAGATCTGGGGGTTGCGGAAATGCGGCGCCGGCGAAGAATCGATTCCGGAGGACTGCGCCGGATGTGATTATCTAATCAGATTCACGATCGGGCAACCTTACCCCAGTGAGCAGAATTACCCTGAAATATTTACTAAACTAGATCGATCTGTCTGGAAAAAAAAATTTTGGTTACAAAGATTAATGCTTCCGGTTGCAATTATCAAGCACAGAATCACGGTCTAGTCTTTAGAGAAGCAGCACAGTGACCAATTAAGAATTGCTGACCAAATTTCGACAATCTAGAACTATGATGACATATATTCCAACACCCGAGCACTGTGACCTAGTAGTAGCTGTTCGGTAAATGAAGGATGTTGTTCATTGCACATTATTACTAGAATTTTTCTATCTAAACCAAGAAAATAAAACATAATTATGGGTTCTCTACAGCCCAGTTGCGATACCAATCAAGACAAGAAGCATTGGCCACACTGGCGCCAATCTTGATGTTGAGGCCACACAAAATCTGCTTGACAGCATTCTCAACCTTCTTGCCGTTGGAAGTGACAGGAATCTCGGGACACGCATCGATCACACCAGGAACATGGCGAGCACTCAGTTCCTTGCGAATAATGGCCTGGATCCGGGCAGAAAGCCCGGGTTGGATATCGGAGGGGCATGTTGGCGCAAGCTTGACGAAGAGGACAACCGTCTCATCACTGTCAATTCCATCCCGTCTGCGTCCAACGCACAAAGAATCTTCGATCTCATCAGCAAAATGCTTGAGTAGGACATTGTAGATCTCTGCACTGCCGAAGCGGACGCCTGATGGCTTGAGCACACCGTCACTGCGGCCAAGCATGACAACACCACCAGTCTGGGGATTCAACCGAACGAAGTCTCCGTGGTGCCAGATGGAAGGTCCAAACACGTCGAAGTAGCTCTTTCGGTACTTCTCCAAGCCGGTAGGGCCGGGAGGCCAGAACATGACTGGCTGTGCTGGGAAAGGCGTGGTGCAGACAAGATCGCCGGGTTCGCCAGAGGCGCTGATGTCGTTTCCGGCATAGTCGAAGACTGACACAGCCATGCCAAGAGATCGGCATTGAATTTCACCCTTGTAGACGGGCAGGATGGGACATCCCGAGGCAAACAGGGACAGAATGTCTGTACCACCTGTGATAGAGCCCAACATAATATCTTGATGGATCGAAGAGTAGATATACTCAAAGGTCGAAGGGGCCAGGGGTGATCCGGTGCTGAAAATGGCCCTCAAGGTCTTCAGAGTCACAGGTCGGTGGGCATGCTTGCGAGGGTTGAGAGCCGCCTGCTCCAGCATTGACAGGTACTTGGCCGAGGTACCGAAGTGGGTGATCTGAAGCTCATCGATGAGCCGGGGCATGGCCATCTCGCCATTACCACCTTCGACATCGAATGGCCGGAATGGCGAGCCGTCATAAAGAACGATGGTAGCACCGCTGGCCAAACCAGACACAAGCCAGTGCCACATCATCCAAGTGGTCGTAGTGAAGTAGAAAAGTCGATCGCCAGGGCGAATGTCGCAGTGAAGGAGATGCTCCTTCTTATGTTGAAGCAGTGTTCCCAATGACCCATGAACAATGGGTTTGGGTGCACCTGTGGTTCCCGAGGAATAGAGAATGTAGACAGGGTGCTCGGGCTTCAAGCTTGCAAACTCGAGAGGAGCATTCTGGTCACGGACAGTGAGCTGGAACTCCTCCAATGTCAAGACCTTTCCATTTGCTGGACGGACACACTCGAGGTCAAAATCAACGGTCTTGGCAGTCTCGAACACCACCAGAAGTTCTAGATCGGGCAACTCAGAAACAATCTCGCGGACCTTGGCGTATGACCCATGCACCTTGCCATTGTAAAGCGAGGCATTATCCGCAAAAAGAATTTTAGGCTCAATCTGTTTCAGGCGCTCAAGCACAGCATGAACGCCCGTATCGGGAGACACACCTGTCCAGAAAGCGCCGATTGATGCCGAGGCCAGCATTGCGACGACAGTGTTCGCATGATTGCCGACAAAGCCTGCCACACGGTCACCCGTCTGCAGACCCGCCTCTTTCAAAGCATTGGCGCATTGACGAACACGCTCACGAAGCTCTTTCCACGAGATAAACTCGCGATCTGCCTCCGTGGCGCCAATGATGGCGACGGAGTCCTCATCCGGAGCATTGACCGGGTAAAGGAGATTCTCGGCGAAATTGAGAGTGCTTCCCTCGAAGAATGCAGGCCGAGGGAACATCACCTCCTTGGACTCGAGAACCTTGAGATGAGTTTAGAATTTATTTTGGATCTCCAATTGAGTAGATGGTACATTAATACTCACCTTCTTGTATGGATCGTGGGCCTTAATGTGTGTATAGTGCCAGATTTCCTTCCAGAACTGGGCGGGTTCTGAGACACTCCATGTCCAGAGAGCATTGTAGTCATTGAGAGAGAGACCGTGCTTCTTGTTCACCTTGGTCATGAAATCATAAATTTGGGTCTTTTCAGGGGATGAAGGGCGCCAGAGCTCCTTCGCCTCGGGCGTCATAGCTTCATCAATGTGCGGCATTGTGATGGGTGAGTAGAGGTATATCAATATCACACACCGGAAAGACTGGCCACAATAATGAAAGAATTGAGGAGAGAAGAAAGATAGACAATAAGGAGGGGGCCGTTAAGAAGAATATAGACGTAATCTTCTTCTGTGACACTTTCCCTTGTAGGAGTTCTCCGCCAGGGGTAGGAGCGATATGCTTTAGGTAGGAGGGCCACCCGATTGATATGCCGAGAAAACTCTTTCCCCAACGCTCTATATCAGGTACCTCTACGCCTTAGAAGGACAGTGCAGGGGTGGGACTCGACTTGACACAAAAAAGGTCAAGTCTCAGACTGCAATTGCCCCAACAAGGGATCGCGGGGCGGCTTCAATCGGCTATCCGTTTACCGCGGCTTTGCGGGTAGAAGAGAATGCAGGTTGTTGTTGTACTTTAAAAGAAAGTGATTGGAGATCGTAACTTTGTCGAGTCTCAGCGAAGATTTGCATGTCCTTAAGCAATCCTATTCGCCTTTTTCACCCTTTCTCGCCTGAAACAACCTTTGAATCGAGATCTTGACTGGAACACATGTAGATGTGGCGGGATTAACTGCGGAATTGCGGGAGAATTGATAGTGCCTCAGACAGGAGAGTGAAACCTCAGGCATTCAACCGTCATATGGTCTCGACTCTCGACCGTTTTCGTCCTCCCAACGGCGAGTCTCGACTGATTTGTCCGCGAAGAGTCAGGAACCGCGGCTCTTGAGGTTGCAGATTTTCTGCAGGGCCTCGGTGTCTAAAGGTCTTTTATCCTTGATCATACGTCTGGCAGGGGTTACCACGCATCACCAATATCATCGGTTGCTCCCTTGCCCGAACCCGGCCATAGCTTCGGCGAGCATTGATATTACTACCCTATGTTGTGCAGTAGTGATGATGAGGATGAACTACGGAGTACATGATAATGCATAGTCAGACACCCTTTCATACTCGTCCTCCCCGTTATTCTGCACTAGGGAATACGCACTGGGCACTGGGGGGGGGGGGGGGGGGGGGAGGCTACTAGCCCCTTTTTGCTGCCGCGCCAGCGAGTAGCACAGCCATATCGATCGTGATATTGAACGCCACGATGGGAACGATGCACGTCCTTCTCATCTGGGCGAGTTTATGGTAACTATCGAACAGTTCGCATTCCAATGGGATTTGGCCGAGATGTGGCCAAGATGTGTCAAATGTCAGGGGTAAAAAGTTAGTATGTCCAGTCGATCAGCAGTATGTAACACGGTAGGGTTGCTGGTGGATTCAGGGTGGTATACTGCACAAACCAAAGACAAGAATTGATCAGTCTAACCACCAGACAACAAGGCTTCGGGCCCTGGTCAACTTGGCCCTGATCCAACTCTCCAAAGTTGCAATAATAATCGGATCCCTTTTGAGTGGACCCTCGAGTACCCAAAGGACGAAAAAAGTCTGGCCTCTCGGTATGGTACTGGTAATATTACAGCCGCCGATTAGTAACAACCCACAACGTAGCCCAATTTACTGTGAGCCTCCCCCCGTAACATTGTATCAGCCACGTTTCCAATCAATACCAGGAGGTCCGCATCGACAGTGCATGATGATGGGGACACTCGAAGTCGTTATTTACGCTTTCTCCTTCTTTCCTCTTCCCCTTCTCCTTCACTTGTGCTTGACCTTCCAACGACGTGAATCTCTGGGCAACGAAGAGTGACGGAATTGCCTGTTCACTGTTGGGCCCTGCGCCCCCCTTTCTCTGTTATTCTCCTTCGCCCCCCCCCCATTCCACGTGCAAAAGCCACAATTTTTCACCCAAGCCCTGCCCGGAGGTCTTCGGATCCGCTCATCGCGACGTCAACTTCGAGGTACGTCCCAAGGAAATCTTATGCGCTTTGCTCCCCTGTTTCTCTTCCTCTTGCAATCCAATGTTGCGCTCCCAAATCTCAATCCTCGGTTAACCATCAATCGTTATTGTCAGCACTGATTGGTACCTCCTGTACTAACATCTCGTCTCCTGCGTCTCTCAGATTACGTCGCTGGTTGTCGTCACCCTCCAACTGAACGTTGAGGTTCCGCTTGGAAGTCTCACGGAAATAAAAACCTCATACTACTCCTGCTGTGGGTAGTCCCTGCCTTAATTCGTCGGATTGGAACGCGCGAAAGGGAACCTACGCCCCCCCCCCTCCGCCTCCCTTCAAGTCCGACGGTGAAAACCTGTCGATCATCCACCCCCGGAACTGCTTCGCTGCTTCCCTCTGCGATGCCTCGCCGGTTTAGCAACAACTCCTCCAACGACACCACTACCAACTCACCTTCCTCGGGAAAGGGCGGTATCGCTATCAAGGCGCCTTCGGTCAAGTCCAATCGCCTGGCCCAGCTCTTCTCCTCCTCGCCCAAATCCAAGGCCGATTCCCAACCAACACTGGCGGCGTCTCAGTCGACTGGTGGGAACAACCCTAACAACTCCCCTCCGCCGATTAGCTCGGCATCACTGTCCTTACCGACGATCTCTCTGTCGACTGCCACTGCGGACAACCCTGCTATGGACGAAATGCCGACCACACTCTTTCAGCCCCCGACTCCTGAGGAGGCCCGCCGGCAGGCCAAGGCCCATGCTCAATTCGGTGTCATCGGTCATCCCAGCCATCGGTACTCCAGTCGCCACCCTGGCGGTGTCTTCCCGGAGCCGGTGATGGATGAGCCTCCGTATTATTACTTGCTCACCACCTACATCAGCTATCTAATCCTAATTGCTTTTGGTCATGTCCGTGATTTCTTCGGCAAGCGCTTCCGCGAAGAGAATTACCGTCACTTGAAACCCCGCAACGGCTACGGTGCCCTGAACAGCGATTTCGACAATTTCTACGTGCGTCGTCTGAAACTGCGCATCAACGACTGTTTCGAGCGCCCCGTCACCGGCGTTCCTGGCCGCACCATCACTCTGATTGACCGGGGGACCAATGATCACAACCACCACTTCTACCTGACCGGCACCACCACCGACACTCTGAACCTGAGCTCCTACAACTACCTCGGATTCGCCCAGTCCGAGGGACCCTGTGCGGACATTGCGGAGGATACCGTTCGGAAGTACGGAATTGCCACTCCTAGCACTCGTGCTGAGGCTGGTACCCAAGATCTCCACGTCGAGGTCGAGGATCTGATTGCTCGTTTTGTTGGCAAGGAAGCATCAATGGTCTTCTCCATGGGTTTCGGTACCAACGCCACTGTTTTCCCCGCTCTGGTTGGCAAAGGTGATCTTCTGATCTCTGATGAATTGAACCATGCCTCCATCCGCTTCGGTGCTCGTCTCTCTGGTGCCTCGATTGCCATGTTCAAGCACAACGACATGAAGGATTTAGAATTGAAGCTTCGTGAGGCCATCTCTCAAGGCCAGCCCCGTACTCACCGCCCCTGGAAAAAGATCCTGGTGGTTGTTGAAGGTCTTTACTCTATGGAGGGATCCATGTGCAACCTTCCCGGTCTCGTTGCCCTGAAGCATCGCTACAAGTTCAACCTGTTCGTCGATGAGGCTCACTCTATTGGTGCTGTCGGCCCTGCGGGCCGTGGTGTTTGCGATTACTTCAGCATTGACACTGCCGAGGTTGATGTTCTGATGGGTACTCTGACCAAGTCATTCGGTGCCAACGGTGGATACATTGCCGCAGACAAGGTTATGATTGACAAGCTCCGGGCTACCAACCCCGGTATCTTCTATGGCGAGGCTCCCGCCCCCGCGGTCCTCATGCAGATCTCTTCCGCTCTCCGTATCATCAACGGTGAACTCGTTCCTGGTCAGGGCGAGGAGCGTCTGCAGCGATTGGCCTTCAACTCTCGATACCTCCGTCTCGGATTGAAGCGTCTCGGCTTTATAGTATACGGTCATGATGATTCACCAATCATCCCTGTCCTCCTGTTCAACCCAGCTAAGATGCCCGCCTTCTCACACGAGATGTTGCGGCGCAAGATCTCAGTCGTAGTTGTCGGCTATCCGGCTACTCCTCTGGTCTCTTCCCGTGCTCGTTTCTGTGTCTCGGCAGCTCACACCAAGGACGATCTCGACCGTGTCCTGACTGCCTGTGATGAGATTGGCAATGTCCTGCAATTGAAGTTCTCTACCGGTATTGCTGGTGGTGCGCTGCCCCCCGTCGAGGAGATGGCTCCCCCACCAGAGATGGAGAAGGAGTGGCACCGCAAGCGCAGTGCTACTCCCACTCCTCCCCGGTGGCGCATTGAGGACGTCATCCGTCGTGGAGTCCAGGACGTCAAGTCGCCATTGTATTAGTTGTTTGGCATCCGTCCTCTGCGTTATGTGATATTGCCCTGGAAATTGCATTGTTATTGGATTGAGCCTTTCGCCTGGAGCTTATTCCTCGACCCCGGTTGGTGCTGGTCACATCGTGTCGTGGTTTAATTATCCATTTTGCCCCTTTGCTTTCCTTTTCGCCTGGTTCTCATTGGGATGCCTCGGTATCTTTTTGCTTCGACGTTCTAGGACCCTTGTGTCCTAGTTCGGACGAAGCAAGGATTTGCTGTCTTGTCGATAGCCGAGGATTTCAAACAGAATGCGACTGTTGTTAGTGAAGGAAAGAAGAAAGAAACCCAAAATCCGGTCATGAATTATTCGAACAAAGCAACGAATGAATATGCCCCCGTTTTTCATATGATCCTGTTTTGGTCCTTTGGAGATGTCTATCCCCAATCCCATTTTTTATTGACCTCGCACGCAGATTCTCCTTTTCTAGTTCATCTCCCTTTTACCTTTTTCATTGTCACTTTTTTGTTGCCTAGAATATTGCCTAATATTGCTATTCCTGTTGCCCGTGGCTTCTGGTACAGGGTGGCTTTCACTTCTTGCCTTCCCTCCCCTTACATTCTTCATGGAGCTGGTCCTGTCTCATGTCCATTCTATTTACTCGATGGCAAGGACACGGGTCGTTCCAGCTCCCACTGTTTTCTTCATTCCTGGCTTTCAGACTGCGGTTGTCTGGAGAACTGCAGGATGGCAGTTGGCTTTCATACAATGGCGCTTGCACACATTACTTTTGGCCTCGCTCTTTGCTGGAAGAGGCCAGGCTGCATTATGGTGGGCTGTTGTCTACTACCTTTTTTGATATATTTTTTGTTTATAATTAGATGAGTGATTGAAATGTCCATATCCTGCGGGTTTAATTATTCTTCATTGGGAGAGAACTGTCTTATATAGTTGATGATGGTCGGAGGCTGATCGAAACGGGATTGGCGCAAGGTTGTGACAAGGTTAAGCTTTATCACGTCACCCCCGGACCAGCTGTCGCCTTATCAGACTGCGGCTCATTTACTATAGGCTGCGCCTATCGCAGGATATGTCCTTTATTGAAAATAGCCTACGTTGAGTCTACAAGGCAACACCGTTGTGAACAAGTGGAACCTCAAAAACTATCCTGAGCTCTCGAGCCGAGTGCCGATCGCATTGGGGGCCAATACACCCTCGGGGCGGAGTGACGGATGGACGATACAGCGAGGCTCGTTCAGTGGACCTCGCCTTGAACCCTTGTCGGTCGCATCGCCTGAATTAGGATAAGTCGATAAGTCGGCAATCAGATAGTACATAGAGTGGACCAGAATGCATGGGCCATGGAGACTGGGCATGGCTTTCTTATGTACTCCAAGGAATTGGGAATAGGCGATGCAAATCTACTTAAATACTGTTATGCTTCCTGGGCTTGATAGCACAAGTACTATGACACGGACATAAGCAACATCAAGATAAGCTTTAGCCACGTTCGGGGATGCCATGTTTAAGAAAAAACATCGCCAGGGCGAAAGACTTTTCATGTTGATCTTCGACATCAACTCTGCGCTTGTAAATTTCATGCTCTTCTCAGTAAAGAGCAGCACCGAGCTCGTGAAATAACGATAGACAATGCGATTGCTAAATCTTAAAAGGGAGCCAATGAAGAACCCTGCACAGCGGGGCGGAGCGCACTCGTTACTATGTTTGGCGATAGTTTGGCACAATGTTGAAGCTAACCGGCCCGAGGGCAAAGTGTTATCCACAACTGCTGTGCGATACCAAAATATCGATTAATTTGTTACACTGTACTTTGTTGTACGCAAGATCCCTGTCCGGCCCAAAGTTCCTTGATTTCCATCTTTGCCAAGGACGCTCGTCCAATGAAGTATTGATGTCCCACACGAAATCCTCCAGGGCAGCCCACTTGCCAATGTACTAATGTTTGAAAGCCAAGAGCTTTGTATTGGCCCCCATCACTCTTTACTCAGCACAGCCTAGGGGGCTTTGCGACCGACGAGACTGTCAATAATGCCTTGCCCAACCTTTCTTTGACTTCTTCAAGGCCGAAGGATCCGCTTTCAGTGCCGTCATTTCCAGTGCGATGCGGTAACGGTCAACGCTCACCAAACATGACCACGTCCACTGCTTCCGCATCAGCGGCTATCCCGTTGACGACGGTGTTTACACCTCCAGCCTCGTGTACGAGTGTGAATTGGGTTTCATCGGATTGCAAGAAAAGCACCTGCGATGGTGTCTACAACATTGTACAAACCACCGACACAGACTGTTACCCATCCGGATGGGCGAAGACGGCTACCTGGTTCTCACCAGGATTGTTTTGTCCGACCGGATATACCGTCAATAATACCAATGTGGTCACCAGTGGCTTGGGTTTAACGGAGACTCAGGCGAGATGCTGTCCCTCGTATGACTCTCCCGTCGAATACCCCCTGCAATATGAAAACATGAGGGTATCATGCTAACACGTTACTTCTATCTAGAGGATACGCCTTTGCAACCAAAGCCTTGGAAGTCTGGTGGACCCCCGAGCCATGCACCAAGATAAGCAGGACAACCACCGTCATCGATTATACCGTCCTCGGCGTAACCCCAACTACCACAACGGCAATCACATACACACATCCCATCATCCACGCATACCCCGTCGAACTAAGATGGCAATCCACAGACAGCGTGGACGCAGTCGTAAAGTCCTCCGCCACGGTCATGTTGACATCTAGCACCGGGACTTCCGCAACATCAACATCGACATCCAGCTCTTCATCCGGGCTCTCCACGGGAGCAAAAGCAGGTATCGGAGTTGGCATTGCCGCAGCAGCCATCATCGTAATCGTCCTTAGTCTCCTCTTCTGGTTCCGTCGAAGGAAAAACCAAAAGGCTGCTACACAGACGTCGGCCGATTACTCCCGTGATGAATCCATATTCCAGAAAGCTCCTCAACAGGAACCCGTGGAGCTAGATGCATACACCCCCGAACTTCATGGGAGCTTTTCACCGGCTTCGGAGCTTGCGAGTGATCAGACCGTTAGTGAACGGGGTTATAGTGATCGTGGACATAGTGAAGGGGCGCAGAGTGAGTATGGTCAGATTGAGAGTCAGATGCATCAAAGTCCGAGGAAGTGATTTGGACGTGTCGGCGAGTTGCATTCCTCGGTTTTGTTCGTGTATTCTCTACTACGGGTCGCGATGATTATACCCTCCTGTCATGGAATAGACGTATATAGTGTTTTGAGCATGGTAAATAGTGAATATAATGTATTACTATGTTGATATTTTGATTCGGTGGGGAAATACGATGTGATTATGCTGGAGTATCAGCAAAAGTAATCTGAGCATTTTGAGGGTTATCACCAACTTCCAGATCTTCCAGTCACTCTCCCCCTCATATGGCCTAGTTGGTCAGCCAGGTTTGCGCTAACTGGTTGGCCAAGGGTGTGCCCCTGTGAAGGAAAATTGAGGGGAAATATGTGGTACAGGTATCCGATGTCGAGCACAACTCCACGGATGACCGGGCACACCCTAAAGGGGGGAGAGGGGGCGGGTGGGATGCGAGCAGGTAAGTGAAAGTACCTTGCTCGCGGATATCTTCTTATTTTATTTTCTTTATAAAAATGATATCTAATACTCTCTTATGTCTTCAATTTTAAATTTTAGATAAGATATTTTAAGGTATTATCGTAGTGTAAAGGGCGATTATTTAGTGGGTGTGGTATAGTACCCGGCCGGGCCAACCTCAAAAGTATGTCCTTCGGCATCGCGACATGACGATGGAGCATTTTAGTGAAGTATATATGGAATGTGAAGGTCGGGGGTTCGATCCATGGCAGAGGCGAGTTCGTTTCTTCTCTAGGTGAAGTGACATTGGCGTGTGGCCAGTCAAGCAGTGGAGGATGAGATGCACGCGTTGACAGTCAACTGTATTATCTTCCTTGCGAAGGCACTGACGCCGTTTGTCTTCAGGATTGAAATATTAGAAGAATATTTTCAAGTATCATCATCGATTGTCATGTTTTATAATCATCAAGGGAATCTACTAGATAACCCCCATCACCCCGACCCAGCAGCAGCCATGTATTAAGAGACATGACGACACGGCTCAGAGCCTACTTAGGCATTGTACTCAAAACAGTAGATCCATAATGACCACACCCAAATCCTCCGCAAGACTTCCCCGACCTTATTGATTGGCAGCCTCGAAACATCTTCAGAAACGTATATTTACACAGAAACAGGAATCATAACACAAGCAGAGAGATATTGGGGTATCTTCTAGGTGACGTCCAGCCTTTTTCTCAACCGCCCATGAAACTATCGTATTCATCGTCGCTGTCCGGTTGCGTCTCAATGACTGTGACATACTGGATCGGGTGCCCTCTCTTTTCATCATCCGAGTCTTCTCCCGGTGGTGGGAAATTCGCCAACCCTCGCAAAGACCTCTCATCTAGCACCATGCACATCCGATAAGCAGTAGAACAACCCCTCTTTTCTTGCGCACGAGTCCAGCTCTTAAAGTGTGCTTGAATAGCATCGGCCGACGCGCCATTGAACTGTGATGGGTCATCCATGATCACAGGATCATGACGGGCCCAAACCTCATGGTAAGGCGTTGGATCCGTTTGCCTGGAGGTAGTGCTTTGTGAAGAGCTGCATTCCGAGTATAGACCGTGTTTGATATAGGAGTTGAGTAGATCCACCACGGCGGGGAATGTAGCATCTGATTCGGGGGTATACGTTGTGCGATAAATAACATATCCCCATGTTGATTTGCTTTGAACAGCCGTGTGAAGACGGCGGGTAGGCCATGGAAGCCAAGATAGACTCATCATGACAATGAGAATCGATCAACAGTCGAGACTTTGAGGGAAAATGACAAGACAAGACGGATGGAAGGAGGATTGAGAACTCCTGGTGTATTTAATTTCATGTACTGCGACTTCCGGCGTTCCGCTGTTCGCTCGTTTCACTGATAGACAAGCTGAGGGGTTTGTCGGGATCCACATCGACTTTTGTTGCCGCGCTTGGGCTACATGTAATTACTAGCGTGTTACTTTGGCCCCAAGTATGCTGGGCCGATGTCGATGATCATATTAATCCACCCCAATTACGTATGTGCACCGGACCATCTGCAGGGGGAAAACTGCCTTGTTTAAGGGGAAAGAGATCACCCTTGCTCAGCCTTGTATTAAGAATCTGAGAGGTACGAGATGTGGCTACATATCTATGAATATCCGAACCATTAAGCTTGAGTGGCTCATAAAATGCATCTTTCTAGTAATAATCTGTCTGTTTGTCCAATTAAATATTGACCTAAAAAAACCTGATATTACTGCCGAAGGTTTCTCTACTCTATAATGTTAGTATATTCTAAGAAAAAGTACATGCATTACTATTACGACCACTGGCACGACATCGAGGCTTAGTTGGCTACTTGGCAGGAAAGTAGCGTATCGGTGAGGCTGAAAAGCGGATCACTTGGGCGCTGCACCTACCTACTTGAGTTGGTGAACCTACATTACAAGGTTCCTGGGTCTCAAGGCGTGACAAACGTGCTCTAAACAATTACTTGTTATAGATATCCAAGGAAATCATAACAAGAACTTGTTATGTACGGAGCAGCAAGTAAATACACTTTTTAATGGACAAGTTGTGTATCTGTCTAACGCGATGGCGGTTCAAGACAGAGTGACTTCTTGACGAGAAATTTATAGAGAATGTAGGCACAAGAAAGTCTAGATGATGCCTTCGCTAATCCTTCAAGTCAGGAACTGTTTTCTAGGCCCTTTTAAGCTCACACCTCATGGCTCGTACATTGGAAACATTTGTCAACGGCTATTCTCTTGTTAAGGTGGAAAGTTACGGTTTATTACTTGGCTCTGTATCGATGATTGCTTAAAGCTAGTTGAACAATCACGGTCCTCCATTTAGCACTAGATATGGGTTGTATTATGGACACGATCCCAAGATGATTTATTCTCACGACATCCATGCAATCCCCAAGCCGTACATAAATTCTTCACAGAAGGTATTAGTGTACCGGTTCGCCAACGCACAGTGAAGACAGAAATAGTCTAACCCCAAAGAGTACCATCATACGACCTTCGGTCATGCCGTTAAGAGCAGGATGCTCGAGTGGTAATGCCTAAGTCGGGGAGTCCTCATTTCCGTAGTAGGGGTCATCGAGCTACCCCCTCTTAACCAGATAATGGAAAGAGTCCAGTAAATCATAGTCGTACCCTCGGCGAGTAAAAACCGGCCAATTTTAGGCCACCCGGAAACCTACGCTGTGGGGGAATATTCTAAACCCTCAGAAGATCGCCCCCACCAACGCCAAGTATTCTTAGCATCTTGGCCCGTAATCCAACAACAAAGGCTTCATTTGAGGCCCTTCTTGGGTTTCAAAAGGATCTTTATCTTGTCTCAGGGGTTAAAAAATTCACTAAAAACATCGATGGACCCTTAAAATCTAAGATCCTTCGATTCTGAAAACTTAACAGCGGCCCCAACTGGGGTCTCTTCGCTATAATAGATTATGGCACATTTAGATGCAATTCCTTTTGAAAAGAGATTCTGACTGTAAAATAGCTCATGGGAATTATTTGCATCCTAGACTATAACGCAAGAGCATGGAATTACCTATCCGGCAGGGGAGATGTGCTTTCAACAAGTTTTCGTAGGCTAGAGCAGTCTCTTAGGTGCCCGGCTCCTAAACAGGGCATCCAGCACAGCCTACAGGATGAGGCCAAGTGGACTAAAGCTTCCTTTGAGGCGCTTCGGCCTTACAATAGGTGTGGACCCTTATTTTCTATTTTAGTTCCCCCCCCCAGCGCTGGGGTTAGTGAGTTTCATAATGCAGAGCCTCTTGGAAAGAAACATATAATAGACGCAAAATAGCTCTATCTCGAGTCTTTTTGCAGGCTCGAGTCTATCTAAAACACTAATCATGGTTACTTCTCACGCGGGATTCCCCCGATCGCTGGTTTCGCTTCTGGCTTCTATTTCTTTGTTGGCTGGAAGTGTCAACGGTTACCCGTTTATTGCCTCTTCAAGGTACGATACCCCAACTCGACCATGTTCATCCAGCTAACTTGGAGCTAGTGACCTGTTGGAAAGAGACCACAAGCCATTCGAACTGAAGTTATGGCCAGTGGGCGCCTCTATCACCTGGGGCCAGCACTCTCAGTCTCGTAATGGTTATCGCAAGCCTCTTCGCGATGAACTTGTATCCGATGGCTGGGATGTGGATATGGTGGGCTCCCAGCACCATGGAAACATGACTGATGATGTACGTTCATCCTTCTATATCGGATCTTATGTGTTTTATGAAAGACTGACACGCTCCAAATCCCTACAGAATGTCGAGGGCTACCCCGGGGCTACCATCGCTACGGTCCAAACAAAAGCCATGAATGCACTCCCAACTCTCCCAAACAAGCCCAACCTAGTCCTCATCAACGCCGGAACCAATGACTGCAGAAAAGACCTCAACATTACCGGCGCTGGCGATCGCATGGAGAAAATGATTGACGCCATCTTGAAAGAAAAGGACATGGAAACGGCAACGATCATCTTATCAACCCTCATCCCATCAGACCAGAAAGAAGTCAAAGCCCACCGAGACGCCGTCAACGAACAGTATCGCAAGCTAGTGACTGCAATGAGCAAGAAAGGTACCTCAATTCGCTTGGCAGAAATGGAAAATGCGCTCTCGTGGCCGCAGGATTACACTGTCGATGGCAAAGCGGATGATACTCATCCTAGCGATGCTGGATATGCGAAGATGGCTAAGGTCTGGTTTGAGGCTATCAAGGATGCGTATCGTGATGGTATTATTAAAGCGACTGGAACAGTGACATCTCCTAATACCGTGACAGAGGTTATTAGCGTGGAGTCGGCTGTTGGGGTTGGGCCTGGTGTTGAGGTTGAGATGGAGGTAGTGACGGAGACTATTACTGTTTCCTAGGTGCGAGGAAAAAGGGTCCATGTTCATATTTTTGTTTGTATTGATTATTTAAGATGAATAGATCGCAGTACTTCAGTCTCGTTTTATCCTACCTGGATTCACAGGTACTTAGTAACTATAGCTACAACAGTGGAAGATCTAAAGAAGCTTCATCAGAAGGCTTTCAGGAACACAAATCAACATCTGGATTGCTAGGAATGTATAATGCTAAGGGTAGGCAGAACTAAGATCCTGATCGGAGACCCAACACCAATGACTAGTGGTACAACAGCCCATGTATCTATTCATCTCTCCCTAAGCCCAAAACCAACAAGAAAAACGCCAGGAGCGAACATGACTCGAGGAAACCCGAGATGCATAATCATAATATGGGTCAGGCCCAAATAGCCGAGCACAACACGATGCAGCAGTAACAAAAGAGAATAGAATAAAGACCAGAAATGATAATAGGAAAGCAACACGCGATGCAATAGTAGGTGCGATCAAATCGCGAGGTCATCAAAATCGTAATGTATCATAATCCGCCTCGTTCCAATCGAGGACGGACCAAAAAAAGAATACGCAAAAGAATTACGCATCACGCATCCTCAGACAGTCCCGTAACGTCCACGGTCCGAGCCCAGAAGAGCCTGCCCCTCTTGTGCAGCTGATTCGCGCTCACACTCACTGCGTGTAGGAGACGCCGAAGGAATCCAGCCGCGCATCCAGCCGCGCACACGCCTCCATCGTCCGCGGCCACGCTTGGGATCTTCATCGTCGGCACCAATGACACTCTCGTCGTCAACATCCTGAGGACCGTACATGAGGAACTGCACGCCCATGAAACCGTCTAATCCAAGTACACCAAATGCGCCAAGGAAGAATGGAATCGCGCGCCCGATCCACTCCCAACGGTCGTTGCCGTGTCCATCCGCCCAGCCACCGCCACCATAGGGAGGGAAGTCAGCCCAGGCGTTGGGGTTGGTCAAAAGAGAGGAAGAGTAGAAGAGGTTTCCGCTGAAAGCAGCCATGAATAGCAATGGAGAGAGACCCTCGGTGCTCTTGCGACGATAGTTCTTATAGAGCTGTGGGGGTCGCGAGCCTAGGTAAAGGATCGTCGACATCCAAGAAAAGACGCGACCCACGATCTCGAGCACAGCCTCGCTAGGAGCGTGAGAAATAGGAGGGTGAGGCGATGGTGATGGCGTAGGGTGGGTAGGGCTGGCGTTGGCAAGCACGGCACAGAGCAGCGAGGCGATAAGCATTGTTCGGGGCAGCGCGAACGGCGGGCTAGCCGAGGTGCTGGCCACACGCACCGAGCGGCGGGAGGAGATGAATTTCTCAGTATGGTAAGGGGGCGTGCGACCAAGGTTCGAATTTAGTGTTGAACCGGTCTGAACACCCATATCCTGAACCTCCGACTTCTTGTGCGTCATATCGACCGGTGCCGGCGGCAGGTGGGTCACATCGTCGCCGGACAAAGCCACGCCTTGCAGAACGTCGCCTCGCGAATGGTGGTCATGCGAATATGGCACCTCGTTGTACCCCGCATACCGGCGCGATTTATAATGGGTGTACCAGAAGAACTGGATCACCAGTGTGACATCAACCAAGACATAGTAGCTCGCGACCACGACCTGCCACCCTGCTTGGCGAGTGAAGAGTGCCCCGAGGAGGTTGCTCGCGTCTCCGGCACACCATATAACCAAGAAAAATATCGATAGACCCGAAGTCGACTGTAGTTGGTAGTTCTTATAGATCTGGGGGAGTTGGGCGAACAGCCACGAGATGATACTGAGTGTTCCGAGCACGGACGAGATCAGCGCGAGTGGGGTGGGGAGGCAGATGTGGAGGTGAGTTGAGATAGCGGTCAGGAAGGGCGACGAAGGCTCGCAGTGATCTGGTAGCGACCCCGATATAAGCGACTGGAATAGAGTCACCGTCATGATCCGGCGAGTTTGTTCAGACGAGGACGCGGTTGAGGGCCGCGACCTGCGTTATCGGCGAAGATGGATCTGGGGAAGTGAGGCAGGCGATCCGGGGCCGCGGGGAACGTGTTCGGGGTCGAGTTGAGACGGAAGAGAGAGCAAATGAAGAGAGAAAGAGGGTCTAAGAGGAGAGTCTAGAGAGAGTCTAAGAGGAGACGCTGAGAGAGGAGAAGCTGAGAGAGGAAAAAGCAATAAGCCAAGAGGAGAGCGCGAAGACAAGTCACCCCTCGCGCATCACGAGAGCTGAACAGACGATCCTTCGCCCGATCGGGGGCTTATCGGCAGATAAGCCCCGTGACTCACCAGATAAGCGACGGTGAGCCTATTACGATTAAGATTATTAAGTTGCTGGATCGGCCTTCCGATTTAGTCCGGAAGACTCTCCGATTCCTTACGTCTTTTAATCACATACTCCATCAATCTTTGATATCACCATTACTCAAGATCCATGCCCAAGATATCAATGGAAAAAAATCAGATCAATATTAGTTTAATACTAATTACAAGACGAATAACAGCGTGAAACCCCCATTTTGAGTGGTTGAGAAACAAAGCCACCGAACCCTGCCATATATAGAAACTGGACCACGTGACGACGCCATTCCTTTCAATACAACTTTACAACATCACTGCAATGGCCAGGATGGCAGCTGCACCCATGAAGCCAGTGGCAAGCACACCGGTTGAGGCAGCGTTGCCGTGAGCAGCACTGCCAGATCCAGAGTTGCCCGATGAACCAGAGGACCCTCCGGTCGCGGCGGCAGTACTGCCGGTCATATAGTGGCTGGTGATCCATGCCTTGACGCTGCTAGGGAGATCCTGGTACCAGGAAGGATAGTGGCCGTGTTGGATCTCGCTGATGATCGAGGAGGCGGCCGTTGGGTTCGCTAACTGTGACAGGTAGGACGGTGGAATGGCGGTAGCGAGGACAGACTCGATGGAGGGAGGAGGCATATCATATCCAAGGCCGGACGGAATGCTGACACTGGGAGCAGCGGTCACCGCAGGGTAGTTGTTGGATTCACTGTTAGATCCTCCATCAGAGCCGGAGCCGGTGGCAGAGGGCAAGTAGGCACTGTAGTCGGTAGGGAGGTCGCTGTAGGCCGTGAGGTAGTCCATGTAGTCGGTATTAGTTGCCCTGGTAGAAGTGTTAGATGATGATATTCAAACTTATGTTTGATGAACGCATCTCTTTAGAGTTTGAACTTACAGGCTGTTGAGCTCGCTCATCAGGCTGTTATAGTAGTCATCACCACTGTCTGAGCCGCCATATTGCCTCTCCTCAACGGCAGCAGCAGCAGCCAGGGCTGACAGGAAAAGAACGTTCAGAGTCTTGGAATGCATAGTGAACCACGAAAGGCTGAAATGAATGTGGAAGAGGGTATAATGGAGGACGAAAGTTGGTAAATAATGGGTATATGAAAATGAGCGATGGCTGAGCGAAGGCCTCCGGCCACTACAGGACAGGGCCGTCTTTATAAACGAAGTCGGACGCACCAGAAACACCGATTGAGCCCCAGTGGACCCTGAATTTAGCGTAATGGATCCTCTGTGTTTTCAGCCTCTAGGACTCCAGCGTCACTCGTATTGCCTCATTTAAACTCCAATCGAGGCGATGCAATCAAAGCCTAGGGGACAGCATTTACTTCACGCCAATGCAAAGTTCTCAGCCCAAGCGAAATCTAGGGTCCTCATCTCATCGAACCACAGCGAGCCATGATCGACCGGGAGGGTCTAGCTGCGGATCTCTCCAAAAAGAATCAGCGAACCAAACTTTTGTCGTGACTTGATGCCTGAACTGGATAGGCGTGTTGGGTATGGTTTCGAGGAGGCTCGTATTTCTGGAGAAAATAGGGGTCTCGGATGGAGATGAATGCCCGTATCAAAGGGTCTTCAATGTTGATCGGACCCTGAATGTGGAATCGTCTAAGCTCAGATAAAGTTCGGAGGGTCCACTATGCCCCTGGAAGTCAACATCGTGCTAAGTCGCACAAACTGCACGATCTCTCTTGAGATATTGAAGAATCTTGGGTGAGCATCGATTGTGGAATATGAATTCCACGGACTCTGATTACTTGGTTCGTTTCAACGTGATACTTAAGTGTTCTTGAGCCTTGAATCAACGGGTTCAGATCAGCAAATGCGGGTCTTAGCGGGAGCATATACGAGGTGGGCGTGCTGCCCGTGGTTCAAAGGCTGAATACGAGGACGGCAAACTTTTCTTTTTGCATTTAGGCACGTTCAGCTGGTGAGGGCGTCTGGCTAATCCAGGGCCCCTGCAAGACCCTTGAGAAAAGAAGCCATGGCTGAGTGTTTGTTCCTAGGCGCGTTTCTAATCTTGACAGCGGACCTTTTATTAATAGTGGAATAACTCCTCGACAAAAGCCAGAGAGTGAGGAACTGGAAAGACTAGGAATTAATCACACGAAATGTCTGCGCTAGAAAACACCGTCTAGATTTCTTTGTCATTCCTAGTCCTGGCTAAAGCTCCTTGTCTTGCGACTTCTCTTCGTCTTCAAACGCCCCTTTCTCGGAATATCGATCAGGGCGGTAGCCAGAGTTCATAAAAATAGTCATGACATGTGTCTCCAGTACCCTAGGGAAACACTAGAATACGACAGCGGTTCATCTCACTTTTCTAGGCACTATAGCTGTAAATTCAACAGCTCCAGACCAGGGTCCTTCAAGCAAAGAAATTGACAGTGCCGAGAGAGGCGTTCCAAAGCCCGCTTCAATTCTCGGCTGCAAATTAACACGACCAACAGGGGAGATCTCTCAAATATAGTTCCCTTGGCATTTTTGGAGGTTATCTATGCACTGTAGTTTTCCGTTGCCGTTCTGGTCGATATTATACCGCCCAGTTGATGCTTTAAAAGTGATCCGTCCCCAGCGGCAGACAGGAAGTCCTCGGATTTCTTCACAAATTCTCAGAATGGTTATTCGCGTACTGATACTTTCGAACTATAAAATTGAAAGTGGTATGGTATAACCCCCACCTCTGTTGAGAAATAATCAACATAACTCATGAGATGAACTATAACAAGGCTTAGTCTCAATAGGACCGCTGTAAGCACAAAGAGCATCAAACCACCCATCATATATGCCATCCCCCAACGTATCAACGTATTATCAGACTGCCCATCTACTAAACAAAAGTCTCATCTAATAGTCATCCTCACCCCGATGTCGCGAGTGGCTTCGACTCCGACTATGTCGATGATGATGGTGATGGTGGTGATGCCCACTACCATGCTCATGGTGATGTCCATGTGAATGCCGACCACTATCCTTCAATTTGCCTTCCAGAAAGTTGCCCACGATAACACCTCCAATCGCACCCAACAGGCCATGGTCCTTCTTATGACCGAAATAATACCCCGCGGCTCCGCCGGCCAGAGAACTTCCAATTCCACGTTCACCCTCGGCGTCGGCGCCTTGGTTTAACGGACGATCTTCGTCACCGCGATAGTGTTGTTGGTCTGCATTCGATACATGCACAGAGGGTGGGCGGGGACTAGCAGATGGAGTGTATCGTGGTTGGTCGGCGGGATGGCCACTATGCATGTCAGTTGAGTGGACTTCATGCGCGTCTTACCACGAGCGCATGATTCTTACTAGTAGCCCAGATTCTCTGGAACTTTGCCTTCACCTGCGGGCGGCATTCCTGTAGTCATGGCTGGACCCATATAGTCTGGCTGCCCTACAGGCGTGTAACTTCTCTCCGGCGCGCCACCTTGATACGGCTCTGGGGCGAGGTGATAAGGACTCGGACTCGGGTTCTGCTGCGGAGCATATCCATAGTTTGGATCAGGTTGTTGTTCTGCACCACCGTATGGTTGCTGATATTGATAGCTGGGCTGTTGGTGAGCCTGAGGTTGCTCCTCTGGTGGATAGTAACCGACCCCGCCCGGAGTGGGCGTTGAGTATGAAGTGTATGGGTTGTAGGGATCGGCCATGATGGCGAAACTAGTCAGTGAGGAGCGACTCGATAGCGGAATTTTAGGAATCTGAATAAGACATTCGGTCGTGATCCTTCTTATACGAGAAGTGAAAGAAAGAGAAATCAGCAATGTCGGCGCATCGAGTAAACATCGAGTCTGCTGACGGGAGCGCGCTATACATCATGGTGCGGCTGACCTGCCCGCACGACCCTCTGCACGGCAAAAATCTTGGCTCTGGAATGTGCTGACGCCAATCACCACCGCAGAGGTGTGGAAGCAAACTATAATCGAGAGCACCTCCGCCCTAGAATGGCCGTGGTTATCATTTTCCTCTACGAGACTGATATCTTGGAAGCTTCAAAGTATTGAAATTGCGGCAAGTCATCTTTCCAAAATGACAGGACTATAAAAAAAAGACAGACGAGTAAATACGGATGAATCGGGGTATTCCGGCGAAACAAAGATCCAAACAAAAAGAGAAAACAAGGAAGGATAGGCAAAAGTATCCAGTGCAAGGCCGTGCTGGAGGTTGATCAAGTTGGGATGACGGGTCGCTTGTGCCTTGGCGAGTGGAGTGAAAGGACAAAGGGCAAGCGAAAGAATCAGATGCATCGAGTGAGCTGGCATGAGCGCAAGGAAGACCTTGAGATGATGAAAATTGAGATAAAGAATGGAAGAGGACCGGCCAGGTATGATGTGCGCAGCACACTGGAACCCCTGTCGTGTTTTGATAAATCTTCTAGAAGATAAGGGCAACAGTCCCGATGAACATATCGACAGATGCACTGGGACGAGCAAAATGTACACCAAGGCGACTAAGCACTCGGGCTCTGCATACTCCGCGTTGTGCTGGAGTGTCGCTTGCGCTGGGACATCCACTTGACAAGCATCTCGTCGAGTTGATTGTTCATCTCTTTAAGCCGTTTACTCTCTTCCTTGAAGAGACGGCCAGTCACGGGGTGGTCAGGGCCGGCCGGGGGAATGTTGGATTTGTCGTGGACAATAATGAAAAGGTCGCGAATGTCGTTTTCTTCGTCGAGATATGATCGTAGGCTGGCATCACTCCAGGTCGGTGTGTCAACTGAAAGCGTGTCCAGTGATATATGGGTAGTCTCGTCGGACTTGAGGTCGTTGACGTCGACCTCAGGCGACGACGGTGGCGAGGCAGGGGAGAGAGATCGGGCCCTCAATACGGCTTCCTTGGTCAGCCCGGGCGCGGCGATTGGAATATGAGACTCTTCAACCGGAGAGAAGCTGCCCGGAGATTGCGATCCTGAGTCAGCGTGGCCAGTCACTATCTTCGGGGTGAATCTTTGCGGTGGGGAAGCCACGGAAGGCTGAGTCCGCTCATGTGATTCGTATGGTTCTCTCCACTGGGCCTCACTGGATGGGCGATCGACTGGAGAAGCCAACGTATCTTGAGACTCGACCGGAGCAGCAAATGACTCCTTCGAGGGACTTCGATGGCTCACAGGAGAAGCTACAGTTCCTCGGCTCTCATTGCGGCTGTCGGTTTCCCGAGATGTAACTCGTCGAATAGACTGGCCAGTCTGATTCCCGATCACGATCTCTCTTTCCTTGGTCGAGTCTTCTGTTACAGCATCGGCCTGTCCATCAGCCCGAGATGTGGGAGACAAGATGGATGGCGGTTGCTTTTGCAGCCTGTTGCTGGTCTGCCGCTGTGGCTTGACAGACCGCTGTTCTGGCGACAAAGACTCCAGGGATGTCTTGGGTTGAGGCGAAGCTCGGAAGGCAGATTCGGCTGGAGATCGCTCAACCTCCTCGAGATCATCGTCAATTGATTTGCTCTTCTTATCCTTTCGCTTGAATAAACCGCTGAGCATCCCGGGTTTCTTATCCTTGCGCTTCTTGTCGTCTTTACCCTTGTCGTGCGAGGCAGTGGATTTGTCGATCGATTCAAAGCTTCCACGTCCGGGCTGGAAAATAGTCAGTCAAATGATAATTCGAGCTCTGAATTTGCTTGCGCTACATACGTCTTTCCAGTCATTACCCAAGGTGGTGCTGCTGGATTCATCACGCAGCAGGTTAGGCGTGAGGGAAATTTTCTTCGGCTCGGCGGTGTCATCCTTGAAGAAAGAATCTGTGTTGCGTACAGTGCCGTTTCTGGATCTACTAACAGTAGGTTCTGTTGTTGAAATGTTGAAATTAGGTCGCAACGTTCGCGCAATGACGCCTGAGTGGGTTGTGCACTCTTACCTTCCGGATCAAAGAACTCCTCGCTCGACCGTCTTGGCTCATAGCTCGCTCGCTCTGGCTCTTGCTTTTCAGGCGACTGTGTACCCTCAACCCGTTCTGTGAGCTTTTCCCTCTGAGACTTGGTGCGGAGAGGCTCCACAACAATATCTTCATTTTGCTCTTGAGCTTCGCCATCCTCCGACTCGACGGTTTCATCATCATTGAAGAAATCGCCATGCTCATCTTCCTCGTCTGTCGAGTATTCAACGTCCGAAGCTTCAATGTAAGTCGGTGGGGCAAAGTTGACGGTTTTGGCGTTTCGTCGTCGCATAGCCTTCTTCAGAGGATTTTTGGACTTTTCAGAGTTATCCCCTAGCATGGTTGCGGAGAGATCCACGTTGCGGTGCTTGTTTAATCTAGCAAGACGCTCGGTGGGAGTTTCGATGTGTTCAGCAGGAAGATATCCGATACTTCCATCTTTGACAACTCGTACAAGCCACCAATAACTGTTGCTATCGTCTAAAAGCACCATGGTATCTCCCTTGGCGGCGTTTGCTTGTCCATCGACGGTTGCGATAAAATTGTGAAGCGCGTAGACGAATTCAAAATCAATATCCTCTGCACTTTTGTTAGTTTCGCCTAATTTCGGGAACTTGTCTTTGATCAACGCACCGTCATCGATAGAAGGAGAACTAGACAGCTTGTCCATCATGTCATCGTCAAGAAGATCGTCGCTTTCACCGTCCGCCAAGTCGCCATCTTCCTCATGATCATATTCTCCGTGTCGTCCTATATCCTCATCCGTCTCTTCCGGTTCACCGTACATATCGACGCCATCTCGGTACTCGTGATTGCCATTCAAGGTGGATCCACTGAGAATCTCTGCCTTCGAGTCTTGCTCGGCATGGCGAATGGAAAGTTCCTGATGGGGGGCAGGCCGGCCGCCCCCAAGGGGATTGGGATGTTCGGGTTGCTTGGTATGATCTTTGGCCGATGGAGTATCGTGGTCTTGAAGGTCCAAGGTATCTAAACCGTTACTGTGGTCAGCACAAGTACATCCTGCTTCGGAGGGACAGACGAGGTTTCGAATAAGAATGAAGGGGTTCCATGCAACATACCGGCTCGAATCATTTGAGGTCTCGTCATGGTGATGGTCGAAAGGAACGTGGGATTGGCGTGGAGTGGCCTGTAGACACCAAGGTGTCGACGGAAGGGGCGATTGTTGAACCAGCACTATCGGCCTTGAACAAACAAGGGACGAGCAACGTCAAACCCTCGGCTCTTGGCGGCAGGGTCTCCGAAACCCGAAGATTGAATCTCCAAGGAGACTCTAGAAGGTGAAGCAATGACCCCAAAAAGAACGACTGCGGCTGGATGAAAGGTGGGGGCTGGTGCTGCACTTTCAGTTGCAACACGGGGCAATGAAGGCACGGAGGCACAAGGAGAAAGAAACTACTGCCAGAGCGACATTGAAAGGAAGAATGAAAGGGTCAAATCGTGAAAGAGTCACGGTCGGGATCAATTCGTATCCCCAGACCTGGGCCAAAAGGAGGTTGCGTCCAAACAAGCGCCCCTTGCGCGCGGCTAATCATGTAACCAGGGGAGTTGGAGCCCCTGAAACCAAAGTGCCTAAAATGGGTAAGTAGGGTAAAGGGTTGGCCACGTTTCACGTGATGTACACCTACATTGTTATGAACGGATGTCTATGACCTCATCTAGAATTGTTTGTCATGTTTGCTTGATGACCTACATCACCACCTGATTCCAAGTCAGGTGACCGAACGCTATTCCCAATCTAGGCACCGCGCCTCCGTCATCACCCGAATTCTTCCGACTCTCCAATGCTCCAATGCTCCGTTGGAATTGGCCCTTGCTTGGCTCCAACCAATCTCTCTCCACTGATGATTATTTTCTGCCTCTGACCTCACATTATTGCTTCTTCTGTATTCCTTTGCACTTCCCCATTTCTTCAGACGCCCAACCTCCCAACCTATAAAACTTCTCTTACCTTCCCCATACACCTGTCCTACGTCTGTTCCTATCACCCACCTTACCAGCGATACTCAACTAGCGCCTCATCCCCGCTTCTCGAGACGCTTATCGCCCCACATCTCATCTACGCCCCCAAATCGTCAGATCAGAAAAAAGTCAACATTATATTTCGCACGGCAGAGGGTTCATAGAACCCGACTGCAAGCCTTTCGCAGGCTAGCAAGCAGAACGACGTCGTTCTCCGTATTTTCGCACTCGTCGGGGGCATGGCGCACCCGGAGAGAACTGGATTGGCAGGCTTGAGGATTGAGACTTCGTTCCGCCAGCAGCGATCAAGTTGGCCGGAACAGAATGAGGCGGGGAGGAGGAGATCGACGGCGGGTGGCGATGGTATCGAGAGCGACCGCACCAAGTTAAATCATGACTATAACGCGCATCGCCGCGATACTAATGAAGACCGCAGTGTGCTCAGTGAAATGCATTCAGTCACTCCTCCCATCTCAGTACCTCGCCCCGATGGACGTTCGCAGGACGACTCGTCTTATCCTGACAGGCCGGACGATGTCCAGGGCTCCCCGCTAGACAACTATCTACAAACGCGTCGTTCCTCAATCACCTTCAACCCGAAAGTGTCGCTTGAGTCAGGCTTGCAGCGCCCACTGGAAGAGCCTCTTGCCAAAGGCGATGCCAGAAATCGTCCCCCGCTGAAATTCGAGTCCCGGACCTCAGGCCTCCGAAATGCCCTCTCGCAAGACGATGACTCCGCCAACAGGAAATCTGGCCCGTGGGGGTATGACTCCAAACGACCCCATGAGGAGCGGGGTATCCCGACCGGAGCCTCCCGCCAACGACACGCGGGGAGCCCGGAGAGTGATTCCATGCCTGGTACAGAGATAGATCAGCCAACGTCTCTCACATCGCTTTCGACAGCATCTCCCATCGCAGACGAAGTACGTACGCCACCTAGCAGCGTCAAAGATGCCTTGCTATCACCACTTTATATCACTTCGCCAACGCAGTCATTTGCGTCTCCGGAAGATCGCAGCGCTTCATGGTCCGGGGGTATTATAACTCCCTTTGGTAGCAAGACTCGCAGGTCCACCTTGGATCGTAGCAGTAGTCTGCGCAGCTCTGCCACCCGGCATGTTTCCCGACGGTCTACTATGTCTAGTGGAAAGTCGCCCGCCAGTGCGTTCCTATCCATGTGGTCTGGCAAGGACGAGCCGGCTGCGTCCCCGGACGACGAAGGTCAGATGGTGGGCACAGACTACGTGCTTGGAAAGCAGATTGGCTTCGGGGGCTTCAGTGTGGTCAAGGAAGCCTACAAGGTCGAAGAGCACGGTACTACCAAGCGACTTGCTGTCAAAATTGTCAAGAAGAATGTTACCGATCGCAGCGAGAGGGAGAACGAGGAAGTTCAGGCAGAGTTTGACCATGAGGTTCGGGTTTGGCGGTATCTCAATCATCCTCATGTCTTGACCCTGGACGCCGTTTATGAGACAGACTTTGCAACCTTCTGTTTCACTAAACTCGCCATCGGTGGTACACTGTTCGATCTGGTCCGCCAAAATCGCCAGGGCCTTGACATTACGCTTGCGAAGAAATATTCCTATCAACTTGGCTGTGCAATTCGCTACCTGCATGAAGATGCGCGAGTCGTTCACCGCGATATCAAGCTGGAAAATTGCCTTCTTGACCCCATCGAGACTCTTGATGGCACGACATCGTCGAACCTAGTACTTTGCGACTTTGGAATGGCAGAATGGATGACCACAGACGATGGTGGTGAATCGCCCGACCCTTACGACGAGGTTGCGGATCGGCCCCCGCCCAAGCACATGGGCCCTGCCAACTCCAGTACCAGTGTTGCGGGCAGCCTAGAATATGCTTCCCCAGAGTTACTGGAATCTTTGAACGGAGTTATCCATCCTTCGGTCGACATTTGGGCCTTCGGTGTGATTGTCTACACAGTGATTGTTGGATCGCGACCTTTCCAAGACTCCTTTGCCCCTCGCATCAAGTCGAACATTCTAAGTGGCACGTGGAACCGCGAAGCCATGCTCAGCGGGGTTGCTGACGAGTCCTTGCAAAAGGACCGACAGGATGCCCTCGACTTGGTCCTTGGCTGTCTTGAAATGGACGTTCACAAGCGATGGACCATCCGTGACATCTTGGCCAGCTCCTGGCTACGAGAAGTTGCTGAGAGTGAAGAAAGCTCGCCGGACTCGGTCTGGAAGCTTTAGATGGTCCATCTATCGAAGGCCTTCATCGTTCCACAACCATGCTCTCTACATTGTTTTGCAGTGGAGAAACAACATGCGAGGGATAAACCTCTTTTGCTCTTATTTGCTATTTGATCTGGCGCTTCTATTGCTCAAGCGCTGGCGTTATGTTTTGGAACTTTTGATCACCACGATACCCATTCGTTCCCATTCGTGAGATTGGCAACACAATGTTTCTTTTTTGCCTCATGGCATTGCTTTTCTTTCTTGTTTTATTTATCGGCTTTTCGGATTTACTTTGGATATTCCCCGGTTTCTAGCGCTTTTCTTTTTTTGGGGGATTGGAAGGTACTAGGCTCGGTATGACCGGATGGATAACGATACTCTACTCGCAATGGGCAAGCATGGCGTTTTCTTTTTCGGGGCATTCCGTTTTTTTTTCTACTCTTTGGTCTCTTCTCTATTGGGTTTCATGACTTGCTTCTCCACTATGGTACACTTTATATGAACGGATCTGGATATTTTGGCTCTCATCGTCCCCCCCCCCAATCTCGCCTATTTACTCTTACTTTACCTAAATTGGGTGGTTGTCTTTTTTTTCAGCCAGAGCAATAAATACTAAAACAACTCGAATCACTTCTCTCGCTATAAATCGAAATCTAATACAATTTTTGCATGGCCTAGTCATCGTAGCATAATCTAATATATCACACCGTGATCTGACAGCAAGGAGAACGATTTTTATGACCGAGGAATATTCAAGGCTAGATAGTATACATGTACATATAAAATGCTGCACCAAACAACAAATCCCAACATCCAGAACCTCTACCCCAAAAAATACAATCCTAATCCACACAGACCCTCTCAAAAACCACAACCCAATTACCAAAGTCTGTTCTCCGGCAGAACCTTCTCCTTCTTCGTACCAGCAGCCGACTTACGCTCCTCCGGCGAACGGAAGAACAAACTAGGACCCTCCATCGGCTTGAGCAGATGAGCCAGATAACCCCTGTGCGCGGGGTCACGGTAATACTCAACATCACGACGGCGCGTCGGATCCGGCAAACGATACTTCAATCCCAAGTTCTTCATAACAGTAGCCTCGGACACATCCTCGGGGGCACCGTCAGCCTTGAGCAACTCCTTGGACCCGCTCTCGGGCGACCAGGCCATCGAGATGAAAGGGTGCGACTCCATGCGGAGGATGTGGCGGATAGCGATGCGGGTGTAGAAGCGGGTTGTCAGCGAGCCGCCGGCGGCTTCGACGGCCTCGATTGCGGAGCTGGAGGCGCGGGAGACGACGAGGTGGATGGGTTGTTTGAGGGCTGTGGCGGAGCCGCCGAGGACTTTGACGCCGTCTTTGGATTGGTGGATGCATCGGGAGTGGGTGAGTTCGCGGATGGTGATGGGTCGGGTTGGGTCGATGCGGCCCTGGTCGATCCATTCTTGGATGCGTTCAAGGTTGACGGGGGCCATGTCGACGGCGAAGCTGGAGGGGGAGTGTTAGTTTGACTGGCGTTCTCTAATCTTCTCAAATGCATGACTTGAGGTGTAGCCAGGTATTGACGAGCCAATTGAGGCGTGACTCGAACGAGGGAGAAAAAAAGACGTACATGTTGTTCCATCCTCGCTCGCCGTGCACGACGATATCCTTCGTCTGACCACCATTGAAGCCTGCAGGGACCTTGCCGTGCTGCTTCTGACCCTTGTGACCACGTCCGGAAGTTTTACCCTTGCCGGAGGCAGGACCACGACCACGGCGGATGCGCTTGTTGTACGCTGTGGGATTATCGGAGAGCGAGGAGAGAATGGAGGAGTTGCGGGATTGCTGGAAAGTCGGGGTGAGGAAGGCCAGGGGCGAGGCTTGGGTGAATGGCCGCGCAATGAATTGCGATAGCTGCATGGGCAGCGCCATCAATCGAGGTGGCATTGTGACGGTTTGGCTGGTTGAATTCGCTGAAGTTGGTTTGTTGGTCGGGAAGAGGACGGAGATCTTTGATGAGGCGGAGAAACGTCGGGCCGGGCTAGGGACTGGACTCGAGGTAGGAGGACCTCGAATGCACCTCGAATGCACACTGCCTTTTCAAAAATTGACAGGGTCAATTGTAACGAGATGTTTCTATGAAGCTGATGTACTCGAATTTATTATTTTACTTTGTGCATTCACGCAGGTTCAAAAGTATGGTATGGATAAATCTGGTTGCTTGGTATGCTGCGACACTGTGTCGCCTAGAATAAAACGCCATAATATGCTAATGCACCATAGCGATGACCCGGTTGTTCATAGAAACAAGCAAAGAAACAAGAAAAAAGACAACGCCTCAGATGCCATCCCCAACCAAAGAATCCGGTTTTTCGTTGGGGAGGTCGAACACCATAGCCCCTTCTAGCTGGGGAACGCCGAGAAAAAAAAATGCAATCCACCATCATGAAACGGAATATGTGTACATGAAAAAGGGGGGGGAAATGGGTGATAAAAGATACATAGCGAAGGGTAGGGTAGGTTGGTTTTCTCATGAGATAGGTCATAGCGCGGTCACGTCGTCATCAAGGAGAATGGTGTAGGACAGGAGGATGGTCTAGCCAGAGAACTGAGTGGGAGGGAAGAGAGGCTGGAAGTGGGTTTGGGTCCAGGTCTCCGGGTGAATGTAAGGTAGCAGCCCGGTCTTGCGGTCAGCGGAGGTTTTACCCAGCGGCTGATAGTGCATGTGGTCGAAGGGAACACTGCGCTGCTGCTGCATGGAGGTAGAAGGAGGCGGGATGAGCAAGGTATGAACCGAGCGAACGGGTCGGTAAGGAGAGTTGCGGTTGGCGAGGAAGTAAGAGGGAGATAGATGCTTTTGCGGAGTGTGCACAGAGTAGGCAGATACGGCTGGCGAAACAGTGGCAGAGGTGACTCCATATGGGCTTTGGTGACGGCCCAGATCTGGGAGAGAGGGCGTGTTGTAGACGCCAGATGCCATGGTAGTGGGAACGGCAGCAGATGACATTTGCTGGGCCCAGTTGGAAGTCCGGTTGTAGACTTGACCCATCGAAACTGGCATTGGCAGCTGAGAGACCGCAGTGGAAGGGATAGATTGGGGCATAGGGTTGGAGGAAGGAGGTAGGTTGGGAGGTGGAAGACGGGAAACATGTCCCAATATCGGGACTTGACCCACGGGCGCCGAGGTCGGTGTCAGAACCGGTGGAAGAGTAGGGACCACGGAGGTCAAGTTTGACGATGGAATTGCCAAAGAAGGAGCAGTGTGCGCAGAGGTCATCACCACACGCTTCGCAGGGTGAAGCTCATCTTCGTCATCACGGCCACGCTTGCGGGTTCCACCCACAGCAACTTCGCCCTGCTGCGAAGTACCAGGGTATGGTAGGGCGGACAATGGCGTGTACCAGTGAGACGAGGGATGCGACGGTGGTCTGTATGGATCCATCGGGGGCGAAGGGAGCTTAGACAAGGGCGATTGGCCCTGGAGACGCGGCGGCGAGACTTGCATCACGGGGATCTCGCCTTCGGCGGGAAGCTTCGATGCCTGGTTGAAGTAGTCGCTGAAGAGGCCCAGCTTGGTGTGCCATTGGGCCCATTCTTCCTTGGAGCAGAACAGGTCATAGCGAATGTTGCTGAGGAACTCGACCTCCATGATGTGGATCTCCTGCACTGCGATCCCAGAGACCTCGGCCCATGTCTTATTGGTGTAAGTGTTATCGTCGAGGTCTGTGGCTGAGTCAGCATTTGATTTTCTTATCGATTATCTTTTAAGGCGGTGAAGCGATAACGCGAATACTCACATTTATTGCCGAGCATCAACGCCACGGTCATCAACCGGAATTCACTGCCCTTCTTTCCCTTCACGCCGGAGTTGAACTTCTTGAGTCGGTAGACGAAGAGGAGGGCCAGGATAATCAGGTTCTGGCTGACTTGTGTAGTCGAAAGAATCGAAGCCACCCACTTCTGGAAGCCGACGGTGGGGATAGCCTCTGAGACGAGGGAAGGCGCTGGATGGCGGCGGTCTTCAATGTCTTGCAGTTTGGAGGTCTTCTCAAACCAGAAGAGGCAAGTCATCTGCAAAAATAAAGCCAGTTAGCTTGACGTGTTCTTGTTGTATAAAAACTGCGATTCCTTTCCCAATGAACTCATACCTGAGCGGCAAACTCGGCCAAGCTGCCCTTGCTGTTATTGATTGATGAAGGAATGCGCAGTGCCGAGCTTGACGTCGTTCCAGTCGACTTCTTCTGGCTGGCGGGTTCCGTTGCGGGGACTTCTTTCACAGGCGCCGAGTGAGTTTCCGATTGATTGGACTTCATAGAAGCCACCATGGACGACGAAATTGAATCATAGTGCGGGCGCGAGTGACTGTACAGGTGCGAGGGCATGGCATGTCCTTTTCCTGCGTAGGCCGCGGACGGCATGGCATTGTAGGCCACGCCGGTCATGTCGCCGGGAGGAGTGGGTAAACCGTCCCGGAAGGGAGCAGTCCAGCAAGATCCCGTCGTTGCGAAGGCCGGCTTCGTAGATGGGTAGGTGTGAGATGTCAGGTCGACGGTAGGAGTGATGTGGCCAAGAGTCGTGGAGGATCGAGAACCCAGCGTTGGGGGAGACATAGGGATAGTGCGGAGAGAAGTTGGGAAGTGAGTCGAAGAAACATGTGGGAGTAAATCTGGTCGGGCGCTTTCACTCTCGATCAAGGAATTGGTCGATCCAGGCAGAATAGGCCGAGAGAGACGGTATTCAGACATCCATATCCAGGCAGCATATAAATCGAAGAACCGATTCGGCAGGCACCGTGGGGAACGTTTTTGAAGATCCGTAGAGAGACTTTCCCCAATTGGGAGACAAGGCAACGAGAGGCGAAGTGGTGGTAAAAGCAGGCGACGTTAGAACGGCGTGATTGAAGATCTATAAGGGAAGGAATGAAATGATATAAGAAATGCGGCGTAGTTCAGTTTTCTAGAGGGGCAACGAGAATGATGTATATGGAAATAGCCAAGAACCGGTCCATATAAGGAGGAGACTAAACCCGCGAAGGGAACCACCCATTCAAGAGAAGTGGCACTTCTGTAAATTTCCAAAAATTGATAAATTAATCAAATAATTCAGAAGGTGGAATCCCCCCCCCCCCCCCCCCCCCCCCCCAAAAGGAACGTTCACGGCTAGGCGGGACAAGAGAAGGATAATCCTCTAAAAAGAATAAATTGAGAAAATTAATAAAATGGGAAATAATAATACAATAGGAAAGGCTGAAGTCAAGGCATCATCTCCATCCTTCCCACAGACCCAAGTCCACTGACTTTCAAGGACTAAAAAGGGAGAAGACCCAGGGTCGATGGACCCATCCGGAGAAAGCCAGAGTAGCCAAACATGGGACAGAGTTTTGACCCGGACGCAGGTCCAGAGGGTTGATCCTCCTTTTTCCAGGCTCGTTTGGGTGCCGGTTTAGTCAATCTACAAAGTAGATTGATTGTTTCTCAGCAACCGATGGTCTACGGGCCAATAATAGAACGGAATCAGTCTTTACTCTCTCGCTTTCCCCCCCCTTAAATCAGTCATCTAGAATTCTTCGGTCTGCTAGTACTACGTTCTCCATTCACAGTTCACCACTCTCGAAGACCAGTAAATAAAAAAAATAATTTAAATTTCCAAAGTGTGAAAGGGGACGAAGAATACCGGTTGATGTCAGAGCCACCGGGGTCATAAGTGGATGCAAAGCCTAGAAAGGGTAAGTCGCAGAGTAATGTTTACGGAGGTCACTCGTCCCGGTCCTTCAAAGCGCAGGGCGCAGAAAGGGCAGCGCAGCCCTAGAGCGGACCTGGGCGGAGGCCTACTGAGTCTGGCGTTAGCGCGGGTTGGTGGAAGGTGGGAAGGGATGGGGGGAGAGAGAACGAGGAGAGAAGGAAAAAAAACCCTGGAAAAATAATTCAATTAAAAAAAGAGGAACCGAAAAAGCGAAAAATGCGGCAGGGAAAGGGAAAAAAAAAAGAGGGCCGATAAATCAAATATGGAACAGGTTCAGCAGTTCGGAGGACAGATCCAAGACCTGCTGGGGTTCAAGGAAGGACCCATATCAGATCCAATAAATCGGTCGGGTTTAGCGTGGTTGCAACCGTCGGCCCAATGCCTCTTCCCCTTGAAGAGAGAGATGATTACTCATGGCGGTACGAAGTACTGTAGCAAATGACGTACGGAATTTAATTAACTATAGAAGCCATATACGGAGTATACTCTACATCATATATAAGATAGCAGTCACCAGTAAATATACTCTGTCTCGAATGGACCAAAAAGAAGTCACTACTCGCTGGAGAACATAAATAATAACTATAGATAGTATATACTCTAGTGTAGTACTCCGTAAAGTCGCAGAGTGGCCCAAGTTTCCAGTATGTAAACGGGAGTACTCCGTAAGTGGCCTGGGCTGTGAGGGTGCGCAAGCATGTACGCCTCCGTTGCTGCACCAGGTAGGGTTAGAAAGAAAGAGCGGGCTAGAAGACCCAAGACCCAAGACCAAAGAACGCAGGGCTAAGAGAGGGGGGGGGGAAGAGGTTGCCGGGAAGCGCCTACGAGGGTTTGAGCATGGTGGCTGATCACTAGTCGGAGTCGTCACCAGGCGGAAAGGAAAGGAATGGGTGACTTTTGGTAAAACTACGGAGAACTTCATACGGGACTGGACCGGGGTCAACGGCAAAACAAAGCATGTAGTAATAAAATACGAACAAAAAGAAGAGGGCTGGTGAGGAGGGATCGGCCAGTGGGATTGTTGACCAGTAGTATTCCGGTATTTCGTATCGAGTGGAAGATCACTTTCCGGGTTAGGCAGAAGGGATGAAATCGGCCGGTTCTCTTTGATCGGCAGGAAAAATGAGTGTTGTATTGTGGTATGGGTATTGTCACATCCTCCCGGAATGCCTGCTGAGGTAAGCCAATTAGGATAGGATTACTCTCCTTCCTTTTCTTCTCCTCCAATCATATCCTCCCTCACTCATTACCCATCATCCAGACCAATCATATCCCTGTCAATCCCACCTCAAAGGACAGGCAACAATGACTGGTCCGGATCCTGTCCTTCCTGGTCGCTTTGCTCTCTCGGGCCTCTCTGACCTTGCTATCCTCCCTACTCCTGTCCTTTTCTGCCGGAATTCCAGGATGTGAGGATCCACCACCTCTACGCTTCCATAATCCGAGCCACCCGCCTTCGTCCTGGCCTTCCTTCTTCCGACGACGCCCAGAGATGGTCCTTCATGGCTTATGACTGGTCCCCAACAGACTTGCAAAACCTGGCCCCGTCATTTGCTCCTCAACCCAATTCGCCCCACGAGGCCCTGGCTTTTTTTGAGGCTTTACCGACGAAGCCTAGGTCCTTTGGTCCAAAAAGTGCGAAGATGGAGTATGTCAGCTGTCCGTGTACGACGGCCGAATCAATGATCCCATGGTTAGACCATTGCGCACTCTTTCCGAGGCGATCGTCCGTTTCCCTTGTCTCTACCACCAGCCCGCACTAGCCCATGGTCTTGTTCCATGATGCCGATGACTGCAATCATGACACGGTTACCCGGTGACTAGTCGCGTACTCCCCGACAGGCTGTTAGCCGCTCACTTCTCGCTGCTCATTGGTCTTGTCTCCATCTTTTTTTCCTCGTGGGCGTTGCCTCTTTTCCCTTTTTTTTTCTTGGTCATCACCAAAGCCTTGGGTAATTTCCGACTGCGGTGTGAAGTCTGTTCTTCCGACCTTCTTTGATCGTCACCTTTTCCTTGTCTCGGTCTCGGGGGGGGCACATCGCGACTAGCTTACGACCTAGCCCCAACGCGGGCTCCTCTACTTTTTTTCGCCTCCAAGTTAACTTTGCCTAACCCTTCGGACGACTTGCCTTTTCGTTGCTTTTTTTCTGGCTCTTTCCTCCTGGTCAGGGAGGAGGCGATCACGTAGTAAGATTTCAGGATGGGCGTCGATGGACCACAATCTGATAGTTCGGGCCCAGCCACTCGGGACAAGAACGAAAAAGTGCTAGAGTAGATGGCAGAGCTTGCCTTCATCGAATATCGGAGATGGTCCATGCTCTCTTCCTGCAAGCAGCTGGAAGTACTCCGTACCATGACTAGAAGAACGCCAACGGACTATAATCAAAATCCCAATTATACAGAGTACATCAAATACTATCAAAGTATCTGATGTACATCCTCCATACGAGGCTGCTACATATATCATCCAACAACAGTAAGAGGGGGCGGCCATGGCAATGCCGGGCATGCGGGCCTCTCATTCGTCCGATTATCATGTCATGCAACCTCCGACTGCGCTCGCGGATGTCCTTCTCATCTTTTACACCTTCCAAGCGCCGCATGTAAAACCGGAAACGAGCCTTTACTGGCCGCTGCCGGTCTGCCCGCTTTGGGCCCAAATTGAGGGTCGTTTGACACCACTGGAACCCTGTTCAACCATCGTTGCACCTGTGATCCATTTAGCCTGGGTCGGTGTGCTGCGACAACTAACTAGCCCGGCCTCTAATCGTTTAACGGACCGACAGGTAAAATAGTAGGATTTGTACGGAATACAGCTAAATGTAAATCCACAACTAGTTTCGGATCGTTGAATTTTGTTGATTCTGGACTTGGTACTCCATATCGAACAGAGTTCTATAGTACACCTGTACAAGAGCAACTATACGATGGTCCTCGGCCCTAACACCCAGAGTTATTCCGCGGGCTCCATCTAGCCCCGATTTGGCAATCTAATAGGTCGGATCTCGACCAAGACCGGAGTACCAAGTACAGAGTACAACTGTAAGTACCTCTGATCCCCCCTCGACGCGGTCGCGTTTTGAGCACGCGCCTCAAAAGTGACGAGCGAGGATAAGTAATAAACCTCGATGCAAAAATCCCGGTACCATGTCACGCACCCACGAACCATTGTGCATACTGGGCCGAGGATATAGTAGTGTTGGGTAGGTTACTAGGGGTTGTGGATTTGATGCAGACGGGCAATATTTACTCCCAATAATTTACTCATTTGCATGTATAATTTACTTTTCTGATTGACGCCTCCCGGTACTTCATGGCCATCTGCCTTCTACTTTCCAGACTTTCCCATAGCCAAGGTATTTGCCTACTGTAGGGGAACAAAGCAGGCTGCAAGTAGTTGAGCTCGGCTATCACGCCACCCAGGTAACCCCGTTCCATTTGAAGACTGCAAAGCAGATAATGTGAAACTCGAATGGGATGTTGGCGTTGTCAATCTTTGTTCTCTCTTGTTATGTTGCCGCCACTACTTACCTTGCGAGGGCGATCAAAGCCTCGACCCTTTTGAGCGAGTGCGGATCATGTTTTTTTTGTGGATATTCTAGATTGACGGGAGGATAGTTACTTTGTAGTTGAAGAGGGGATATCGAGAGACAAGGTTACTACTGTACTCGCAGTGGACACGCGTTGTTTGCGCGGAGAAAAACCGACCAAAAGTCTTGCCAGTCGACTTGCAGAGTCCACTTTTACCACTGTTTCCCTATTTTTCCCTACGGTCGGATTTGTCTCTGAGCCACCGCCACGATGAGGAGACGGTGGAGTGCTTTGAGAGTCCTTTTTTTGATGGTAATTTTTTTTTACTTTTTTTTCT